GCAGAAGCCAAATAGACACTCAAAGTCTGAGACAACCAGGCTGCAGGGAAATGCGGTTAATCAATCCATCGCACAGGCCTCCGGGGCTGCCGACTTCCCGGACGGCCCCGGGTCGTATTTCCTGTCCAGCTGCCAGCCTCTCCAGTCACATCCCTCACCGCCAGATGCGAGGCTGTGCGCTCCTTCGGGAGGAAGTGGCTGCAGCGTCCAAAGGTGGCCGACGGGCCTTGTATTTCATGACGATGACACCAGAGAGTCACAGGACAGCGCAGTGCATGCGGGTCGGGGCGACTCAAGGGCGCGTCACAGCCATCTTCTGTGTATCTGGGGGACACTAAGTTGTTACTTCTGTAAATACTGCGTTCCTATTCATTCTTCTTGGTTCTGCTAAACTAATCACAATTCTAGCAACCCAGCACCACCCAGAATAATACAACTAAAATACAGGACTCCACTTGGCCAGCGGGTAGTTAGTGGTTCTCTTTTCTGAGAGAAATGGCTTTATAATTTTTTTCCTGACCATAAAGTAACATATGCTCAACATTACAGAAGGTTTAGGGTCAAACCAAAATAGAATTTTTAAAAAGTAAAAATCATCCACAATTCACCTTCTAGCGATAAAGGCTTTTAATATTTTGTTGTAGACCCTTCCAGATCTTTTAATTTACTTACATCTACAAAAACATGGTATTTGGTTTCATAATGGTGTTCGTTACTTTTGCCAAAATGTTTCTGTAGTGACTGTTGAATGCTTACAGTCTCCTGAAAGGAGTCCTTTCTGGTGGCGCCATGATTATTGGGGATTCTCAAATAAGGTGCTAGTTGAACTTCTTAAGACACATGCAGAGAAAAATTACAGGGTTCTACAAGTTTAAACAGTTTCTTTAACCAGGGTTGTTGTGAATTCAGAATAGCGTCAGCATTCATTTTCAGGGACAGCAAGTTTCCTTTCTTCTAAAAGCTAGCATCTTAGGTTTAGAATTGATGGCCTAATTAGCCTTGGACCTTTTTTAGCTTCTTGTAAAGTATTATAGATTGTTTCAGAGTAAGAAGTAGGTTTTGCCGTCCCCGAGGGCACCTTGCTCTGCCTGACTCTGTTCGCTTCCCGAATGGCTCCTTTCCAGTTAAAGTGGAAGCCGAGGGCCAGCAGAAAATGTTTGTTTGCTTTTGTTTCCCTCTTTAAAAGCAACTGGAATATAGTTCATTTCCACACTTAGATGACGTTCAGGAACTGCCCTGGTGTTTGACTAAGTAAACACTTTGGAGCTATATTTACGTGACTGTTGACCAATGGTCACATAAAATAATATAGCTACCATTTGTTGGGAACTCACGACGTGCCAAATGTTGTCAGTGATTGCATTCAGCACTTAAAACCACCCCGGGAGTTAAAGATCATGACTTAGGGGGCAAGACAGCATTCAGATTTAACCCTGGCCACAGTCTGACCCTCAGGAGCCTATGCTCTCTGCTGTCTTTCATCCCATTGTTTTCAGCAAAGCGTTGGGCCTCCATTTCTTATCTTCACGTAAAGGGGTGTTGGCACAGCTGAATCGAAGGTTCCTTCCACTCTCAGCATCGTCTGACTCCACGAATCCGCTTGGGAAACCGTCTCCCGGCCAGAACTCCTCTCCTCGTGCATTTCACCGCCACGCCCGCCGCCCTTGTCCCCGGCCAGCCTTCACCTTCTCGACGGTAGCACACCAGGGCAGCACAGGACGTCCCCACGAAAGAGCCAGAGGGCTCTGTGCACAATGGGCTGGCGTGCTGCCGTCTGCTGAGAGCCGGGCTGTCCCTGCGGCTGTGGAGCTGGCAGAAGGCGCTCAGAGAGGCCAGCGGGCGCCAGTTGTGCTGATCGTTGATGGCATGAGAGAGCTTCATGTGAATGGGTCATAACTTATTCATGATTAGGGTCTAAAATAGCTTCTTATAACTAATTCACAGCTACCACGTGGGTCCTGTGTGCTATTTTTTCAGATACTAAAATTATTACCCTACTTCCACGGGCTTTGTGTGGAGCAAAAAGACAAGTCTGCTTTTGACTGCACAGGAACGAAGACGTTTCCCATCTTTGAGTGGTGAGAGCCTTTCCTATCAAAGCCATTCCATTTCTCTCAGTCTAAGAAATGCGGTGCAGCGGTTCTTGGACATACTGCTTCTGGCGCGGCAAGAAATTGTCGGATGAGGTCATGTCCCAGTCAGAGCCACAGCCAGGCTTTCTGACCAACGCCGTGCGAGTCTCACTGTGGTCTCCATGTGGCACCAGAGGAAGCAGCTGACAGCGACCCGCGGTCTGCACGTAGCGCATGAGTCCAGCTGTGCAGGAAGGGCGGCCCCTAGCTAGGCAGGGGTCAGGGCGCGGTTCGCCAAGGGCATGCCGGCCGGAGGCGGCAAGGTGCGCAGGAGCCGCGCTGGAAGGGGCGTGCCAGATGCCGGGGGAGAGGACAGCAGCACCGACGGAGGGCCCAGGCCAGGGAGGGACAGGGCCTCTAGAACGTGGGGCCCGGTCCCAAGAGCATTTGAGGGCTATGACGTGATCGGAGCTGTGCTTGAAGATGGAGACGTAGGCCAGACCTGTGCGTGCAGAGGAGAGATGTTAAAGGGAAAGACAAGCTACGTGTTTGAAAGGGGAAGCCATGAGTCTGGCTTGGGTTCCTCCTCCACTGAAACCCCAGAGCCATTTCTGGTGGCGCAGAACCGCCTTGCTGCTGACTCCGCCCCGTGATTGGTAGCTGTGGGTGGTGCGTCCGAGGGGAGGAGAGGCCAGGGTCCAGGGCGCACTGCCTTTGGCTGAGCTGCTACCTCTGAAATTACCAGTGGCTGCCAGCAACGCTGAGGAACGAAGACGGCCGCCACACACCCAGAGCCCGCAGGTGGCAGGCCACGGACGCGCCCTTGTGACCCCGGCAGTGCCATGCCCAGTGGTTTTGCCCTGCAATAGCGGTGACACACAGCTGCGGTAGGGTGGACGCCTTGCCCGAGCGGGGGCGTTATTCCCGCGGAGCACGCACCGTGCAGCTCTGCCGTCCTCTGTCGCGCCGGCCCCCCCCGGGAAGGGCCGGGGGCGCTCTTCGTAGCTCTGACTGTCCCCCTGCCTTAGAGGTGCCGAGAGAAGCCTCCAACCAGTCGACACATTTCTGCGGCCTCTCCTTGGCCTGGGAGGGATGACCCGCTGGCTACCTCATTGGAAGGATTGAGTCACTACAAGGATCGTGTCATCAGTGGCCAAGGATGAGAACTGGAAACATCACCTTCTTTTCGGTAGCAGCTGCTCTCTGTCCTTGGGAAGTCTGTCATACATGGAGCTTTTGAGCTGATGAGGAAGTAGTTTAGTGACTTGGGTGCCATTTGGAGGCATGGCTTGTGTCCTGGGACCCACCAGGGCCTGCCGTGTTTGCGGGTACCCGACAACTGGAGAACACCCCACAGGGCTGGCAGCCCGGGTCGTGGGCCTTTAATGTCAGCGCTGAGGGCAGAACACAGGGAGACCAGCGGCCGGTGAAAGTCCCCAGGATGCAGCCCCGTCCTCTGCCTGTCGGCGCGCCCCATGGAGCCACCAGCGCTCGCCCACTGGGCACGATGAGTGACCATCTGGTCCCTGTTCCCAAAACAGCTGCCTGCGATGATGGGGGCGTCAGGCCTGTCTTCCTTCGTGGGGTGACGGCGGTGAATTAGCGCGTTACAGGCTGAGTGCAGCGCGGCACCGCTGACTCGCCGAGGCGGTGAGAGTGCAGGTGCCCACGCAAATCGCATCTAAAGTTGGGTGGGTGGGGCTCAGTGCCGCCGCGTGGCTGGACTGGGCAGCCGCCGAGGTGGCATTTTTCTCCCTTCCCGGCCCGCGTGGTGGATGAAGAAGCAGGTGAGGGCACGTCGCACTGTGACCGCCGGACGAAATTTGGGACGCTCCAGCACATCGCGTATGCTTTGAGCAAGGCGGGCCTGTGCAGTGAGGAGGAAGCCCACGGAAACAGAGGCTCTTCCGTGCCACGCCCACACTCGGCTGGCCGGCCCCTCAGCTCGCTGGTCCAGCAGTGCTGGCCGCAGGCGTCCTGTGTGCCCGGCTCCCCACAGGGCTTGGGATACCGTGGGGAGAGGCCGGGAGTGGGTGCGTGGAGGTTGCAGTTATGAGCTGCTCTTCGCTTCAGAGCTGGGATGTAAATATGTCCTTGATCTTCCAATACCCAAGAGTGTGATAGGTGTCACCTCGCGTGGTGACAGCTTGGGTGTGTGGCAGTTTCCAGAGTTGTCCCACACGTGGGCCGTGCACTGGAAGCCCTTGGAGCAGGATGTTTCCTCTGGCGAAGGCTCTGACACAGCAGATTGGGAAAGTGTGCTCCAAGGCTCTGCATCTGCAAGACTCATTTATAAAACGATGACCCACTGCTCGGCCCTTGCCTTCTTCAGCGCCAGCAGGGCGTCTTGAATTTCTCTGGTTGCTCTTCCACAGACCGAAGGACTTCACCCCACTTCTCGAGTTACAGGAAAGGCAGAGTCTGAGGCCGAGAGAGCGGCTGATGGTGGATGGCCAAAGCCACGTGAAGAGTGGGCGCAGGGTGTGGGGACAGCCTCCTGGCTCCCGCAGTCCTCATGTGGGGATGCTCCTGAGGAGGACGGGGAGGGCTCAGCTCTGTGGAATCTAGGACTTTCCTCTGAGCCCCACCCACTTCTTCCGACTCCTGGCTTCAGCCAGCCCTAGACACCATTTTGAGGACATGGTCACCCATGTCCCAGGCACCCAGCGATCCGTGGGGAGGCGGTCGGCGCCCACCCGGTCAGGGAAGTCCTTCAGGAGTGATTCCGGTCACAGTGTGCAGGAGCTAGTGGCCAGGGGCGAGGCCAGGCTTTGGAGTCAGGGAGCCCTGGATCTGCTGTGTTCCTCTGCATCCAGAGCCACTGCCCGAGACCCCGCAGAGCGAGCAAGGGCAGTGAGCAGGCAGCATCCTGTTCCTCCCTGTGACCTTGTTGCCGGGGACAGTGACCAGGTTCCGTGTTGCCTGCAGGTCACCTGGACGCCAGCATGGCCGCCGCAAGCCTGGAGAACCAGCTGCAGAGCGCGCAGAAGAACCTGCTGTTCCTGCAGCGGGAGCACGCCAACACGCTCAGGGGCCTGCACGCCGAGGTCCGCCGGCTGCAGCAGCACTGCACAGGTGCCTGGGCCGCGCCGCCGGGGGTCTCTGCTCGCTCTCTGGTGTGATGTCACAGAAGCCACGTGCACGCCGCACCCTGTCCTCTGCCAGGCGGACGTGCAGGGAAGAAAGCTGTAGAGCCCTTTCTGGGCATATTGCGGACTGGGACGATCAGGACGCGGTGGTTAGAGGTGGCAACGCGTTCTGAAACCGCTGACCAAAGTGTAACGTAGCAGAGTGTGCTGTGTGCTGCTGTGGACGATGGGGGGCGCTGGAGGGGAAAGGAGGGTTCCCTCTGAACCGCAGTGAGGGCAGGGGCCGCGGCTGGTTTCCGCCGCTCTCACGCCCCGCCTCTAACCCCGACCGGGGCAGGACCCGCCCGCTGATCGGTCCTGTGTTGTCAGAGCTGACGAAGCTTTTGAAATGCACCGTAACCACACAGAATTAATGCCTGTGGCTTCCTTTTCAGATTTAACATACGAGCTGACACTCAAAAGTTCGGAACAGACAGGTAAGACCTCCCTCCCCGAACCTTAGCAGCAGCACTCCTCCGGCTGTGGCCTGTGCGGGCGGCTGGTTTTCACCGCACAGGCACGGCGGGCGGGAGGGCCGGGCCGGCCGTTCCGAGGGGCAGGGGGCGGCTGGAACGAGCACTTTCATTTCCTCCTGGTAGATGCCTACTCTTGGAGAGCCTCTCGCACGCTTTCCTGAACGTCGAGCTTTTCTACAGTGAACACGTGTTCCTTCTGTAACTGAGAAATAGATGGGATTTAATCAGAGAGAAAGGAGGAGCAGGGTTCTGTCGCGCCACCCCCCCCCACATGCCTCTCACGCTGAACAGGGCCTGGCTGCGTGATGCCCGCCAAATGCTGGTTGAGGGAGTGATTGAATTGCGAGGCGCCCCCAAATGTCACTGAGCATCTTTCTTTAGACTCTAGTTCCAGGAACCCTTCCCCCGACCAGCACCCTCAGGCCCTCCGATGCCCGCCTGGTGGCAGTCAGCAGGGGAGGGCCCGGGCCTCTGCGGCCTATTGCACAGCCGGCTCCCCAGGGAAGGTGGGGATTCAGAAAGCGCAGCGTCCACACGGGAGGTGGCGGCGGATATCGTTCACGAGTGGGCCAGTTCCTCGTCCGCCACGGGCCACCTCCAGGATGCTGAGCCCACTGCCAGGCCCTGGGGTTGCCGTTTGTGTTCCCCGTATCTCAGTCTCCTGAGCGCGCCTTTCAGGAGCCGAGACCCGTGTCTGCTGCACTAGAGTGGTGCCTGGGAATCGGCACACCCTCAGTAGGGGTCCCCCTGCACAGGAAGGACGCCAGGAGCCCTACCCCCACCCCCACCCCCACCCCCACCCCGCAGGCCTGGGCCAGGGACTGGGCCTCCAGGGACTTGGGAGATCAGGACGCTTCCCGTGGGAGACCCCTGCCCACACCCCTGCCCACACCCCTGCCATCGAGCCACAGAAATCAGGGCGCCCTCACACCCTGTACCCTGTTGGCCTAGGCTTCTCTGTCTCAGTCCTAAGCCTTAGGCCACCTGCTCGCCAGTGCCAGCCCACGTCAGTGGCAGGGTCTCGTGGCACCAGTGGGCGAGCCGCGCCTCCTGGAGGCAGTGGAAGCCTCGCAGGGGTCTTGCGGGGACGCCTGCCCTCCCAGGGGTGCAGATTGCTGCCCCGCATTTGTGCCCACAGACTTGACCATCCCACGGAGCTCCTGGGACACGGGTGGGACACACGGGCTCCTGGGTCCTGCCCTGGAGGTCCCGCTTGCGTAAGTCCAGGCCGGGAACTGGGAATCCGTATGTGCAACAAGTGCCCGTTACTGACAGCTCCGGCGGGCTCAGCAAAAACCGCCCCAGCTGAGGAGGACAGCCACTGCGGCAGCTTGGTGCGCACGCAGCTCTCCTGGGGGGGGACAGGAGCGTCCAGGAAGGACGTGTGTGCACAGGAGGGTGGGGAGAGTCTTATAAGAGAGTGGAAAACCGTCAAAGCAGGGCTGCCGGCTCTCAGCAGAGTGGCTCTGGGGTCTAGGGGAGGAGGGATCAGGCGCGCGCTCCCTCCCTGGGCCCTGACATCGGGTCGACACCAGCCCACGGCCCTGGGCCCCAGCCTCCTCTCCCCCCGGGGAGCGGCGTGCCCATTAGGGACACCTCTGGCCCTGCGGCCTCGTCTGAGCAGTGCGCCAGCGGCCGGGCCTCCCGCCGCCCTGGACCCCGCCTCAGCTGCGCAGACCAGCCTGCACCTCAGGGAGGGGCTGAAAGGCTGCAGGGGGCGGACGCAGGAGTGGCCTGAGCACAGTCACAGGGACACTACACCCTGAGATATGATGTGAGAGGGGACCTTATCGGGGGCAGGTGGCAGCCGGACATCTGTCCCTTCTGCAACCTCAGAGCGTGCATTGGTCATGGAGAATTCACGGTGCCAGGAATGGAGCGGGCACTGAGTGCACATGCCCCAAGCAGAGAGGGGGTCTGCTGCAGTTCCGTCTTGAGTGTTGGGCGAGGCTGGAAACTGAAATTGCCCATTTTGGCTTCCTCAGTTTTTAAATTTGGGGGCCACCTTTTACACAATAAACCGAGAGCTAAGAGCTGGCAGAGCCCTGGAGGCCCCCAGCCTCCCGCCCAGTAGGAGCCAGCCGCTGACCCCACTGCAGGAGCAGGACACCCACCCCCAGGCCCGCCCGCCTCTGTGTGGCCTCTCAGCCTGGCCCTGTGCTTGTGCTTCCAGGAGACACACCTTCCAGGAGCAGCGAGCTGCAGAAAAGGTGCGAAGAGCTGGAAGCCCAGCTGAAGGCCCAGGAGAAGGAAAACGCCGAGCTGCGGAGCGCACTGGAGCAGAAGAACGCCACGATCGCGGTGCTGGAGAGCACCGTCAAGGAGCGGGAGAAGCGCTACCTGGAGGAGCTCAAGGCGAAGAGCCACAAGCTGAACATGCTGTCCAGCGAGCTGGAGCAGCGCGCCAGCACCATCGCCTACCTGACCTCCCAGCTGCACGCCACCAAGAGGAAGCTGCTCAGCTCCAGCGGGACCTCGGACGGCAGCCCGTCCGGGAGCCCCGGGGCCGGCTACAAGCCAGCCCCGCCCAGGGACAAGCTGCCCGAAACGCCCCGCCGCCGGATGAAGAAGAGCCTCTCCGCCCCGCTGCACCCGGAGTTTGACGAGGTCTACAGGCTGGGCGCCGAGAGCCGGAAACTACTCCTGCGGGAGCCGGTGGATGCCATGCCGGACCCCACCCCGTTCCTGCTGGCCAGGGAGGCGGCCGAGACACACCTCATCAGGGAGAGGCCCCTGGTCATCCCCCCCATCGCCTCCGACCGCAGCCCCGCCCGCGAGCAGCAGCACAAGGGCCACGTGGGCGTGGCCCACCGCATCCCCCACGGTGCCTCCCCGCAGGCCCCGCCCGAGGTGGAGACGCTGGCGGTTGACCAGGTGAACGGGGGCAAAGTCGCCAGGAAGCACTCAGGGACGGACAGAACTGTGTGAGGCCTGCCGGGCGCCCCTCCCCCTCGGCCGTCCGTGCACTGTGATCACCACTAGGAAACACTCGTCCATCCACATTTTTTTTTTTTAATTGTCATGCATGCCAAGTTGTTTTCAGACCTGTCAACAGAGTACTCCCCTCCCACTCTACTCGCTGTCTTACGACACCAAAATGTGATCGTGCCCCTGCTGCTGCAGACACCTGTTCACCAACCGCTGCGGCCCAACAGCTGTGCGCCCGCTGGCTGGCTTCTCACCCCGCTCTGCGCGTCCTAGTGCGTTCGGTCAGAGCACGGGCCGCAGGCTGCACGCCACTCGACATTACTGAGCTCAGATAGCCACACACCTAATCAAGTCAGAGCCACACGCCTAATCAAGCTGGAGCCACACGTATTCCCAGGGCAGCCTGCTGGGGGCGGCCTTGCTCCCTCCTGAGCCCCCATAACCTCCTACAGACCTTCCCCAGGGCGACACCGTGACCAAGCGGCTGTACGTGTATGTCACAGGCACTAAATAAGATGACGTTACTCCTCGTATCACCACAACCTGAATGTGTGCTCATATTTTTTGTTAGTTTTATCCAAAATGTTCAAGATCCCAACAAACTTTATTTTCTAAACCTGCCTCCTTTCTGTTCTGTGTCTTTTATTAAACCAGGGGAGGGAGGGAGGAAGGAGACTGGGAGGGAGAGACATAGCAGGGCTTCCACGTAACTGCTATGTTCCTGCCCAGAAAGCAGGCCCACCCAGGACACAGCCCGTGGGGGCTGCGGCGAGGGGGGCTCACTTCCAGAGAGAGGAGTCTCCTTGCTCACTGCCCAGAGCTACCCCTTTGACCATGCTGCACTTCGAGGTTATGCAAAAGCTCCTTTTGCCTGAGTCTGGGCGCGCCCTCTCTGAGTGCCCCGCACCGGACACGTAAAGCCGCTCCTTGCCTCTGCCCCCAGTCGGGCCTGGCCAGGGCCCCAGGCTGGCCCCACAGTGCGCCAAAGGGATACCCAGTAGCCTCGGTCCCGGAGGTTGTGGGTCCACACCCAACGCCACACGACCTGAATGGGGCGGGGGTAGGAGCTCGGGGCAGGCCAGAGGCAGGAGCGGCCGAAGGTTCTGTGGGGCGGGGAGGGGGAGGCGTGGCTAGGGTGATGACCAGGCGTCCTCCGCCCAGGGAAGGGGCTCTGCCTGGCGGCGCAGCCCAGTGGCCTGGGCCCTCCGCCCCACACCTGGGCGGGCCGCTCTTCCCCAAAGAGGCATCTGCCGAAACAGACCGGGCTGATCAAAGGCCTGCCTCTGCGAACTTACGTCCGCGTTCTCACTGCGCCCGTGATGCGCCAGGTACTCTGGCTCAGTCAAGTGTCTCCTCTGAGAGGGAAAATAAAAACTCAACATCTTAAAATGCTATCCTTTGGAGTTTACTTTTTTTGAATCCTTAAAAAATAGCTTCCAAAACAAAACCATGCAATTTATCTGGGAAGAAATTAAAACGGCTGATTGAAATGGAAGGAAAATCGTCGTCAGCCCCGCTGCTGCCTCTTGAGAGGCCCCAAGAAACGACAGCGGACTTGACCCTTCCACACGAGTCCCCTTCGCCTTGAGGGTCAATCAGAATTCAGGGTGAGACACACCCCTTGCAGCACCCAGTGGGAGATGTGCTTCGTGGTGAAGAGATCGGCTTCAAACACCAGGCCCACCCCCATGGCGTTCCTTCTGGTGGAGGTGGTGTAGACGGGCGTCCGGAAGGTGTTCTGCAACGGGAAGGCACATGAGCGGTCCCCGGGGGGCCGGCGAGGGCCAGTCGCCAGAGACGGAGGAAGCCCTGCTCTAAGCGCTCCGAGCGCAGGGCCTCCGGCCAGGCTGCGTCTGACAGCCACGTGCCTGAGGCTCGGCGGGGCGGTCCCTGCTCACTTAAAACGGGGACACGCTCATTAAAAGAGGGCCCAGGCCAGGCAAAGCAGGAGGCACGCTGTGCACACCAGATGGAACTGTCACTCAGCCTCCGCCCACAGAATTTAATGAGAAACCAGCAGCCTCTCCTGAAGTTAGCCTAGACCACGGCTCCTGAACTTGGCTCTGTCCCTGCAAAAGTCTCTGTACACGCATGTGTGTGTGTACACTTGCCTGGGACGTGACTCCACACTGGGATCATGCCTCACGGGCTTCCCCCTGGGTACCCAGGGAGCTTAGGCGCCCCCTCACGTGCAACTACAGCGAGAAGCGGGGAGGGGAAGGGGGCGGGGAGGGGAGGGGAGGGGAGAGCGGGGCGGGCCTCCCACCTGCAGTTTGAGGCGATGGGCTTCGATGGGGATGACCTTCAGGATGGGCAGGTTGACCACCAGCACCTTGGGCTTGCTCTTGACAAGACAGCCTCTTTCTATATCCCAGTCAGCGCCCTCCAGGTACAGCCCTGACACAAAGCATCCTAGAGGGGCCCGAGGAGACCAAGGTTTACGCAGAGGCACCTGTCACTCTGCTGCGCGACAGCTCTAACAGGTGTCCATGCCAGACACACTCTGGGCATCCCGAGTCCTCCCCACTGACCCCGAGGGCTCGCGAGGGCACTGGTGCTGCAGGCACATGTCCCCTGAGGACCACAGGGCCCCCCCGGGCAATGGCTGTCTCTCGACACAGCGGGCACAGTCCGTGACCAACGTCACAGGCACACGGCTTGATCCAACAGTCCCAGGCCAGCCCACTGTGTCTCTGACACCCGTGCCCCAGGCCCCTCGAGGTCTCCAGGGAAGTCACCTGGTGACCCAGTTCCGGGCAAGATCTGATCCTGACCCAGGAGCCCATTCCTCACAAACCAGCCAGAGGAGCTGGTTCAGATCTCCCCTGAAGCGAGCCCAGGTCTCCAAGGAGAGAGCGGCAGAGAAACGTGTGTGCCCCCGGGAGATGTCGAAGACATGGACGGCGCACAGACGCAGGCACGTGGCTTCCAAACCCGGCCTGGCCCATCCGGCTCACACGATGTTCCTCCCTTGGAAGCGGGGTGGCTCGGAGGGGGACCCTGAAGGAGAGGCTGTGGCTCCAGAAGGGGCTGATCGTACCTTGTCCTGCCCGCTCGCTCACTTCATCTGCGTCTCGGAACCTGGTCACTTGTGTGAACAAGGTGGAGCGGTCCAGGGGCCAGCCGTTCCTCCGGCAGGTGGCCTGCACCAGGGCCGTGAGGTAGGATTCGGGGATGTGCAGCCCCGAAAGCCACATCACGCCGGGCTCGCCATCGGTGACCTGGAGAGAAGGGAGAGTCAAAGCTGACCGGACAGCGAGTTGAGGATTAAAGATGTTGTTCATGTTAGTGGCGAAAGGCGGTGTTGGGACAACTGGCAGCTCCCTGGGGAAAAGCAAGCTGGACCACCAAACTCCAGGTGAAGCAAAGATGCGGGTATAAAAAATCAGAACCACAAAAGTACCAGGTCAAATATCCAATGAGTGTTAGCATAACCTCGGACTAAAGAATGCAAAACCCAGAAGCCATGAAAGGAAAGACTGATATATTTGACTACATAAAAATGTAAACCTGTCCTATGGGAAAAATACCACAAAGTCAAAAAAAAAAGACTTAGGACAAGATGGCAGACAAAGGACAGTTTCCTTGACGTGCAAAGATCTTCTAAAAATCAACTTTAAAAGATGGAGAACTCAATAAAAATGAAACCATTATACAAAAAGACAATTCAGAGAAAAAGCGACATGAAATGTAAGATGCACTCAGCCTCACCACCGTCAAAGAGGCGCGTCCAGGCTTCCAGGCGACAGCAGCAAAGGCAAACGCAGTGCTCACACCCTCCCACAACCACGTGGGAGTCGCAACGAAACCACAGAGCAAGCACCACTCAGAACCGCCAGAAGGCGAGCTGAATGGAAGTCCTACAACTAAAGGAATAAAGAAGTCACACTGAGACTGACAGGAGGGGCTGGGACACGGAACAGGCTGGTCCCACACCCACGTGCATTGGGATAAAAACCCGGGGGGGTCTATCTCGGCTGCCGACCTGTCCTATGACCTGCAGAGGTGGCCCCCTGAGGAGCAGGCAGTCCCAGCCCCAAGCAAGGCTCCCCAGTCCAGGGTTCCAGGGCTAGGAGGAGAATTGTCCTAACTTCGGGCTGTAAAAACCAGCAAGGATTTTAGCTGAGTGAGAGTCCCCAGAAGTTCCTCATAAAAAGCCAGCACAGACAGGCTTACTCAGACTCGCTTGCTTTGAGCTCCAGCACTGGGGCAGCAGCTCAAAAGGCACCAGGGCCACATGGGTAAGAGCTGAACTGACCCATCAGGGCGAGCGCTGAGTCAAGGGCAGCTTTCTGTGAGACAGAAGTGCTGGCAGAGGCCACTGTTCCTTTTCTGAGCCCTCCCCTCAAAAGAGCCAGCAGGCAGGTGCCATATCTGAGTCTCTGTCAAAGTGGCTCACACTACTTGCCCCACCCTGTGGATTCCCTGAGACCCTGCCCCACCCAACCTGTGGGCCCACCCAGGCTATTTCCAGTCGCATTTCCACAAGAGTGGCCTGTCCTGGCTCAAGCGTCACACTTCCCATCTGGCCTCAGAGAGCCACACCAAGACACATCCAAATTAAGATGCCAAAGGTTAGGGACAAAGGGAGAATCTTAAACATAGCAAGAGAAGAGAAGTTAGTCACCTACAGGGGAGCTCCCATAAGACTGCCAGCTGATTTCTCAAAAGAAACTTTGCAGGCCATGAGAGAGTGACAAAAAATAATCAGAGTGACTAAAAGCAGAGACCTACAATCAAGATTGATCTACCCAGAAAAGCTATCATTTAGAATCAAAGGGCAGACAAAGAGCTTCCCAGACAAGAAAATGCTAAAGGAGTTCATCATTACCAAACCAGTGTCACGAGAAATGTTAAGGGGTCTTTTTCAAGAAGAAGAAAAAGATAAAAATTATGAATGATAATATGGCAATAAATACATATCTATCAACAATTGAATCTAAAAAACAAGATAAACTAACAAGCAGAACAGAAACAGAATCATAGATACAGAGAACATTTCGAAGGTTGCCAAATGGGAGGGTAGTTGGGGGCTGGGTGAAAAAGGTAAGGGATTAAAAAGCACACATTGGTAGTTACAGAACAGTCACGGGGATGTAAAGTACAGCAGAAGGAACATAGTCGATGATATTCTAGTCACTGTATCTGGTGTCAAATGAGGAGATTTATCAGGATGATCACTTAGTAAGTTATGTGACATCTAATCACTGGGGAGGACACCTATTATAACACCGTATGTAACCTGTAGTTGAAAAATAAAAATGATTATAAAAAGAAGAAATGCACCTCCCAATTAGATATTGTTGCCAATCAAGGAGAAAAGGTTCAAAATATTAAGAATATACAGTGTCATGGGAGGTGAGGGAACATCGACCTCGCACATGCCGGTCTCAGCTTCTCTAGAAAACCGTCTGACGGGAGCTGTCAGGGCTTAAAATGCACACCCTCTGACCCAGCTCTTCTGCTGTAGAGACGCACCCCTGGAGCACGCTCATGTGAGCCCCCAAGGCGTGTGCCCAGGGCTGCCGTGGGTGCTGGCAAAGAAGAGAAAAACCCAACAGTAATGCCTAGATGTGCACCGCTGCAAAGGCCACGGGCGCTGTAAAGCGGAGCGCCCCCAAAAGAACGAGGTGGACCTAGAGGTGCCTAGACGGAACACCTGCCAAGATGGACTCTCAGATGAGTAAGCCAAGCTGTAAGCAGTACACGTGAAAACAAAAAAGGAAAAGGGAAGGTGCAGACATGCTGGGACAGCCAGAGACCACTTCTAGAGCGCTGGGTCAACCGCTGACAGGGGTCAGCATGGAGGGTGGGGGTGGGGGAAGGGGTCGGGAGGGGGTCGCGGGGGTCCAGGCTGCACTGTGAGCCAGCAACCTCTCCCTTACCCATGATGTGTACTGGCTGAACCGCCGCAGGAAGTAGAGCATCCAGTTCCCAAGGGATTTGAGGGTGTCAGGGGCAAGCTTTCTCCAGATGTTAGGGATCTGCCCGATAAACAGGGACCTGGCCACATCATCTAGCTCGCTGCTCATTCCAACTTCCCCAGCCAAGGCCTGTGGACAGATGCAAAGCGGGCAGGCCGGGGATCAGAACTCGGGGTTCCACGTCGGGGCGTGACTCTGCCGGTCAGGGACACGCTCACCCTCTGCAGCTCGGCCAGGGACCGGGACATCCTGACGACGAGCTTGTTGAAGCGTTCCAGCTCCTGCAGGAGCACCACCGACGTGGGCGAGATTCCCGCCCCCAGGTGCTTCCTGACCTGATCCAAGTTGAAGACCTTCGGCATCTTGTTTTCTATGTCCTTGGCCACCTGGCCAATGTAATCGTCCCGGCTGATGCCACTGCTCGATTCCCCTGAAACCAGGACACGCGTTAGGGAGGGCAAGGCATTGGAGTGGAGGCCTGAGCATCCTGAGCCTTGTGGCTCATGGAGGGGCATCGGCAATGTGGACACCCTAGGGACCGGCAGCAGCACCTTGGCCCGGCAGCCTCCAGCCCCAACCGCGGCCTCCCCTGTGGGCTCTACCTGTCTGAGGCTGCAGCTCCAGCAGGTGGGCCCACATGTCACGAGCAGCCTGAGTGTAGTACCCAATCTCAGCGTTGGAATGAAGACCGAACACCTCAGGTGTGTTGGCCAGTGGCAGGGCCTCAATGGCTTCTACGGTCACAGACGCAAACAGGGTCCATGACATGCTACCCTCTATTTCAGAGGCCCCGTGGCCTCAACATCCCCGACACATGAGACTAATTTCCACCGATTAGTGGCATGATTTTAATTAGAATTTTACACCAGCTCGACCAGTCCAGCTCTGTGTTCATCTTTTATGAAAATGGCTCAGCGAGCTTTTGGGGCGGGGGGGCACCCTGTCCTTCCAGGCAGAATCTGACAGATTTGCCATCACCCCAGGACAGGAAATCTGAGCTAACTCCATCAGCTCTGCGGCTGGGATGAGGCTCATGGGCCCTCTCAGAGGTGTGCTTGACAGACCACACCTACCAGCCAAGGAGTCCCTCAGGCGAGGGGACAGAAGAGCCATCAAGCCAGCCACAGAAAACAGAAGAGCTGAAATGTATGGGCTCCCATGGAAAAGGCTTGTAAGGTACTTTCTAATGTCTGGGAAATCTTACCAACGAATTTTTCCTTTACGTCGCCAACAGGGATTTTATAGTCCACTTCCTCGTTCCGGAAGAAGTGGAATGGCTGGAAAGTGTCAAAGACGAAGTCTCCCAGGTACTCGTCCATGTAGATGGTCAGGATGCGCCGGTCAAAGCTGTCAATGGCCCGCCCTCCGTACATGACCTGGGGTGGCAGGGGGTGAGAGCCCGCCGTTTTGGTATTGAAGAGGCAAACAAAACAACCAAACGAGCCAGCAGCCACATTTGTCTCTGGCACGCTGCTGTCGCTGTTTGAGCCGTGTGCCCGCCCCCGGGGAGTGCGGTCCCCCATGCCCTGCGAGAGGTCTGGTCTCCACACACCGGACGGGGCCCGGCTCGATGACACGGCGGGTGAGGCAGGCCCTGCCTACGCTTCGAGGACACACGTGCCTGGGGCAATGGACCCAGAACCGACGTGTGGGCGGAGGTCTAAGGACGAGGACAGCTGGGTGATGGGCCGAGTGTCATGCAGAGACCAAGGGGCCCAGGCTGACGGGCAGGGAAGCAAGAGCGAGGTCCCCTGGGGCTCTGAGATCATGCTCCAGGGCGCCAGGCCGCTCCCGCCCCAGGAGGCAGCCCACGCAGGGGCCCCGGACGCTCCTACCTCTCCAATGAGGTACTTGAGGCTGCCCCACGGGATCCGGGGGTCATGCTGCTGGAAGGCTTTCGTTAAGTACGTGTTCAAAATCTCCATGCAGACCTGAGGAGAGAAGGGGCAGGCTCAGCGACACTCAGACCCAGGTCACTCGCGCCTGCCTCTTGTGAAGTCGCCGCCACCGTCGTCCACTTGGGAGACGGGCAGGAAAGACAGTTCGGGGGAGGAGCCGTGGCCGCGTGTGCACCTGGAAGTCAGACTCATTGAAGTCATAGTACACGTTCCAGCCAATCTTCCCGAACTTTCTTCTCTCCTGCACCACCGCGTGGAAAAACGCCAACACGTAAACCAGGGGCTTGAAAGCGGGATGAGGACACTGATCCAGCATATCGTGAGGGATCTTAAAGTAAGTTGCTCTCATGTTGAGCTTCAGCCCATTGGGTGGCTCTGTGACCACCTGTCAGAGGAGGGGACAGAAGGTGACGGAAATTGCAGGCCCGTATACAGCTCTGAAGAACATGCAGAGTGCAGTCCTCCCGGCTTTTCCCTCATTTCCGCGTGGCCTTCTGTCCTTCTCCCGGAATCGCAGCCATCTCTTGTGAAGGGCCTGGTAGAACCTAAGGAGCTGGGTGGATATTCTTCCCAGAAGCTCTGCCACTTGCTCAGCAAGTGACCTGGAGGTTCTTCCACCTCTCTCTGAACCGGGGGGTCCGCAAATGCAAAATGAAGGCAATTACATTTTCCCTCTACCTGCCCAGAGATTTTGCAGAAGGACAAAACCTTCCCAAAAATTCTCTGGAGAATAAGTTAAATAGAGTGTGTGACCCCCGGGACACTTCTGCACAAACCGCGAGGGACTGCAGGCCAGGGCGGGCCTATCGCGAGAGAGAAACGCGAAGTCCGTACTAACGAACCGAGGCTCCGTTTGGGGGTTGCAACTGTCACCCAGTCGCTGCCACCCAATTCGGGACAGTGGGTTATCTCTGAAGAGAGAGGGAGGTATGGAATTGGAAGGGGTGTCCAGGAGGCTCCAGCCACATCCCAGGCTTATTTCTGAACACACGCATGTGCACGCACACGCAGGCGCGCACACACAAACGCATGGCAGTGAGCCGAGGACGGGCCTGGGGTGTGCCAGTGTCCGTCCGAGCCAGACCTTCAAGGACTTCTGCAGAATCCCGATGGGGAAGCCCCTGGTGGGGTCCGTGGTGAGCCACAACCGGAAGTCCGGGTGGGGCTTGCTGATCCTCTCCAGGGACTTCTCCAGGTCTTTCAGCCACTTGACCAGGAGGTGGCAGTTCTGCAGCATCAGCCACTGCCCACGAGCCACTGCCGTCTCGAGCAGCTGAAGGGCCAGCTGCAGCGACAGGAGAGAAGGAAGTGTGTTCCGAAGCCCAGGCAGCCCGAGGCCGCCCCAGCCCCCGGCCGGCCCTCTGGCCACTCCGCGGGGCCGCAGAGGGCGCCTTCGCGGGGCAGTGCCGGAGCTCTCCCAGGGCCGTCTGCACGTGCGGGCTGGCTGCGGCCTGGGCGCGGAGGGAGCATGCGGCCTCCCCCGGCCCCGGAGCTCCCACTGCCTGACTTGGGCACCCCTGCTCCCCGGTGGCTTCCTCGGCTCGGCCCCGGGGCAGTGACAGCCCTGCCCCATGGGGTGGGGGGTGCCGGGACGGAAGGAGGTGGCTGTGTGGGTGGGGAAGGGGACGGGCTTCGAGAACAGCATGCGCTGCCCACACGTGCAGCAGCTGCGGGACACGGGCCCAGCGCGGCTCCCCTCACGCCGTCAGCACCCTGGCATGTGCTAACCGCGCCCACGCGCAGCGGCCGATGAGCTGGAAGCCGGACACTGGCTCGCTCCGCACAGTGGCCGGGCCCTCGCCCAGCCTGAGCACTGTCCTCCCAGCAGCACATTACCTTCTCTTGGCCTTGACCCATGGCAAGGAACTTGAGGCGGTTTCCCCCAAACCCCGTGCGCTCGGCCAGCTTCATGAGGTCGCTGGCAGGGTCGGAGCCGGGGCTCAGGATGAACACGATGGGCGAGCTGGGCGTGCTCTGCTCAAAGATGGCTTCGAAGCTGATCATCGGCGGCTGCACGTACCTGGTGACCAGGAGCCCCTGGGGTCAGGAGGCGGCCTGGCTGGCCAGCGCACTCTCCCGCCTCCGCCACCGGGCCGCCCCTCTGCTGGGGCTCCCTGCACAGGCCGCCTCCCTGCACGCCACGCCCCCGACAGGTGGCACGCCCGGCCCAGGCCTCTCTGCCTCCCTCCGGCCCAGCCACTGGGGCTTCAGGTCTGTGCGGAGCCGGGCCTCCCGGCAGAGTGCCTCCTGGCCAGCCTTCCAGGGGACATGTCCTTGGCATAGGACCCAGAGGCTCCACAGTGACCGCTCCACAGGCATGTCCTGAACAGCCCACATCTCGAGATTTTTTAAAAATAAGTTGCCAACACATAAGGATTGGGAGAGACCTAAGTTTCTAGCTTCTTTTGAAGAGTTGGAGGACCTGGGTCCCCACTGCCTCCTGGCATCAGTCAGCAGGAGTCAAGGGGCAGCCGACAGGCCTGGACCTCTCCTCCAGTTTCCCATAGTCCCTCCCCTGCTGGCCATCAAGTCACATTTGCGCTACAGCATCCGACATGGCCGGCACGAAGCACTGTGGCCGCTGGCACCGGAAGCATGGCTGTCCCCAGTGAGGAGAGGCTGCGCGTGAGTCCACAAGGGTTTGAAATCCTTCATACCAAGGAAATGTGCACAATATCTCAATGAATTCCATGTTGAAATAGTACTTTAATATATAAGTTAAATGTAATGTCACTAAAGTAAATGTCACTTGTTTCTTTTTTAATGGCGTTACAGGTTTCTCATACGGTATTTCTCTAGACTAGTGCCGTTCTGGAGCGGCCATCGAACAGCGCTCCGAGACAGCGCTCCCTGGAGCCGGCCCCTCCCTGCCGCCTGGGGCGCGGGGCGAAGGGGGGGGGGCAGCCCCGCAGAAAGGGCCGGGCAGACACGAGCACCGCACTTACTTCTCTCCCATCGTTACAGTCACGTAGTCGGTCACTGCCCGATAGACCCGATCGACACGGAAACAGCGCAAAATCAGCAACTTCTGGAAGGGGGTGATGTTGTGGTCGTAGCCCAAGGGGAAGGGAAACTGCTCGAGCGAATCCAGGTCATACCACTGGAAAGGGCACAGAAGAGCCACGCTGGCCTCGGCTGTGTAATGACACCGGGCCCCATTTCCCGTGACGTTCCCAAAGGCCGCGGTCAAGGGGCGACCTCCCAGGAGTGTGAACACCAACGCCGCTGCCCGTCAGAGCTTTCGCGTTCTACCCCCAAAACTAGCCCCTCCGGGAAAGGCAGGTCTGAGCCCCCGCCACCGCCGAGTCCCCAGTGCCCCCCGGGGGCTTGGCTGCTGGGTGCAGGGGTGGGTGGCGGGAGGATGGACAGAAGAACGGACGGAGAGATCAACCGATGGGCAGGCGGGCGCAGAGGCGGGGCAGGGACGATGGATGGACGTCTGGGTGGAAGGACGAACCCCCCCCACAAAGCTCACTGAGCCAACACATGAAGAAGAATTCTGTCCAGGGGATGAGAGGCCCCGGGTCACCCGGGATGGTTCACTCAGAGCAGTATCTCTGACTCACGGGGAGCCAGGCTACAGTCTAAGTTGGAGATGAGACGCGTCGGGAAGGGGAGGGGAGGAGACCGCGTGCTCACCTCTTGCCAGACGGCAGGGTGTTCCTCAATATCCTTGGGCAGGCTCCCGAAGCGGTCCGCAAACACCTCCGACAGGAGCATGACGTCTTCCCAGCCCTGGTCGGACAGCCAAGCGCAGGGCTTTCTCCACTGGCTTCTCTCCAGGGAGATGTTTCCTGTCACGACAGGAGAAGGCGGTCAGCGGTGGGAGGAGCCGGCGGCCCTGCCCTCGGTCTTCTCTCCCGGGGCCAACGCACTGCGGAAAGGGGGCGGGGGAGAGGAGGCACCCCCCGCCGGCCGCCGTGACCCCACCAGCCCCCCGGCACCCCCCTTTAAAGCCAGAGCCACTCGCAGGGCTGGGGTTGGCGTTGGCTCCTGAAACGCTCAGTGACAAGTGCAACTGGAAGGCGGTTTCGAAGAAGAATTTCATGGTGGTTGTTTTAATGAAAGAATTTGTGCGTATGCGAATGAAATAAGGTGAATTCGTTACCTTTTAAAAAGAAATCTAATTCTTCCTGGGGAACTCTCCCTTCTCCTTGTTCTATCTTGATTGTCATGTTGAAAGAGAAGAGCAACTTGTGCCTCTCAAACAGCCCTGAAGAAAAACAGCAGGTGGATATTGACTTTAAAAATCATTTTTAAAATTGGGTTTCTTATGCACAACATGCTCACACATATAAGAGAAAGGTAGCGAAACACCTGGGCTACAGAGCTGCATTTAGTGCTCACGGGGTTCAGTTTACAAACCACGCTCGATACGCCTGACTACATTCTGACTGAAATCACAAAAGCAGGCAGCGGCCAGAGCGATCCGGGCCGTGGTCACCGGTCTCTGCTGCAGACGATGCACATCCCACCAACAGGAGGGTGCAACGTGCTCGAGCTCTTCTTTAACAGAAGAAATGCGTTCCTGGAAAAGCACGCCCTCTACGCCAGGCGTGGCCCGAACCCCCTCTCCGGTGTTGGAGGGAGGGCCGGCTACTTGAGCGAGCCCTGCAGGGACAATGGTCCTCAGCCTGCTTCCTGCCCGACCGGTGCAGGCCGGATTCTGCCCGCCTCCAACCCCCGTGGGGAAGCCCTGGGCCCGGGACCCCGGAACGTGGCTGCGGTCGGAGACAGAGCCTCCGAGAGGAGAGGGATTTGAAATGAGGCCGTCAGGCAGGTCCCAATCCCACCGACATTCAGCAAAGACCCCGGAGGCGCCCAGAGAGCACACGCGCCCCAACCCGTGCACGGAGGCGCGCACCTGTGCAGCCGTAGTTGTAGATGTTGAAGGTCAGCGTGTCCATGATGTTCCTCAGTCGCTTCATGAGGACGGAGTCCGGCAGCGACTTCTTCAGGGACAGGCCGAAGACCTCGAGGAAGGAGCTCAGGGAGTACTGGTACATGGCGTTCACCAGGGCCATCTCCGACAGCACAAAGAACAGGATGGCGCCCCGCCGCGCAGCTGGCCGGTAGCCATCCCGCAGCTTGTCGATGTCCAGGGCTGTCTTCTCCGCCAGCTTGAGCTTCTCTGACACCTAAGGGGCAGGTGCGCATTGCCAAGGGAACAGGAAGCCTCACACCCGTAACCAGGGGGACTGTAAAGTGAGTAAGTAAGAAGGCAGGGCCTGGGGGTGGGATGCGGGGGCAGCCAGAAAACCCCTGCGATGCCCCGGGGCCCAGCCCGGCCACACGCTCCATTGCCGGACCAGCTCCGGGCCGGGCCCCGGGCCGGGGGCCTGGTTTGGGGCGACCATGTGACTTAAGTGCCTGTCAGGGCCTTCACGATAGGGACACGTAAAGATTCTCCCTCTTCCCTTTGCAGTTGAGCCTGAGAGGCCGGGAGGCCAGACCCCTCTTGAGACCGCCAAGGGAGCCCGGCTCCACGGGGCCGCAGAGAGCAAAGCCCACAGAAGGCCCCGGCTGGGGCGGAGAGGAGCCGAGTTTTGACCGTGTGCCTGGAGCTCTGGGCCAAGCCCCGCCTGAAGCCGTCCTGGCTTTTCCGCTTTCTAAGCCACTGCCTCCCCCTTGGACTTAAGCCAAGCAGGGCTGGGTTTTCCATTCCTCTCAGCTGAGGGAGGCTGACCGAATGCGCAAGGGCCCTGGGGTCACCTTCAGGACCGCCCTCCCCAGAGCCACCCCGACAGAGGGGCCAGCTCTCATTAGGCCAACCCTCAGGGCACCCAAAGCCCGCGGCTGACGGGAGCACAGGGCAACGTCCCCCCCGCGCCAAACCCTCCGATCCTGGGACCTGAGGCCACAAACGGGGCCCTGAGGGCACAGAGCCCGGTCCTCTCCCTGAGCCCAGTGCGTTTCCTGAGAAGCTGACACCTCCGTGGCCTTGGACTTGGTCTCCTCCAGGGTCTGCACCAGGTCCACATTGTCTAGCATGTTCCCTGTGGAGGTCGCCAGCTCCCGAAGGAGGGAATCTTCCAGGTCCTTCAGCAGGTTCTTGTTCTCGCTCGTCTCCTGGATGAGATGCTCCCTCTGCTCCTCCAGCTCACGCCTCTCGAAGGCCACCAGCACGCTCAGCAGCTGGTCCTCCAGGCCCTTCAGTGTGACTGCAGGGGACAGGCGGCCCTCACTGTGGCGCTCCCCTGCAAGCCGGTCGCCGTGTCCTCCCACCGACGCAGCTCTGCCAGCGCAAGCGGAGGGCGGGTGCGAGCCAGCTGTCCCGGGACATGGGGACTCGGGCTCCTGACACAATCACTCTGAAGCCACAAGGTGAAAAATGCCAGGACAAAACAGAAACGCCGCCCCACAGAGTGCGGGCAGAGTGAAGACGCGCCCCACAAAGCCCAGGGCTCCCCCACGGCAGAACCCTGGCGGACAGCGCTCCTGACTAATCTGTCGAAGAACCTGTACGCCGACCCCATAACACTCAGGAAGCGACGTTCAAGTCCTGGGAGAACGGGGTCCCGCAGCGTGTGAACACGCACACATGGGAGCGCTTCCCGCCTGCCGCAGGGGGCTCACCGCCCTCCCGGCGTGCACCCCTGAGCCCCCGGCCCGGACTCAGCCACCTCAAGGCTCGGAGCCCCTCGCCTCCCTGGGTGCTGTGGGGTCACTAAGAACCGACCGGTTCCAATGTGGCTGAGAGGACAGGCCAGGGTCACTGGATGAAATAGCCGCCTGTGAAAGCCCGGATCTCAGATCGCAGTCTGTACGACAACCACCTGACGTCGCACTGCGGCTCCGGAGGGCCTTACCGGTGTAGTTGATCACCATGGCTTTCCCGAACACAGACGGGGCGTAGCGGGGGTTGGCCAGCCTGGTGGTCAGGTAGAGTCTGAAATTGGAATCGTAGTCCACCTCCTTGTCCCCCAGGATGATGAACTGGCGCCCCTGGGAGACCTTGATGTTTTTTTCCAGGACGTTGTCGATCACAGGGTCGATGTACTCATCCACATCGTGGAACAGGAAGGGGGTCCCATACTTGATGGCCATCTCCAGCTGCTTGAGGAAGTCGGGGTCATTGAAGGAGGCAGCCTGGGGGGCAGGGAGGCAGAGGCTGAGGGCCAGCCCAGTGGCCAAGTGCAAGGGGAGGAGCGGGGAGCGGACGCGTCAGAGCCTGGGAGGGAGCCAGCGGGGAGAAGCCGGGCCGTCACCCACGGGAACCCAGGAAGCCTCGGGGTTCAGGCTCGGCTTCTCATTTGAAAAGCGGCGTCCAGCGGAGGCGAATGATTATGAGAGGATTTTGTTACATCTCTCCCAGGACCTCAAAGGGGCCCAGACACGGAGCCCACAGAACGGGCACTTCCCTCCTCTTTCCTCTTTCACTCCTTTCTCCAAAACCTCATGGCTGCCTTGGCGTCTCTTCCCTCAAGGCACGTGGGAGCGCCCCGCCCCGACCCCGGCGGCCGCCGGGCCCCCCGAGCTTGCCTCCGCCCTCTCACTGCGCTGGCTGAGCCTCCCCCAGGAACCGAGTGTGCCCTCTTCAAGGCTCCGGCGGCCGCGGAGGCCTGGGGGGCCAGCTCTGCGCTGGCCACCTGCGCCTCCACACGCCAGCAGCCGCGGCGAGAGGGACACTGCGGGGTCTGGCTGTGCCCGCACTGCTCGTCCCTCTGTGCGGCCCCCCGAGCGCGGAACGCGAGCCGGCTGCCCCTAACCACAGGTACGTGCCTGGGAGCCAGAATAAGAAAAAAGAGGGCCAAGGTAAAACTCAAAGCCGTGGATTTCTGGGTCATCTCAGCAAAGGGACTGGGCGCCGGCAATTTCACCCAAGAAAACATGAAAATGTGCACGCAAAAAACTTGGACATAAACGTTCTTAGCAGCGCTATTCACAAGAGCCAAAAAGTAGAAACAAACCACGTGCTCATCAGGGGGTGGCGGACCAACGCGGCCCGCCCCACAGGGAGCGCTGGCCAGCGTGACCAGGAACGGGGCGCCGACCCCCGCCGCAGCGTGCCTGGGCCTAAGAACGCGACGCCCAGCGAGAGACGCCAGGCACAAGAGGCCACACGAGTGTGGTCCTGCCACATGCAACATCTAGGACAGGCACGTGCACGGACAGAAAGCGTGCTTAAGAGTCCCGGAGGCTGGGGTGTGGAGGAGATTCTGGCGACGGCCGCACAGCTCTGTAAACACACTAAGAGCCACGGAACTGCGTTTTACATGGGCGAATTCTATGCTACGTGAATTGTACCTTAACCAAGCCCTCTCCCACTCCATTCCAAAACAAAGCGATTGGGCACCTAAGGCCACCAAGGCCTGTTCTGTAGGAGACACAAAGATGAGCAGAGCTTGACCTTCACTCTCCAGTTGCTCACAGCCAAGGGGTGTGCACAGTGCAAATGGAGAGTAAAGCCAGGGGGCGTCCTGCCCTCGAGACTTGACAGCCAGTGGGCGGGTGTGGGGGGTGCTGGCCTCTGGGTGGTGGCATCTCAGCTGGCATGGCTGGAGGCCGGGGCAGGCCAGGTTGGGGGGGGGGGGCGGCGGGGCAGCCGGCTGCATCCTGAGCAGGGGCAGGGGGCAGAGATGGCCAAGGGAAGCCCGGCCGTACCCGCAGATTGTTCTTCTCCTCCTTCCTTTTTATCCAGCTGAGGGCCTGCTGCTGCGGGTCGATGCAGAGGGGGAAGCGGCTGGCCCGGGTGGTAAGGATGCCATTCTGAATGGAGAGCTCATCGGGGGGCAGTCCCTGGGAGCCCCACCTGGGAGGGATGATGGCATGAAAATCCATTTTTCTTGCCCAGTTGTGAACCAAGGATTAAGGGGGGCCGGGTCAACCTTCCAGAACAATCTACCAATCCCAAAAAGTGATCAACCCTCCTCAGAGTCTGGGAGCTGGATCTGCGGTGCACCCCAGGCCACACCCCGCCAGGGCCCACCCTGGGACCCTGGCTCGGGGCGCACATACCTGCTGATCTCCACGTCATCCGTGAGCAGGCTTTCCAACCGGAAGGGCTGGCTCAGGGGGATCTCCCGCTCCATGACATCCTTCTGCCAGACTTGGTTGACCATCTCGTCGCGGAACTCCCACGTGAACGCACCCTCGTAGCTCAGGAAGGCCGCGCAAAGCAGGCAGTCCCCCAGCAGCTTCGCCCGCCGGCGCACCAACTCACCCAGGTCGTTCAGCCACCTGGGGCAGGAGAGGGGGCTGCGGTGAGCAACTACCTTCCAGCTTCTAGAAGAACCAGTCTGACCCACTGCTAAGGGGGCTAGCCAGAAGGAAACTTTTTTTGAGATTTTCTTTCCTTTTACAGACTGCCAGCTCATTTTGCCAATCCCTTCCTACAAACCTAATGTTTTGAAAAACCTGGTTCAGTGCCAAGGCTCGGCAGAACCACCCCATCTCCCAGGAGCCCCGATAAATGTGGGCGGGGGGGCGGTGCACGCTTGGTTTCAAAGCTGTTTGTTAAAGAGTGATCGTGTTGCTTCCAAATGCTTAATCCATAACTTACAAACACATCCAGCAGAGCTCATAAGCTCTGGTCCAGTTAGGTGACACAATTCTACCCAAAATAAAAGCAGTATGTCATTTTGCGTCTTCCGGTAAATGACCAAGGTCTTCTGGGTTTTACAAACAGTGGCCATGGTGTGTTTCTCATAAGCAAACAGTGTTTTCCAGTGTTTTCCACACCACATTTGCAGGTGCTGCCTTAGAAACTACTGTCCCATCCAGTGGACCAGCTGTGGCCACACTGTCTTGCCCGTAAGCATCCAACAATCCCACCCACTCAGGGGAGCAGCTCAGGACTGAACAGGGCACCGTGTCCAGCGACAGAGCCGGCCCCCTCCTGCAGACCCACCCAGAGAGGACCCGGGGTTAACGGTCCTGGAAGAAGCCATTCCCCAGGACGGGGGGCGCCTCACGGGAGGCGCTGGCTTCTTCACCTCCACAGCGGCTCTGCCTCCTCTACCCCCAAGAGCCACGCAATGAGTAACACGCAATGACCGGAAACGCCGTGTGCAGGGTGGCCATCAGCCACCCTCCCCACGGCAACAGTGGGATCAGACCCTTTTGTAGGGTTTTCAGGGGGAACCACAGCACAGACTGTGCGGCGAGAGCTGCTGCTGCTGAGCTCCGCGCAGAGGCCTGGCAGGCCCGGGGCCCGCTGACCTGACGTTCTCGGACCCCAGGCCGGAGATGAGCTTGTCGGCTGCGATCAGCCGCCGCTCCATGATTTCGGCCTCCTCCTGAAGCTTCTGCTTCTCCAGGATGGCCGCCTCGTACTTGGCCCCCAAGGCCTCCAGCTCTCTCTGGATTGCTGCCAGCTCGTTCTGGATCTTTTCCAGTTCGCGCTTCGTCAGGTAGAAGTTCCGTTCCAGCCTGGCCACCTGAGCGAGGGCAAGTCGCAGGCGGGTCGGGGGAGGGTGTGTCGCGGGGCAGGGACGAAACAGCCTCAGCCTGGTTCTCTTACTAGGGAAGTCCCGGATGCTGACGCGATGTCAAACGCGGCTCAAAACGACAGCCTCAGCCCTGGAGCCCCCTCTGTGTCCTGGGTTTTACGTGTTACTCTGACCCACTGGCTCTTTCTCTGGGGCAACTTTGCCCCCAGGGGACATATGACAACAGAGCCGATTTTAGCTGCTGAAACTTAGAGGCGGGGACAATGGCACACCGGTGGGTAGGGGCCCGCGACCTGCCCTGCAGAGCACAGACGGGCCACCCCCGAGCAAACTGCCCGGCCCCACAGGCAGCGGCTCCGAGGCCGAGCCCCCCGGCTCTGGCCCTAGACCACAGCCCCGGACGTCTCCCGCCCTGCTCTCCGCGCGCCGAACCAGGAGCCCTTTTGGCCACGGTCTCTGTCAGTTCCCCTCACGTCTAAAGGAGAGTTGCAATTCAAAGTTATTATTTACTAGGAAAAAGTGTTTGTGGGGCCTAAAATAAAAGCCTTGCCAGACTTCTTCCAGCAAAGCTGGGGACACGTCAATTCTGACTCCAAACCGTTCCCGCAGCAGCAGTGCTTGTGTCTTAGAGAAGGCAATACCTTGTCTCTTTTGGGCTTGATCTCTCTAAAAACGTCGCAGTAGCCCATCACGGCTTCGACGAACTTCAGCATTCCCAGGCCGGCTTTGCTAACGGCTTCCATCTCCTCAGTTGTGGTGTTGAGTGTCTTCAGGAGACCTAGAGGTCAAAGATGCAGGGACCGTGGTGAGCGGCGAGCTTCATCTTGGGAAAATAAAGTGGGAAATAAGCTGCCCCTGGACAAGGTGAGCACAGCCAGCTTCTCACTGCTCAGCCACCCGGGGCGGGAGCCAGACCGCTGTCCCGTGGACGATGGGGCGGGCCCAACCCCAGATGAGTCCCGTGTAAGGGGGAGCTTGAGAGGTGAGTGAGGGCGCAGGTTCCGGCCGCCCAGGACACCCCCGAACCCAGGGGCTTCCGCAGGACAACCAGCAGCCCCGGGGCGCCCGGGGCGTCGGTGGGGACCCCCACCTGGGCACCACAGAGGCTCCGAGCAGGGGGCCGGCCGGGGTCCACAGGCCACTACGGGTCGCAGCCATCTCCGCCCTCACCCGCAACCTTGCGGGAACCTCCCGTCTACCCAGTGTTCGGGTGGCGGCAGCTCCCTGGGGTTCTGTAGCTGTAACCCTTTGTGTTTCACTCAGTTTTGCTTTCCAGTGGCCGCAGAAGAGCAACTGAGGTGACAGCTCTGATGACAGCTCTGAACAAACGCCAGGGTAAATGGCAGCGCCGCAAACCCACGCTGGCTTTTGCTGCAGCCCTCATCATCGTCTGGGCTCAGTGCCCACGCGGGTCAGGCCTCGGCCGCAAGAGGCTGCGAGTGCTCTGCAACGGCAGCCGGGGGCTGGCCTGGGCGGCGCCGTCTGCGCGCCCGCGCCCTCCCTGGAGACCTGCAGAAGCCTCCATCCTGGCAAGAAGCCAGGAGGAGGAGGCTGGAGCGACTCCAGGCACCGCGGCGCCATCAGACCAGGTGTGTGGAAGGCGGGGCCGGCCTGAGCTCCGCGGGGCGCCCCATTCCCTTCCCAGGAGAACCAGCGCACCTGAGGGGTCGAACACGCAGCCCCGCCAGCACCACCCTCCTGCTTCATGCGACAGCGGCCCCACCCTCCTCTGGAAACCAACATCCCACCCACTCCATCCGCAGGGCCCCGGTGCCACCACGCGGCCACCGGGAGGGCCCGCCATCCCTGCCCCAGAGACTAACATGCCGAGTGAAGAGCAGCCCTGGCCCTTCCCACATCGCTCTGCGCCCACCTCTGATGTTCTTGACTTGGCTCTGGGTGACTGAGTCAAAATCGATCTCCATCAGCGACCGCAGGAAGTTCGGGTCGGACATCATGCCTTTGGCAGTCTTCCAGTTGAGCTCTTTGTAGCCCTTCATGATCAGGATGCACTCGCACACCGTCTGCACCTGCTTCGGGGGCTTGGCGAAGGACCTGGCAAGAAGGAAATGCAGCGTGTGGCCCGGGTTGGCCTGAGTGGCGTTTCCAGAAAACACGCCTCACCTCGGGGCTCGGCCTTGGAGGGGAAGTTGAGTGGAAGCAAAGGAAGCCGCATCCCAACTCGAGCTTGGGCTCCGGGAGGGGGGCTGGCTGCTCCAAGGGCAGGTCTGGGGTCTCACCCACCGGGTGTCAGCCCAGGCTCCTGGACCCCGACTGGGCGTCCGACTCATAGCAGGGGGAATCAGCAAAATGCAAACCCAGGCCACCGCCACGGGTGGCTTGACCAATAGGTCAGGCTGCAGCTGGAGCATCTACATTTTGTTTTGTTTTTTTAAAGACTTTATTTATTTATTCTTAGAGAGAGAGGAAGGGAAGGAGAAAGAGAGGGGGAAAAACATCGATCGGTTGCCTCTTACACGCTCCCAACCAGGGGCCTGGCCCATAACCCAGGCATGTGCCCTGACCAGGAATTGAACCAGAGACCTTCTGGTTTTGTGGAACGATGGTCAACCACGGAGCCACACCAGCCGGGGCAGAATCTGCATTTTTAATTACACCCTGGGGTGATTCCTCAGACCCCGGAGCCACTGTCCTCGCTACCATCACCACCGCCGCTGCTGCCGGCCTCTTCGCCGTTCACTAGAGAAGACCAGGGCTCCAGCGCTTGGATGGCCTGCCTCTGTTCACACGGCCTGCGGGGCCTGGGCACCCGCATTTTGATCTCCTTCCAGGTTGTGTGGCCCCTTCCTCATTTCCTTTGTCTTGGCAAGACGAGACTGTCACTGTGCTCCGACACTCGGGTGCACAGTGCTCTCGACCCTCCCGGAAGTGGACCCCCAAAGGGACAGGAGGGGCAGGCAGCATGATGCAGAGGCGGCCCGCTGCGGGGGCGTCTGTCAGAGCCGCAGGCTGTGCAGACACCAGAGCTGCGAAAAGAGATGGAGGCTGGAGGAAAACGATGAAGAGGAGGCCAAGGAGGGAGGAGGCGGGGAGCAGGAGTCGGAGGAGGCCCCTAGGGGGCGCAGAGCAGCAGGAAGGGCAGGCAGGAGTGCAGCCTGCGGGAGCCCAGCGGGGGAGGGGGTGGAGGTAGGGGGACAGGGCCCCCCATGCGCCCAGTGTGGAGACTTTCTGTACTGGGTGAACCCCCCACCCATTTCCCTGCAGATAAGAGAAGAGAGGGAGCCACACTGTAAGGACAAGCCAGGGCAACATCCCCAACACAGCCCGATGATTAGAGTGATGGTCCTGAGCCACCGGCAACGGTTCCTCACGCCGGCGCCGGGCTTATGGAGCAGGCAGGGCTGTCGGCTAGTTTTAAAAGGTTTCTTCTGGGGTTGGTGGAGGCCGGGCCCAGGCTGCCATGCTCTGAATAGTCAGAGGGGGAGGGTCAGCGAGAAGGTTCCAGGTACAAGATGAAAGGGCCAGGCCTCCATGCAAGGTCCTGAGCCCCCGGGCCTGTTAGGAACATCCAGGGTTCTCAGTTTTTCAATCTACAAAATGGGAAGCAAAACCAAAACTCCCAGCTCCAAAACCCTACACATCTGGGACGGTGCAGTTCTCTGAGATCAGCTCATAGAGCATTCCTGGAGCCTTGCTGGCCCAGAACACAAGGCTGGGCAGTGAGGTCTTCCATACACTGAGGCCGCAAGGCTGGGAGAGGGAAACATTCCTGTTTCCTTTGACACCTTTCTTCTATCAGAAAGAAACTCAGGGATGAGGGAGAGAAAGGGGACACGCCGCAGTCCGCACCGCCCCCATTCACTCGACCCCAGACCCTCCGGCCTCCGTCCTGACAGCGCTACGTCCCTCCTCTCTAGTGAGGGCGGTTTAAACGGCACTTCCTTCCCTGACCACCCTCCCCAGGCCAGGCCACTTCCCCAGCCCGAGCCGTGAAGACCTTTCCTCCCTGAGCTGGTCCTGGGTGGGACCTCTGTGGGTCGCCGCACCTCCACCCGGCCGTCGGCTCCGTGCAGCGAAGCCTCCACCTGCCCGGCTCACCGCTGCGCGTCCCCGGGCCAGAGCTGGGTGGCGGGAGGTGGGCACCCAGTGGCCACTGAGTGAGTGAAATGAAGAAAGTGAAGTCGAAAGCCAGAGACAAAGAGAGCCTTTCACACAACAGGGAAACATTCACTGCTGATCTTCATTACTCCTAGTCTTCCTGCCTTAACATTTAAGGATTTCTGCAAAGGGGACTGAGCATTATAACGAGGAAGTGCTATTCAGAGAATGAAAGGATTATAAAATTGTTGAGCTATAAGTGCTGACTCATCACTCTTAACATCCAAATGACCTAAAAGAAAGCCCGATTGTAGTCATCTCGAAAACACAAAACTGTCCAAACTCACCTGGAACCCCAGGAAAAATCCTGAGATCAAACATTTAAATGTAAAGAATTATAAATATATAAGAAGAAATCATGGAGAAATTATTTTACAATGTTGTAGTTTTAAGACCTTTTAAGGATGACATAATGCAAAAGCTACAAAATATCGCAAAAATCTGTCACATAAAAATAAAAATCATATACACAGCAAACACAAACAGGCACACAAACTTCATAAAGTCAAATGGCCAATGACAAACTGGAAAAATATTCTCAACTTACATTATGGATACAAAGCTGATCTTGTTATAGAAAAACCTCCTGGAAATGGATAAAAAAAAAGCAACAGCAACAACCCCACAGATGACCAGGCAAAGCCCCATGAGCAGCTTACAAGAGAGGAAACACACACGGAACCTTTCACATATGAAAGGAGACCGGCCTCGTTCACCAGGAAGGAGATGCACATTACAACCATATAAATACCGTTTTCATCTACAAAACATGTAAAAATCCAGACGTCTAGTCACGCCCTCTGTTGGTGAGGCCAGGGAAAAGCAGTCGGGGACACACACACACACACACACCCCCCACCCACCACCCACCCCCACCCCCCGGCCCCCGGCCCTGCGGGAGGATACAGGAGGCCCCCGCATCCCCCGCTCCACGGAGGGAGTGAGGTGAGACTGCGGCTGCAGATGCCGCAGCTGCACACACCTGTGGACCCAGTGATTCTACTTCTGGGCAGGTATCCCGCCAGGACCTTGCCCAGGTGTGCAGTGTGATCAGGGCTACTCTTCGCCACACCGCAAAGGCAAAGGACTGGAATCAAGCTAAAGAAGCGTAAACGCGGACAGGTTAAACAAATGGGGGGAATGATGGCACGGCCCCCCATGGGGTGTGGCGGGCGATCTGGAGACGCTAGGGAAGGTCACCGTATGCCAACATGTAAAAGAGCTCCACAGCGTATTGCTGGGTGGCAAAGTTAAGATGCAGAAAAACATGGACTGTGTACCGTTAATAAGAAAAATCACGCAGGTGCCCCTTGTCCTGTAAACCCCTGGAACCCAAAGCCGGGCACTAAAGAGACGCCGGTCTAGCGGGTCACCTCGAACGCGCACTAGAACTCTCTGGGCAGGTGAGAGACACGCTGCAAGCTACCCGCGGAGTCGGGGAGAGGAACAACGGGCAGGCGGGAGGGCGGCTGCAGCCCACCGTTCCGACGCTGGACTACGAGCCCGGCTAAGCCTTCATGGCGCTGGCTGCGCACACGCCCCGGCTCAGAGAGCCCTGGCCCTCAGAGCGACCCTGTGTCATGGCACGGTCACCGTCACCCACATTTTACAAACAAGGAAGCTGAAGCACAGAGACGTTCGGAGGCTTGCAAAGGTCACACAGCCAGGAAGAAGCAAAGCCATGCATGAACATATTACCTGTTTCAATAATTACATTTAAAAAAATTATTCCTTGTGGGCCACAGGCCACCTTCGCTTTCTCAGGGTGATCCAGGCACCTGTCTCAGCTGTCCCAGGGTGACGCAGGCACACTGTCCGACAGCAGGGAGCACACATCAATCTCTCCACACAGATCTGTGGAAACCCCTTCTCTGACCCCTTTGGGTTTTCAGGGGACTCACATCCCCCTCTCTCCAAATGAATTCCCTTCAAAAACCCTTCCGACTCTGCTCTCGGGATGCCTGTAGGCTGCTGACGTGGAAGCAGCGTCCAAAGTTCACGCATGCCCCTGAGGGATGGCATTGCCCTCGACGGCGCGCGTGCGGGGCCTCCCACCGAACAGCCTGGTCCGCGCGTCCACCGCCCGGCGCCCCGGCCCGCTCCGCCCACATGGCGCACTGCCAGCTCGGGAGTCCGTGCCCACACTTCGCTGGAACCGCACTGCGGAGCTCGGAGCGCACGCCTTCCCATGAGAGCAGCAGCGTCTCCCAACGTCCCGTGAGGGGTTCCTCAGGCTCCTGCTCGGCGACCAGCTAAGCATTCGTTCAGATTCACACGTTTCCTCAACAAGCTCACAGAAAAGGCACAGCCTCCAAAAGGAAGGCTGCTCGGCCCCTCCCATTCCACCAGGACCACGCAGGGGAGGCTCAGCCACTCCCAGGAGACCCGCCTGCAGGGCCAGAGGACAGAACCCTTCTGAGAGAGGGTGTGACGGGAGTGAGGGGAGGAGGGAGCTGAGGCCCCTCAACTGGGTGCTGTGCCTGGGGCCAGGCAGCCAGGGACAGGGGACAGACAGGCAAGATGCTGTTGGTTCCCGGCTTCACACACGGCGCTGAATTTACCAGCAGGATCCTGTTAACAGTGCACCTGCCCTGCACCAACCCCTCTTCCTCCCAGCAGACAAGCCTCTGGTTGCAGGGAAAGGAGACGTTTTACCGGGTGACTTGCAAAACGTCCGGGGATGCTAATAAAGGCCCGCTCTCCCCGCCTCGGGCAAGCCCATCTGGTTAGTGATGGATTAGAGTATCTCCCGCAGTCCCTTGGTCCCTCAATGGGGACAGCTCTGCCGCGCTGTGTCCAGCAGGGCCTGGCGGGGCCTTGAGTGTGCTCCCACCAAGGGGACTGCCTTACAAAGCTCCGTCTCTCCCACGCAGCCCATTCTGGGAGTCGGCCTGGGCTCAAGGTCAGCAGGCCCTGCTACCTGCCAGCTGGGGGGCCTGGCGCAAGCCACCTCGCCCCCCCCACCCCACTTTCCTCACCTGCAAATGAAGGTAACAATAGTCCCCACCATGGAATGCACCCAGCACAACGGCTGGCTCGATTATCGTCCCTGCTTTCAGGAGGGGCACCAGGGATGAGCCCAGCCGGAGGCTGCCACCGCTACCTGATCTCAGTCACATCTGACTTGTCCAGCTTCTGCAGCTCCAGCTTGGCAGCCTCCAGGATGGGCATGACCTCGGCAAGGGCCGTCTCGGCCTCGGCCTTCTCCACGGCGATGATCTTGTTCTGCTCCTCAATCTCTATGGCTTTTTCCTCCGCGAGCTTCTTCTTTTCCTCCGCTGTGCAGGGAGGGGGGTCAGTGAGGCTGCTGGGAGAGCACAGGGCAGACCACCACCGTGGGGCCCAGCAGTGTGTGGCCCTCGGTGTCCTTGCTGGGCCCCAGGGGGTCTAAGGCGCTCTGGCCAATGTGGTGGCCTCAAGCCTCCGCTAGGACAGGAGTCCTTACGGTACCCAGGGGTCTCCAACCAGGACTGTTGCCTGGACTGGGACTTTCGCGCCTGTGTCGCGTCCACTCCGTCCCACGCGCTACCCCTCCCCGGCCCGGGCCTGCCGGGCCAGTGCTCGCTGAGGACACCAGGCTGCCCGCCGCGCTCCTGGCTCACTGGGATCTCTGCATCTCCGTCACCTTTTCCTATGTGTGTTCAGGCCAGCTCGAAGAGCCACCCCCCGCTCAGCAGCCTGCCCCCTGCTCCTCCCAACCTCATCGCTCTGTTCGTTTGCATCATGACACTCATCATGACCTGCAGTGTCATCCCCTCATGGGCTCGCCGGCTCCGCTCACTAGGATGTGAGCATCTCCCAAGGGCTGTGACTCCGAATCGAGCCAGCCGTTGTGCTGGGTGCGTTCCATGGTGGCGACTATTGTTACCTTCATTTGCAGGTGAGGAAAGTGGGGCGGGGGGGGGGGGGGCAGGGTGGCTTGCCCCAGGCCCCCCAGCTGGCAGGTAGCAGGGCCTGCTGACCGTGAGCCCAGAACCCTACTCCAAAGCTCAGAACCAGGCTCAGCTCACAGGAGGTATACTGGGGTGAAGAATGTTCCCCCAAAACTCAAGTCCACCCAGAACCTCAGGATCTTGCCTTACTTGGAAAGAGTGTCTTTGAAGATATAATTAGTTAACATAAGGTCATTGAGGGTGGGCCCCAAATCCAATGACTGTGTACTTCTAAAAAGGCTGCGTGAGGACACAGAGACACAGAGGGAAGAGGGAAGGTCACATGATGATGGAGGCAGCGGCTGGGTGACGCGTCGACAGGCCGAAGGACGCCCAGCGCTGCTGGCTGCGCCAGAGGCTGGAGAGATGAGGCAGGAGTCCCCCCAAGCTTGCGGTGAAGCCCAACCCTGCCAACACCTCCCTTTCAGACCTCCAGCCTCCGCAGCTTGAGGGAGTATGTGTGTGTTTTCTTCTCAGCCACCCAGTTTGTGGTGCTTTGCTATGGCAGCCTCAGAATAAATTCAGTAGGTTTTCAATAAACGTATACTGAGTTCACCAGCGTCTCCCAATGGGGCATTCTCTGGGGGTTAATTTTCGCAGCCAACAAGCCGACACGGATGGAGTGTCTACAGTGGAAAGGGACGACCTCTGCACTCCCATCGAATCCTTAAGCCACCAGCCCTGGGTCCTGCATATGGCCGGTCTCCAAGGTCACTAAGGGGGGCTGACCCTAACTCAGGAAAAAATGGCAATCGAAGGGTCCAACAGTGTCGCCAACACCCCCCCCACCCCCGCCCCCAGGGGAGGGAGCCCTGTCCTGCCGCCTGGGGTGGCCCACTCGCCTGTGGCTGTGTTGGAGGCAATCTCGTCCAGCAGGGCCTCACAGGCAGCCGACTTCTCGGCCAGCACGATCTTCTGCTCGGCCAGCTTCTGGTTCAGCTCGTCGAGCTGGATGGTGGCCTCCTTCAGCTTGTCCAGCCCCCCCTCCAGACGCTTGCACTGGGCTGGGGAAGGAGAACGCCGGCGTCCGGCACCTCGGCGGGCACTGGGCTGGCTCGCCGGCCGGGCGGTCTGGCGGCCACGCCACAGCTCCCCCGCGTGGGATCACCGGGAAAAATGCCCCTCCTGAGATGCCAGGCGCCTCGTGGCACCTCCGGTGCCGCACGCGATGGCGTCAGCCATAATGAACTTCTTTCTGAAGACAGCCCTTCACTTGCACAAGAGCCAGAGCATTTTTAAAAAGCATTTTCCAACAAAAAGGTATGAAAGGATTTAAACCAGAATTTAGATAGAGATCACCTCTAAGCTAAAATTTTAGAAGCGATTTTAAAATTTCCTTCAGTGTTTCCGATTATATTTTTAATCTTTCTACAACATGTACATTACTTTTAGAACTTTCTTAGAGGCCATTATTTTTTGAATAAAAATTAATAAAAGCATTTTCCAAGAGAGCACAGGGCTCCCAATCAAAACACCTCTAATGTGATGAAAATTTGAGCTAAGAAAGTTCTCAGCCCAACACAGAAAAATAAAAACAAGGGCCATGCAGCACGCCGCCCCCCCCGCCCCGCCCAAGGCGAAATCTAAACTGTGCTCTGCTTTGCCTCAGTCCCGAGGGGCTTGGCCTCACTAAGGAACATCTGCTTAAAGGAAAGGCTGGCCTTCAGACTGTCAGAGACGATAGCAATGTCCGCTGCCCACCCGTTCCCGAGCCTCACCTATGTTATACTGCGTTTTCTCATCCAGTAATTTTGAGTACGTGCTGATAAAATCCAGGTAGTTCTTAGGAGTTACGTAGTTGCTGCGCCTCAGCTTCTGCAGAAACTGTTTGCTGAATTCGCCCACGGATTCGTGGACGGAAACCACATGTTCCACCAGGTCTTCGATATTTTCTGGTGGGATCATCGGGTTACTCCCTAAAGAAGAAGGAATGGGAAACGTGCCTCGAAAAGAAAAGGGCAGCCCCTCAAAAAGTCACCAAATTCCCCCGGGACCCAACAATCCCATTCCTGGGTAGGCACCCAAACAAATGGGAAAGGAACACAGGCAGCCTCTTGTCCGCCGCCATCCGCAGCGGTGCGCTTCGCAAGAGCGAGAGGAAGGGGCCGAGAGTCCATCGACAGATGAAAGACAAGCACAACGTGGCCCCTCCACACACCAGACAGCCATCCGGCCTCAAAGAGGAAGGAACGCCAGACACAGGCCACACCTGGGCCAGCCTCAAAGCCACACTGAAAAAAAGCAGCCAGGCACAAGAGGGCCCGCGCCACAACCTGGTGCACATGGGACATCTAGGGTGGGCTCACTCACAGACAGGCAGGGGCTAGCGGCTGGCTCCTGGGAGCTGGGGAGGCGACGGGGACAGGGAGGGGGCTGAACACACGCAGCGTCTGTGTTACAAGAGGGCAAAGCTCTGGACGTGGACGGTGGCAGCGGCTGCGCAGCCCTGTGAATGTACCTTAGGCCGCTGAATTGTGCACTTGAAAATAATTAAAATGGCAAATTTTGTGTTATGTATTTTATCATAAAAATGATACAGAAATGTTTTGAAAACAAAAGGCAACAGTCACTTGCTGGTGGCATCTCTGGACCACAGTACTGATCCATGCTCTGAAGTTTTCTCTGAGAACACGGGAAATTCTCCCCCTTTCTTAGCCCCTTCCCCCCAGAATTGCATTCTCCCTGTATAGGGGAACTGATTACTTATTGAATATGTATTTATAAGGGTGACACTATTTATAAGGTCAGTCAGTGTCATAAATCTGCCCGAGTTAAAGATCGTATTTCCCTAAAGATAAATTAACTTGCTTTCTTATTTCAAAGAGTAAAGTAAATCAAAGCGTAAGGTGTTTGAAACTTTAGAGCAAATTTAGTGCTGACTGATAAGTGATTTATTGAAAGGCCCTTTAGGCGCCCTTTGGGCCAGGGGCCAGCACACGGATATTTAGGCCTCGTGGGTCACACAGTCTCTGTTGCAATTACTCAGCTTTGTGGCTGTAGCATAAAAGCGGCCATAGATAGTACGTTTATTAGCACGTGAGTCTGTATTCCAATAAAACTTTATTAACCAAAACAAGCAGTGGGCTGCATTTGGCCCACAGGCCATGGCTTGCCAACTCCTGCTTTGGATGGTACCTAGCCAACCGTTATCCTAAGTCATCCTGGAAGTTCCCTGAAATCTGTTTGAGCTAAAACACAGTATAAACCAAAAACACACTAACACACTAAGAACCATTGACGGTCACGGAGGTTAGCAGTGCCGGAATCTACCGGGCCAGAATTCAGAGCCGGGAGAGTGAAAACAAACTGCTTTGTTCTACCATCAACGCGGCCCCCCCATTAGTTGTCGCTCACCCAAAAATGACTTGGCGACGGCATGCAGGGCCTGGGGCGGCCAGGGCATGAACCAGTCGATGCCAGTGTTATTCACGAGACCTTGAACACAGAGGGGAATGGAACGGATGATCACTCTGCAGCCTGAGACGCTCCACATGGACCCCACCTTTGCTGCCCCGCAAACTGCTGACTGAGCTGGCTGTGTCCAGGGAGACTCGTCAGAAGCAGGTTTCTCAGCCTCAGCGCCTCCCACGTTTGCGCAACATGACCCTCAGTCTGGGGCCACCTGCGCACGGCAGCGTACCCGGCAGCACCCCGGCCTCTATCAACTAGACAGCAGCACAACGCTCGCCAGCCCGCCCTGGACAACCGGAAGTGCCCCCAGGGTGCCGCACTGCCCGCAAGGCTGGCACAATCCTCCCAGGCGGGAGAGAGCGGGGGTGGCCCTCGCTCTCGGGACTGTGAGCACTTCCGCACGCCACAAGGACAGCACCGCCCGTGCCCAATGCGAGGGCCTGCGGCAGCTGGGAGGGGCGGGCTCATCCTGCACGGCAGAGTCGGAGCCTCTGCCTGGCGTGTTTTACTCAGCTGGGGGAGCCGCCAAGGCGCGCTTCACCCTCCAAGGCACACGCCCTGCTGCAGGGGGCCCGGATGTGCGAGCTCGGCTAAGGGTACCTGGGAAGTTCCTGCACCAGGTCCTCAGGGTGTCCCCCACAGGCGACATGCCCAGGACGATGTGCAGGTTATCTGCGCTCTTGTTCACGAAGTACTGCCACACAGACTCCTTGGCCAGGCCCGTCCCTTGCTTCAACGCTTCTTGTCCGATCTGACTGAGGATTGACTCCTTCTCCTCTTCTGGGAAAAGTGCAGGCACAATTCCTGGAACAGAGTCAGGCGGCATCTCCTGAGTCTCGGGTTATTGCCATCCCCCAGGCACTGAGAAGACAGAAGCAGCGCCACAAGAAGAGCCCCAAGAGCGGGCCTGGGGCCCCAGCTTGGACGCCCCAGGCTCGCCGGCTCTGAGTCTCCATCTCTTCGCCTGTGAGGGGGACAGACACAGGCCCCTGCTCACCTGGGAGGGCCATCATGAGCATCAAAGCAGGCGTTCGCAACCGGGGGCCCTTTTGCCCCCTCAAAGACACTTGGCAATGTCTGAAGACATCTTTGTCTGTCACGATTTATGTGTCGGGGTTGTTAACGGCCTACCTCACTCGGCCGCACTGTTCCCCTAGCCAGCTCCACTCACCGGTGACAGCCTAAATCACGGCCTCTTCTATAGGGAGGAAGTGCCTAAAGGGTGTACCGGTCTCAAATGGAACAGTCGAGGGCGGGGCATGGAAAGCCAACCCCGCCCAGCGCTCCGGCCTCCGGTACCTGAGGTCAGCATGTTGTTGATGAGCTCCAGGAAGCCCTCCTCAGCCACGTGGGCGTCTGTGAACAGGAAGATCATCTTTTTGTTCTCAATGCCAAGCTTCAGATAAAGGCTCTTTAGGTCTTCCCGGAAATTGTTCTCAGAGTAGCCTCGGCTCAGGAGGATCTCAAACACCTGCTGACACAGAGGAGGGATCGTGTGAGACAACTGGGCGGGGCGGGGACTGCTCCACGAAGCCGTGTGTGCGCGTTTGTAGGGCCCGCAGGCTGCACAGCGGCTGAGGGGAACAGGTGAGAGCAGAACCGGGCGACCCAGGCCATTTGCACAAAAGACTATTGAGTGAGAAATGCAGGGCAAAGGAAACCGCGATGTCCTTTTTGCCAAACAGCCGGGACAGACGATGGGAGTCTGCGCGTGGTGGAGCACAGGTGTGTCCACAGGGGCTTATGGGAGCGTGGGAAGGGGGCGGGGGTTGGAAAGGCACCTTCAGTTGTTAAATGAGTTATCTGAGCTACAGGGAGGAGAGGCAGGTGGGACACGAGGCGGCGAGGACGGGAGCAGAGGGCACCCAAGGAGGAGGGACAGCGCACAGAGGCATAGCCCGGCCAGGCGCGTGCCCACAGGTGTGAGTTCATTCACAGTCAGATTAGCTGTGGGAGGATGTGGGGAAAACCGAACATGAAGCTGTTGTAAATCCTTCCATTTAAGACTCCTCCTCTGGCTGGTGTGGCTCCGTGGACTGAGTGCTGGTCTGCGAACCCAAGGTCTGCCAGTTCGATTCCCAGCCTGGGCTCAGGCCTGGGTTGTGGGCCAGCTCCCCAGTAAGGGATGAGGGAGAGTCACCCCCACATGGATGTTTCTCCCTCTCTCTTTCTCCCTCCCTTTCCCTCTCTTATAAAAAACAAATAAAATCTTTAAAAAATTCTTTAAAAATCCTATTCCACATGAAACAGATATATAGGTTTTTCCAATATTTTAACTGAATCTACCTGACGTAATGGGCGTCCGCTAGCCTCGCTGGTGCGGTCATCTCACCGTGTATGCAAGTTGAACCTGCACCTAAGACTCATAGAGTGATGTGCGCCCATGACATTCCCGTAAACCCGGGAAACATGCTGTCACGTCTGCTTGAGGCCTATTTCTAACAGTTACAGATGAAGTTAAGTCTTTCGCCTTCCCCCTGACACTCCACCCCCAGGCCTTTTTTATTTCCTCCCCAAGAAAGCAGACTCCACCACGAACTTAGGTCCCAACTTCTGAATGTGAAATCTGGCACCGCATGTCAAAAATTTTTTAAAAGCTCATACCCTTTACCAATTTTCCAATTTCTAAGAAAAGAATCACCACGGGGAAAAAATGATTACTGTGCAAAGATATATGAACAAAGATGTTTGCCACGGCATATAAAACAAGAAAATATAAAGTATAAAATATAAAACAAGACAATACATAAAATTATTCACATAATTTTACAGGAGAGGTGCAGAACAGGGAAGTTGATCGAGACAGGAAGTAGGCGAGTGGTCCCTTAGGGCTGCGGGTGCAGGAAGGCAGGGGTAAGAGCGAAGGGCATGGGACTTCTCTGTGGGGTGATGCGAATGTGCTGAAATAGACTGTGGTGATGGTAGCCCGTATCTGTGGACCTACCGAGCGCGGACTGGCACGCTTCCAGTGGGCAAGCTGCAGGGCCTGTGCACTGTACCACCACACAGCTGCTTTTTAAAAGGCGACTCCAAGCGCGGCCTGGCCCTGGGTGTGCGGAAACGGCAGCCCGCCAACTGCAGGCCTGAGGCTGGGCCCTTGGGGCCTGGCCCTCCCCATCTGAGGGCTCGTGTTTGACTTCGACACTCGGCACAGCCTCCGTTCCAAAAACAATACAAGAACTTGCTGCTCCAACGAACAGTTAGAGTAGCATTGAGCCCCCACACACCCCCGCTCCACACCCTGTGAGAACACCAGGTTACACTCGGTCATGGATCGTCCCAACACCGCGTGAAGTGCCAGCTGCAGAAATATGCACACCAAACCTGTGTCTGGGACGGGGCCCACCTCGTAGCCAGCTGTGAAGGCGGCCAGCCTGGCCAGGGACTGCTTCCCGGAGCCCCCGACGCCCACCAGCAGGGCATGGCCGCGGTCCATGCGGATGACACGGTGCACGCGTGTCAGGTGCTCCAGGGCATCGTCAAAGAGGACCAGGTTCATCCTGGTGTTGCTCTCGTTGTACTCCTCCAGAATTTCCTGAATTTAAAAAATTTCAGGTAATGGGGAAAATCCAAGAAAAAAACAAGTAAACTATTAAAGTAAACAAATAAATAAAAATGTAACAATTTCCGAGAGTCCCTGGGTTTTTAGGGGAAGACCCTGCCCTTTTGTCCAAGAGGGATGAAGAGGGAGGGGAGCTGCTGCTCAGCGCCCACAGCAGCTAAAATGACGAAACTGTCTGGGTCTGAGGGCCTAAGTCCAGCATTCGGGACCGAGGCCCCCAGCTGCGGCCTGCGGTCAGCCGGCAGCGAGCCAACGCTGACTGGATGGCTGCAAGGCTCCACTCGTGAATCGAGGTGACAATGACTAACAGAGCCAGGTGAGGGGCCCCTAAACCTGGCTGTGCCCCGGAACCTGGGCCCCTCCTTGGGCTCAATGAGGGGGTGCCTGTGAGCCCCAGGGTCCCCATGTTGCTGCCCCATGCCACCGCGGGACCTGGAGCCCCGGGGTTAGACACGAGCCCGCGTTCCGAACCTGAGGGAGGCCCAGGGGCTCCTCCGAGCTCCTCCTCCCGGGTACCCCGCGATGCCCAGCCCCCCGAAGGGCGAGCCCCAGCCACACCTGGAACAGGGCCTTGGCCGCCTCGTAATCTTGGATGTCTTCATAGATGCGCGTTTCTTCCTCGTGCAGGGCCATCCGGAAGTCTCCGAACAGGATGGGGTCCCTCATCACCACCTCCACATCGTCGCGGAAATGCTCCCCAACCAGGTCTCTTATGTGGTCTTGCACCTGACGGTAGAAGAGGCATGGGTTGGCATTTGTCAGGAAAAAAGCATATGCTTCGATCATCTGGTTTGTGTTCAATTTTTTTCTTCCCAGTTGCTACAAGGTACTTAATAATCCACCCTCCTTTACGGGCTAGCTTTTATTTTTAATGTCTATTTACTGTATTAAAAATACATTGGGCTTTTAATACTCTTTTTTTCACTCAGAAAAGAACTCTGCAGTTAGAGTTTACATTCGCGGAGTTGGTTTTGCGGGACTGACCAGCTGCTTGTCTGCTTCATTGACTAGCCGGTCGTGGAAGACCCTCAGACACTCGTTCCTCCAGACTCGCACCATCTGGGCCACTGTCTGGAACCTGCGTGATGGAAGGGGCGAGGTCAGCCTGGGCGCCGCCTAGAGAAGAGAGAGCTCAATGCTCTCATTCGCTGGAGATTCCCAGGGTGCGGAAGAGGACAATGTGTCAATGGTCCTTCCCCACGGTCTTGCATTAATGAAGTTTAATGGAAGCTAACAAATGCAAGGTCAAGACCACTAAGTCACCATCTACAACCCATCCTGAGGCAGGGAAGAAAAAGGACGTATCTACAAATGACATACACAACGTAAAATGAGCGCTCGACACTGCTCCTACTTGTTGGAACACATGAACTTAAAGTCTGCACCAGGGCCACTAGCAGCTCCTCCTAAGGACCAGCTCCATCCGGCCCCAGATCTGGAACTTTTGCTGGTTCCTGGCAAAGAGCCCTCACTCCACCCTAAACACCAGGAGCCCAAACTGCCATTCCAGCCCTTCACGGCACCCGAGAGTCAGTGTGGGGGTAGGGAGGCCTTAACCCATTTGTATGACGTGGACTCATAATGGGAACCTGTGCTGGCAAACCTGCATAGACTGAAGTACACGTTACTGCAAATGTGTGAGTCAGTCCAGTTTTAAAGAGAAAATTTGTATACCCAGACTTAAATCCCTTCTGTCCTCAGTGCTTCCTTCTCACAGAGACACACAGAACAACCAATCTGAACAATTCAGCCTCACGAGCAGAAAGCGCCACACGGTCAAATGCAGACGTTAGGACTAAGAACCAGAGGGCAGCACGGCAGTCCCACTGGGGGACAAGCCTGGCCACCTGGCCACACAGCCAGACCTCTGCCGCTCTTGTCCCACCTGCTGTCAGCTCGGGGCTTACAAGGCCGCAGGCTTAAGCCAAGCATTTAACTCTTTTCTTCGTTTAACGGAAACAGAGATATTGGGCAATTCATTGAGACACTGAATGGCAGAATTCATCGGTACATCCCCTGTTTTAAATGAGTGAGAAAGGCCACTGCTACAGGGCACATCTTTGTGACACAGAGCAAACTCACCGCTCGGGGTTGGTGAGGACCAGCCCATGAAACACTCGCGAGAGATCGCGCAGGTTGAAGATATAGTGAAACTTGGACGGGGTGGGGGGCAGGTCCTGCACAATGTCCATGTAAAGTGCCAACGTGCAGCGTGTCAGCTGGTCACTCATGGCCACGATGCTCTCGTGAAACACCTGAAACATGAAAAAGCCCCGCAAATGCCAATCACTGGAGGAACAGAGAAGCAAACCGCAGCCCCTCCCTACAGCGGACTGTGACTCAGCCTTGCAAGGGACCCAGCCCAGACACCTGCTGCTGCACCGCCGCTGAGCCCTGGGAACACGGTGCTCAGCGAGGGAAGCCATACATGCTGTATGATTTCATTCATGGGAAATGCCCAGGTGAGGAAAATCCACAGGGACAGGAAGCAGGCAAGTGGCGGCCAGGGGCCGGGGAGGCGGTGGAATGACCGCCTCTGGGGTCACGCACATGCCGTGGAACTGAACGGGGCAATGATTGTGAACCACAGTGAGTGGACTAAATGCCACTTAACTATATACCTTAAAGTGGTTACAAGAACTCACCTTATGTGAGTTTTACCATAATTTTTTAAGAGAAGACAAAAATTACTGAAAGAAAAACTCATCATCGGACCCGCTTCCGTTCCCCTGGATTTTCACACTGACAGGTCAACGGGACGTGAACCGGCTCTCAGGCTGTGTTTTGCTGATGCTGACCTCACGTTTGAGCGCAAATGCCTTAGGGTGGGGCCTGAACAGGCCGGTGCCCAGAGGCCTGCTGGCCCCCTGGCCAGCCCACACCTTTGCTGCTCCTGCCCGGCCCCTGAAGACCTGGAGGGCACCCCCCCGCCCTTCAGAAGGAAAAGGCCAGGAACAGAAGGTCATTACCTAAAGGAATGGGCTCTTTTGCGGGGCCAAGTATTTCCTAGTAACAAGAGCAACCACTGGCGCCTAACGGGCACCTGCTGTGGGCTGGGCCCGGGGCCACGCACACTTAGCAAGCACTCTGCCCTGCGCTCTTGCAGCACCCAGGTGGGCGGTGCCACCTTTCAGCCCTGGTCCGGGGGGAAGGGGCCTCGGGCAGCTCAAGTGGCTCGCCCAAGGAGCCACGTGGGGACTGACTCCGCCATCCCAATCCCTCGCTGATTCACTCCAGTTACAGCTGTGACTCCAGGTGGCACTGTAACTCAGGGCCTCGTCATGACTCCTGCGGGAACCGGGCACTTCTGCCTCTGGGCCCCTTTCTTCATAAAAACATATTGGCTTATATTGTATGACTGTGCGGGTATAAAGGTGAATATAATTTAGGTTGGATTACATTCATTTTTTACTCCTGGTTTTTTCACAGACCCCTACAAGCACCGTGGGCGGCGGGCATTGTGCACACTGTGCCCAGTGAATTAGTCAGCCGTCAGACATTTCTACCCAACACAAGTCCCCGGTTAGTTAGACTGCTCATTAAAACCAATTACCGAGGTATGGCCTTTCAGGATGGAGAAATAAATTAAGTGCAAAGATGCCTCTGAAGGAAACGGAACATTGAAGACACTGAACAGTGAAATAAACCTCAGGTCCACTTCGTTGCGGCCGCCCCCGGCTTTTCCCATTGCAGCAAGAAAGCCAAGGTCTCGAATGCTCTTACAGTTCAGCTCCTTCCCGCGGTCGTATAAGTAGCCTTTCTCCAGCAGCAGCTTCAGCAAGGCGATGGGCTGCTGCGTGCCATATTCATCCACCTCGGTTGTTCACAGAGAAGAAGGAAGGGTCACTGTCAGAAAGCAGGGCCGGCAGTGCCTTTGCGCACCGTCACGGCCCCCACTCCCTCAGACCGCCCTGGGTGCCCTGTCGTGGTCTTCTCTAAAGTCTGCAATTGTCCATTCATTTGCACTTATCTCCCTCACTAGCCTGTAGGCTCCACGAGGGCAGGGGCTGCAGGTGCTTTGCTCATCACTGCACAGCACCAGTGCCACAGGAGATGCTCAGTCAGTAAATGTTAATTGGAAGGATGGATAAATGGGTGTGTGGATGGATAGATGGATGGATGGATGATGGATGGAAGATGGATGATGGATGGATGGATGATGGATGGATGATGGACGGATGGAAGATGGATGGATGGATGATGGACGGATGGAAGATGGATGGATGGATGATGGACGGATGGATGATGGATGGACAATGGATAGATGGAAGATGGATGGATGGATGATGGATGATGGACGGATGGAAGATGGATGATGGATGATGGATGGATGGATGATGGATGGACAATGGATACATGGAAGATGGATGGATGGATGATGGATGATGGACGGATGGAAGATGGATGATGGATGATGGATGGATGGATGATGGATGGATGGATGATGGATGGATGGATGGAGGATGGAGGATGGAGGATGGATGATGGATGGATGGATGGATGGATGGATGATGGATGGATGGAGGATGGATGGATGATGGATGGATGGATGGATGATGGATGGATGATGGATGGATGGATGGATGGATGGATGATGGATGGATGGAGGATGGATGGATGGATGATGGATGGATGGATGGAGGATGGAGGATGGAGGATGGATGGATGGATGGATGATGGATGGATGGATGATGGATGGATGGATGGAGGATGGAGGATGGATGATGGATGGATGATGGATGGATGATGGATGGATGGATGGATGGATGGATGATGGAAGATGGATGGATGGATGATGGATGGATGGATGGAGGATGGAGGATGGATGATGGATGGATGGATGGATGATGGATGGATGGATGGATGGATGGATGATGGATGGATGGATGGATGGATGATGGATGGATGGATGGATGGATGGAGGATGGATGATGGATGGATGGATGGATGATGGATGGATGGATGATGGATGGATGGATGGAGGATGGAGGATGGATGATGGATGGATGGATGGATGATGGATGGATGGATGGATGGATGGATGATGGAAGATGGATGGATGGATGATGGATGGAAGATGGATGGAAGATGAATGCATGGATGGATGGATGATGGATGGATGGATGACAGATGCATGGATGGATGATGGATGGATGATGGATGGATGGAAGATGGATGGATGGATGGATGGATGATGGATGGAGGATGGATGATGGATGGATGGATGGATGGATGGATGATGGATGGATGGAGGATGGATGGATGATGGATGGATGGATGGATGGATGATGGATGGATGGATGATGGATGGATGGATGATGGATGGATGGATGATGGATGGATGGATGGAGGATGGAGGATGGATGATGGATGGAAGATGGATGGAAGATGAATGCATGGATGGATGGATGATGGATGATGGATGGATGATGGATGGATGATGGATGGATGGATGATGGATGGATGATGGATGGATGGATGGATGATGGATGGATGATGGATGGATGATGGAAGATGGATGATGGATGGATGATGGGTGCTTGGATAAATGATGGATGGATGCAGAGATAGACAGATCCTGGCTTTGCACACATTCCCTTCTGGAAGATAGATTTTCAGAAAAAAATGGTTCTGTAGAAATGATACAAATGTAAATGCTAGTACTAAGAAAACTCGGCAGCTCTCAGGCTCTGGCCGCACACACGTCACGCACGCCTAAGTTCCCCTCCCTTGGTAAAGCCAGAGGCCTTCGTGGGAAGAGTCTGCCCTCACATTCCCCACGTACGTGGGGCTGAGCACGGTGTCCTTATCTGAAGTCCAGCTCATATGGAAACCACTGACTCAAACCCATGCTGGACATAGCTCAGAGGCTGACTTCTGCCTGCTCTGCTCTTTTCAGAAGCTGGGGAGTGCAATCCCTGAGGAACAAGCTCCTCTGTGCAGGAAGAGCACCCCAGTCACGTGGCCTCCCAGGCCGGCTCCTGAAACCCGTGCCCTGCAGACACTACGCAGAGGGAAGGTAGGGCTCTCACACACATGCAGCGTACAGCCCGTCCCAGCTCTCCCTGCCCCCAAGCCTCACACTACCTTCGGCATGTTCATGTCGTCCATGAACACCAGCAGGCGCTTTCCCATGGGGGGGCCATAGGTGTCCTTGGTTCGCTTTTCCACACTTGCTTCTAAGTTTCTCTGGACATCCAGGGATGTGGTGCGGGAGGAGAAGCTGACCGTTAACACAATCTGAAACAGAAAGAGACGGTTCCAGGAGCTGATCTTTTCCTCACAGTACCAGAAGGAAGTTTGACTATAAGCTACCATCTCTTCTACAAATTCATTCGTATATGAACTTCTTAATTTTTATTTGTTTTTTTAAAAAAAAGATTTTATTTACTTATTTTTAGAGAGGGGAGAAGGGAGGGAGAAGAAGAGGGAGAGAAACATCCATGTGTGGTTGCCTCTCGCACACCCCCTGCTGGAGACCTGGCCCGCCACCCAGGCCTGTGCCCTGACTGAGAACTGAACCAGCAGCCCTTTGTTTCACAGGCCGGTGGTCAATCCACTGAACCACACCAGCCAGGGCTGAACTTACTTTTTTAGAAACCAATGTGTCTTAACGCCATTCTTTGTTAAGTGCTAGAGCAGGAATTCTTTCCTCTCAGCAGGCTGTAAGAGGCACTAAGAAGCCGCCGCAGGTGAGCCTTAGGGAAAACGCGGCCGGGGCAGGGGGCCTCTTGGCCCCACACAGCTCTGGCTGGGTGACTGCAGTAAGCCATTTGACCTTTCTGAGCCTCGCCCTTCTCATCGGCAGGACAATTTTAATAACAACTGCTTGGGCCATCTCACGGGGTGATTGTACGCTATGATGAAATGCACAAAGGCATCTGCAACCTGACAAGGCAATGGTGAAACCCAAGTTCCTATCATGCCTGCTGCATGTTACAAATAGGTCATGAGAGCCTGGCCACCCTTGGTCCCATCACGGAACGAACTGCTGAGAGGGAGGGCGGGAGCCCGGGTCTCTGTGCGGGGAGCACATCCTCATGCCCGGGCTCAGGGCCTCCCTCTGGGCTTCTCAGAGCAATTGGAAGAGCCCACGGATCTGTGGTCCTCAGGCTTCCGGCACCAGCATTGCCTGCCGGGCGTGGGCCGCTCAGCGTGAAGGGCCCTGTTCCCCGAGTTTCCTGGTCAGGAGGCCTGGGCCAGATCAGGCAAGTTCCCAGGGGATGCTGCGGGCCTCGAGAGCCAGCGTGCCGGATAGCACCCTCCAAGTGAGGAGCCCCAAGTGCACGTGCCCGTGAGCTGGACACGCGGAAGCCGAACATGACCTCCCGACAGCAAACGTGTGCAGATGTACCTTGCTGGGCTCATAAGCTGAGTCCTGGCCGAGGGGCACTGCGGAGGGGGCTGCCGAACACCGCCTCCCCTCTCCCGGCTCCACAAACCTGTAGCTCCCTCCGGCTGTGAACACCCCTCCGGCGCCCTCCGCAGGGACATCCTGAGAGCTCGACAAGCCGTGTCTGCACGCGCCAGGACGCGAGTGAGCGTGGCCCTCCACGGGCAGCCCAGCCCGGCCCTCCCCGGAGGGGCCCCTGAGCAGCCCGGCTGACACCGCCCGCCGCCTCCGTGCCCGGCCGCGAGTGCACTGCTGACTTACGTTCGTCTCCTCGTTCAGGTTTTTGAGGAAGTTCTGGGTAGTGGCTGTCTTCGAGGTACCAGACTCGCCAACCAAGAGCACAGGCTGCTTAATCTTCACCATCTGCTGCAGCACCCAGGTGAGGCGGGTTGTGTCCACCGTGTGAACTACAGAACACATGACGAGCGGGGGCGTCACAGGGACGCCAGCGCGCGAGCGTCGGTGCCGTGGAGCTCGCAGAGTAACATGAGCCCATAAAACGTGTCAGCAAAAACTTGAGACGTCAACCGGGTAAAATCGTCTTCTCAGAAGCTCGCTTCCCCAGCTGCTATTTTTAATAGCTTTATGGGGTAAAGCCCACTTTCCGTAAAGTCCCCCCATTTTAAGAGAGCGACCTCAGGAGGTGGGGCATCCCTCCAGCTGCGGCATCAGCGCCACCAACGGCTCCCCACGTCCAGGCCTGAGTTGCACTCAGGACATCAGCAGCGGAGCTTCCCTGCTGCTCACATCAGTTATGTACCTGCAGGGTCCAGTCCCTGTCTTAGAACTTCCTCTGAGGAGAAAGTAAAACCTCAAGGCCAGGCCTGGCCCGCTCTGACACTGGCCGTTTGCAATTCCAATCGGTCCCTGAGAACCTCTCTCTCCAAGAGCCAGCGCTGGACACTGGCACTGAGAAAACTATCAGCCCCTCTGCGATCAGCCAGGGGGCTGCTTAAACGTGGCTCAGGACGTAGACACACAGCTGTGGGGCGCGACTCCTCCAGGCAGCGGCTCGGACAAGGCGCGCCTTGCCCTCTCCTCTCCTGTCCCTCCTTTCCCACAGCCGGACGGGAACGTGAAGGGAATCGGAGCGGTCTCCAGTCCCCCTGGCCCACCCGCCAGGACTGGTCTGCCTGGGAGAAAAGCTGAGGGTCACAGACGTGTGGCGATGCTCAGAGCCAGTGGCCCTGAAAGGGGCCCAAAGCGCCACACTCTGGGCCAGGCCCATGTCTCGCTCTCCCGTTCCTCCCAACCGGCCGTCCGGGTAAGACCCCAAGTGCCGCAGAGGGTGTGGGGTCTCCTTCTCTTCCTCACAGAACGGAACCACCCGCTCCTAAACCAAGGGACAGGGCGCGGTTCCCACTTACCCAGGATGTCAATAAACTTCCTCTCGTAGGAGTGAACGTACACGGGAACTAGCACGCTCCATGGGATCCACTTCCTCTGAGCAGGATCGAAGTGGAAGTCGTACAAGGTCGGGAGCTGACCTGCAGAAAACCACGGCCCACTGCACTCCAACCGCAGACGTGCAAGCACACCGTCAGCCCGGCCCTCGCCTGCGGTGCGCTCACGCACCCTGTCCCCTGGCCAGCAGCCTCACCCAGGACTTGGACGCCCTCCCTCCCCAGGCGGACGCTCGCTGAGTGCCCTGAACCGACACTGCTAGCTCCCCAGTGAGCCCTGCCCAGGGCCGTGAACCAACGCTGCCGCCCCCCGAGCCCGCCCTGGGCACACAACTGTGGGCGGGCCACCCTGGTCCCCGCACTTTGCTGTTGGCAGGCTGGCTGGTGGGAGCTAGAACCAAGCAAACAGGCAGTTCCGACGCAGACTGCTGAGTGCTGCGGTGCAGCGGGCAGCCTGCGGGTGCAGCAGGCCCCCGTGGGGGCCTCTCGCCAGGTGGGCCAGGGAGGAGACCGAGAAGCAGCAGGTGCAGAAGGGAGCATGGGGAGCCTCCGCCCTCCCCCGCACCCACACCTCCTGTACCATCCTGTTGACGGACGACAGGGGTGCGAAGCAAACCCAGCTTTAAGAGAAGTTCCCTCGTGCACCTGTCCCTGACATGGGCTGCCACCCACACGGACCTAAGTTGGTGGGGGGAGTTTAGACTTCTCAAGAAAGGCCACCCAAAGGGGTCAGGCTTCTGCTACGCAGGCCACGCACTGGACCTTCTCTTGAGGGTCCCGCCGGGTGCTCTGACCGCTGCCTATTCCTCTGGAGGGGCAAACACGCTGGAAAGCCCACACACTCACATATGGAAAAGCAAAGTCAAGGCTGCCTCCTCTGAAAACCAACCCTGAAGTGTTCTGAGCAGGAAAGCAGGTAACACTCGGTTCCCACCTGGCAACTCCCCGGGCTTGGCCCAAACGCCTTCCGCCTCAGAAGAGGGCAGCGAGGCAAGGCGTTTGATGCACTCATCGAACTTCACCCGCCCCTCGTCCAGCAGGGCTGCGCCCAGGGAGCAGCACAGAGCCTCCAGGAAGTAGCACTCCAGCAGGTCGGGGTCCTCCACGTCTCCCTCCAGCAGGGCGTCCAGCATCTTGGTCAGCTGGGTTACCTGGCTCACGGGAAACGGCTGGGTCAGCCCCTACAGCCCCCCGCCCCCTCCCCCACAAGCTCAGGGTCAGCACCGGCCGTAAGTCCTGGGACCCCAGTCCCAGGGCGAGGGGAACCCATGGCCTGCCCTGCTGGTTCAGACAGATAGTGGGGCATGTCTCACTATCACACAAGGTCACACAAGGAAGCACGGCGTCACCCCGGCACAGGCCGCACCGGCACGCTCCCCCTGGGCATCCTCGCTCCCACCGCGAGCCCCCATGGGCCCCTCGTTAGGGAAGGGGCTCTCCTGGCTGACGGGGCCACTTCTCACCATGTTCAGGTCTGTCTGAGGAACTATGGTCTTCAGCTTCTCTCCTTGCCTTCCGTCCACTACGCCCTCCACTATCATGTCGATGAGAAAAGGCACATACTTCTCAAAGAGAAGCTGTAAGTCTCCCTGGTCCACCTACGGGAGGGCAGAGTTCCACGGCGTTTTCAAGGACCCGTTTATTTGAATGAGAGCTCATGTGAAGCCCCTGCCCGATGGAGGCACTGATGGCTGCGGGGACAGCAGGGTCCCCGACGGCCCCCTCCCACATGACTGCCTCCCCCACATTTCCTGACATCGCGGTCCTTCTACAGATACACCCCTGTCCCTCTGAGATGTAGTCCTGGTGTCCCGGGCGTGGTCAGGCCACACCTTCACATAACTGTCCCATCTACCTCTGTGCCTGGCAGGGACGCCTATGGTAAGACACATTTCTGAGCGGCCATGTGACACATCAGATTTCAGTAAACCACACCAGACTTCAGTACTTAACAAGTCAGGTCCTTCACACACCGATTTCGCCCAACTGAGCGAAAGAGGGAGAGTTGGGCACTTCCTGGAGACAAGCGTCTCCAACGCCAGGAGAGGCTGCGCCGGGGCGCCCACCACGAACGGAGGCCGGAGCCGGCCCCGCCGCCTGTTGTTGTAAATGCAGTTTCACTGGGACCTGGCTGTGCCCACCCACGTGCCCGGCTGCTTTCAACCCACAACAGCGGACCTGAGTAGTTACAGAAGAAACCATGAGGGCCCCCCCAATCCCGAATATTTACTCTGTGCCCCGCCACAGAAAACAATGTGCCCACCCTGGTCTGGCCTACCAAAACCGTTAGCTATCTCGGTGGCTATGAATCATCTAGAAATCCAGTAAACGGGCCTTCCATGTTTTGATCCAGTTTACTGATAACATTAAGTGCTCAAGATCATGACAGGCCAGTGTCAAGGTCATGGCCTTGAACTACAAACATCTGTCTGGTTATGTTTATCCAACTGTCCACCAATGCTAATAACTGTAAATTCATTTTAGAAATAATTTCACCTTATTTTGTACTTGATTAACCCATTTTTTCCAGTATGGTTGATATTTCAAGTTTTTAGGATCCACATAAACCATCCCACATCGAGACACAGTTGCAGGGGAGGCATACTGTAAATCTCCAACCTGGAGAAATAAAGAAAACCAGTCCTGTCTACAGCTGTAAACAACCAGGTTGCACGTTTAAAAGACTCTGCTTGTGTAAGCTTTCACATCTGCGTAACGCCCAGGTCATGCCAGATTCACACAGCTCTCTCAAGGCTCCTAACTGAACACTTGCATTTATCAGGGGAAGACTACACATTTCTGATGTAGCACCTTTTAAAGTTTTCCATTACTATAAAATTAATGTGAAAATTAATAGGCTGTAGCATATCTGACAAAAATTTAAAAGTATAAAAAGGAAAAGAAGCTATCCAAAATCCCACTACCAAGAAAGGAACATTGTTATGTTATGTTATGGAGTGTTTGCCATTTAATCTTTTTTCTTTTGTATTTCTTTAACAAAGTTGAGATAGGGTAGCGTGAAACTCAATAAGTATGTCCCTAAAGCAGCAATAATAACACGTCTATCTCTCTTTCCATGAAAAAAGCAGCAGTCAGCCAGCAATAAGATAATGACATGCACAAATACACACAGACATGTTTCGCAGGCCGAGTTAGAATGCTGTGCACATGAAGCTAACGCAAAAGCAAGCCTCGTGCTCACAGCGGCAAAACAGGGTCAGGGGGTATGACAGAAAGTTTGAAAAAACAAAGATAAAAGAAAAGCAAGTAGTGAGAGAGAAAAAGCAAGGCAATTACAAACTCCAGTCCAAAATAAATGGCTCTAAAAGGAAGTGAATGTAATCACAGAGTACTCATCCGCTCTACAGAGAAGATCACCATATTCACAATAACTTAAGTACTGTTTCCTGGTTTAACAGTATAGTTAAATTGTTAACAATATACTGACTTGCCAATATAGCATTTTGGGGAAGGGAGGAAGGCTGATGGTATCAGTCAACAGATAACACCCAAACTGGACAAAGGAAGAAATCGTTTGCTGAGTGCGTCACGCACAGACGCCGGGGTCACCAGAGTGATGAGCAGTAAGTTCTGGGACACAGCAGAGGGACGGGGAAGGGGGGGACCGGTGGGGAATCCAGAGTTGTATTCATCATAAACTTCTCTTCATTGTTTGGGTTTTCTGTAATCATCTGTAGTTATTCCTACTTTAATGAGCATTTAAATTTTGAACTGAAAGAAGGACGTGTGCTCAGAATTGCCCTTCTGTGACTCGCCTCAAAGAGCAGGGCACAGTGCGCTTGCAGCCGAATGCGCTCGCCGTTGGCCAAGGTCAGCAGCTTGTTGTCATCCATCACGGAATTCATGTTTTCCACCCACAGGGCATCCACGTCGCCATCAAACAAAATGTACCTGTAGCCACAGAAGGAAAGTGAGCCACGGCTATGGGGCAGCCTCCCGGGGGGACTCGGCGCCACACCCGCTCCTGGTGCACGCGTCCCCAGGGCTGTCCAGACAGGCCCTGAGATGCAGCGCCCTACCTGGTCCAGAGGCTTGACCCATGTGGTAAAAAGGGAAAAACACATAAAACTGTCTGAGTTAATCACCAACTTTTAAGAATCAGGAAACCGGCCAACAGGAAGGTCTGACAACAGAGACCTGCGTTCCTGCCTGGGGACAATATGCTTGGGGACAGAAAATGTCACAGTCAACCTCATTCTTCTCTTTGTTCCAATTACAGGTGAAGTCCAATATTACTGTACATTAGTTCCAGGTGTACAGCACAGCGCTTACACATTTATCTAATTTACAAAGTGCCCCACCTCGTAAGTCTAACGCCCACCCGGCGCCATACACGGCCAGCACGCAGGATTGACCGTATTCCCGCCTTCCGCGGTGCTCTGCTGCCTGGCGTGGACGTTGGCGCCGTGCAGGCAGCCTGGCCTGGCGGCTGTGTTCTGCGCTGAGGGGCCCCGGCAGCCCGAGTCTCAGTCTCGCATGGGGCAAGCCCCTCCCCTCCCCTAGGCCGCAGCGGCCCTGCGGCGAGCTGGGGACACTTGCCATCTAGGAGGCGACTGAGACAGCGCCGGCGCTGCGTGCACAGAGCGCCAGGCCCCACCGTCGGCTTACTCGCCGTGCTTAGCAGATGAAGAGGAAATAACGCGGGCTCTCCGCCCAGCCACACGGGTACTCACTTCCGCTCCTTCTTATCCGTCGGCTTGTTGATCTCCCTGAAGATGTTAGACAGCACCCCATCCGTCCAGTCTCGTGTGGTAGGGTCCAGGATGCCGTAGAGCTCAATGACACTCACAGCTTTGGGGTTCAGGACATACAGCTTTGTCGTCAGCCCCAGCCTAAACCAGAGGAGAGGCTTCAGGAGGGCTGCGTGCACCAGGAGAACCATCTAGGCTGCCGTACGGGCGATTAGATGTTTCGGATCTAATCCAACATTTCACATGCAATCCACACAGGCCCTCCCCTGGACTCCCCGTTCACTGCAGGGAACCGCGCGCCACCGAAACCATGGCCCCAACACGAGCGAGGTCTGGCTCAGAAGCTCGGCTTTGCCTCTGGAGGACAAGGAAAAGCTAACTTTGGTGTATGTTCCAGTTCACGTCTATTCCATATTCACACACATGACAAGCTGATGTAAATGCCTTATAACTGGGGTACGGGAGAGAAGCCAGCCATCCGGACAGCATCCTAACTTTTTTAATCCTTCGTGTTTACAGGATGATGGCTGCTCCACACTGACTTCATAAATCACGTGACCAGGATGCCTCCCACTAAAATGCCTGTGAATTGCCACAATGCTATGGGATCAGCTCACCTACAGAAAACTAAAGTTCCCGAAAACCACAGTTCATAATTAACGAAATACAACAATAAAAGTAACAGTGGCACGCTCATACACACATACGTGACTGGCCTGTAAATCACCTAACAAGGAACTAACTGAAGAACAGAGTTGCAGGACCGCTTTGGAATAGCCCACGTAGAATCCGGAAGCCGCTGTCCGCCGGTCCTCTCATGGGAAACGTAAGAAATAGGAAGCGACCGTCACTCACCAGGCCTCACAGACTGTCTAGAAATGTCAAAGTCGCACAGACGGCCAGGCCCAGGTGAGTTCTGCGGGATGCCCACACGCACCACAGCCCTCCTAGAGTCTCGCTGTCGCTCAGCGGGGACGTGAGGCCCCTGACAGCCCGTGTTCCTGAGAAGGGCATCGCCACCGCGGGTCTCCCTGACGCTCTGCTCGGCGTGTGTGGCCACCTCTCGTGGAGCCGCGCCGCCCCAGCAGGGCGGGCGGGATGCGGCATCGAGGAGCGGTGCCCCTCTGGGCACGCTGATGCGCAGTGTCGTGTGGCGGTGGGAGCCCTGACTGACTTTAAAAGAGCAACCTGAGCGCCAAGAAAATACGACTCGAGCGAACTTCTGAAACACTCTCATGAGATCATCTGGGAAACGCTCATTCCCATTCAGTCTGATGCACAAGAGTCACTGTCTTGCCTTTAAAGTACATTCCACAACCCAGCCACGAAGCAAGTAAAGATGCGATGAGCGTGAAGGGGTGTTCAGGACAAACGCAACCGCCCAGGCAGTCAGAGAGCAATGAGGGACAGGGAACACTGCCACCAACCATGCCGTAAGCCACCCAGCAGCCAGGCTCCCTGCGCGGGGCACACTCACTTGGTCTGGGCCTGGCACAGAGCGTTGATGACCACGGACTTGCCCCCGCCCGTGGGCCCCACCACCATGGTCGTGTGGCGGGTCAACATGGTCTCGTACATCTGAACGACTTTATCCACCTGCGGGACAGAATACGCAGCCGGGTCAAAACATGTCTTTTTTTTTTTTTTTTTTTTTAACAGCTTCACCGAGCTGTAATTCGCACACCGCACACTTCATCCTTTAAACGCGCACAACCCGGTGATCTCAGCACGCCCCAACGGCTGGGAAACCGCGGCCACATTCAGTTTACAGCGTGCTCCTCACCGCCGTCCCCCGAAGCCCCGGCGCCCCTCACTCACCCCTCCCGAGCCCGCCCCCAGCCCCACCGCTCATCCACCTCCTGCCTCTAAATGGAACCACTCGCGGGCGTGCGGCCTCCCGCCCTTGCCGCAGCAGGTGTCTGTGCTGCGTTCCTTCTCGTGGCTGAGTCAGGGCCCAGTGCGGGGACGGGCCGTGTTTCGTTTATTCTACTCTCCCTTCGGGGACATCTGCACTGTTTCTGCTTGTTGACTCTCATAGATAACGCTGCCATCAGCACCCACGCACAAGTTTTTTGTGGACGTAAGCCCTCATTTCTCATGGGCGGATACCCAGGACTGGAACTGCTGGGTTACACGGTAACCCCATGTTTAACGTCGTGAGAAACCCCCAAACTGCTTTCCGCCCCGACTACACCCTGCACATTCTCACCAGAAAGCACATCTTTTCAAACCGCCACAGCCCGGGGAACGTGTCAAGGGCGGGACAGTGCAGAGGGCTCTCCCGTCTGTGTGCACCGCCACTGCCCGGGCCTGAGGCCTCCGAGCGGCCCGGTGCCCCGTGGCGCACCAGCCGGAGGCAGCCGCCCAGGCCTGTGGCTTTCGGCGTCTGTGCTCTCAGCAGAGCACTCCGGCAACAATGTCTGGCTTCGTGACAACACAGGCAATGTTACAGGCTTCAGGTGATCAAAACCCCACCGGCAACGCCTAATCTAAGTTTTTGGTGTGACTCTAGGGAAGGGGAAATGGTGCGCTGAGGGGAGAACATTAGATGTTTGGGCCCCAAAACAAAATACTTAAGTTATCTGATCACATTACGCAGAAAACAACAACTGGGAGGTGGCCCGTCATACAATGGAAGGACGTGCTCACGCGAGCCGCAACACGAATGAGCCAGGCAAAGGCTATGCTGCGTGACACATGCCGGACACGGAAGGACACGGCTGGCGTGACTGCACGTCTGAGGTGCTGAGAGGAGTCAGAAGCAGGGACAGAAGGCAGAATGACGGTTCCCCGAGCTGGGGGACGGCACACGGGGCGCCAGTGTTTAATGGGGACCGAGCCCCAGTTGGGGACCATGGAACAGTTCCGGGACGGACGGTGGTGATGCACAGCATGCGAGTGTCATCGATGCCACTGCACTGCACACTGGAAAGTGGTTAAGATGGTAAATTTTATGTTTTTTGTACTTTGCCACAATTTTTTAAAAATAACTGACAAAAACGGAAAGGGCCCAGAGGCCAATGAACTTGGCACCGCGGGTGCCTCTGACCTGGACAGGCAGGACGACGAAGCCGCCCTCCTCAAGCACGTGCTCAACCGCGTCGTTGAACTCGGGGTAGCGGACGCGCGGGCAGTCCAGCCCGGGAAACAGGTCGGAGATCAGGCCGAGGAAGAGCGGGACGTCCTCGAAGATGAACTTAGGCAGGTTCATGTCTCGGAGTGCCCGCATCAGTACCACGTCCTGGGTGGGGGGACACAGACCAGGGCTGGCCTAGAAACCCCTCACAGCTGTAAAGGGGGGCGCCAGCTAAAGAACACAACACTCCCAGGACAGCCTCTAGAGAAAGGCAAGCGCGGCACTGGCCACGCTGCGCTTCCGCCTCCGCTCCGTGCAACGGACACGCAGTCCTGCCGCTGGCTCTTCTCTCGCGGGGAGAAAAGCCATGTCCGTGCGCACATCGCAGCCCTGCACCCTCCCCCCGCAATGGTGGATCGGCTGCTACCGCTGAAGCATCGCCAGCCGGCCCTGTGAAGATACTGACCTCGACCTTAAAGCAACAAGTCAAATTAGAAGAAAACAGACCAAAACAAGACCAGACAAGCAAATGACACGGCAGCTGAGCCTATACACTCCGTTGAGAGCCAGGCTGCGCCCCGTCACCTCGCCCGGTGTCGATGACACACGTGCGGCCCCCACCTCTTTAAGTTCGGAAGACCCTCTCTTCAGCTCCCCGGCCATGACCAGCACTGACTTCAGGGCGCGGAGCCCGAAGTCGTAGTGGTGTTGCTTGGAAAGCTGCTCCCGCGCCAGCTTGTACAGAACGGTCATCTTCTTGGCCAGAGTCTTTTTGGATAAAAGGTAATGAAAAACAAAGAGAGAAAATTACCAAAGGTGTTCAGATGAAGCCGCTTTACAAACACTCAAGTCTTGCCGCTAATGGAAATACTAGGATGGGTCCTTTGCTTTTACCTATGACAAATTAGGAGCAACACCCCCCTTACCCAAGTTTGATGACTGTCCCCGAGAGCAGAGGAAAGTCTTCACCACCTTAATTTGAAGACTAGACCCCACCCAGCATTTTAAACCATGGCAATCACACCAAAAATATGTATGCTGTGTATTTCAACCTGAATGTATAATGAAAGCTTCTCCTGCACCTGCTTCTGAGGACGGCTCAGCCACCTTGTCCACATAAAGGACACAAAGCTGCTGGTCCCTCGGGTGCACGGGGACCTAGCTCATAGAGCGCAAGACCTGGAGATGCCACCACTGTGCTCAGAATCTGGACAAGATACCAGGCAATGAGAGCCTTTAAAACACGCAGGAAAGCAACCTAATCATCCTTTATTTTAAAAGTATTTACTATTTTGTGCCTTCTCCAGAACCTCCTGGAAAAAAATGTTTGTGCAAATTTTTATACATATTTTAAACGATGGTAAAGGATATACGTGTTTAGAGGCGCATAGCTTCAGGGGCACGGGCTGAGTGGGAGGGGCCCCCTCAAAGGGCTGCATGCAGTGTGATTCGTGCACAGACGATCTTCGAAGTGACCGCCGCAGTAACAGAGAATGGCGGGCCACTGCGAGGAGTTAGGCTGGGAAGGGTGTGACTGTTAAGGGGAACAGGGGACAGTTCCGTGTCCTGACTGTGGCTCCGGTTACTCCACGCACATGACAAAAATGTCGGGGGACCACACACGCAAGCCAGAGAGAAGGCGAGGCCAGGGGATGCGCCCAGCACTCCGTGCCCGCCGCGGTCTCCCATTTGACGGCGCACTTGGGCGTGTGAGACACGAGGCGGCCCCTCTGGGGAGGCTGAGGGAGGGCCCATGGGCTCTGAGCTGTCATCACTGCTTCTTGTGAGTCAAATTATCACCAAATACAAGTTATAATTTTAAAGGGAGAGACGGGGAGGAGAGCGACCAGGCCACCAGAACGGAGACGCCAGCGCCCAGCGCGAGGGGGGCGGCCCGGGGCGGGGGCGGGGGCCACACACTCACCTTGGCCTGCAGGAAGCCCTCAGAGAAGAGCATGATCTCGCAGATCTGCTGCAGGTCCGGCACGATCACCACCACCGGTCGGAAGAGCGCCTTCACCGACTCGGGCAGCTCCGTGCGGCCGGCGTAGCCGGGGTTCATGGTGATGAAGATGCCCATGCGCGGGTCCAGCGAGATCTCCTGCCCTTCAAACTGAAGGACGACAGGAGGCAGGGTCAGGCCGCCAGCCAGCCCGGCACAAGCAGAGGAGGCTGGGGGAATGCGAGGCCCTGCGTTCGCGTGGGCACAAGGCGGTCCTCGTGCTGACAGCCTGAGTGTTCCGGGGGACCAGCCTCGCCCGCCTGACCTGCCTCGCGGGTCCCCCACTTGAGAAACGGCTGACGGCGGGGCAGATGCGAGGGGCCATGTGACCCGAGCAGGCCGCTGAGCCCCACTGCGTGCCAGCACCCTTTTCTGCAAGGCCGTGGAGGCCCCGGGAGACGAGACAGGCAAGGGCACCATTCATTCCCGTGGGCTGTCACTCCGTCCCTCCTCCACCCGCTGGGGGCCTGGACGCCGTGTGGCCCACGCTCCCTGCAGAACGCGCCCCGGTCGCTCAGGACGCCGGCCTCCCACCCCCAGGGGCCCAGGCACCAGCGAGCTGCAGCCCCCGCGCCCTCTTCAGCCTCGGGCCTACGGCCGAGGCTCACCAACCTCGACTTGTCTCTGCTGAGATTCTACATCCTCATCTCTTTCAGTGGCCCAGCAGAGACACAAGAGACAGAACAGCTAACTTTCATGATGCCCAGGCGGCCTCCATGACAAGAGGGCAGCCCAGCAGATGGCTGATGCCCCCAACAGGGAGGTGTCTGTGCTGGCATCTCCCGCCCCTCAACAGCCCACCGAGTCCCAGGCCCCCCCCCGCCCCCCCGGAGATGACAGGCGGCGCTGCTCCTGAGCACACAGCTCCGAGGAACCTAAATGCGTGGCAGGCGCAGTCCTCTCCCCGCACCGTGGGAGCGGGGAGCTCGGCCTGGGAATGCTTCGGAAGGACCACCTGAAAGCAAGCCCGCCCGGAAGCTTGACCAGAACTCTCAGAAGATGGACGGCGTCTGGTTGATGTGATCGCTTGACAACGAGCACGGAGGTCCGGGGAGAGAGTGGGGCTGCCGGGGCCGCGGGGGCGCCCGCTACGGAGCCCCCACCAACCCCGTCTGACTTTGGGTCCTGAGCCTCCCAAGGAGGTTCTGCAGGGCCTCGAAGGATGTATAGGAGCTTTTGGGTGAAGGGGAAGAAAGGGCAATTCCAGGAAGATGGGGATGGAAATGGTGTCGCGGGGCACGGGGCGTCTGTGAAGCAGGCGGTCTCCGATGACGAAATGCACAGGGCACACAGGGTCAAGGACAATGACAAGAGCAGGAGCAGAGCATGCCAGGGCCATGGAGGACCCCAGTGTGGGGACGTGGCCCGGCCACTCTGGTCCCTGACGTCCGAGAACCCGCCTCTGGGCTGCTGAGCCGTAGGGGGCCACGCTTCCACAAGGTCTGGTCAGTTAGCCCGACGGAATTTAACGCGGGCCTCCCAAGCTCCAGCCTGTACATGTGTTCTTGGGCCAGGGGAGGTTAGGGAATTCTCTAAAATTTTTTCTAAATTTGCCTTTTAACTTCGGTAACAACCTTAAAAATTGGGCTCGCTGTCATGCCCTAAGTTTGCCAGGTATGAAGGCAGAATCTCTTGTTTACTGTGATAATTCCTAATGAAGACATTTTGGTTGACTGGAATGTTAATCTTTTATGTCATTTTTCTCAAACATGGGAAGTCATGAAGAATATTTTTTTCCTTTAAAGAGCATCACTCCTTTGACAACACTGCTCACTTGTCTGTGACTCCTAGTTATGTGTCTGGAGTCAATGTGAAGCTCTTAGAATGTTAAGGTCCTCAGTCATCACAGCCGCTGACAACTGTGGGGAACCCAACCGTCTCACCGTGAAAACAAAATCCATCAAACCCCCTTCTCTGGGAAGTCCTGCCTGGGCAGAGCCCCCATCTGGGGCTTCAAAGGAAAGCTGGCGAGTGTCCTGCTGGGGAGGGGACCGGGCGGGGCGCCGCTCCGAGCCCCACCTGGAACGTGGCAAGCTGGTGGATCAGAGCGTTCCGGATGGTCTGGATCTGGGACGAAATGACCGAGAGCACAGAGGCGTCGATCCGGTTGAACTCGTCGAAGCAGCCCCAGGCCCCACACTGCGCCAGGCCAGAGAAGATCTTCCCGACGGCCTGGGGCAGAAGAAATGCCAGGACAAGGCAGTGCCATCATGCAAACTGCGGGTGGCGGCACACTGACAGAGACGCTTTCTAACTAAAGCAAACAGTCATCAGGTTGACCGGTGCGGGCAGCCTGCCCACCGCCGCCGCCGCCGCTCCACTAACGGGCCTTCCTGGCAGCACTTTGTGGGTCAGCTCCCACCCACAGGGTTTTATACACTAGGAATTTTGATGGTAAACTCCAGATTTCTGGAGTTCTCTTGAAATACTGGAAAATCTAGCAACTCTGGGCCCACTTTCCAGTGGCAACGAGTGACCAGAGCTGAGCGGGCCCCGGAGACCGAGCGCTGCTCTGCCATCCGTCCACCGCTTCCCTGCTCCCCGCCCAACTCTGGCGGGCGGCGGAGCCCAGGGCTCTGGTCTCCGCGCTGCCCACAGAGCAGACACACGCGCGTCCCGAGACTGGGATGGTGAGAGGTCTTCCCCGTGCCCTCCTGGCCGCCCCCGCGGCCTCCCCCAGGGCATGCAAAGGGGGTGCCTTCCCGCAGTGCCCCGCGTTCCCTCTCTGCCCACCCAGATGGTGCTGGAAGCAACGCCAAGGCCTTACTTTGTAATCCATGCCCTCGCCACAGTTGGTCACAACACAGAGCAGGCCCAAGGCTTTGGCCAGGTCCTTGGTGGTCTCCGTCTTGCCCGTGCCTGCTGGGCCTGCAGGGGCCCCGCCCAGGTACATGGACAGCGCCTGCCACAAGCCAAACGCAAAACAGAGGCCGTCCGACTCATGGCAGGGCACAGATGTCACACCCTGGTCAGGCACTGGGACAACAGGCGTGGGGTATGTGTGCATGACAGCGGACACGGTCACCCTCGCCTTCCCGGCACTCACCTCCTGTAGCAGCTGTCTCTCCGCTAACCTCGCCTGGCCCCTCTGCCCACCGCGTGGGGACCGGGGTGCCCGGGGCGGGCGGTGCGCCGTGGGCTGCGCCCGGTGAGTCCGAGACTCCCAGCCACACGCCTATCTGTGCAGGGAAGCAGCCATCTATCTCTGCCACAGGGAGGTACAGCCCTTTCTCCAGACCCCAGGACCTGACGTCTAAGCCCTTGGAACGTCCTGCCCAAGAAACGTGTCCTTGTTTATCAGGGGACCTTGGGCCACACAGGACAGTCTAACAACGTGATTGGTGGTGGGCCCTTGGGCCATGTAACATGCGCCTGACTTCCAGGGGGCGCTGGAGACCATGATCCACCCTCAGGCAGGCAGTCAGGTCTGCGTGGCCAGCCCGGCTATAGCCCTGGACCCCCCCCCCTGCCGCTTGGGTGGGCCTCCGCCGTCCGCTGTGGCCGCCCCCGCCCCGCCCCCGCCCCCCCCCCCCCCACCTCACCGCTGGGTGCACAGCCGCAGCGGGAGGGCCTGGGGCTCGTCCCTGCTCTCTCCGGGCCCCGCCCTATGCCTCTTCCTGGTGCGGATTTTGATCTGTGTCCTTTTGCTCCAATAAACTGTCACCATGACCACAAGGGCTTCGCCGAGTGTTGCGAACCCATGTAGCAAATCACTGAACCTGCGGGAGGTTTCAGGGGCCACCCACACTTCAACAGCCCGATCTCCAAAGGCGGCAAGTAGGCAGAGTTCCAGGCTGAAACCCCTCGGAAGTTTTAAACAGTGATACCCCTTACTATCAGCATTAGTTTCCCGGGGCTGCCGTACAAATTACCACAATCTGGGTGGATTCAAACTACAAAAATGCGTTTGTTCACAGTTCTGGAGGACAGAAGTCTGAGAGGAAGCGGTCGGCCGGACCACGCTCCCTCCAAAGACTGGGAAGGACGTTTCTCCGCTTCAGGCGGCTCCCGCGCTCCAGTCCCTGCCTCTGCCTTCACATCACTTCCCTCTGCTCGGAAGGACACCAGTCACCGGATTTGGGCCCCAGTCCAGGATGTTTGCATCCCGATCCGTAAGCAGTGAACTCTGTGAAGGCCCTGTTTCTAAGTGAGGCCACGTTCCGCGGTTTCGAGCAGACGTGGATTTCGGGGACGGCCCTGGCCGGCCCCGCCACTGTCACAACCATCGCAGTCACCCCCGGGAAGCACCCAGGGCCACAGCTGAACCGCCACCACGAGCCCCTCCCGCCAGTCACCTGCGTCAGAGTCAGGTAGATCCGGTCGGTGAGGGGCGTGACCACCAGTCTCCCGTTCAGCCCCATGTACTCGTAGCCGTAGCTGAAGGTCCCCGTGCACTGGCGCACGTTCAGTTCGTCCGGCTCTCGGTCCCAGTAAAAGCGCAGCTGGCTCTCCCACTCGAACTCCCGGGCCTCGAGGATGCTGCGGGCAGGACGCAGAGGCGAGTGAAGAGGGATGCAGGGAGGCGGAAGAGGAGGTGGGAGGGGAGGAGGCGGCGAGGTTGGCGAGAGAGGCCAAGAGCGATAAGGACCCCCGGGAGACGCTAGTGCCCCGGGAAGACCCGCACCTGCCCCGGATGAAAGAGTCCACTATGTCCCTGGCATGCACGTCGATGATGAGGACAGTGTTGTATTTCTTGCGGTCATTCTTGCTCAAGGGCAGAGTGATGCGCGAGACCAGCTCGTCGATCTGCCGGTGCATCTTCCTGCTGTAGCTCTTCATGGCCTGCGTCTCCCCGGCCTGCGCTCTGTGGAAGACGTCCTCCACCTCCCACGTCCACCACACCTGGCAGGCGGCCAGCACCACCATCCCTTGGTACAGGAGCATCCAGTCCACCCTGACGGAAAAGGGCACCTTTACGAGCCTGCTGCCAGGTGCCGATCACGGCCCTGTGAAGGCATCGTTTCTCTGCTCTGGAAGTGGGCAGGCCAAGCGAAGCCTCCGGCAGGCAAAGACAAACCAAACGCTCCCGGCAAGGCGGTCCTATGCCGGGCCACCACGCACACGGCAAGCGGCCAGGGGCACGTGCAGAAGGGTGCCAGGGTGCTGGGAAAATGCCTTGTATATTTTCAAAAGTAGAAAAGGGCTTTCATTATTTTTAATTCCAACAACAAATATAATAACCTCTGAGCGCACTGCCCAGGTTTCCTGGCTATAGCTTCCTGAACGTCACTCACTACTCGTCCGCGTCCTCCTTCCGCCGGTCAAAGCTGCCGCGTGGCGGCCGGGGAGGCTCGCGCCGATCGCGCTCCACCACCCCCCGCACCTCGCCAATCTCACTCGGTGCCCCGGTGGGCTGCCCCTGGCCAGCGCGACTGGTCTGACCCAGCCTCGGTAAGCACTGCAGAGTTTCAGAGCACAACGGGGCCACAGAATCCTCAAACGTGACCTTACTGGCGTCCATTCATGCTTCCAGTCCTTTTGCCAACACAAATACTGCACTACACATCCCGCCACAGCATCTGGCAATGTCTGGGGACATTCTGAGTTGTCACATTGGGGGTGGGGAGGGCATGAGAGGCCAGTGATGCAGCTGCACATCCCACAATGACACACAGGCCAGCCCCCAACAGTGAACAGCTACCTGGCACCCCTCCTGCCGAGGCCAAGAACCCTGCGCCGTGCACACCCTGAGGAGCCGGAGCTGCCTCTGGCGTTACCGAACAGAGTCCCGAAAGCAGGGGGCGGCTGAACACAGCACCCTCTCTCATGGTTTCCTTTAGTGAAAACAGCCAAATGGCTTTACAAGGTTGCAGGATCCCTCCGCCCCCGCGCTGCAGAGCCGTGCCCCTCCCGCCCCGCCTCCCCGCACCAGGGCTCAGCGCTCTTAATTTGTTCTCTTTTCTTAATTGTACTTGCTTGGTTGGGGTTTTTTTTTAACCTATTTGAAAGGCAAAAAAACTGTTATCTCATTCTGCCTTTAAGTGCAGGTCTCTGGTGGCTAGCAGTGTCTCTCCCCTCTTTTTATGTTTATCAGCCACTTGGATTTCTCTACAGAGACACTGATTTCCAAAGCTGTTAAGTGCCTTGACGTACATTTAGGGAAAAATATTTTTTTTCTAAATTGTACTTAAAAGAAATGGACCCAGAGCTTTAAGTTCCAATCTGGGAAAAGTGTCTGTGAATCACTGGTCGTTACCTCAATGATGAACCATTAATGGCAAAATAAATTTAAACGAATATTTCAGACAATAAAAAGTATTAGGCTTGGCCATCTCACTTTAAAATTGTGTGGTGCATCTAAAACCTAACCAGCATTTACAGTTATGAGTCCTGCACACAAGACAGCATCAAATGAATCTGCATCCAATTTTGCACTAAGCTTGAACATTCCTCCACGGAAACTACTCGGATGACTCAGGAGCCGCAGCTACGGGCTACGGTCATTGGCAGCTTCATCACAACAACGCGCCTGCTCGTGCAGCACATCTCATGCAGAGTTTTTTGGCAAAACATCAAATCACCCGCGTGACTCAGCCCCTACAGCCCAGATTTGGCACCTGGTGACTTCTCAGTTTTCTCAGACCAAAATCACCTTTGAAAGGGAAGAGATTTCAGACCGTCGATGAGATTCAGGAAAATACGACAGGGCAGCTGATGTGATTGGGAGAACTGTGTGAGGTCCCAAGGTGCCGACTTTGAAGGGGACTGAGATGTCATTGTCCTATGTACAGTGTTTCGTGCATCTTCTTCACTAAATGTCTCCATTTTTCATACCACATGGCTGGACACCTTCTGGACAGACATCACATACTACAACTTTCCTGAGAATCCGCCTAAGTCTAATAGGACAAGTTATCCAAAGCTCCTTAGGTTCTGGAGTTCAACTTCACATGTCAGCCAGCCCACGTGGCAACCGATATCAGGCACGACTGCAGTGCCCACCAGCTTCTCAGGGCACAAAAATCAAGGAGTGGCTGAAATTCATTAAATATTCTAGAAACAACTTTACTCATTAACTGACACACAGAATCAACCCTCCTAACACCAGGTTTCTGATGAACCACTAGGTTAGCAGTTCTCACACTTGACTGTGCTCAGTGTTCCCTGTTCAAAAAAATGCACATCCCTGCCCTCCCCCGCCCCGTTTCTGAGGGGGCAGGGTGAGGTGGGGCCAGGAACTCGCATTCCTAGCAAGCCCCCCCACCCCGGGGCCGAGGCTGCCAGCCTGGGAACGCGCTCTGAGAGGCGCTGCGCCAGCCACCCTTTAGAGGCACTGCAAGGAGAGCAACCTCACTTGGAAGGCCCGCCAGCCTGCCCCAAACCCTTGAAGGCGGCCCGTAGAGACTGTTAATGTGACGCAGGAGCGCATGCTCGCACTTCTGAGCTTACCTGCTTCTGTCTTCGCAGTATCTAAAAATGGCCTCTTTGGTAATGAGCCGGTTCGACCTCCGCATCTCCTTCAAAACCGCCGCCATCCAGTCCTCCACGCGCCCCTCGGCCCGCACTGCCTTCCGGAACTCCATGACCTCCCCCTCGGCTGAAATCATGGCAGACACCAGTTTCTCTCCGCTTTCCCCATCGTTGAACCGCAGCAGCGCTATGTTGTCATACATCTGCAACGCAGCGGGAGGAACCACCTGGCGATGCTGTCACTGGGCTGCGGAGCCCGAGAGCAGTCCGCGGCGCTCGCCACGCACAGGAGCTGCCAGGAGGCACGCCGGGCGACTGTCCACCAGCCCGAACGATCCCTCAGCGGACAGGCACATACACACCGCACCTCCGCCCACCCTGCACTGCGCAGAGGCCTGGGTGGGTCACAAAGAAAGAAAGCAGACAGACTGCCCCCCACACTTGAGATTCTGGGGCCTGTGCTGTGGAGAGGTATTGGACACGTGGGCCAGCTGACCACGGGAGAGGGGTGGCCTGGTGATTCGGTGCCCTAGGGGTGGAGGGTCAGAGACCCCTGGTTCAAGGCCAGCTTCCCCGCTGCCTGCTGGGTACCTCGGGCAAGCTGCTTCTCCTCTCTCAGCCTGGAATGAACGTAATTATGCCTCTTACAGGATAAGCTTGGAAGAAGCAAATCAAATAATACATGAAACACCAGCACGTCGTTGGCTATCATCACTGTTGTTAATCAGAGTAACATTCAGGAAAATGAGTCTGTTAGGGCCCAGTACATACAACATGGCAGGCTGCAATCTGAGAGGAGGTAGGAAAGGCTTTAGAGCGCACTCTCAGAGGCTGGCAGGAGGGACTATCGGCAAATGCGGTACTTCGCATAACACCGTTCTCTACTACAGTGAAGTATTTTTTATAAAAGCAGGAAGAGAATAAAAGCCTCCTCTTTGGAGGAGAAAACATGCATTCAAAGTCTGCATCTTACTTTGCGAAGGAAATCTGCATTAAAGAGGAAGTATGGAGTCAAGCACCTGCTCCTCACTGCTTTTTGGGATAAAGAAATTGCTCTTCAATACTGGTTCAAAACCACAGGCGACCTCGCCCCACGGGACAATGGCAACGCCTGGAGACATTCTGGGTTGTCACAGCTGCAGACGGCCGCTCCTGGAGTCCGGCAGGCAGAGGCCAGGGATGCAGCTGAACGCCCGCTGCACCCAGGGCGGCCTCAACCTCCACCCCCAACCCCCACACGACCTCCACACGCACACAGGGCACAGGATTCTCCGGCCCAGCACGCCGCAGTGCCAAGGCGGAGGGCCGTGCTGGGGCCGGCGTTAAACTGGGCACTGTGGCTCGCTGACCCGAGGCCGCGCCTGGCCATGCCCTGGCTCCCTGTCCCGGTGGGCCACCTTCTCTGTTGTGCTTCCTGCCACTCAACGTTGCTCCCGACACACGCGTTTGTGTGACAATATGAAACCACGCGCTGAAAGGGGTCACAGCAAACATCAGAGTGGCTGCCTCTCAGAGGTGCAGGAAGGACTGTGAATGGGGATGGGGGACAAAGAGTACGTCGACTTTACCTGTACAACTTTAATTTCAAAAAAAGACACGAAGTAAATATGACCAAATGGTAACTGTCAATTCTGAGTGGCTGATGAGGCTCTTTGGCCAACATTGTAAGGCAGGCGCCAACCTAAGTACTTAACTCATTTAATCCTTGTAACGCCACTGGAGAGGGTCACTGTGGGGGTTGCCCCCATTTACAGATAAGGGAACTAATGCCCAGGGAGGTTAAGTAACTTGCCAAAAGTCACACAGCAAGTCCACGCGAAGCACCGTCCTGCACTGCCTCTCTGCTTATTTTATTAGTCTTTGTGTATTTCTGTATTTTCTGAGTTTCTCAAAAAGCGTGGTTTTAGACTACGGAGAAAAGAGCCACCTATAGCAGCTGAGTCCTGGCATCATTTCAGATAACAATCGATTTCATCAGATTTATGCTTTCAGTAAAACCCCAGTAGCTTTTCAGTCTTAAACCTCTGCGTTAAACCAAATTGGGAAAGGAACTCGGGTAAAACAGGCCGCAGTTACAGAGCCTCCATGGGGACACCCCTACCCCCCACCCCCCACCAGGAGACCCTGGGCCAACCTTGATCATGTGCTCCTGGACACAGAGCGGGTCGCTGTTCCCCAGGATGCTGAGCAGCTCGTCGTCAGAAATGAAGAAGAACCTGGGGAAGGCGTTCCTCTTGGAATCTAAGTAGTCGTTCAAGCTCTTCTGGCATTTCTCCAGGCCCTCGCTGATGAGATGCAAGTCCTTGAGGCGGTTGGGGGCCTCGCAGCATCTCTTGATGACAGGGTCTTTCAAGGTCTCGCCCATGATCTGGACAAGGTCAAGAGGACAGGGGTCAGGCCAGGGCGGGGGGAGCTCCGCACTTGCATGTACTTGCTGGGCCCCCCTGGGCACGACAGAGAAAAAGTGACACACTCCCAGAACCACAGTCTTTGGAGAGGCCAATTTGGCAAAAGCTGGTAGGTGCTGAAATATGCACACCCTTAGCACCTGCTAACCCCTCTATATAATTCACTTATTTCCGATGTCAGCTGCCTGGGGTAGAGATTTTTATCTTTTACTCTCTGACATACCCCCGCACACCTACGACAGTGCCTGCACACAGTATGCCCTCAATCAACATTTGCTGAATGAATGAAGCCAGCAACTCCACTTTGAGAACCCTGTATGGACCAGAATATTGAGTAACGGCGCTCTTTATAATGGCCCTCCCAAAAAAAGGGGAGGGAACAGCCTAACAGGAAACTAGGCCAGTCATCAGCTGTGATATGATTTTATTAGATGATTAGATGTTTGTTTATTAAAATACACATCAAAGATGTTAAATTTTAAATAACCAATTGTTGGTATTTTAATCACTCTATTTTTGTAGAACATTTATCTCTTTATTTGTGTGTTTACGTAGGAATAAAGCAAATTATAAAAAGGTATATGTTAAACCAGTCAAATGGTTATGCTGGGCATGGGATTCCCGGAATTTTTTCCTCTTTTTAAATTTTGCTTTTTTATGATTTCTAAGTTCTTCTTTAATAAATAGATATTTATGATATAATGTTTTAAAGTTCTTTTTTAAGAGCTCATGCAGATGGATAAGGAAAAATGACCAACTCTAATGAATAAAGGAGTCCCAGGTGGGAACCGACCACCGTAACAGAAGGCTACGCGGCACCGCCAAGCGCCACGCGCCGGGCCCTGAGGGCAGGTGGGCGACCGGCAACAGCGGCGACCGGCAGGCCCTTTCTGGAAAGGACTGTAAACCGCGCACACTCTTCATGGACAATTTACCTTCTGACAACCTATTTTAAGAATTCATCCTAAATGTCGGAAAAGCATTAGGCACAAACCTGCAAATTATTTATGAGAGCCAAGAATTCTGGTTCACACAAGATGTCCAGTTACTAGACAATAATCAACTAAACTAATGTCAAGCCACTAACATATATAAAGGCTTTAAAACACTTTCTCATACCGTTATAACATGAAATACTTCTTCTGCTATTAAGAGAAAACCTCAAGATATAAAATTATACAAAATATCATTGTAATTGTTTTTTACTCTCACATATATAGGAAAAAATTTTAATAAGGCATTAAAGTGGCCACGTTCAGGTGACAGAAGTATGAAAAATACATCTTTTCTACGTTTTCCAAATTATTTTATAAAGCAAGCATTGCCGCTGCCCTGCCCGGTGGCTCAGGTGTTTGGAGCGTCGCCCGGCACACCAGAAGGTTGCAGGTTTGATCCTAGGTCAGGGTGCATGCAAGAGGCAACCAATCAATGTCTCTCTCTCATGTGGATATTTCTCTCTCTCTCTCCCCCCATCATTCCCCCGCTCTCTCTCTAAAATCAATAAAAATATATCCTCAGGTGAGGATTTGAAAAAAAAGCAAGTATTACTTTTATAATGAAAATAAGTAAATGCTAAAATGTGCCATATGCCAGCAGCTACAGATCAAACAAATTTTTACTAGACAGATTAAGGTCACGTCTAACAACAGAAAAAAATTGAGAAGCCACGAATAGACAGAATACTACATGAACACAGATGAGCACCTCAAACCACTTCTTTCAGGACTAAAACAGGTGCCAATCACTTGCCCTTTTAAAAACTCTGTCGACGTTGTCAAACTTCTTCGCCTCCTCTGGAAGCTGCGACCTGATGTCCCCGCCAATGAAGATGCTTTCCAGGTACATCCACTTTCTCTGAACCAACATCCAAATCTGTGGGTGCACAGCACTCCCGTCAGCATGGGCGCCTCAAGGTGCGCAGCGGACCCCTCCCCAGCCCGGGACGGGCTCTAACCAGGCGCGGTGGCTCCTTCCCAAAGAGACAGGGTGCTGGAGGAAGCATAAAAATACACGGCTTATTTCAAAAGCAGAGGAGAACTCTGCACACCAGCCCTGGACGAAGAGGCAGCTTCCGGCTGAGCACAGGGGCTGGAGGAGCCCCGTGACCCAGGGGAACGAAGGACAGACCGTGCGGAAGCTCGTGCAAAACCCAGGCCTAGGACTGTGGGATCCGCCATACCACCTCCAGGTGCCGACCCAAAAGAACTGAGAACGGGGGCCCAAAAGTACTTGTACACAAACATTCACGGCAGCACTATTCACAACAGCCAAAAGGTGTCCATCAACAAATGAAAGGTAAATGAAAGTGGTCTGTCCACACGGGGGACTGCCACTCAGCCGTGAAAAGGAACGGAGCGCTGACCCCAGCTACAGCGTGGATGGCCTCGAGAGCACGATGCTGCGTGAGGGACGCCCGACACAGAACGTCACCCAGTGTGCGACTCCATTTCTAGGAAACGTCTAGGACAGGGAAATGCCTAGAGACGGCACACAGACTGGTGGGTGCCGGGCTGGAGAGGGGCAGAGCAGGGAGCACGTGCTTGTACCGGGCACGGACTTAGCCTTTGAGACGATGAAAATGTCCTGGAACCACACGGGGTGCTGGCTGCACACTGCGAACACGCTAGATGACACTGAACTGAACACTTTAAAATGGTTAGTCTTGTGTTATGTAAATTTCACTCCTGTTAGAACAATTTTAACCAATAAAAGCGTCCACACTGCGTGGGACCTAACAGCTGTGGCGGTTCTCAGCCGCGCTCCCTTGGTCTGTCCCCTCACCTCGATGACCTCCCCGATGAGAGAGAGCGTCTTCTCCCACTTGTGAACGGTCTGCAGGAAAGGCCCCACAAATCGGCTGCCCGAGATGCTCTGCAGGCTGAAAGTGTTGTCGTCCAGACACTGGACGATCTCGTCGACAGAGCCCAGGATGTAGCCCCGCTCCTGGGTGCCCTTGCAGTACTTGACCACGGTGAACTTCAGGCTCTCCCACGTGTCCAGGATCTCCTTCACGGCCTGCGCAGGCGCATGAGGAGAGCAGTTCAGGCACCGAAGTATGAAAGACAGAGCCCCGGCCTTCCCACAGCTTCCCGAGCCCGCCCTGGGCCAGCCCTCCACCCGGGCCCTGGGTCCGTTTCAAGAGCAAGCGGAGGCTCCAGCGAGGAGAGGCCGGCCAGTGTCTCCCGAGGACTTGCTACGTGCCAGGTGAGCCGTCCCGGCACCCTGGTCACCACCCATGCACAGAGGCAGGGGCGGGGCTCAGAGCCAAGGCAGCCTCTGCCCCGGGGGCTGGGCTCTGGGCCCTGGGCCGCAAACAGGCAAAGCCCTGCCCCTGGCCTGCCGTGAAGCAAGAAAATCGATCGATCAAATAATACCCCTGTTTACGGTCATGTGCAGAAACACTCTAGCAATGTTTGTATGTATACAAATATGTGTATTTTGTGGATACATGCACGCTTATGTGTGTATATGTATTGTTGTGTGTGCTGTGTGCCTATGCACGGATGTGTGCATGCCTAGATACGTAGTTTTGTGTTTGTGTATGTATGTGCAGATGCATTTTTAGTACATGTATATGCACATGTGTGCACACATGTGCATGTGCATCGTTGAGAGCTAAAGGAGAGACCAAAATGCTGTTCATCACAAGGCAGTGCCATTCAGAGCACTTTGTCCATTTTCTCAGTTTTCTACCATGAACCTCCGTTATTTCTTTAATAAGTAAGTAAATAACGAGACTATAGTTAAAGACAATAAAAAACCTAACCGAGGCTGAAACCCTGCTTCTAGAACATCTTCTAGCTCTTGGCTGTGCGCACACAACAGGCCCCCGAGCCACACGTGCCCCCTGAGCAGCCCCACCTTCTCGATGGCTATCTCCTTGACCGCGGCTGTGACGATCTCACTGAGAACGTCCTTGTGCTGGTGAAGCTCCATGGCAAACATGTTTTCCAAGGTGAATGTTTCGGTCATTTCAAAAAACACGCCCGTTTTTTCCATAAGCTCCTTCCAGTGCCTGGAAGCGAGCACATCAGCATTAGAGTGTTCACGTTTACCGAGCTGAGCGGTGGACCGATCGGTGTTCGCTGCAGTCACAGGACTGCCCGTGTCCGACATTCTGGAGTCCAGAAACACGGGGACCCCGCCGGCTGCCGGAGCTAAAGGCAGAGAGCACCATCGAGCAAGGTCTCCCACTGGTGGAGCCGAGGGACTGGAAGGGACTCGACAGGGAGGCGACTTCCGCGCTAAGCAGAATGAAGGCACATGATGACCCACGGCCCTCCGCCCACACGGATGGAGGCAGACAGGGGCCTGGCAGGGGAGCGCAGCTCGCCTCTTCCTACCAACCTGTCTGTGTGAGCCACATCCAAATGGTGACAAATAGGGGGACCCTCATCCACGCCACCTTCAGACCCGGCTATTCCGTGAAAAAAGGAGGAGACCTGCTCCGTCCAAATGACAGCCACAGGCTGCCTGTGGCTACAGAGCATCCCAATGTGACAAGCCCAAACTGAAACCTGCTGTAAGTGAAAAACATACACCAGATCACGGTGTATTTTTTAAGAACATAAAATATCTTGTGAATGTGGATTACAAGTTGAAATGACAATATTTTACCTATATTGGGTTAGTTAAACATACTATTAAAATTAATTTCACCTGTTTTCTTCTCTGTCAATGCAGCTGCCAGAAAAGTTCCCCATGTGGGTCGCACGTTTCCCCCAGAGGATGCTGATCAAGACCTCTTCTATTTTTTAAAAAATCTTTGGCTGAAGCAACCACAAATGACACATTACACCCAACAGGGTTGCTTTTTGTTTTAAACAGAAGAATCTTTGGGGGTGACAATTCTATAAGTTCAGTAAGTTCACATAAAACAACATTACAGAAACGTGACTTGCATACTTCTAGCCCTGTGCATAGCCAAGACCTTGTTCTTGGTCCTCCGGTCAAACTAAGCAAAGACAAAGCTTAAACTGAAAGCCCCCCTCTTCTCTCAGGTGAGCCGGCAGAGGACAAAACGCACCTGTCCCTGAGGGCCTCGTGCTTCAAGTCGAGAAGCAGAGGAACCGAGTCTTTGAATGCCTTCATTTTGGCTTCCAAATGGTAGGCCACCGACAAGCTCCGGACCTGCCGGGGCAGCTTCCTGAGGGACCTGAGAAAGCCTTCGATCCCTTCCTGGAGAAACTGAACGTTCAGGTTGATCCAGAGCGTCTGAGACCATTCTTCTTTCGCAAGCTGGGAACGGACAAAAAGGCCCGTGAACAAGAGCCCCTTGGAGCCACGCAGGCAGCTTGACCGGGAGAGCAAGTTCTTCACCCCAGTGACGCCAACCGCCTTCCAGGGCCCTCGCCCACCCACACACAGCAACCTCTCATTCACAAAGGAGGGGCGGACTACGAGGCTCTAGAACACAGACAAAACCCCTCCGACTTCTTCAAACCCTCGGCAAAACACCGCTGTCTCTGAGGATGTGTGGAACCCAAAAATGTGTCTTCTGTTCTTCAGGAGAAAAGCAAAAGCGCGGAGTCAGAAGCAGGTGTTTTGTGAACCAGAAGTCATGTGGGTTTGCATGTGCTTCAATCAGATGCCGCCTAACATGCTTCTCCTTCCTGACCAGAGAAGCAAAGGTCACAAAGCGCAACTTCGGTAATTGTGCACGACTGTCACAAGGGAAAGGCTCTTTGTGTTCCACGTTCCTGAGAGTCAACGGGACAAGCACTGTCATACGGGACAGTTACCATGCGCCGACTGTGCCATCGAGGCTTGCCAGGCTCACTCTGAGTCGGGAAACACGTCTGACAGCAAACGGTGCTCCCTGATGGGCTCTAGGTGTGGGGACCCCTCTAATTCAAGGAGCAAATGACCCCCTGCTGGGTGGGAGGGCCCTGAACCCAGCGGCTGGCCCAACTCGGCCCACTGCCTGCCGATCCAGAGCCTGACTAGACCACAGCCGCGGCCCCCGCCCCCCGCCTCCCTCCACAGGGCCCCGCGGCACTCCGCGCCCCTCTCTTCCGTCGCCCCTCCCAGCAGCGTGGGGGTTTGTTCACGCGCCGGTGGGAGGGCCCCCCTGATGTGTCAACCTGGCAGGGCCCTGGTGCCGGACACTCGGGGTAACTCTGCCCTGGGTGTGTCTGGCGGGGCTGAGTCAGGAGGCCGGGTGGAGCAGAGGGCCCTCCCCACTGAGGGTGGCCCGCCCAGTGCCCTGAAGGCCTGGGCCCAACAGCAGGGCTCAGGAGGGGCGTTTGCTCTCTCTGTTTTTAAGCTCGGACTCGGGTGAGAACCACACTGTCAGCGCTTCTCCGTCTTAGGACTGCTCAGCCTCTGCAACTGCGCCAGCCGATTCCTCACAACGAATCTCTGTGGTTCCTGTTGGTTCCGTCTTTCTGAAGAACCCAGACTAATACAATAATTCCCTCCTGAGGGCTCAAGAAGGGGAGGAATGGTAAGAGTAGAAACAGCTTGTTTCTACTCTCTAACCAGCATAGCACTTGGGACATAAAGAGCTAAGTGAATAAACAGATGGAGGAATCAATCAACCAGCCTACCGATGGCATGAAATTGCATAGGGAACACGTACTAAAGGAAAACATCCAAATGACATGATACTTGCTCCATTTAACTTCCACTTCCAACAGTCCACCTCATGCCTTAACCCTGACCTCCAAAGAGTTTCCATTTTGTATTACTGTGGTAAAACACACGTAACATTTGCCATTTTAACCATTTTTAAGTGTACAAGTCAGTGACATCAAGAACATCCACAATGTTGGGGTACCATCACCACTGCCTGGTTCCAGAACTTTCTCCCCATCCCAAACAGAAACCCCCTACTCATCAGTGGTCCTCCCAAGAGCCAAAGTGAGAGTTTCTGCAAAATCTGCCCAGGCTCTCGCCTGCGGCAGCCGTGCCAGGCCTGCACCAGCCCCGCCCTCCAGTCCGCAAGGCCGAGTCCGTCCGCTCACCTTCAGCCCTTCGTAGAGCTCGTAAATCACCTTCAGCCCGCCCACCTCCTTTTGCACTCTGAGCAGCTCGGGGTACATCGTAATTGGAAGGTCAAAAAGTTTCTCGGCGTTAGCCAGCTCCTGGCGCTTCTTTTCATGTCTCACCAGCTCTCTTTCAAAAGTGGCTAAAAGCTCTATCCCTGGTAAACAAGTAAATACATAGATCAATACAAAAAAATTTTAAGGCATCCAAAGTTGAAGAAGAAATCGTGAACAAGGTACACAAACTATCATTTCACCCACAGGAGCCATCAGGGAAGACAAACGTGGAATCACCAGGCTTGAGCTCACTGCGATTCTAACTAAACCAGAGGGCCAGGAACATGTGTAAGCCCCCCAGCTGGGAAAGCCTGTCTCTTTGGCATCCTCCCTCCTCTTGGGGGGCTCAGCCTGGCTTGGACCCCAGAATCCCCACGGGAGCTTCTGAACATCTTCATGGCCAGGCCGCCCCCCAACAACGCGGCCCCAGGCCCCAGCACCAGTGGGGCCTGGAGTTTCCCCAGGTGAACCCAGCTTACAGACAAGGGTAAGAGCCACGGCTCCATCCCGTCTTCCCATAGAGCTCGGGAGTAAAACGCACACCCTCCCCCACCCCCCGCCCCCGAAGGCCAACGTGACTGTTCTTACCACTGTCAAGGTCTTCGCCAACAGAGCCAGGCCCTTCACGATAAAAACGTCTTGCAAAATCCTCTATCTGCTGCCTGTAGCTTGACACTTCCCCTCGAGTAATCTGAGAAGAGCAGGGTGACATTGACCTGACCCAATGGATACTTCTCAGTATCTTCACTCAGAAAGTAAAAATGGAAGAGGTACCTCTGTGAACGTTCTCTTTATGCCCCCAAGAGAGTGGTCCACATTCACCGAGTCATTGAACAGATGCTGCCACATGCTCTCAATCTTGCCGACCAGGGCTTTCTCTGCATCAGAAGGCTACCAAAAAAAAAAAAAAAAAAAAAAAGGCAGACCAATAAACAGTCAGTGATTTGGAAATGACATTTCTGGCCCAAGCTACTGCCAAGAGACGTCTGCTTACAGTTACAGCAGGCTAAATGATTTGAACCAACAAAGGAGCTGGCTAAAAAATTAAAAATTATATTGATAGCCCTGATTTAAGTGGCTCAGTGGGCTGGGCATCCATCTGCAATATGAGAGGTCTCTGGTTTGATTCCCGGTCAGGGCACATGCCTGGGTTATGGGCCAGGTTCCCAGCTGGGGGTGCACACGAGAGGCAGCTGATCAATGTTTCTCTCCCTCTCTCTCTCCCCTCCTTCCCCTTTCTCTAAAGTCAGTAAGCATGTCCTCAGGTAACGATAGAAAAAAAAAATAATGGGCATATAAGGATAGAAAATAACTTGAATGAAACTGAGAAACATGGACAATATAAGCAGACCATAACAAAGTTTTAGGATATAGAGCTTAAAATCACTTTACTTAATAAAGGAAACAAAAGGCAACACAATTTTTATTTTAATTATAAAAATATAAATTTTGCAGACTGCACATTTTTCTGATGGGAGGGTCTCTAGCAAACAGCCCAGGTTACTGCTCGGGGAAGGTATTCAAAGCAGTCAAGAAATGCAAGCACTGAAGTATGAATTTTACTCAAATACAGACTTGTAGGAGCTGTTTGTCTCTCCATGAGTTCGTTTTTCCAGTTGGTTCTTTGCGTGCGCACACGGGTGAGAGCAAGCGAGCTGCACGGCATGCAAAATGTCTGCATACAATTTCAGGGGCTCAACCACGGGTTTCTAAAGCTCTTTGAAACCCACGTTTGACAACCCCACACAAAGGGAGAGAACTGCATTATTATCTTCTACCAGTTTGCTACCGTCTTCCCTCTCTCTTCCCCTCTCTTCCCTTACCACTTCTGCAGTCTTATACTTATTAAAAGAAATTAACACCCAAAAAAAGAGACTGCAATGCTGTGCAGTTGTAGAGCAGTCTACAAAGTACCTTATTTGAGCTGTGCAAGACCAAGAAACAGACCCTAAACCCTCACGGCCCTAAGTAACCGCCAGCAGCGCGCTGGAGCAGTCCCGAAAGGGCCCCTGTGCCCAGGCTGACGGGCGAACGCTGAGGAAAGCAGGCGTGCGCACCTGCAGGTTGTACATCGCCATGGTGCGGTACCGCTCCTGGACATCCCTGTATCTGAGTTCCATGAGCAAAGATTTACTTCTGATTTCCGCAATTGTTGTGAGGACAAACTTGAGGTCCTCAAGGGTGTTGGGGCTCTTCTTCAAGTTTTTAGAAAGGTTCTGTAAAGGAAAGTTTGAAGGACACAGAATAATCACAGGGGAGACAGGTACCGAACCCAGACCGCACTGTCGCGAAAAGCAGCTGGAGCTAAACCCAGAGACCCACTACCTCCATCTCCTCGTAAAGGCTGTACAGCTCCTCCCTGGCCGACTCGTTGAGCAGCCGCCCCAGCGAGGTCACCCAGGACCGGGCGCTCTCCTGCACGGTGCTGGCCAGGGGCCCGAGCTGCAGCCTCACGCAGTGCTCGTCCTTCGTCAGAGGCTGGCGCATGACGTCACAGGCGATCTTGGAATAGAACTGCAGCTTCTCGTCGTACGCTGTGCAAGGTGGTTTCTTGGCGGCAAATTTCTCCATCACAATGGCTTTGTCCAATTTCCAAAGGGGGCGGTACTTCTTCCATTTTTGTAGGTACTTCATAAGATTGGTCAGAATCCTATGGACGTTTTGGGGGATCATAACAGCTTGTTCGATTATCTGAGGGTTCAGGGAGATGTCATTGTAGAAGCTTATTGTAACAACTTCCTCCTCCTCCCCCTTCTGAGGAGGGCATTCTATGCAGCTGCCGTGCATCCAGCGAACAAAATTCTGGCAAGGTAAGAATCAGGGGGAAAGACAGTATTTGAGTACTAATTTTCCTTCCCACGTATCTATTAGTATTCAGTAGTAATTCTTGGTAGTAATGAAAATAGCTTTATTAGTTGTAAGTTGTGCTCAACTGCAAAAAGGACCACAATGCTCTTGTGCAATGTTCCTCCCATGATTTCTGCACCCGGGCTGGCCTGCGACGAGACCGCCGGGAGGGCCAGGCACGGTCTCCACAAATTCCAGGCCAACGACCTGGGGCAGCCGTGCAGCCCCGCTCTCACGCTCCTGAACGGGACTGAGCGAGCCTACTGGCGGGTGATACGCCACCCACAGGAGAGCCTGGTGCCCCAGTCACCAGCTGGCCCATCAGGCGTGGGACCAGCAGAGCAGACAGGGCGGTTCAGCCCAACTCAGCCTGCAGAACCCTGCGCGAAAGAAAGTTACCGTTGTAAGACTTGGAGTGCCTTGTTACATAAAAAGGCTAACTTTTTAAGTAACGATGGCCATCCACTTCACATAGGATGGATGGATAAAACATGAGTTTTCTTACTGGCAGATGAAGAAACTTAAAGTCGGCACACTGACCCCCCTCCACCCTGTATCCCAGAACATACGTGTTCGTTTGACACGTCCCTGCTTCTGTCATCGTGCTGGCCCGTGACCACCGCTGTGAGGAGGGGCAGCCGCCGCTCATCCTGCCGGGCAGCGCCCAGCGCACCAACCGCGGCGCCTGCACCGCGCTCCCCAGGCCACGCGCACTGCTGGCTCTCCCCAGGGGCCTCCTGGGGGTGCACTGCGCTGCCATTTCCACGTAGGAGATGGGGTCAGAGAATGCAGATTATAAAATATGGGTGATTTATCCATTAGTTCCCACGTACAGTGAAATGAAATTCACCATTCATGATACCGGCACTTAGTTTTATGCTAATAAAAAAATAAAAAGAAAAGCCTGAAACATGTTTGACTTCTGTGCAAACCAACTGAAGAGAAAAGTGCTCGGGGTCATGTCTGGAGGGGTGAGGCCACCCTTAGGCACAAAGATGGTCCTACTTCCTGGCTGTCGGTGAGACACAGACTTTGAGTCATCTGCCAACAGACATTCATTCGCCAAGCCCTGACAGGGAGCCACCCATGTCCTGGGCACAATGTGAGGTGCGAGCGCCCAAAAGTGGACACACAAGGTGCTGCGCTCCTGAACCGTCCCCTCTGGTGGCATGAGAGAAGCACCCGATAAATGAACACATAAACAAGTAAGAAAAGACCAGCTGGTGGGAAGTGCTGGGAAGAAGGCGGCCTGGCGATGTGATCAGGAAGGAGCGGCCGCCAGCAGTGAAGGTCTGGAATGGGGGGTGGAGGGAATGCCACTGGTGCAAGCAGCCCACGGGGAACGAGAGGTTCCCGCTGCAGCTATGGGAGGCCGGAGCGCAGGGCAGCGGACAGACGCGGGGCTGCAGGCCAGGGAGACCTGGGAGGCGGGCAGGTGCTAACCCGCGGCTGCAACAAGGGCTCAGACTGCGTCCTCAGTGCAACGTGAAGTTGCTGGGGCTTCCATACAAGGGAAGCCAAGACCGCTGGCATTTTGAGGAGACCGGCCTGACCACCTGCGGTGGGGGACAGATCACTCCTGCATTCATCCAGGTGGGGGCGGCCGCAACGCGGGACAGGCCAGTCACTGGCAATGGAGCAGAAGACGGTAGGAGGTGTGTTTGCCGACGGGCTGGAAGCAGGCAGATGAGCAAGCGAGACGGCCAGGAAGGCGCCCAGGCTCTGGGCTCCAGCCACCGGGCTGAGTTGGTGCCATTTTCTCAGGGGGGAAACCGGGGCAGGGCCAGGCTGCAAGAACTGCATCTTGAACATGCCAAGCCTGCGAGCCACGGGAGACGTCGAGCAGGCAATGGACTGAAAAAGTGTGGTGAGCGGGACAGGGGTCTGGGCTGGGGAGGGAAATTGGGGAAGTCGGCGCCCTGGGGGCGTGGGTACTAAAGCCACGGGGCTCGTTGCAGCTGTGCAAGGAGAGAGCAGTGCCAAGATCAAGCCTTGGGACAGTCCAAAATGTAGAGCGCTGCAGAGGAGGAGGAGCCAGAAGAGAGGAGAGCAGTCTGGACAGAGCACAGGGCGGACACATGTCACAACCGGCCTGGGAGCCTGCTGTCAGCCACGGGCGGCCCGGCCCTGAGACACGGAGCCGCTGGCACGGCAGTGCGACGTCCCCACCTCACCTTGGTGATCTCCACGCAATTCCGGACGCAGTGCACGCACAGCTTGTTGATCTCATTTGCATTGGGCTGGAGGATGATCTCTGGCGCAGTCAGAATGGTTTCCGTTTGGAACAAAGGGACATTCCCCAGGATTAAAGAGTTAAAAGACTGCAAGTTCCTGAGAGGGGTTAACAAAAGAGTGCTCACTGGAGCAAAATACACCCAGCAACTGATGAAATGCGAGTCACCGAAACCGCGTGTAAAAGCCTGGTCTGAGGAGTATCACCACGTTCTAGGGCTGTCATGGTGGTGTGGGGCAAGTTCTGTTAGGCATCCTTTTTTTTTGGCCTAAATCTTACAAATAGCTCATTTCAAATTTTGGGAAATAACAAACTACCTACCAGTTGGGCAGTACTTAAATAATAATGACGACTTCCAAAAATCGTTCGACTCTGGTTCCCGCAAAACGGCCCTCAACTGGGCTTGCGCCTCCCCGGGCTCCCTCCCTGTCAGCCACCCCTCTCGTGGCGCCGCTCGAACGCGGCCCCTTCACGCCACTGTCACAGAAGCCCCCACTCCCCGGGACGCTGCTCCACACCCTCTCCTTCGCAGGCCTCGCCTTGGCTATCTGCCGCCTGTGCTGTGCGTCTCCCCACTGGGGGGCCGGCCCGGGCCCTGGCGTCCACTCCAGCGCACTTGCTGTCCTCCCCACCGGGGCGGCCCTTGAGGCCACTGGGACGCGGGAACGGGCCTCTGGACCCACACAGCAGCCTCTCCCCAGGCCGGCATGAGAGTCGCCCGGGACACCGCGGCCACCGAGAGACGGCCCCACACCGCGGCCCCGCAAGCACGGGCTCCTGCACGCCTTGCCGACAGCCGGAGGCGGGGAGGCCCCTTTCCGGGCGGCAAAGGGCCTAACAAGAACTTGAGCTGAGAGGAAAACCATCCCTCCATCCTGTGAGCGACCTTCAGCCGGAAAGCAGCACTGCTGTCCCCCCCGGCTTTTCCTCTGTCCCTGCAACGTCCCTTTAAGGACTCCCCTGTGTAAACTATCTCAGCCCATGCGCGGGTCTTCAGAACCAGCAACGGGGCAAACTCACTTCAGGATGAGCCGCGTGAAGACCTCGTACAGCCTCCTCTCCCAGTGCGCGTAGTAGGAGGCCAGCCTGGGGGCCCTGCCCGTGTTGGTGTGGACGACGAGGCCCTCGACCTTGGTCAGCAGAGGCCCGATGGCGAGGTACCACCTGACCATGTAGTCCATGTCTTTGGCCCTTTCCCGGTCAATGTGCTCAAAGAATTCCTTCACGCCTGCAGAGGAAGTCACCTGTCATGGCTCTTTCTAGGGAGGGACACTTACTCACAAAGCAACCCAAACATCATGTTTATCTTGAAAGCACAAAAGCAGCCTCTCAACTTGGCCTGAGGCAGGAAGCAAGTCAACACCAGAAGTCCAGATGGACCCCCATGCTGACGCTCACACGCCGCACCCAGCGGCCGGCCCTTCCTGAACGGCCGGCTGAGTGGTCCCCAGCGCCTTGCTGACAAGCCTAAGGCCGCTTAAAGCATCAGGCTGAACGAGCACGTGGGAGCCCACGAGAACCACCAGCGGCCCTCGCAGGCCCGTGAGCGACATCGTTCGGAGCAGTTCTGTCTCATTCGTGGAACAAATGCACACACGGGGTCACAGTCACAACCAAGAGGTGGTTGCCATTTCCTCCCCAGCCAGAGAACCACAGAGGCGGCCCTACCCGGGAGCTCTTCCGCACTTTTGGGTGCTGGATATTTGAAGAGATTTATGGACTCTATTAGCGTAAGCCTGGAAGAAATGTCATCCGCATTCTTATGAATCTGATGGACAAGGGACTCGAACTTCCCAATGGCCTGTCTGCACCGAGTTATGTAGTCAGCAATACCTTTGGGGGGAAGAGAAATAGAGAGAGAGGTGTTAGGCCTGCAGGCCCTTCCCTCCACGGGCCGCCCCCGGCCCCGTAAGGTGGACCCGGACTGCACCCCTCTCGCAGGAAGGGCCCTGCCCGCCCTCCCCTGGGGTCTGCGCGGTGGCAGGGCCACGGGCACCCGCGGGAGGCGGGGACCTGTGCTCAGAGTCACACATAGAGCGCTGGGAGGGGAAAGGCGGCCTGACCGCCGTCCCCCGTGCTGCGCAGCGGGAAGCCCCCGCCCTGCCCCACTTAGAAAAGCAAACAGCAGGTCCAGGGACAGTCAACCAGGGGAGGCGCGCACGAGGGGTCGCACGGCCTGCCCTCGCTGCGTTCTCACGTCGTCGGTCCCGTCCGACAACCCTGAGCTCTGGCACCAAGCCGACGCCCACTGACAGCTGAGGACCCTGGGCCTCCGAGGGCTTCAGGGCTGTGAGCAGAGCCGGACTTTCAGCCCGGGGTTCAGGCCTGAGGCCCACAGTCCAAACACACATTTCTCCACAAAAAAGAGAAGGGAAGAGAGAAAGGAAGAGACAGAGAAAGGAGGGGGAATATGGATCAAGAGATGAGGGAGCGGAGGAGGGAAAAGAGAAGGCAAGTGCCTTGTTTGTTTCAAAAGGAAAGGGGACGTCACCTCGAGGAGCAGGGGCAGGGCAGGCTTCTCCTTACTCCTCCTGCTGAACAAAGCCTGCATGTCACCTGCAGCGCAAGCGCAAGGCTGACAGGGAGGGAGGTGGGCCGGCTGCAACCTCGGGGACCAGGGTGACAGCCGTTCTCTTCCCTCTTATCCCCCGGACCTGGGGCTGAAGCAGCTGGCGACCCACCGACGCCGACGGCCAGGGACGCACGTAGCGAAGACAGGCCCCAAGACAAGCCCGCTCTCTCCAGCCAAAGGGCCGGGAGAGGGACGCTCTAGCAAGTCAGGAGATTTAGACACTCGTGGCTCTGCTCCAGCCAAACTCCACAGACAGCACTGTGACCTCACCCTAAGCCACGCCGCCGAGGGCCAGCGGGGGCCCAGACTGCCCGCCACGATGCCGGATGAGGCACCCCGACCCCGTGCCCTCGCGCCTGCTGTGGTGACATCAGAGGTGGCCTTGGAAGTCGAGGGGCTTGCGTCTCCACAGTCCAGTAACGGACACTCAGACAAACCTCCGAGGATTATGCCGAGTGACGAAAGGCAACCCCGGAAAGTTATAGAACACTCTTGAAATGACAGAATACAGAAATGGAGACCAGGTTGGAGGTCACCAGGGGTTGCAGACAGGACGGGGGTGGGAGGGAAGTGGGCGTGACTTTAAAAGCAGAGGCGGCATTTGCGTTGGAGCCAACATCTGGGCTGTGGCCTGGGAGCAGTCAGCGTCCGGGGGCCGGGAGAAGGGGACACGGGGCCTCCCCGCACTGATCCTTACGACTGCGTGTGAACCCATACCACGTGAAAATTAAAATTTTAATTTTAGACAAAAAAGCAAAGGCCACTTAATTTCTGGAGGAGAAATCTCGGGGTCTGCGGAGCGTCCAAACGACACGCACCTCATCCTCACGGCCCACCAGAGCCTTGAGGTAAAGTTTAAGGTCCCCAGAGGGTATTTGATCAACGCTCCCATTGTGTCTGTCAACCGCATGCACACACACAGAAGTCACAGCGCAACCACGTGGCCTCTGGGCCTACGAGGCAGTAAGAGACGAAGCCCGTTACCTAGCGAGTTCCAGTTCAGGCGCTTGTACCCAGATCGGAACACGCGCAGCAGCTCCTGAGAATGGTCGTCGAGGAGCAGCACCTCAGCCTCGCTCAGCATCCCCACGAGCATGTGGTAGTGGTCCAGCACGCGCTGAATCCCCTCTGTGTACCTGCACAGGCCAGGGCAGACGGTGACACGGGCAGGACACAGGAGCGCACGAGCAGCTGGATCATCCCCCCTTAGGGCCAGGCTACGAAAGGCCCGGCGCCAGCCCGGAACCGGGGGCGCGAGAGTCGCACAACGGCAAAGCGATGCCACTCTTCCCACTCACCTCCTTTTTCGGTTACTGCTCATTAAAAATGTTTTTTATGTTAACATTGGTTTTGACTGGTTCATTATTGTTATTTTTAGATAAATGAATAAATACATATCTTAAGCATTTCTTAGTTTTAATTTATAATGATAAACATTGGTAGTTACAAAATCCACAAAAATTAAAGCTTTGGGGAAGGGGGACAGTTCTCAATAATTTTTCGACTGTAAGGGTGTCCCAAGATCAAAAAGCTTTTGGTTGATTTAAGAGAAGCTTTTTACCTAAGAAATTTGTCCTCCTGGAGAGCGACGTTCCTTGCCAACTCAGGAACGGGAAATCCCAGCTGCTCCAGGTACTTGGTCTCACTAATAATCTCCCTGAGCGCAGTCGGAAAATTGATGGCGAAAGCCACACCCCGCTCGGGGCTCCCGGCCTCGTCGGCGCAGATCTGCGGAAGGATGTTCCGTCAGTGTGGGCAGGCGGGCCAAGGACCCCTCCGAGCGACACCACCCAAGTTGCACGGGGATTTGACAGAGGTCGATGTAGGTCCCCTGGGGCCCCAAAAGACTGGGGAGCTAGCGGGGCCAGCGAGGATATAACCTGGTGACATTTTTTAGCCGCCCACCTTTGAAAGCTGGGCAATTGCACGTAAAACCCCACAACGTGGGCTCCCCTGGGACACCTGGGCAAGTGAGGACACGCGGCGAGAGCGGCTGGCAGGCAGGAGCGGCAGCCCCTTCAAGAGGACCGGAGCAGCCCGGCCCCCACATGCCCGCCCGGCCCCCTCGCTCCTGTGGCCCCTCCTCCAGAGCCGCAGACAGACACCGGCAGGCCCAGGCCGTCCCTCCTCACAGCTGGACTGCGCTCTCGGCGCTGGCTGCGTGCCAGGCCCAAAGCAACACTCAAGGAGGAACCACAGGAAATGGCGTTTTCCCACAGGTAAAAAACAGTCAATGGCCAGCTGTTCCCTATGTGGCTCAACTAACACTCGGTGAGTTGTCATTTTTATGAATGGGAAACAGGCTTAGACTGAAGCCGCTGCCGATTCTGGTGTGTTTCCTGACCGGTCTTTGATTTTGGAAACACCTGCTGACTTCGTGTCAGGAAAGGGCCACGCCCCAGGCAGCCCCGGTGCCTGGAGAGGCGTCGAAGACACACCTTCGTGAGCAGGCTCTTCTTCAGGAGCACCGGCAGCAGCTGCTCGGCCGCCTCGCGCCACTGCCAGTACTTGCTGTCTTCGTAGTCCTTCATCGTCCTGCCCACGTCCAAGTACTTCTGCTTCACCTACCCAAGGAGTCAAACAATCATCATTTGGTCCCTGAATCTCTCTCTCTCTCAAAAAAAAAAAAAATAAAAATAAAAAGTTATCTAGCACGTTCTGCAGAAGGAAGCAGACAGAACCCCACAACTTGTGGAGGGTCTGCTGGAGACGGTGCGCTGGAGATCGAGGCTGACAGGCTGAGACCGGTCGACCCAGCCTGCGGGCTGCACTTGCTGCAGCCCATGAGCTGAGGGCAGCTGTCCCACGATTAGGAGGAAATCAAAAAGGACAATGCTTTGTGGCACAGGAAAACTATATGACGTTTCAAGTTCCAGCATCCACACAAGCCTTGGGGGAACACAGCCCCACCTATTTGTTTTCCTGTTACCTACAGGGCCGAGGAGCTGCAATCCAGGCTGTCTGACACGCAAATGCCTAATATATTTACTCTCTGGACTCTGAAAGGAGAGGTTTGTCAACACCTGTGACGTAGCTTACAAAAGCCCACGGCTGGGGAGGGCCAGGCGGCATTACTAGGTAGATAGATGGCGGTCACCCTCCAGAGAGGCTGAAGATCAGGTTCAGGGAGAAGCCTACCTGCCTACCACCTGGAAGATGTCACAGGTACTGAGATGCCAAAGAAAGAGGATGAAAAGGCTGCTTTAAATCTGAGCCCTGAACCAGGGACCACAGGAGGACCGCCTCAGCGGCGGGCAGGGAGCTGGGAGTGAGATGCTGCTCCCACGGGCACCTCTCCAGAGCCTGTGAGGCACAACGGGGGCAGTTCCAGCAAAGCAACGCACCTCGCGTCCTCGGTCACTGTCCAGCATCTCCTCGACCTCCTGAAACCTGAGGATGGTGTGCTTCACCCGGAAGAACAGGGACCGCTCCCAGTAGATTGCACCGGCGACCGGAGGGTGGTTCTTGTACAGCGGCGGGTTGTCGAGGTTCTGAACAAAGATTTTATTAACGGTGTCGATCTGGAAAGCAATCCAAGGTGTTCTGTGAGCAATAAGCATCGCCATTGAGCCAAGAAACATTTAGCTGGAGATATGTGTCTTTAAAGCAATGAACATTAGAATGTCAAGAGATAGTCTAAAATAGTGTTTTTACTACTTATCATTTCATACGTTTTCTTATATTTTGCTGTAATTTTTTTGTTTCATACATGGAATGTTCCAAATTGCCTTATAGACTGTACATTCATTTAACCGACTTACTAGAAATTCTGAAATCTGTTCTAGATGTGAATTGTGTATGCGTGTACATGGCGTGCCATTGAGATTTTATAACTGTTTATTATGTATTTTCAAACTGCGGTGAAACCAATATGAAGTTCACCATTTTAACCATACGGCTCCGGGGCACTGAGCGCATTCCCGTTGCGGCGCGACTCCCACCAGCGTCTGTCCCAGGGTCGCTCGCCCCTGATCCCGAAGTTCCGGGCCCACCGATCACTCACACCCCAGCCTCCGCCTTGGCGACCGCCACCCTGCTTTGTCTACAGACCTGACACTGCGGACCCTCATGCCAGCGGACTCACAGACTAGTGGTCTTCTGGGCCTGGCTTACTTCACTTCGCATGATGTCCTCAAGGCTCGCCCGTGTTGTGGATGGTGTCAGGGTTTCCTTCCCTTTTAAGGCTGAGTAACGGTTCCCCACTTTATGGAAGGCCCACATTTTGTTAATCTGCTCATCCATCGACGGGCACAGGGTTGTTTCTGCCCCTCAGCTGCTGTGAATAACCCCGCTCTGAACATGGGTGTGCGGGTCTCTCTTCGAGCCCCTGATTTCAGTTCCTTTGGGCATATACCCAGAAGGGGAATCGCTGGACCGCACGGTCTGGGCCTGCATTTTAGAAGAAGCATTTCCTCACTCTCATCTGGGTAATTAGGGGTGGGGGGAGACTAATAGCCCCCCAGGAATGGTCCTGATCCCCAGAACTGTACAAATGCCGCATCAAGCGAGAAGGGGAATGGAGGCTGCGGAGAGAATGAAGGCTGCCAATCCCCGAACCCTGGAAGACAGAGGCCCGGGCCGGTCCTCTGGGTGTGGGTGCTTTACGGCCCTTAAAGCAGGAAGAGGGTCAGGGCGGTCGGGGGCGGGGGTTGCCGGCTTTGAAGATAGAAGGAGATCATGAATCTCCAGAAACCAGAAAAAAACCAGGAAATGAACTCCCCCAGGATACCCCGGAGAGGAAAGCAGCCCTGCTGACCGATCTCGATGTAACCAGTGAGACGGTGGCGATCTTCCGACCTTTGGGCCTGAGTGTAAAGTAACAAATGGGTGTAGTTTTCGGTCCCTAAGTGTGCGGTGATTTGCAATGAATAGCACAATGGAAAGCTAATGCGGCAGCAGACCACTTCACCCCTCTGTTTTACCCTGTCTGATGTCGATCTAATGACCTCGCATATTCTCATTTTATATCCTGAATAAAACAGTAAGCATTTTTTGTCTGATTCTCCCACTGGACACTGACTTCTTTAAAGGCAGAATTTTTGTTTTACTCTTTCTCTGCCTGACACTGCACGTGGTACAGGCGAGCACTGGATACATTTTTCTGAATGAACATGTAAACACATGTATGATCTTTGCATGTGGCTAGCTACCACCGCCACTGTCATCACTGTGACCATTGCCACGATTCGCTCACGCAGGGCCCATTAGTGTGAGGCACACCCTGTCACACTCGATTCATCCTCACCAAATGTCTCCGCTGAAGAAACAAACCCGTGTCGCTTTGGTCACCTGCACTATGTGACACACGTGGGAAAGCTGCACCGTTTCTCTGAGTTTAGGTGGAAAAGGCAGACAATAGTGGAATTCAAGTGCTCACATTTTGCCAAATGCATTTTTACTGCGACAGCAGCCACAGATTTCTCGTTTACCTCTTTGCAATACTGGGCAAGAATATCATTAAATTTCATCATCATTTGTCGATTAATAGCATCCCGTGAACGAATATGCTTAAACTTTAAAAGCATGTCAAATGCTGCTTCAGCTGATCGAAGTGTCTTAAAAGATTCATCAATAAAATTTTTTGCTTCCTTCTCAATAACCTGCCAAAACAAAGAAAGTGAAGAAGACATTCCACTGTCATTACCCTGCAAAAGCAAAATGGCAAAAAAAAAAAAAAAAAAAAAACCGGCGGGGACGGGGACAAAAGAGCGGTCGGCGCCCTGAGGGGGTCCCCTGGGGCGGGGTAGAGGCTGCGCCTGGTTCACACCAGGAGATGGCAGCTCTGGTCTTCTGCCCTCCCCTCAGCCAGTTCAAAATGATGGAAAAGGAAGTTTTTCAAGTGTTAACCTACAGAGACAAAGAAATGGGAGAGGGCACGACAGCAGAGGCGGTAGTTCAGGGATTTTCCGAAAGGGAGTGACTAACTACAGGCGGCAGGAGGTCACACCTCGCACTGGCAACAGGCGTCCCGTCCACTCCCCAGGGAAACCTCTGGGAGGCCGAGCTCTGGAGGCGCTGGGAGAGGAGGGGCCCTCCCCCCACAGCCAGGCCCACTTTACACCCGCACCCCCTGCTTTATAAAGGGGGAGGTTAACGCTAGAAAAATTAAATCAGAATGACATCAGACTTCCAGTGACCCTGGAAGAGAGATGGCAATGATGAATGCCTTTAAATTTCTGAAGAAATGTTATTTTCAACCTTGAGTTCTATACCTGTTGCTTCAGAGCTCACACAGACTCAAAAAACATACGTCCCATGAACCCCTGAACGCAGGACCCGGCGGAGGCAAGAGGCGGTGGGAAGCCTCAGGGCCACTGTGTGTGGGGGGCGGGCAGCTCCGGGGCCTCCGAGAGCAAGAGCAGGCGCTCCCACAAAGGGCGCCCACCCATGGCGGGTGTGTGGCTGCGATGCTGCAGCACCTGGAAACCAGTATCAGTGCAAAGGTACAAACACAGGGGAGTGAGTGCAAATGAGCCCCAGGGAGGTGAGGGTGGGACAGGAAAGGCCAGGCCACCTGGTCAGGGCGGCTCCTGAGTGGACAGGGAGTAACGTTTGCTCAGGCGCAGTACGTGAGCGCCCGAGGCTCGAGGCTCGCTTAACCAGGTGCGACTACAGAACCACGGTGGACGACAGCGAGGCAAAGCGGGGCGGCGGGGAAGGAGCAGTCGAGTTTAACGAGGAGATGACCGCACAGGCAAGCGCTTTCACCGGCTGCAGAAACGTCAGGGAGAGTGGGGACTGGAGGGCTAGGCTTGGGGCTGCTCGTCCTCATCACGAGCCTTTTAGTACTGCAAGCAGCTTTTGATGAAAAGTTCCATTTAAGAATAAACAACATGAAAGAGAAGCTGAGAACAATTCGATACAATTAAAAGGAACCCGTTTCTATAACCAAGAACTGCCTGGGATTAAAAAACAATTACTCATGACCTGGTGCTGAGAGCGGGCCACCTCCCAGGCCTCACGCAGTGAAGCCCCGTTCTCCCGGGCAGGCCCTGCCTCCCCCACCCCTCAGGCCAGAGCCTCCAGTAGCCCTACCCCCGCCCCCCGACCCTATCCCCTCCGCCCCCGGCATGACTGACAGTCCGAGGCAGCGGCCCGAAAAGCCTCACTCCAGCACAACTCCCACTACATCACTGCCTTGGTCAACGGCCTCCAGGGCCCCCCGCCCCCCGCCTGCGCCCACAGAATCAAGGCCCGCCCTTCTGCCCTCCTGGTCCTCTCCAGCCACACTCCCGTCCTCTGCTGCAGAGATGCCGCTGCCTCCAGCTCGATGTGAACCCACTCATCTGGGGGAGCAGAGGTGGGGACCAAAGAGACTGAGGAATGTTCACTTTTATCTTATCCTCTTCTGTATTGTTTCCACTTTTTTTTTTAAAAAAGCAAGTATTAATCTTTGTGGTTTAAAAAATAAAAAAAAAAACTCTAAGCATAACAAAATAACCTGACCAATTTAACGGGGAAAACCTGGCGTCCACATCCAAAATCAGACCAACAGAGCAGTTACTTGCCAGAACTTCCACCTTGAAGTCATCCATCACGTACTTCCAGTACTGCGAGGACTTGATGCTGAAAGGGTCGAATGTCAGGGTTTCCATAGGGGTGACCAGGCCGTCCACCCTGCACAGGACATCATCGATGCGCTTGGGGTCCCCCGTCACCGCCTTGAGTTCTGGACCAAATATGTTATAAAACTCCTCCATCACCTGTCCAATCAGAACACAGGGAGGTCACCTCTTCGGTTCTGCACTGAATGTCCTCGCTGTAAACGATCGCATGCCGAGATCCATCTGAGGACAACAGTCACATCCGGCCGGCAGCCCGCTCGCAGGCTGAGCCCGGCAGCGGGCGCAGTAGCGCAGCTACTGAGGGGACAAGCCTCAGACGCCCCGACACAGGCGCAGCTCCTCGCGCTGGCTGCGCAGGCTCGCCCCCCACTCCCTCCCCTTCCCACCTCCCCGCCCTGGCCAGCGGCCCTCTCACAGGTCCAGTTCCCCTCTGCCCAGGACCTCGGCACTTGCCGCCCACAGCGCCTGGCCGGCCCTGCGCGTCGTCAAACATGACTTCATCACGGCTGACCCTTCAGAAGCGATCCCCAAGGCCCTCGGCGGCTCACAGGACTCACCGCCGCCATCGCCGTGCGTTTGTGTGACTGCCGGCCCCCCCTTTCTCTTCTACAGGCTCCACAAAGCCACAGGCCGGGCGCGCGTCTGCCAGGGCCAGCATGTGACGCGAGCAGGTGCGTGGGCTCAGAAAGGCTGGGCTTAAGGACCTGTGATCTCCATCCTGAAATTCTTAGTAATTGTACCTTTAAGCCTGTGCTTTGTGAGTGGAGCCTGAAGGGAGGATGTGCGCGGGCGCAGGAGGGACAGGCAGCACCTGGGGGTTCCCTGCTCCTACACACCCCATTCACATACAGCGGGTGCGTCCCGCCTGTGAGCACAGGATTCTGGTGGGATTTCAGGGAGACTGGGGGTCAGGACAGGTAGGCGAGTCACATGTGCAACAAGTAAGCGGGACACTGACAGCTCGGAGAGACCACGCTCTCCCTTCAATGCAGAGCCGGCTGCCAGCGCAGAAGGCAGGCTGAGAACCGTCCTGAGAACCGACCTGGCCAGGGAACCCCACGCCCTATAGCTGCCGGCCCCGTCCCTTCCCCGGGTCCGCCAGCTCCTCTTCGCTGAAGACGATGATGTGGAAGGAAACGCGGAAGCAGGAAAACACACAACTCCGTCCTCTTCCGTCCTTCCTCCTCCTCAGAAAGTGGCAGGAAGAGAATGCTGGTAGGACTGCGCACATTGAATGAAACAAAACCAACTGGGTCATAGAAAGGACAGTGTCCCCACTATCCCCACCGTCCTCACTGTCCTGGCAATAATGAGATGCACACGCTCATGCGAGCTGCAAAACAGGGCCTATGTCATTTCAGTGATTCCACAGACGGCTTAAGTGCCCTTATATTTGCATTTTAACCCAATGCTACAATACAAAGGTAAACAGTAAAATCCATGCTATTTTAAGTATTTCTCCACTTTCTTGACTTTGCTACAGTCACAACAATCAAGCCAACAAATAAAAAAGCTGTGCAGACTGAGAAACGTCAGAAGGAAAACTTTGTATTTCAACGCCTTGAACAGCATTTCCCGCCGCATCCTAGCCTGCAGCGGGCCCTGCGGCCAGCCTCGCGTGCGCTCACCGCCGTGTCTCGAGCAGCAGGTGCAGCACCTGGCACACTGTGCATTCTCGGTAAACATGCCAAAGAGTGGATGGATCCTCGTGGCGTCAGCGGGCCACAGAGCACATTCTTTCAGGAGAGAGTAGGGTCAGAGGGCGGGGAAGCCCAGCAGACGCACAGCGGCTGAAGCCATGGGTGATGATGACGAGGCTTAAGGAGAACAGAGAGCAAAGCTCTCAGACCGCCTTTGAGGAATCCCAATAGTTAATGGAAACACAGGAGGATTTTGCAAAGGTCACTGAGGAGTGACTGGAGGTCAGAGAGAAGCCAAAAGGGAAAGGGGGGATGTCACAGAAGGAAAAGTCGCACAGGTCTTGCGTGCGCTGGATACTCAGGTGCACCCCGCATGTCCCGTCCCCCAGCTGTTCCCGGCACGGAGAGGCCCACTGTCCGACGGCCGCCACCAACAGGAGAATGGGCTGGTGCGGCCAGGTTAGCCAGGGTGCCCTCTGATGTTTTCCAATTTGGCATTTGCTGAAAACAGCTGAGAAATAATTACCCTTTCTTTTCATTAAAGAAGAAAACTCCATTCAAAGCGATTCCGTTTGGGATCGCTTTGTGGTGTGTTTTCGATGACCTGTGGCTGCCACTGCTTCCCACAGCAGTGGCACTGGACGGCACAGACCCGGGCTAACACTTTCAGGTGCAAGGACCTCAGCGCCTGCACCGACCAGCTCGGGGACCCTGTCCCCCTGGGTCCCTCAGCGTTTCTCCCGGGACCGCGGCCCTGGGACGTGGCCGGCCGGGTGTCCTGGTGTTGGGCTTCGGTCTGGGCCACAGCTCTGCAGGGCCTCTCGGGGAAGCCTGTTCTCAACAAGACTGAGTCCCTGAGCATTGTTCTGTGGACACAGTGTGATCCAAAAACCACCACACGGGATTCATTTTTGAAGACACTGCTTTTAAAGAAGCCTGCTAACAAGTGCCGGGTGAGGAGGCTGCCTGGATTTTGAAATCCCAGCTCCTGGTGCCTGGAACGAGGAGGCGGGAGAGAGGAGGAGGCCGCCTCCGGTCACAAGCACATGCCCTCCGCCCTCCATGAGGATCCTTAGGGGTCTTCCCTCCTCCACCCCATGATCTTGCAACAATGTGCCTCATCAGTTGTGAGTTTACAGGCAAAGCCATGTCCCAAATAAATGGGTATAAATGTTTAAAAAAAAAAAAAAAAAAAAGGCGGGCTGCTTTCCCTCCGGCAACTCTAACCCCTTCGCGTGTTCAGGCCAGTGCACTCTGGCCACCCCACCTGCAGAACGTTGGAGAGGTCCTGGCAGATGCCGGCCATGTAATCCGTCCGCTCAAACAGCCGTTTCCGGTCAAACTCCCACCGGGCTTCTCGCCCCGAAGCCTCGATCTTGGCCCTGGTGTCAAAATAGGCCTTTTTCCATGTGATGAGGGTCTTCTTGGCCTCCATGGTTTTGTGCTGTGCACTCGCTCGGTTTTCCCTGTGATCAGAGACCCAGTGAAGGGAGGAGACAGACTTGCGGCGGATGCAGGCCCAAGTCCCCAGGGGAGCAGGGCTCCAACGGGCGGATCCTCCCTGAGGTGCAGGCCCTCCCCACTTCACGGCCTCTGCAGGGAAAGCTCCCCGGGCAAGTGGCTGCTCCGCCATGATTTGCATGGATGCGACAGGAATCCCAAGCCCTGGCGCAGGCCGCCCTTCGCAGCAGCTGCCCGCCCAAAGGCAAAGCTGCGGCTCGCCTGACGGCAACACCAGGGGTTGCAACATCCAAGCAACATGACAAAACCAAGACTTTGGTACCTATGCCCCCTGCATAGATTTTGGTACCTATGCATGGTACCTATGCATAGATTTTGTGGGTGCACCCAGCTCTGGCCAGCGACCCAGGCTCGGGCCAGGACGAGCTGAGGACTGCGGTCTGCTCTGCCCGTGCTGAGACGGGGCACCACCCCCATTCCGGGGGCTCCTTGCCCACTGCCAGGGTTAGAATTTTTTTTTTTTTAAAGAAAGTGAAAAAAGGTGTGTCTCCTTCAACATTTGATATCAGGAGGCTGGTCCTCCTGCCGGCATCTGGGGTCAGAACTGAAGATTTTCTCACCCTGTGCCTTGATCTCTCCAAGGATAACTAAGGAGGGAGGTCTGAGTAAAATAAAATCACCAAACATCCACACAGTGGGCTACGGCTCAGCCGTCAAAGGAACAGGACACTGACACCTGCCACAGCGCAGGCGAGCCTCGGAAATGCGCAGGGTGAGGGACGCCACACACAAGGCCTTCTCGAGGAAGCAAGAGTGCCATCGCCCTCCTCACTTGAACAGGGTGCGCAGGTTCACCACTCGGCAGACTCGCTCGGCGATTTCCCAGGCGATGCGCTCCATGAGCGGGATCATCCTCTCGTCCTTGTTGTAGTGCCGGGAGATGATCCACACCATCCTCAGCGCGCTCATCATGGACGGGATGGTCTCCAGGACAACGGGAAAGCCAGACCCGTGCGTGAGGTTCTGAGGGAGACAGGGCGGGAGAAGGCAGAGCAAGCGGCCTCAGCCCTGGGGCCGAAGAGAGCAGTACAGTAATAGAGCAGGGAGTTTCACTCTTCTCAGTCCCCCAAAAGGCACTTCTTATGGGGGAAAGTGTTGAACAAACAAAGACGTTTAAGATAAGATCTGTACAGACTGTCGTGCAGAGATTTATGGTTAAAACCCATAAAGCGACGTGCAGAAGGGCCTATAAAGTGTGTGCGCACACAGCCCACGCACGTGTCAACGAGGGCACAGCAAAGGCGCCAAAGCCGCCACCCTGCAGCGACCTTCGCATCCCCGCAGGCGCACACGCAGGGCTTTGCCTGCCCTCATTCTTGGCACAAGAACAGAGATTCCTGGGCTTGGAGTACTGCACCTGCGCACAACACATTCAGAGAAGAAAAGACTCCCCAAAGCGAAACACACCCATGCGCTGTCGGTGGGAATGCGAGGCGCTGTGCCGACAGTCTGCCAGAATGACCACAGGACCCCCAGGCCTCCCCCGGGAACACATCCAGAGAACTGAAAGCAGCGATTCAGACAGGCCGTCCGGGTGTCCCCGTCCCAGCAGAACTGTTCGCCGTGGCAACCGGGGAGCAATGGCCCACAGCCACCAACAGGTGGCAACTGAACAAAACGAGCTCCATCCAGACAAGGGACCACTGCGAGCCTCCACAAGGAAGGAAATCTGACACAGGCTCCCCTGGGGATGAACCGTGAAAACATGATGTGGACGGAGCCAACTAAGCCAGACACAGAAGGGCGAGTACCGCCTCATCCTGCGTCTGTGGAATCCCTGCAACGGGCAAATCAGCAACACAGAGATGAGACACGTGGAGGCGGGGGCTGGGCGGGGGGGAGCAGCTATTGCCTGGGAAGCACAGCACATGTGCGGGCGGCACTGGGATGGGTTCAAACATAGACAGTGATGACAGGTGCACAGCGCTGGGTGTGTATTCAGTACCACTGGACCGTATGCTTACAAGCGGCTAAAATAATGAGTATTATTTTGCGCATCCCTTACGACAGTCTTTAAAATGCTGCCTTCTTAAAAGGGAAATTAACCGCACAGGAGATCTAACCCGCAGAGGTGACTTCCACAGCTCAGCACCTTGAAATGGCGTTCCACGGTGGAGAGGAACCGCACGTTGTCCGAGGCCTCCATGTGCAACTTGAATAGCTCCGTGAAGACCGGCTGCAGGTTGGCCACGATCATGGAGTCTGATTCCTTGATCACCTCCAAGACTTTTCTGACCACGGGAAGCTTGGCCTGCTCATAGAGTGCGCTGAGAGTTGCGTTTCTTTCCCTCCAGAATTCAATCTCGGCCAGAGGGCCGTTACCCTGAGAGATGGCAGGAGCACACAAACTGCCACCGTTAGTGCGGAGCAGACAAGCAGGGCTGTTTCTCCAGCATTCGCTCTCTGTTCCCAAATGTCACATCTAGGGGCCAATCTGGACAAGGGCTTCGGGGATGGACACTTCACCCAGGACAGTCTAACTGGCGTGAGGCCCAGGACTTCGGCTGGGAGTGCCAGACGAAGACACTCTGCCTTTCTCTGGACAAGGGAGGAAACCAGCCTCAGGGGGAAGCCCCCCCAGAGAGGAGGGGGGACGGAGAGTCACCAGGACACAGCCAGAGTCTTGATCAAACTGTGCCTGAAGCCGGCATGCCCCTGGGCTCTCCGGTTAAGTAAGCTAGCAAGTTCCTTTTCTTCTTTAAGCCAGCGGAGCTGGGTTTCCCATTTCGGCAGCCCAAGCATCAAGACTGACCTACAGTATTATATTTATCAACCCAGGAAGCAACCTGGTAGCACACCAACATCAGAGAGCCCAAGAAGGGTCTCTAGGTATGTTGACTTCAATCTTTTAAGGAGGTCACAAAGCAGTATGAAAAGAGGCTAGACCACACAGATCGCAGACTCCTGGCCCTTCCTCAGGCAGGCAGGGGCGGACTGTGTCAGGGATCTTCGAAAGCCCCGCACAAGTTACCTGCGGCGTCTTCTTCAGCTGGCCCTCCATGGCCGCGGTTATCTGACCCAGCCAGCTGATCACACTCTGCTCCAGGGTCTCCACCGTTTCCGGGTCAGCCGCCAGCGCGGACACCTCGCCCTCCACACTGATGCTGGGCATTTCTAACTTGATCTCACCTAGTAGAATAAAAGCGCTCAGCCATCCACCAGTTTGGGGAAAATGATTGTGGATGATCATGTTCAAGGTAATCCGCTGGCTCTTCTCTCCACACATCAGTACGATAAGGTCTGATCCCCTGCCTAATCTGTCCATATTTCAATCTATTAGAATGAAACCAAAACATTCCAGAGAACTGGATCATTGTCCCAGTGTTAACCTCAATCAAAATGTTTTAACTAAGATATTCCTGAAGTTACTATCTAGTAACTTTTGTTTAAAAGTTGAACAAACCAGAACTCAACAGACATTTGAGAAAATCCCCTTCACGAAACAGAGTCCAAGATAAATCAGATACAATGACCTTAGAGGAAACTGAGGTACTACAAAGAAGATCTAAACAAGAATAACCATAAATTAAAACAAAAAGGCTCCTGGACTCTAAACTCGCCTTCTGCAAGTAAATTCATCATGCGTAACTAAAGAGAAAAACGAAAGCTTACCTTCGAGCTGCTGCATTGTTCTCTGTATGCTACTGGCAAATTTCTGGACATTCATTAAAAATTCGTCCCGTACTAACTGAATGCTGTGGTATTCCACCGCTTCGCCAGGCAGAGCAGGCGGTTCCATCTCATGCTCCGAGTGGCCGGGGGTTTCTCCGGCCGTGAACCCCATGGCTGCATCCTTGTACTGACTGAAGGACAGAGCTGGCAAGAACACCTGAAATGCCAAGTTTATCACACGAGTCGTCACACAACAGCACGCTGGCAGGCCCCGGCTCTCAGACCAGCTCTGGCTCTGAGTGTCTATAGCAGGAGGTGCGCCTGCAGCAACTGCCCACGGTAGTGCCTGGGAGGCCGGCGTGGCCGATGGCCTCCTTGGAAGACAAACGACTCCAATGGCCTTGATCTCAGAAGCGCCGAGACGTCCTCCTCCGTCCACCCTTACCTGGCATATGACCTCTTTCAGAAGAGGAAGCACATTTGCGTTGATGACCCCGTACTCCAGCATTTCGGGCATAGTCTCCATCGCTTCCTTCATGTCGCTGGCTTCCAAGATCGCCTCTGAGAGGGGACAGGTTCAGAGGGTAAGGCAAGTGGGGAGGTGGCAAACAGTCATCATTCCCAAGTGCACTGGAACATTCCGGCCCCAGACGCAGAATACATGCCCATTTCTAGTCAAACGGAGCCCCTGGCCTCTAAGAAACTGAAATATACACGGACACGCAGTGGTTCCGGGTCGGCCAAGCAGCGCCCAAGAACCACCCAGATGAGCCGGGGTGGTGGAGTGTCTCAGGCCGGATGAGAACAGAAACAACTGGGGTTTCCTAAAAACACTTGCTGGGCTCCCTGCTTTGCCTGTCTCAACCTCCCCATCGGTGCCCACCCTCCCCCGCCAGTTCATCGGCAAAGTACCTTTTGAGTCACGGGTTTTTTTAAAAGATATTTTTGGTAACAGTCCATCCTTCTGACTACATTCGATGGGATATGCATTTACTTCACCTGACCAAAAATCAATCAGCATGGGAGACATTCAAAGGTCACTAACACATGTCCCCCAATCTCACTGGGAAACAAAATGGAAACACAACAAGTCTGCCAAAGGAATCAGTGATTTCACAAGCTTCAGACTGCTTATTTCCCCACATCTGCAGAGATGTGCACTATATTTAACACATTTCTTTGTATCAAATGCTTCTTAAATTTATTTTAAGGGAAACTGCGTCAGACCCAGTGTGAAGAAGAGAGAGCCTGCATCAGTGAAAGACAGCAGCAAAGAAACAAGCAGGAGGCGGGTGAGCAGGAACAAAGCCGGGGCGACCCCCGACCCTGGCTCCCGCCCACGCGAGGCCTGAGCGCTGTGAGGCCTAGGTCCGGCAGGAGGGCGCCGGCTGAGACTAGCACAGCGGGGCGGCGGCACCAGGCCTCTGCACACCCCGCCCCCTGCACGTCCACTGGGGAAGCACGAGCCACAGGAGCTCAGCGCTCGGCTCTGAGGTCCTCACCCAAAGCACCATCAAAGCTCAGAAAAAGGAAAAGAAACGCCAGAGTCGTCCCCAAATTTAGGGTGTGTCCTAGAACAGCTATGCACAGCCTCCGTGGGTTGAGAGGTGGTGGCCACAGCGGAAGACAGTGGGAGCAGGGCAGGCAGGGGGAATGGGGAGTCGGCCTGAACGGCTACAGCACGAGGGGGACCCAGGGGTTCGAAGAGGCCAGAGAACAAGAGCCAGTGGGGGAGTCACTGAAAGAACGCCGGGCGCGCAGCGACACCTCGGCCCAGGCACGACACTGAATCTCCAACTAACAGTTATAAACAGAACTAAGAACAGATCAGTACAGTCCGTTCTCGTTATTCACAGCAGCTCTGGTCTGCGAAGCGCCAGGAACCTGAGCCAGTGGCTTTCGAGCCACTGTTCCCAGGAGACATGCGGGGTGAGGCTCCTGTGAGCCTCTGGCCACACCACCTTCGTCGCCCTCGGGCCCCTAACCTCGCTTGCTCACGTTTCAGCTGAAGACCCCTGTTATTTAACATGTATCACCGAATCCTCACCATTGACCTCACGACCGACAGCGCTCTCTCTCACCCACCACTGAAGGAGCCTATCTAACACGCGTGTTTTCTCCCTCGGGCACATCCCAGCCTCCCTGCGCTCCAGGACGCAACATGGCGGTGCCTGAACGCTATGCTTGGGGCCGTTTCAAACAGTGAAATCACCAAGAAAAAGCACAGAAATGTGAACACCATGGCCCTAGACAGAGCGCCATCATGGCACCCGTTCCCAGCCCTGACGGGGCTCTGGGATGTGCAGCGCGTGCCCTCGTCCCGTCCGCCCCAGCAGGGGACGTGCACTCAGGAGGACTCCTGCGTCCCCCTTGGCACATGTCCTCGAACGGCCTTCACAGCATGACAGGTATTGATTTAGGCATTACAAGGATATTTGAGTTAGTCGGTAAATTGGCAAAAATGAAATCCATGAAAAACGAGGACTATACTCATAAAACGTCATGTTCTCCAGAAAGTGTACAAATTCAGACTATCACACATACACGCAGGCCCACCCACAACCACATACACACACTGAAAATATACCTTTTGTATTTCTCAGAAAGAATACCACATTCTGGTCCAGAAACCCCTCAGGAACAGGAGTGCAAAGCACGTGGAGATACATCTTTTCCACAACGTGTTTAACAATTTTCTGAAACATGAGGGAAAAAACCCATCACACTGAGATTATGCATCCACCCAAACCACCGCACATTTCCCTGAGCTGCCCCCTCAGCGCCACGGTCTGATGTCGCTCCCCCGCAGCGCAGACACGGCTACACACAGGCCCTGGCGGGCCCCGCTTGAGCTAAAAGGCACCCAGTCAGTCACCTCTGTCAACCCCCCGATCCAGCCACACTTACACACGCTGCGCTGGCCGAGCTTCCCTAGGCTACAAATCGCAACCAACCCAGCTCGACTCAGCCCTGCGGGCCAGGCCCCCTCACCAGGCAGCCCAGGGCACCCTCATTTGGCACCGGGCAGGCCAACCACGCACAGCCCAGCTTCGGCTCCGCCCCGGGGATCCGTCTAGGGAAGGGCCAGCGCAGCAGCCTGGGCTGCCCAAACCCTGCGCCTTCCAAAGCTTTCCGTCTGGCCCTTCGCCAGCCCTGGGTGACAACCCCCAAGCTTTGGGACTGTCCTGCCTGACGTGAGGGTCTTTGCATACCTGGGGACCTGGGTCCTTCGGGCTGCGTAGGCAACACTAACAAGCTCACTTATGGGGAGCGCCTCTGGCCGCCGGCTCGGAGCCCTGGGCCACACTAGAGCCGCCTGGCCGCTGGGGCGCTGGAGGCAGAGTGACCAAGGTCAGACACGCGGCCCTTCCGGCCTGTGCGACGGCCCCCAGTGAAAACCCTGCAGGTCGGGGCTCAGGGGAGCTCCCCGAGGGGCAGCCCTTCCTCCCTGCATCGCAGGAGCTGCAGGGAAGCGTGCTCTGCCCACGCCCCACCCTGCAGGCTCACGCCTGTCTCCCGCGACGCCCACCCACCGGGCCTGCCTCTCCCCGGCGATTCTAGCCTGCGTCCTTTCTCAGGAACAGTGCGGCCATGAGTCCAGACGCCCCCCTGGGCTCTGAGTCACTGCAGCGAGGCATTCCATCCGAGGGTGCCCTCCGGGGCTCCCAGCACAGAGGCTGGCCACCTCTGTTCCAGTGCGCTGTGTCCCTTGCGAGGACTGTGTCAAGTTACTCAGATGCATCAGAAGGCATGAAGGTCCTGGGACCCTCCGAGGAGAAGGAAGCATGCGTACCTTGGCGGGCAAATTTTCTAAATTCTCTCTGCCCACTTCTCCATCTTCTATGCCGATTAAAGGCTGATGTGTGGAATTGTCTTTCAGCAGCAAATTTTTGACTGCAAAACATTATTCAATGAGCAAGATACACTAATCAGGAAATTGGGTTCCCTCCCATCAAGATTAGACGTGCACTGTGTACAACACGTTTCAGTCAACAGGCCTGGAGCCACAAAGCTATACTTAAACTTACAAACGGGTCCTATCGTAGGCTGGACTTACATTATAACAAGATTTGTATTGCATTTTTGATGGGTCCTCAATTGGAAATTTAGAGTGTGTGTGTGTGTGTGTGTGTGTGTGTATCTTTTACTGCAGTGTCCACTGAGTGACTTCCCAGAACTTTACTTAAAAAGGAGATTTATCATCAGGGTGAGAATCACAGCCAACCTGTTAACATTTACTCCTTTTTCACAATGAAACTGGGAATTTGGGGAGGGGTGGAGAGAAAATAAAAAATGATCGCCTAGCTCTGTTATCGTCCACTGCCCTCGGTGCAGAGCCAGGAGCCCCGGGGGGCACCGGGCACAGCCCTGCGTGTCGCACCCGCCCGGTGACTACAGGGAAGGGGGGCCGCCCCCGTGCAGCCCAGCTCTCACTGTCAGAGGCTCTGCGCGCGGTCCGGGAGGTTCTGGAATCAAATCAACGTGTGGAGTCCGAACCCTCCCTCCTATTTTATTGGTTTTCTCGCCCATAAAGTCGGACAGTAACATCCCCTGATCAGCTCTGGAGGGCTAGGTGACAGCGTGGCTCAGCGCCGGGCACACTGGCCGGCAGAAGGGCTTCGGAGCCAGCCGCACTCGCATCATCAGAGCACGGGTGACAGCCCGCGGCCACAAACACACTTGAATGTGCTCCGTGTCACTGAGCTCTACACGTGGAAGCGGCTGAAACGGTTACGTTTTATGTGATGCATTATATTATCTTGACACAAAAATACACTTAAACACTGAGTTGTAAGTAACGCTATTGTGCTTCGTTGGAGCAGCTTTCCTGACCCCTCCCTCCAAGCCGCCGCCTCCCACCCCAGGCTTTCCTGGTCACAGGTTCACTAGCGGGCCCCCCCCCGCGGCTGTGGCTGTGGCCCTCAGAACCACCGTCTGTCTTGTAAAAAGCCGACGTAGGCAAGCCTTCTTATGACGTACAGCCTTTCTTTCTAAACTTGTAGTCCCCAGTCTTTGCCATGGAGATTATATTTTGGTCAAAATAAATGCTTTTCAAAAAATAAAGATGACTACCAGACCCTGAATATTGCCCAAATCCCTTTTCCCCTCTGATTTTCAAATACTCAGTAGCTTGTTCCCCTGATGTGTCTAGCGCACAGCGTCTGCTCTCTACAAGGGAAGCGGGTTCCGGGGAGGGCGGGAAGGGGCGGGTAGCTCCGCTGGCGACACAGGGGGTCCGGAGCAAGGGTTCTCGGTGTTGGACTACTGACGGCTGGCGCCGGGCCACTCTGGGCTGCGGGCTGTCCCGTGCTTTGCAGGACGCTCAGCAGCAGCCATTGGTCTCTACCACTAGATGCCAGTAGCGCCCACCTCCCAGCTGTGACAACCAAAAATGTCTCCAGAGAGAGCCAAATGTCGCCTGGTGGCCCAAATCACCGCCAGAGGAGAACTGCTGCTGCAGAGACCTGGGTCAAAGCGCGCAACTGAAGCCCCTTCATCACTCAGGAGGGACAACCCAAGGCCTGCAGGGGACCACCGTGTCATGGCTCACCCTAGCATAGCTCCAGAAACTCCTCCGGTTTAGACTTTTCAACTGGTGAGCAGTAACATCCCTGATCTGTGCCTCAGAGGTGCCAAAAGAAACGGCGGGTGTAGCTCGCACAACGGCACGCCCTCGCGGCACAGAGCGCACGCCTGGGTTCCGGGTGGAGCCGCCTGAGGCACTGCTTGAACAAGCCTGGGTGTTTTACGCTCCGCACTATGGGCTGGAGTAGTGCCCCGCCCCCCCAAAAAAGTCATGTCCACCTAGAACCTCGGAATGCGAGCATTTTGGGAACGAGGGTCTTTGCAGAGGCGATGAGCTAAGACGAGGTCAGGCTGGAGCAGGGTGGGCTCTACATCCAGGGACTGGTGCCTTCGTAGGAGAGTGAGTGACATGAGCAGCTCTGAAAAGTCACCGCCCAGGGTGGTCCCATCCTAAACCCCCAACTGGGCAGGGGGTAGCGGCCTCAGGCCCCAGGCACTAACGCCTGTAGTAAACAGTATCTTTTTTTTTTATTTTTTATCCCGTTGTCTGTGCCTCCAGGCTAAGCCCCACTGAAAGGGCTCTCTCCAGGGCCCTCCCACCTCCCTGTAACCCACCTTCTCTTCCCTCCTGGATCCCAAAGGCAAAAAAGAAACTGCAAGGTGTTATTTTCAGGAGCAGTTGCGATCTTGCCCCTGGGTATGTGCCGCTGGTTTGGCTCAAACAATCTCTTATAAAAAACGCAGTCCCGGTGTGGACTTTTCTCACACCCAGGAGAGAAAAGGGCGGGGGGGGGGGGGGGGGGGGGGGACCAGGCAGACAGGGGGTGGGAAGACAGCCGCGCCACCGGAGGCGGAAATGGGAGGGAGGGGTCCACAAGCCACGGACTGACAGCCGCGGCCCCAGCTGGGCGGCATCCCCAGGGGCCTTCCAGGGCTGCACGGTGTGGGGCGGGGGGGGGGGGGGGGGGCTGGCAGTTTGATTTGGGCCTTGCGGCCTCCAGCGCCCGGGGCCGCGCACCCGTAGTCACTGGTTATGGCGGCTCCAGGACCCTAACAGTGTGCCTCTTGATGCCCAGTATCCTCCCTCCGCGCGTCCCACCATGTCCAGCTCCCAGCGGTGAAGAGCGGAAACGAGTCTGGTCCGGCAGGGACGCCCCCTCTGCGCCGCCCCCTCCGAGCGCGTCCTAAGTCCACACCTGACGTTTTATCCGCGGACCCGACTTTATGAGATGCGGCTTCTTCTTCCTCATTTTCCTCCTCAGACGGGGCAGGGGCGTCGGCGTCTTCACAGCCACATACATGGAAAGCAAAAATAAACCGTAACTGTTTCACTACGTGAGGGGCCTGAGATCCCGGCTCTCCCAGGAGCCAACGGAGCCGAAGAGGCGGGAGAGCCGCGCGTATAAGTCGGCTAGAGGCCTCTGAGGAAGTGACCCTGGTTGACCCGGAAGTTGGCCAGCGGGCAGTAGGCGGCCCCTCGCCCTCCTCGTGCTTGGAGTGTAACGTTCCACCCACCATCCCACGGCGGGAGGCGTTTTCTCGGACACAGCCTGAGAGCGACGTGGGGTTGAGACCATCTGGATGGTGACCGTGATGAACCCAGCGGAGAGCCCTGTATAAACTAAGATCATAGCGGGCAGAGGCGTCCTCGTTGCTCGGGTGCCCAGAACAAGCCTCGGGTGACAGCCCCCGTGCTTATTAAACCTGTCACCTATCCATCCGCCCTTCTCTTCCGTCTCTCCTCGCTCTCCACGTACGGGGACCAGTCTACAAGCCAACGCGGTCACACAGAAATATTCCAGACACCTGAGACAGCCTTAATTGTCTCGAAGGGAAGAAGACTTGCGCAAATCCTCCCGGAGATGAAGGACGCAAGAATGATTGCATAGTGACAACCAGCCCAGGGGAAACGTAAATGACCAAAATGCATTTTAAAAAGGCTCTCAGCTCCACTGATGACTGAAGGGTCAATTAGAATGAGAAAGTGCATCCGCCTTTCCTCAATAGGAAAAAAATAGAGATTGACAACCCCTGGTGGTGGCGGGGCTTCCCGCACACAGGCACAGGGGCGCCTCCTGGCGTTGGGGGTGTGTTGGCAGGGCCTTTCCCCGGAGCAGATTGGCAGGACCTACCCACACTGCAAATGCGCACACCCACAAACAGCAACCCCACTTTTGTACACCTATCCCACAGCAATACAGAAAATGCACATATATGTGTATATACAGGGCTTGGCAGAAGTAACACCTGCTTGAGTGTGGTTGGTAGGGTAATAACTTAATTTTAATTTGAACATTTCACCTAAACTGTCATGTGGTGTGATCTTGCTCTGTTACAGAATTACATGCTTATGAGTTTGTAAAAAAAAAGATTTTAAAATAAAAAGGGGTGTTATTTGTGCCAGACCCTGCTTATAATGACCTTATTTGAGTTTAGGAATTTTCTATATATTTATATATTATCATTATACATATATCATTATGCAGAGAGAGAAAGATGCAGAGATAGCTAGACTGATTTGGAAAAGATATATGGATACACGCCAAACTAACCATGGTTACCTACAGGATTCAGGTGTTCACTGGTTGATTCCTGCACGTGCCCGGCTGGAGGGAACCCACAGCCCAGACACATCCGACCAACTGAGCTGCCCAGCCAGGGCAAATGCACACTGATTTTTTGAATCTCGTTTGGGCATTACTTTACAATTGCATGTCAGGAGCCCCAGGAGAGAGAAAGGACTATTCTTCTAACCCTCTGCAGCCCCTGACACTGTCAAGGTGAGGGAGGGTGAAGCATCGCTCCCAACCCTTCCCTCCCCCGGCCCCGCGCCCCACTCCCACCCCTGCTCGGGGCCACCTCTCTCGCATCTGTGGCCTGTCACTGGGCAGTGGCTCCTACTCCTGAATCTTCACGGCCTGTGTGGCCTCAGTGGGTGAGTCATTTAAGCCTCTGTGGGCCACAGCTTGCTCATCTATAAAATGGGGTAAAAATACTCTCACTTCATAGCATTAATGAGCTGATGATATAAGCGTTTGGAACTGCACCTGGGACAGAGTAAGCACTAAATAAGCGTTTGCTGTGAGTAATATTGCAGGCTGCCTTTCCAGGTGCGCTGTGGGAGCCGGGGCGGTGCCTCCGGCTCACCTAGGGCCCGGCTTCTCCCTGAACGGGGCAGGCGACCCTAACCGTCCGCGACCCGCACCGAGGCCCAGGTTGGCCGGCGCGGGTCCCTGGCCACCGCCGGGGAGAGAGCGGCGGGAGGGGCGCCCGCGGGCTCACCGGCCTCCACCTCCACTTCCTCGGGCACCACCGTGCGGTAGAAGAAGAGCGTGGCGGCGGCCTCCTCGTCGCTGACCCTGTTGAGGAAGTGCAGGATGAGGTCCTCGGCCTCGCCGTCGTCGCGGGTCAACAGGTCCTCGAAGAGCCGGGGGTCTGTGAGGCCGAAGGCCCTGTACACGCGGTCTCGCACCCACAGCACCCGCAGGTCGTCCATGGCGCGGAGCAGGGTCTTGCCCAGGAAGCCCAACACTAGCGGGCCGGCGTCCTTGGCAACGGCGCCCCTAGCAACGGGCGCCCCGGCAACGGCTGCCGCGGGCGCGGGGCGCGCATAGTCCAGGGACATGCCCGCATCCGGCCCCGAGCTCGCAGAGGCACGAACCCAGACAACGGAAAGGGCGACGCCGAGCCCTGGGGAAGGACCGAGGCCCCCGCAAGCCAGCGCGCCGTGGGGCGAAGGATTCTTCCCCGCGACGTGCGTCCACCCTTCCTCGGAGCCCAGCTGCCGGGCAGCACGCACACCCCTCAGACTTCGGACCTCGCGTTGCGCGCCAGGAGCGCTGTCGTGTGCCAGCGTCTTGCCCATGTTGTAAGGAAACCGAGGCAAGGGAGGTGACAAGGTGACAGTATCTCGGAGGTGGCAGAGGCAAAGTTGGGAGACCAGGAAGGACTTGTTTGAGGCCTCAGCCGCTATGAATTAAAGGATGCTGGAAGAGCAGATGCCTTGCAAAGAGAGGTCCCAGAAGGGGCAAGTCCCTTAGAGGGCTCAGGGTCAAGGGAGGGGCTATGTGCTTTGGCTCCTAGCCAAGCCAGGGCGTAATAAAGCAAAACACTCACGTTTTAAAAATATAGATATATTTATTGTTCATCAGTAAAAAGTTCAATACTGATAGGAAGATGCAAATTTGTCCTTTCATGCTTTCATGCATTTGGGGAGCTTGAACTTTTTCACGGTTTCCCCTCACAGAGAGCGGAGCCCCTAGATTTCCATTTTCCCTGTAAGAAATACGCTGCAAGTTCTAAGTGTTTCTTGACATTTTAATCCAAAGCTCAGCATCAGGGGCCTGGCTGTTGGGAAACTACCACTGAGAACTGCCTTGTTTTCATTATCTTGCATTAAGATTTCTCAATAGTCTTGCTGGAGATATATCAGATGGCATGCAAGCAAACCTGGCTTTAAAATTTTAATTAAGAAATTTATTGTTTTTTAAATGCAGACCGTAAAACAGCTGTTGAAGTAATTGTTTTCCAAAATGAACAAGGTCCTAAAATGTCCATTAAGAGCTACCCATGCTGTATTCTATGACTAGTAAACAATTACAGATTGAAAACTGAGACCAGAACGGTGTTTTGAATTACCCATCCCAGTAATGGAGGCCGAGGGGTATCCCGCGAAAGGGGAGCCTTTCCAAGGCCGCACCCACCGCGAACAGAAAGGCCACCGGGCTCACGGTGACCCACTCAGAGAGGCTTGCACTTCCTCAGGGACCACGGTTCCATCGCCTTGCAGGATGACACCAAGTTCTATTTCACTTGAGAAATCGCTTGGGGTTTTATTTTAGGACCCAATTAACACACACAAAAAAAACTGGAAAATGTGGTCATCATGACATTTCTCTTTAGGAAAGTAAACATATTTAGCATCATCTAGACAACCTTTTTTTTCTTGATACCTGCTATCAAGAGAATAAAGTCTGCCTTAAATATTGTTTACGTAATAGTTCTACCAAAGGCTTAAAAGCAAAACAAAGCGGCTGCTCTGGTAACATGACACTGGAACCAATAGCTTTGTAGAGAAGTAAAATTTCCACCAGTGCCTAAAAGATACCATCAAACTGGATTTCTAGAAAGTTCTCTTAGGGCTGTTAATTTTTTATAGTTACATTCTGCACAGTTTCAATGGAAAAAATGACCCATCATTCTCTGTTCTATCTCCTGATAAGAGGTGTCCATTAGAGTATAAAAGTGGCTCCCGAGACAATTAGCAGCAGGGGCGTAAAGAATTCCAGCAAACACTGTTTGTCTCGTTTCCTAGTCAGTTAATAGTGCCCGGAAATCGTGACTTCCTGAGGGATGAGTTAGCTACATTTTACAACAGACCCTTGGAGTAAAGTGGTAAAACACGGCAGCCTGGGAGGGACAAGCTAGGAACCCGGACGGCACCCTCAGGCCCTGGACTCACCGCAAAGTGCCCAGCCCTCTGGGGGACCCTCGGGGGCAGAGTCACTTTCAGGAGTTTCATCAGTGCCCTTTTACATTTGCTATTTTCATCGCAGGCACAGAACCCAGGAACTGTGGGCTCGCTTTGGTAGCAGGTCGTGGGGGTGCAGCGTGGGATCTTTACCATGTGTGCAAAGGCTTCGTGTTAAGAGTCACCGTTCTGTCGTGATGCAGGGTCATGCCCCCCACACACAGGCCCTGAAATTACCTGGAGGGAGAGGCTTGAGTTCAGTGCCAGCAATGTCTTAGCTTGTGAAGACAACTCCAAGCTCTCCCGCCACCGGGGGCCAAGGAAATGGTGGCAAACGAATGTCATAGAAAGAGTGAGAAAGTGAAAATACTGCAGGATTTCTTTCTGAAAGTAATTATCTAAAATCAGAGTAAAATATAAAAAATGAACATAATTTACAAGACAGATCAAAATGTTCAATAGGACTGACATTCATTCAAAACTAAATGTCAAGTGAGCAGATCAATTTAAAGATTATAAATTAAGGGCTAAGAATTAGTTTTCAACTGATCTAAATAGTATTCAAAGTTTAACTCTAAATGCCTTAACCAGACCTTTATTTAGACTTAGACTGAAGGTAAAAAAAATTAGCAACGTGCTGTTCTCAAGGGCAAGGTTCAATCTCTTCATGATAAAATAATTTACATTTTGTTATAAAATGACACAAAAGACTACTTTTTCCTTTCCTTCACTCTGTAGAAACCCCTCTTGGTGCCATTTCATCAGCCAAGCTGGTCACTTAAGTTCGAACCGTGTCTCCGGGGCACCTTCGACAGTCGCACCGCGCGGCAAGGCTCAGGACACCGCTGCCTTCCCAAGGTAATCACCGTAATCGGTTTTATGCAGGGATAACAGGGTGAGGGGCCTTTAAAAAAATATACAAGTAGGATAACCACTTGTTGTAGGTTATATTATCCCATTTTCCCCAATTATAAAACAAGGCAAAGATTGTAGAAACCATCTCCTGCTCGTAATTCTAGAGAGCATACAATAAAAAATGTCCATGTACTTCTAGTCAAGCAGAATGTGTCTTGATTATCCATCATTCAAGTTTTTAAAAAACTCCACTTCAGCTGCTGGAAAATGTCATCTGATCTCAGGTGACACTGTCACTCTGTCTGTCTGTTTGTTTAATAAGATGAAAAGGAATTAAGTATCTAAGACCATTTTCAATTAGCCATTCAAAATGGACTTTTCTCCCCCAAGTCTGTATTTTAAAAAATAACTTTAACATAACTTTTGGCATTAACTTATATTTGCTCGTCATAAAAACTGAAATAAATTTATATATCTAAAAGTGATAAACTTTACAAAATATTCAGCATGAGGAAGAGGTATATCTTACACAATTATTTGGCTATATCATAAGGCAATCAATGAAGACAGAATTTTTCCTATCATAAATTTGACATGAGTGAATTTCTACAACATGATAATTCTCCATCCATCTGAAAGCTGGTTGGACACAACACTACAATCAGGCCACGTCGTCACTGAACTTCCATGAAAGGCGTCTGAAGGAGAAAGGAACAAATTTGGTGCCTGCACCAACGTAGAATTTGTTCTGAAATTCTACCCTAAAAGAAAAAAAATTCCTTGTATTAAAGAACAGTTGGAAATAACATTTCCTACATTTCTTTAAGCAGCTTTTATAAGTTAAAAAAAGAAGTTCCTGTGCTGACGTTGCTTCGTTCCACACACAATCCTGGCAGAAATTATTTGTACTTAGATAAAACCTACACACACGCCCGCCCCGTGTGGGCTTTCGCAGTGTGTTCAGAAGCCCAACACGTCACGCCACTGCACGCACCGCACATTCACACACCGCACGGTCACACACCGGCATCAGGATCTCTCTCCCCGCCTTGGTAACTGGATATGCAGACAAGTAATCTGATATAGCTGTAAAACACCAAGGAGTATGTGTGAAGCCTTTTACAAGATAAAGCAACCTGTCAGGCCCACAGTGAACTGAAAACACGAAATACACATCATTATTCGGCAAAGACAAACGTGCTTCGCCTTGTCGGCGACAGCAGTTCAGAAACCAAACGCCACAATGACTCGGGGGATCTGAGTACAGACCCAGCGTCAGGCGGCGGCCGCCTGCGTTAAGCCTAGGTGTTTGGGTGGGTTTCATACACACACTTCGCGGTGGGGAGGGGTTCTAAGGGGCAGTTCCCGCTCACCAGTGGAGGCGTATGGCGTGAAGGAATGCAGAAAGCCCTTCCATGATCAAAAGGATGAAAATGGTCAAAACGGCGAAGAGCGCGATGACTGGGAGCAGCAGCAGGACCCCGTAGGTCGTGTCTACCCGCAGGCCCACGCGCATCAGCATGGCCCACAGGACGTCGGACAGCTCTGCGGGAGAAGCGCGTCGCAGTCAGCCCCTGTTCGTGCTCAGCGAGTCACGTCTGTTAGTGGGCTGACAACTCCGAAGTGCTGCCCAAAAAGCAATGCGCCCCCGTCCACTACACTACGTACAAACTCTGCTTCCACGTAAACCGTCCTCAGCGCTCAGGCAGACAGGGCAGGCCTGCCTCCCAGTGAGAGATCGGGGGCCAACCCGGGGCTGGGTCGGCTCTGCCCAGCGCAGCTCTGCGCCGGGAGGCAGGAAGCGGGGCGTCCGGTCCTGGCCGTGGCATAAGTGACCGACGGGGGGTCCCTGCACCAGCGCCCACCGTCACTGGGCTTCGGTGTCCTGCTCTGCACAATGAGGGTGAGACAGGATCCCTTCGGGCCACGACATTCCAAACTTTGGGCTACACTTGTAAGAACATCGGTGCAAGGAGAAATAAGCATAAAGCCCCGTCGGTCACCCGGGCGCTCTCACAGGCCCGGCCGCCTCTGCCGCGCTGCCCAGGCCGCCCAGCGCACACTTAACCATCGAGGGAAACAATCGCCGTTGCTCTCGCACCTTGCACAGCTTTTGCCAAAACATTCTTTGATTTATAAATGCATAAAAAATGAAAAAATAGTAAATTTACTTTTAAAACATTAGAAACATTGAGCATTAAATTGTTTTTTTTACCAAAAAAGGAAAAAAACATATCGAGGTGGTTTGAACATGGTGCCTTCGCTCACGTAACCCGGGCGAGCTGGGCCCCGGGCGCGGCGCGAGCACCTTGCCGGCACTCAGCCAGCCGCCCGCGCGTCTCTAAGTCTGGGCCGGCGTCCAGCGTGGGGGCCTCCGCAGCTCCAATGTCCTCAAGGCCTCCGAGTTCCCACGCGTCCCACCTTTTGGGACGTTTGCATCTTCTTCGTCACACCCAGTCCCCTCCTTCCTGTGGATGGACGGACGGGCTGCCCTGGGCCCTCAGGCAGCGGTCCGTCCCCGAACAGCAGCCGCATCCACGCTCCCCGGCCTGTTCAGGCCGCACCGCGCCTCCGGCGTCACCGCTGTCTACCTCCTGGCTACGCTTTCCACCTCCTGGCTACGCTTTCCCTTTGCTGGCCACTTCCCTCACTCGGTCGCCCGTTTTGTAAAATGCCACCTGGGTTCTCACTGGTGCACAGGGCGGCCAGCCACCGCCTGCTTTGCTGCCTCGGCGTGAACAGGACAGAGGCACAGGGACCAAGCGGTCCCCAGCAGACTCTGCCGGGGCGAGTGACTGCTCACTGATCGTGAAGCACACGCGTGTTTACACGGTGACCTGGTGGTGAAGCTGGTACTTTGTACCATGGAAACAACTCATCGTGGGGCACGCGTGTCACGTGGCTGAGCGCCATCAGAACCGCACAGAGGGCGGACTGCGTGTCATTAAACCACTGGCCCGCAGGGCTTCAGGACTTGCTTGAGAGAAACGCACGCTTGCATCTGGGAGGGCAGGACTGCGTGAAGGAACAGCAGTGACAAGAAGAATCATGGTGACGGCAGAGGGTGTGACGGTGGCGGTGCCACAGGCCCTGAGCTTCCCTGCCGCCAGGCCCGCCTGGCTCTGGGCGTCCACAGCCGGCCGGCCCTACCACCACCCAGGGCCCCGCACAGCTAGCAGCCAAGCCCCAACAGCGGCAGCGCAGGTCCAAGACGGCGCTGGGCTTCCCTCGCAAATTCAAAACGTGCCCGTGAGCCGGCCGTGGTGCTGCGGGCGACACTCACGTGCGTGGGCCAGGCTGAGGGCCCAGAGCCGCAGGTAGGACGCAGTGTTGGAGATGCAGCCCAGGCAGTACTCGATGGAATGGATCGCTTGGGTCATCAATATTTCTCCAAAATTAAACTGCGGAGAGAGGACACGGCATAGTCAGAGTCCGCGGGGCGCACGTGCACTCCCACAGTTATGAGTCGGCACCACTTGCACAATTACCGCACAAGCACTGGCTCTGGAACGTTGCGGACACGAGGCTAGGGTGTGGGGGACAGGGGTCACAAGGCGGGAGTTCCACCCGCCAGCCCTTCCAGCCCCAGCCCGTTCGCCCGTGGAGCCGGAGGGGCTGCCCTGGCCCCGCTGCCCTCGGAACACACCCCGGAGCGTCGACAGCGCCCAGCCGCAGGGGAGGTGCACGCGGTGAGGACGCGACCGCGTGCCAGCGACACGCCCCGCGAGGGACGCGACAGGGGGCCCTGAGCGGGAAGCGGCTGCGGGACTCTGCACGGGGACGCGCGTGGTCTCTCCAGCTCTGCTGCCGTTTGCTCTGTCCCTCGGAATCATCCCTCGTCCCAGACCAAAACGCTAAGTTACGGAGCGATTACCAAATGTGGACTTAATGACGACAAAAGGCTGATGATGAGAAATGTGGCTCAGTCTTTCCCGGAGAGCCAAAGGAACTGCAACAGAATGAAGCAGACCGGGGCGGCAGGCAGTGCTGTGTCCATCTGCCCAGAGCTGCGCCCCTCTTCCTTGGGCGGAGCCGCTTCTCCCCGCCTAAGCCTGAACCCCAGCCAGTTAAGGGCCGAACTCTGCTCCCCCGAAATTCAGAGGTTGAAGCCCGAACTACCAACGTGACTGTGACTGGAGAACGAGGCCGTTCAGGAGTTCATGAAGGGTCAATGAGGCCATACGGCTGGGGCCCTAATCGAAGCACGGGGGCCTCAGGAGGGGAGGAAGAGGCCCCAGGGGTCGGTGGGCAGAGACAAGGGCCACGCGAGGACACAGGGAGAAGACGGCCATCGGAAGGCTGAGGAGAGCGGCCTCAGGAGACGCCAACCCTGCAACACCTTGACCTGTGAGCCATTAATTTCTGCCGTTGAAGTGACCCTGGCCAGGCCAATCACAGCCTCTCTGAAAGTTTTCCTAACAGCCGCGGGCAGGTAAGCATGCTTTTCCCTCTGGCTAAGACAAGAAAGTCAGCACAGCGCAGCGCGCGCTGGCGCGACTCAGTGGGCTGGGCGTCGTCCCACAAACCAAAGGGTCGCTGGTTCGATGCCCAGTCACGCACGTGCCTGGGTTGCGGGTTCAGTCCCCAGTAAGGGCACATATGAGATGTTTCTCTCTCCCATCATTGTTTCTTTCCTTCTTCCCCGCTCCCTTCCCCTCCACCTAATGAGATATTTAAGAAAGAGAGAGAGAAGCCATCACGGGGCCACCTGGCTTCAGAACACGAAGCGAACTTGCGAAGAGAAACCAGCCGCGCTTCTTGGAATTGGGGTCCAGGACCCAGCCCCCCGGGGGCCGGCTCCATCCCCGCCCCGACAGGGACCCGCAGGCTCCCCGTGACGCCAGTGTGAGCGGGGGGATCTCTTTCCCACAGCCACAGGGAAGCTCCGGCCCGGGCGGGGATCCACTAAAAGTAATGTAGGGGGCACCTGTAGTCATTCAATCTCACAACCTGCGGCACAGACACTAAATCCCGCTATAAAACAAATAACGAAATGCTAACCCGAAACCCTGACATTGTGCTGGCAGCTGAAAGACCAAAACAGCACCTGGAAAGCTGTGAGCAAGGGTCCTTTTGCTTCTGTTTTGTTTGCTTATTTAAGGTCACTGCAGGGATGCCGGTTAATGACACCATGTGAACTTCTGGTGCACGATTTGCACGCTCTGCCTCATGCTCAGCACCGGGACAGGGGTCAGGGGTCGACGTGAATGAAACTAACCCCACCTCTGTGTCCGGATTTCATTCTGTTTTTACGTGGTGTGCCGTGACCACCCTCACTCCCCTGAGAAAGTGTATCAGAGCCTCCTAGCTGACGGTCACCTGTGTCCCATACAGTGCAGCCAAAAATATTTTTGTTAGTAATGGCCGAATGGCACGACCTACTCCTGGCGGCGGCGGCAGCAATCACGAGCGATCGCTACCACGTGGCCACCGGGCGGTGTGGCCGTGGTGTGTACTGCATTCTTTGTCCCTCTGTCTTGTCGTCCCGCGCACCTGAGCCACACTGCCAACAGGTGCGGCGCAGGGCCCGGGGGCGGGGCATCGTCCGCGCAGGCTGGGTCACCTGTCCGCTCCAACCCCACCTGCCGGTAAGTAAATGCCCCCGTAATCAAGTCTTACAGCCTACGCAGCACCGCATCTTTTTTTGGTCTGACGACACCTTCTCAGACAGAGGCCAGTGCACCTGTGCCCCGCCCCCCCGCAGACACCCCCTGACGCCCCCGCTTTGTCCACAAGAGATCCCCGCCATGGCTCTCATCGTGACGACCGTCCCTAGGGAAGCCCTGTGCGGATCTGCGTCGAGTCTCACTAGTCGCTGGGAACGTTACCTCCTCACTCGTCACCTCCCTGCACCCGTCTTCCATGCGGTTGCTCCCCTCTTCGACGTCTTGGCTTCCCAGCAAGGACACTTCTTCCTCACTGTCTTTCCGCACGAGCGTGTACCCGCTCTGAGAACAAGCACAGAAACAGTCAGCGCCTTCAAAAGCAACGGCTGTGGCAAAACAAAGCTAGAGCTTCTGCAGAGCAGGCGGCTCAGGGCTAAACCGAGGCGGCTCTGGCTTTTAACCGAGACCAGGCCCCCTGAGAGGTGTCTCCTCACCGAGCCCTTCGCGGCGGCAGGAGACGCGCGCGCCGGACCGGCCGCCTCCCCGCTGCACTCACCCTGCTGACCCCGAAGCAGCTGCGCCCGTTGTGCAGCCACAGCAGGAAGAGGGGTTTCCCCAAGAAGAGGACGGGCACAGACAAGGCGGTGACAGCCAGCAGCAGCCTCTGGACGTGCTCCTGGGGGGCCGAGGGCGGGAGGTCAGTGGCACATGCGAGTCACGGCGTCGGCGGCCCGCTTCCTCAGGTTAGCGGAAAACACACCGGGGGTCCCTTTGTTTGTCCACGCGGAACAGACGCGGAGGCAAGCCCCCGCCCTGACCCACAGCGGGGCCCGGGGCTGGCGCCCAGCGCTGGGCGGACCCGCCGAATGCCGGTCGGTTTGGACCAGTAAGAAGTCTGTAGGAAAATTCTGAGGAGTCAAACTCTGGCTATTAACCCCAGCCATTATTTCTGAAAACACAGTCAATGGGAAAATACAAATAGGAGCTACATGCTTTTTTATATCCTTGCTTCTATTTTTTTTTTTTTTTAATTATAGTGGCTATTTGAGGAATCTGCACTTACTTATACAAACGAGAAGTATGGAAATAGCATTCAGAATGAAAAAAACCACATTTCCTTAAAACAGACAAGGTTCCACAGTTGCGCTGGGAGCAACTGACAGGGTCGGGAGGGGGGTGACCAGGCGACCAGGCGGGCACTGTCCCCTGCTCAGCGCCGCCGGGGGCCCTCCCCTCCACGAACACGGGCGCCCCACTCGGCCGCCGGCGGCAGCATCTGTGTGGGAGTCCCTCGTCCGCTCGACCAGCACCCTTCGCCCTGAAACGCGGGCGGGAGTGGGGGCCACGGGCAGAACCATGCCCGTGTCGTGAGCTGTGCGGGCAGGCGGACCAGGTTCACGCCTGGGCCCTGAGCCACCGGAAGCCCACGCCCCGGGGGCTGAGGGGGGAGTCAGCAAAGGGCAGGGAAGGGAAGCGGGCCTCGGGCACGCCGCGGGGGCCAGAGAGGGGGGTCCCTCGCTGACCTCTCGGACCCCAGTGCCCGCACCCCAGGGGCTCCCATCGTGTCTGCCTAACCTGTGTCGCTCTACAAAGGCCCCAAAAATAACAATGAAACACAATTTTAAAATCATCAACAAGAGAAATACAAGCAAGAGGAAAAAAGCAAACCACTCAAAAAGGATGGCCATCTGCAGCGGCCCAACGAAGCCACAGTCAGACTCGCTGAACTTCGGGTCGGACGCAGCCGCAAGCGGGCGGGGACGTGCGCAGCAAACCCGACGTCCTGGGGCCAACAGGACTTAGAAACACAAACCACCACACGGCTCAGGAGCACACAGGCTGTGGCAGTGATGACCAAGAGGGCTCCCGTGTCCCCCGGGCCCCCACAAAGGCTGCCGGGAGGACCGCCTATAGGCTCCAGAACGCAGGAAGGACTGCCCACCTGGCCCGCGTAAAGGCCGCTTGTCTCACTTCCCGGGAACAAAAACATGTTGATGAACTCGATCAGGATGCTGGGAGCGGCCCTGGAGGTCTCCGCGGAGTACGCCAGCCACTTGTAGAAGATCATGAAGACCAGGTACCCGAATATGCAGAGCATGAACAGCAGTTCTGGGACGGAGACCAGGTAGATGTTGAACTTCTTCCTGAAATGCCTAGAGGAAAAGGAATCCATCAACCCACAGAAAAGGCCGGACTGAGTGAAAAGGAAATTCTTCGTGAGGAAGCCCACCTCAGCCCCCGACGTTCGCTAAGGGTCACACTTGTGGCTCAGGGACGTCACGAGGAGAAGTGTGAGGACACCATAGGTCCAGTCAGAGAAAAAGATATAACCTCCTACTCTTACTACACTAGCTCTCACAAGCATCAGTTTCCTAATTTATAATAGAGGAACAGCCCGGCTGGGGTGGCTCAGTGGACTGCGCGCCAGCCTGCAAACCAAAAGGTCGCCAGTTCGATTTCCCGTCAGGGCACGTGCCTGGGCGGGGGCCCAGGTCCCCAGTAGAGGGCGCACGAGAGGAAACCACACATGGATGCTCCTCTCCCTTTCTCCCTCCCTTCCCCCCTCTGTGGAAATAAATATATAAAATCTTTTTAAAAAGAACAAGAAAAATCAATTCTCAAAATGACCAGGAACACATGTTGCCTGTCTCCCTCACCTGAACACGTAATTACCTTGTTTCCCGTCCTCACCGCTCAGTCCCCAGCACCAAACACACTGCCGGGCACATACTATGTGCTCAGTAAATATCTGCTGAATGAATGAACCAATGAAACTGCCAAAAGGCTGTATCATCAAAACACAGTTCCATTATTGGCTGCCTCTGACCTATACGGTCTACCAACAAGAGGCAAAGCAATATATACCAAACTGGGCTTAGAAATATTGTTTCTAAAAACTCTATACTTACAAGTGGTTAAATATTCCCAGAATGACTCCAAATGTCATGTGAATAATTCCTAAAATCACGGACATTTTCATCTTGAAAGAGTTTAGGAAAGTGAGGCGATTTGTGGCCAAGTTCCAAATCTAAAGACAAAACAAAACAGAAAAGGAAAGCTTTAGCGTCTTGCAACTGCCGGAGGGTGCGCGGGCGACAGGGAGGAGGCGCCTATCTGAAATCAGGAGGCAGCTGCGACTTCAACACGAGAGCAACGCTCACTCTCCTTGACGCTTTCGCCCTGAGCTGCTGTTCTCCTAAACCAGAGCCACCGACTGTTACAAAGCCATGCCACCTTTAACATGAAGTTCCAAGAAGGCCAAGAAGCCAGGGCCGTGTTCAGGGAACGTGCCCAGGAAGGGGCACCGAGGAGGAGAGCGAGGACGAGCCGCGGGAGCCCAGGCGGGGCCCGGAGGACGGGGCGGGGTGGCACTGCGTACATGGGGTGACCCTCTAACGGCTGCGCGTGCGCCCGACCCCGGACCAAGTCACACCGAGCGTGACCGGTAATTGAAAAATAAGATTAAAAGAAAAAGCAAAGCCCGTGACCCTTGCCGAACAGCCTGAGAACGCACTGCGGCCGTCGGCACGGCCACGCCAGCAAGGGCCCACGGGGGCAGCGGCACGCGCGCACTCACGGGGTCGACGCCGAAGGGGTACGGGCCCTGGAACACGCCGGGGACGCTGGGGTCCAACTGCAAGACCCTGCTGTGCTTGACCACGCTGTCGCTGGAAAGCAAGCGAGTGAGCAGCGGGGCCGCGTCCGGCCGGCGCGGCCCCCCCCACCCCCGGGCAGCCGTGGGGCCCCTGTGTGGCGAGGGGCTACGTACTTCCAAAGCGTCATCCTGCTGTGCTCGGTGGCCGCGTGGCTGGCGCTGTACATGGCAGACACGTTCCACCCGGAGCCGAAGAGGTTGACGGACTTGGAGAAGCAGTCGTTGTAGATGAGGCCCGTGTACACCGAGAAGAGCCCCATCAGCAGGAGGATGTAGCGGCCGTTGAAGAACATGCGCATGATCTGCGAAAAGCAGCCTGTGCTCAGCAAACAGCACCGCGGCGGGAGGTGCGCGCCTGTGACCCAGGCCGCTCCCTTGTGGCTCCCAACACCAGGCACTGTCACAGGCGTCCCCTCACACGGGGTCCGCCCGCGCCTCTGACGTCACGGTCAGGGGGGTCGCGGTCACCGCCTGACACTGAGCGGCCTTTGAGAGGCGGCTCTTCTTCGCACTAACGCTCCCCGAGCAGGCGGGCCGAGCGGGGGCATTTTTACCTCCTGCGACTGAGTCAGTCTCGGGTGGTTTTCATTCAACACGAGCAGCAGGGCGAACAAGAACATCACGAAGCCGTGCCCGAAGTCCCCGAACATCACGGCGAAGAGGAAGGGGAACGTGACGGTGGTGAAGAGCGCTGCGGGGAGTGAGAGGCGCCGTCAGGCAAGGCGGCCGCTCCGGCTGCCCAGCCACTCGGCGCTCGGCACGGACCCACGCGGCCCGGCCCGGGGGGCAGCAGCCGCGAGCCCGCCGGCCAGACGGCTGTGACACGCTCGGGCTCGCGCGTTCCGGCGCCAACCTGGGTTCACCTCCCGGTAGCTGCCCACTCCGTAGGCGTCCACGATGTTCTGAAAGCCCTCGGTGAATTTGTTGGTGCGGATGAGCGTGGGGGGGGTTTCCTTTGTCGGGATGGTGTTCATAAATGAGGGGATGGTGGCGCCGCTCTCTCTCTTTCACATAAAAAGGAAAATGGAAGAGCAAAATTACTACCCAAGAGAACTTTCAACACACACCGTTGCCCACTGTGGCAAGGCTCTGGGCGGGGCTCCGTGGGAACACACTCGGGCGGTGGAATATTAAGTAGTTACTTTTAAAAACAGAAATGTTTGCCCTGAACGGTGTAGTGCGATTGGTTGGGCACTGACTGCAAAGTGAAAGGTCGCCGGTTCAACTCCTGGGTCAGGGGCCTGGGTTGCGGGTTTGGTCCCTGGACGGGGCGCAGAAGAGAGGCAACTGATGGCTGTTTCTCTCTCACATGGATGTTTCTCGCCCTCTCTTTCTCCCTCCCTTCCCCTCTCTCTAAAAATAAATAAAATCTTTTCAAAAATAGGAAAGTTTTATGAGGTGAAAAGAACAGTATAAACAGCATGCAATCTCTTGTGAGGAAAAGAAAGAAAAAGAACACCCGTTCTTACTGTTCATACCCGATCGAGAGCCTGAGAGACACACTGGGACTAAAGCAACGGCCCCCTCTGAGCAGGGGGATGGCACGATGCCACCGCGCGGCGGCTTTGGCATTTTTTGACTTTCTAACCACAGGCCTGCGTTCCTGACTCAGAAGAGCAAGGCAGGAACGCCCGTGCCCGCACACACGCCCTTGCGTGCCTGGCGCTCTGTGGGTTCGGCTCAAGGAAGAGGCACCGGGCGCCACCCCCCGCCGCCCCGCGGCTCTGTGCAACGCCGCTCTCTTCATTTCTCCGCGCCCACAGCTCTGGCCGCCCCGGAGCACCGCGGGGCCCGGCAGGGCTGCCTTACCGACCCGTCCTCGAGCGCGCGGCGCAGGCCCTGCAGGTCGGCCTCGGGGCACCAGACCTCGGCGATGAGGCACTTGTTCGTCACGTCGAAGCTGCACATGTTCAGCATGTGGTAAATGGCTTTCATTTTCTTCACCTGGATGGCGCGGGTGTAGACCGACTCGGCGGCCTTGCACAGCACTTGCCTTAAATAATCCTCGGTTTTGTGAAGCACCTGGGTGAGGGCGAAGCGGGCTCTCAGCGGAGGGGGCAGCCTTCGGAGTCTGTCCGCCAGGCACCTGCCCGTCCTGGAGACGTGGTGGGGGGGCGGGGGGCGCTCCTCCAAGGGGCGGGAGGAAAACCTGAGCTCAGCCAATCGGATGCTCTCCTGGAGCTCCCTCTCTAGGACCTGGCCCAGGGCCACAGGAAATGGCAAGGGGGCACGGCCAGTGCGGCAGCAGATGGCCTGGCTGGGCCCAGAGAGCGCCTGGGTGCCGGTCCATCCCCAAACTCAGCCCAGCTCCCAGCTGGCCCCGGAGCCCCTGCTTCCCGTCCCCTCCTGCGAAGAATCCCCTCGGGCCGAGTGGGTCATGCCAGCCTCTTGCCACAGAGAGCCCTTCTGCCTCAAGCAGACACGAGAAGCAGGAGCCATGCCTGAAAGGGGCTTGTCTGTCTCCTCCGATGAGGAGTCGCGCTCCGACATAGCAGGGAGGAGCTTTCGTCTTAAAGCCTGTCACTACCTGCGTTTCTCACAACCGCTCACATAGAACTGTCAGGAGAGGAGGAGGAGAAGCGCCTTCCAATCCCTCTAAAACGCCTGACTTGTCACCACCGAAATGCGCCACATTAAACCGGAAAGCGCCGGGACGCGTGCGCGCAGCGGCGGCCCACTCACAGTGTACAGGTCCTGGATCCGGGTGTTCAGCCCCTCCTGGATCTCCCTGCGCTCCTCGGCAGTGCTCGGGTAGGGGTAGACGTGGCAGTGGTAGCTGGAAGACAGAAGGCCGCCCGCCGCACCCGGCAGGGCCCGGGGAGCCTGGTGGGCCGCAGAGCCACGCTCGGCCCGAGAGCGGCCCTCTGGGGGCGCGCGGTCCGGGGGGCGCCCGCCCTGCACGTCTCTGATGTCAGCGTGCTCAGCCCACTCTCTCTCGCACCCAAACTCCCTTCCTGGCCACCGACTCCTCAGACTTACACCCAGTCCCAGCCTCTGGAAACACCCTGCCCTCCTTGGAGTGGGAGTTATTACACAAGTTTGAAACAGAAAAACAAAGATAACACACAACAGCAGTTACCTCTTTAAAAAGAGAAATCAAAGGGAGACCAAAGCTCTGGTCCGCAGATGCCGCAGCAAGCCTCTCCCCCGCCTCCAGCCACCCGGGCCCGGGGGCGCCGGGACCCGCGGGGCAAGCGGGGCTGAGCCCATGCCCACACCGCAGCCACCGCCACCCACCACGGTGCTCTCCTTTACGTCCTGACACTTAGAGTTACGTCCGGACGCAGCCTGCGCCTCAGCAGCGACGCCTGTGACTGGATGGGTCTGCTGCGCGGGGGTAGTTTTTCTGACGTACATTAAAACAAAGAGCTTCTATAAAATAACAACTGGCTTGTCCATGCGACACCCCAAACGACTTTCCACAGCACCAGTAACTGAGCATCAAACTCCAGGACACGGATCGAAAACAGAGCCGAGTCCCACGCTCACCCCCAAGCAACACGGCCGCCCGAACGGTCCCCGAGGACAAGAGGGCGAAGGGCCTTCTGCGTGTGTGTTTGGCTTTGCTTACTTTCCCATTTACTGACGAGAGAAAGCCACAGACAGGCTCCTGTGCGGGTACCCCGACAGCTGCTGCGGTCCCTCGCCCTGTCCCTGCAGTGAGCACCCCCGTTTACAGAGAAGAGCACACCGTGACCAGGTGACGCACCCCAGACCACCCAGGCTGGAGCCCCCACGCCTCGCCCTGCCCCGCCCCCGCCCCACCCCCACCCCCACGCGCTGGGGCAGCTGCCCGGCACTGGGCAGCGGGGAAACCACAGCTCCACTAAGTCTCCATGCAGCTAAAAGCGACAGGGAGGCATGGAGCACTGCAATGTGGTTCTTTCTTCTATTGATCTCTGTCTTGATTTCCAAAAAAAAAAAAAAAAAAGCCCCAAATCTGGGAACGTTATTAACATGATCTCCACTTTTGAATTATTTAAGTATTGCACTGGCAAGAGAGATCAGATAAAATGTTTACAAACATGGGATTACAGCAAAGATGTCACAGGACCAAGCCCAGCAGCCTTTGAATCCACTGTATTTCCCTTCCAACAGAAGGACATTGAAAGAAAACTAGAGGTTCCAGACCACAGAGAAATAAATTAAATGACTGTTTCTTTTTCTTACCAGTCACATATCTTCTTAACCTTGTGGCCAATCTGTTCTCCCCAGAAGGATATCAGAAACACGTACCATTTCATGACTTCCCCCTGCGGAGCAAGCGGGACACCGGTCACGGCCGCGTCCACAGCCGTGAGGGGTCTGCCGGCAGCGCAGGCTCTGTGACCACCGGCCCGCGGAGCCGCGGGTCCCCGACGGCCAGGTCACCGCAAACACCGTTCCTCGCTCCCAAACTGACACTCGCAGTGCTGTTTTGGTCACTTGCAGACGCGCAGAGCGACACAAGTCGTGAGTCACCCGACGTGCATGTGCCCAGCGTGAGGTGGGCAAGGTGACGCTGCCGTCCGGTTTCATCTCAAACTGTAGAGTGTCCTCAGCAGGATGAATCCAGTGGACGGTTTCCTATGTTTACGCTTTCAGCTGGTGACTTTACTGTTAAAAAGGCCCCAAGCGCAGCGCTCAAGTGCTGACCCGTGTCCCTGAGCGCAGGGAGGGCAGATGCGCTCCGTTCACGCGGGAGTGATGGTGCTGTTGGCTGAGTTCAAGGTCAATGAATCGAGACTATCTATTAAATAAGACGTCCTTAAAAAGAAACACGGCGCAAAGCTGCATACTGCCGGTCGGACAAAGCGCTGTGACCAGAGGCCGCAGGCACCCGCCGCCCAGGGCGCAGTGGCTGAGCACCCGCAGAGAACTCCCAGAACAGAGCGACCGCGGGTACAGAGAACCGACGTGCCTACGGACGCTCCGCAGAGGGAATGGAACGGGGCTCGGCGTGCAGAGCGGACCTAACGCCCTACAGGGGGTGGCGGGGGGCGGGGGGACTTATATTCAAGGTGGCACCAAGAAACTCAAAGAAAACATCCCGTGTCGCATGGAGGTAAGTGCGATGAAGAAAAGAAAGCCGGCGGGCGGCAGGGAGGGCGGCGCGGGGCTGCGACTCTAGATGCCCCAGGGGGGCACACGGCCTGAAGGGAGCAAGCACGGGACGCGGGGACGCGGCGATGCAGACAAGAGCCTCCGAGCAAAGGGGAAGCTCGGGGGAAGCGAGTGGAGGAGGGGCCAGGGCAGGTCTGGGTGTGACAAGGAGGAGACGCTGCGGGGCTTTGGGCCTCCCGCTGGGGGGCAGGGAGCCCCTGGCGGAGAGCGGTGACCGGAGCGTAGCTGCAAGGGCGTCCCAGATGCCGGGAGCGGAGAGCTGAGGACAAGGCCCCCGCCAAGCGGAGGTGCTTCTGGCCCCTCGTGTCCCGGAGCCGGGGTGGGGGCGTGACGGGGCCCGAGCCCCTCCCGTGCGAAGCAGACCTGCTGGTGGTGGGCACGGGCTGTGAGAGCAGGGGGTCCAGGGTGACCCCCAGGCGCTGGCCCTGAGCGGCCACGCAGAGCTGCCCCCCGCCGAGCCGGGCAAGCCTGGAAGGGCAGGTTGGGGGCGAAGGTCAGGAAAGATCCGCTTTAGGCTGGAGGCGGGAATTTAAAAGCTGTACATGCAAGAGTGGTGTTTCGGGGAGAGGTCTCGGCTAGATTTGGGGGATGGCATTTAGAGCCATGGAATTATTACAGGACCCCTAAGGGCAGAGAGAGGAGGGGAGCAGCCCAAGGCCGGAGCCCTGGGCCCAGGGGACAGGAACAGGCGGGGGGTCCTGAAGGCAAGGACACAGATGGCGGGGGGAGGGGAGGCTGTGGCCGTGGCTGTGGCCGGTGGAGGACATGAGAGGGCAGCGCAGCGCCCCTCTGTGACCCACAGCTGATCACAAGAGCATGTCGGACAAACCCAAACTGAGCGACGGGCAGGCTTCCAAAACTATTGGCCGGCACTGGTTTGAAACGTCAAGGTCGTGAAAGTCAAGGAAAGACCGAGAAATCTCCCCGGAATGAAGGAGAGCGAGGAGCTGGGACCCTAAGTCCACAGGGTGCGAGTCCAACCTGGACCCGCTGCTGGACGAGAGGCAGCGGGACGGCCAGCGAAAGCGGAACGGGCCTGAGGTCGGGGGGTGCCACCCACGGCGGCCACCCGGTCGCGCTGTGGCAGAGCAGGAGGAAGCCCGGACCTCGGGAACCACACCCGGGACGCCGAGGACCAGGCGCCAGGGCGCGCTCACCTGGGCCAGCTCCCTGCACAGGGTGCCGCAGGTCTGCGGGGGGCCTGCCGCCGCGCGGTGACGTCACACTTACCGTCTCGGGGTCTTCGAGGGGCTCGTCCAGCTCTGCACAGGTCACGATGGTGTACCCTTTGCACGCCCTCCACAGCATCCTTTCAAATGCTTCGACTTTCCCTTGGTTAATGAGACCGGATACAAATCTACGAGACAACACAGACAAGCTGCAGGCAGCTGGAAGCAACGGGTTCTTCCCAAGTACACTCAGAAAATGACGAAGACTCATTTCTGACCAAAAAGCGAAGAGACACAGAAAACCCTCCCATTGCCAAATATCTAAAATGCTGCATAAAAAGCTTTTGAAACGTCCTTTCCAATGTAGACCTGAGCCTCAGATTAGAGAAATTCTAAGAAATCAAAGCAACAGGACCTCATAGGCACCCTGATGCATCCCCCCGGCCCTGAGCTGCCAAGCCCACATGGGGGACGGGGGGCTGGCGCTAGGTGTGCACAGGTGAGGAGAAGAAACCGACCCCCCAAACTCTCCCCACTAAAGCTGGGACCCCCCCCAAAGGGCTACTCCTTCACTGAACCGAGGGATGAGAAAAAAATCCACCCTGCAAAGGAGCCTACAAGTACTCGTTTGTTTCCATTCTGGATGTGGGGGAATCTTCGTGGAGAACTTAAAACCACAGGTGAGAATTTATGACCACAGGTTAGAATTTACTCAGGCTTGCAGCTTAACTACTCATTAAATGCTCAGTGAAAAAACAAAAACACAACAGAAAGCCAGGCTGAGAAATTAACAGAGACGCCTCCAGGCTGGCGGCCGACAAGCACAAAGGTAACCGCTCCCCAAGGCCACGCCCTCAAGGCAGGTGCCCACGTCCTGCAGGCGGTGAGCGGGCAGCCAGCAAAGGAACACAAGGTCACGGTGAAAAGAAACCGCAGGAGGAAACAAGTCAAGAGAAACCAGGCAGCAGAAAGAGCCCCTGCAAACCTGCTTCACACGCTAACCAACTCCATCCAGCCCGTTCCCGCCGCCCAGAGCAGGCCCGACGCTGCGGGGACCCGCCGGTCCCTCCTTCCCAGCCCACTGTGCCCCAGGAAGCAGCCAGCGCCCATCACAGCTGCCAACGGCTAAGAATTCGCCGTAGCGGCGCCATTCACCGCGGCGGACCCGGGGGCAGGGTGTTTTTGTCAACAAGCAGCCGCTCCCCCGACTCAATCCCAGGCCCTCGGCGGTGCCCACGCAGAGCACTGCCCCTGCAGGGCGCGCCTTCACCCGACGCCCACGCGTCACCTACCCCAGCTTCGCTCCCAGCCGCTGCATGGAGCTGTAGTCCAACAAGGAGTCGCTGTCCAAGGCGGGGAACTCTTCATATGTGGGTTCAAACTGCAACGAGAGCGGAAGCCAAGTGTGTCCCATGAAACGTGAGTGCTCCGGTCACGTTGGCGAACAAGAGCGCGGGGCCCCGTCACTGCCTCCTGTGGCCTGGGTGCGAGGACCCTCGGGGACTCAGGCGTGTCGTCCAGCTCTGATCAGAAAGAGGGTCGTTCCCCCATCCCTACCTGTGAGCCACTGGCGGTCATTTACATAAGAGCAGAGTTATAATTTCTGTCACCCCCTCAATGCAAGGCAAAGCGCTTTTCCGACGAGTCGCTGCGTGTGGAAGGCCCGTCCTCCCCGGGCACTCAGCCGAGTGTGGGAATACCACGCAGGTTGCTCTTCCTTCTTATAATTCAGATTTTAACCTCCCTTACTCTTAGCAATTTGGAAATAAAAACTAAATTGTAGAACTGAACTTCCTCTGGTTATTTTTTCTCAAGATCATAAACAGATTTTCTTCAATCGCAAACGAAAGCGTTTCACACATAGGAGGTGTGGTTACTGCTCAAACTGACCAACACGGGAAAGGCCTGAAGCTTTTCTCGTGTCGTATCACCCAGCTGCGAGCAGAGCCGAGGTAAGACTATCTCTTGGCAAAAGCAATGCGTCCACAGGAACCAGCCACAAAACCGAGGCCTGACAGGAGGGGGCTCAGCCCCAGAGGTGCGCCCCCCACGCCCCACGGGCCGCCCGAACCTCCACGTTCCGCCGGACGAAGGCTCTCGTCACTCTCAGCATGTGGGTGTACTCGACCAGCTCGAGCAGGTTCTTCCTCAGCTTCTCCTTGTTCTTCGTGACCTCCCTCAGCTCCACCTCAAGCTTCTGCAGCTGCTCCTGAAACAGAACGGCAGCTCCTGGGGACCGCGCTCCGTCCGATGGCCTCTGCGGGGCGCCATCCGGCGGGGCCCCATCCAGCGGGGCCCCGGGGAGGCCGGACGCCATAGCACAGGACTGGGACGGGAGACACACCACGGTTCTAAAGGCCGTCGCCCGCTGCCCCGCGTGAGCGCGGCTGACCGCTGGGGGTGGGGGCGCAGGCACTGCGATACTAGGCCCCCGGCGGCCGCACGGCCCAAGGCAGGCGCCTTGACTCAGTCTGCCTCTCGCATCCGCGCGCCCACCCTCCCGCATCCGGAGTCTTCCTCTTCCAGGGCCGCGTGTCCTTTTACTTGCAACATGGAAAACGCGTTCCGATCATCTGTTCTAAACATGCGTATTCCTGTCCCCAGCTGGAGGGATCCACACAGCCACACTTACCATGAACTGGGCATAAAAATTCTTCCTAAATAACATGGTGCAGACACAGCATTCCTAGCCATGCTTAAGAGTGAAAACAAGAGCAGCAGCAATCTGCACAGCAAGTGCCTGGTCCAAGGAAAGCCTGTGTTCAAGCAAACCCGCGGGCACGCGACTTTCGGGGCCGCGCTTGGCCGGAGGGAACCACCCACAGGCCGTCATCACTACGTGTGGAATCGTATCCCAGCCAGCCCTTCGCAAGGCCACGCCGGACGACTGCACTCTGCTCGCCGGGTGTGTGGCTCTCCCTGGGACCCGCTCGCGCACCAAGTGTGCGACGCCTTCCTCCAAGACCAGCCAACCGGGCGGCCTGCGGCGGGGCGGCCCGAGCCACCCCGGGACAGCTGTCTGAGAGGGGCTGTCAGGGGCTCTCAGCTCTGGCCCGGGCGACAGTCGATCAGGCGACTAGACCAAGAGCTCAGGGGATAGCTCACGGCATGGGGAGCCCGTGTGCTCACAGCGGGGACGCTGTGTCCCCAACGCCCAAGACACTCAGCTCAGGGAGAAGGGAGTCCATTGCCTGCCCACCTGGAACAAACTCTTGTCTTCTGCCAGCTTCTGAGAATCAGAGGTGGCCCAGTGAACCGGGGGCGGGGCCGAAGCCACGAGGACTGGCCGGGGGAGGGCGCGGGCTGGCTCCCGTTAGGCGGCGTTCACCGCCGCCCAGGAAGGGAGCGCACACCTCACATTTCAAAGAAAGCCGGGGTCCAGGGAAAATGTACCACGGGTGACTGACCCACTACCGAGGGTTAACTGTCTTAGGGCTCTTTCATTCTCAGTCCACGGTTTTGAGAAGAAAGGCAGAAAAGCACTAGACAACATAAAGTGAGTAAATGAGCAGATTCTGAGCACAGCGACCTGAAGCAGCGTCTTCGGAAGCAAGTTACCTGCATCTCTAGAACCTGCTTGAGAGGCGGAGCAGGAGGGCTGGTCTCTCCCTCGGGAAGGGGAATGTCAGCTCTGCTAATCTCCTGCGCCAGGTACGCTGTGGGAACGAAGGCCAGACAGGTTAGACGCAAACGCAGGCCCAGGGACACGGCGGTCAGGACACTGCACAGCCAGCCCCTCCGAGGCCGTCAGAGATGAGGGTCGAAAGGCACCAAAATCTTACTCGTTCCCACAGACTTATCAGCCGTCTGCTGCGACCGCCTCTCCGAAGGCGACACTGCCTAAGCAGAGCGGCGCGCTGCAACAATGCACGCGAGAACGGGGTGAGCGCATCCTGAAACCCCCGCTTCTCCTCACTTCCGAGCCTCGAGTTAAAGGGTGTTGGGGCCACTGCGGCCTCTGCGCATGCAGAGGGAAGAGAAGGCTCAGGACGCTCCAGGAAGCACAGGAACAACCCAGTGACAGACGGCAACGTCCCCACAAAGGCCACGCGGAAACGCCACGTCTTCCCCCTGCCCCCGCCCCGTCCCCGCCCATCGCCCGGCACCGAGGACGCCCGCCCCTGGCGGTGGCAGCCAGCCGCTTCGGAAGGAAGCCTCAGGTCTGCTGGCCACAGAGGCAGCATTTGGGTCACGCTGGAGGCGACGTCTGGGCCTGAGCTGTGTATCACTCCAGACCCAGGAAAGCAGACTCACCCCAGCGACCACACCCGTGAGGGCCCAGCCAGAGGGCAGCAACGCCCAACGCCCCCCAATCAGGCGGGACCAGGACCAGGACCAGGACCGAGCGCAGCCCCCCTCCCTCAGTGCCCATACGACGCACCCCCAGAAGCTCTGGGGAGCCAGGTGTCAGCGGCCAGCTCGTCCGAATCCCCGGGTGTGGTGCCACTTCCTTAAATAAGCCTTCAATTACTTTCTTGGCCATAAATTCCTGTTAGCGTTTGGTGAGGCTTTGACGCGCACAGGCGAACAAGACCCTGAGTTTGGTGGCACCACCCGGGGCAGCAGACACCACGGGAGGAAGCAGGCGCCCACCGGGACAATCGCAGCCACCAGCGCAACCCCAGGCCCGGGAGCCAGGTGCCCTGGACAGCGAGCGCGCTGTGAGCCGGGCCGTCCGAGCTCAGCTTGTGCGGCTTCCCGCCCGCCTGCTACAACCACGGTCGCCCAACCACCGCTGAGCCGGCCAGAATGAAATGTTTTGAGTTTGATTTCCAATTCCGTGAAGTCCTTAAAATAAAAGCCATGGTACCTGGTAAAGTCATTACCACATATAACCTTTTGGAGAAGTAATACTAGTTTTGTTTTTTAAAAAAAGATACTCTGGTTTCTCTTCAGATCACATAACTCTTTTGCCTTAAAAAAAAAAAGGCTAAAGAAAGAGAAAAGCAGGCTGTCTTCCAACCAGATAGCAAAGGAAGCACGGGGTGGTTTAAGAGGTTTCTGGAAATGGATGCAAATCGCTTGAACATGTTGAACCCATTTATACCTAAATTTGTTTGAGAGTTCCTTTTTTTTTAAAGCCTGCATCCTTTGTGAAACACGTTTACGCTACAGGAAGTCCTGGACATGTCTAATGTGTTAGCACCTTGCCCTGCCTTTAAAAATCTCATTCCAAACACGCGACCTGTCCAATGACTCACACATGTCGCAAAGCCAGGAGTATGAGGTCCGTCTACCCCAGCGACTCTCAGCTGCCGTGCCGCCAGAGTTTTCAAAACACACGACGCCCGACTCCCTGTCGGGGGTGCTGAGCTCGTTGCCCTTACACTGTCAAATAAAAAAATGACAACAGCCAACACAACAGTAGCCGTCCAGTGTGGATGAATCAAAATTGTACCTATTGTTGTCAGACTGGCAAAAAACATAACACGGTTTTCGGTGTGCCGCGAACGTCAGCGCCAGCCTGCGGGCGCCGTGCCGTGGAAAAGGCTGAAAACTGCCGCCCTGTCCTACACAATCCGCACGTGTAAGTGGGCCCTCAAACACGAGAAAAGAAAAAGACGACAGATGACTCAAAGATCGTTTCTATCTTGAAAATCCCCAATTTAAAAACATAAAACCCACAGTAACTATTGGCTCTTGGGACTAAAAGTCGTACCCCCCCCCCCACCAACATTCTCATCCCCACGCGTTTCCGTCCATCCTTCTAAAACAAACTCTGCTTCGGTCAGCGGTCTGGGGTCATTCTTGTCCCTGTTGCAGCAGAACTTCAGGGCTTGAGCTGGTCCTGACTGACTCAGGCTAAAATGTTAGAGACTCTGCACGTAAATGAAGCAGCTTGAGCTGTCGCTGGGCTTCAGCAGCTGCCGGGCAGAAACCGCCCCACCAGCTCCGCAAAGGGGGTCCTAAAAAAGGAACTCACTCGCAACCAGCCGCCTGCCGCCTCCTACCTCCTTTGTGCACTGATGTAATTTTTAAGTCGTATACCAACGTGTTTAGTATGTTTTTAAATTGTAATTAACTACAAGGGATTGGTTAAATAAATGATGGCACATTAACTACAGTAAACAGTATGCAGCCATTAAAAATGATGGGTCCATTAGTTTATTGGTGTGTTACAGTGAGTACTTACTGTTGAATGAGAAACAAAGCTGGTAACAAAATAGCCTGAGCACTATGGATATAGATCCTCACCTTTACAGACGAGCAGCAGAAAGCATGGAAAAGCAACACAAGCCTACACGACAGCAATCGCCTCTGAACAGTGAGAACGTGGGAACTTTCTTTCGTCCTTTCTGTTCATCTGCATTGTCTGACTTTCCTCAAGTGACCGGGGTTTGCTTATATAAAAATGGTTACTGAGGGCATTAAAATGAACTTACCCAATATTCGCTCTAGCTCTTCACACCTCTTCACCTCACCAACAAATTTTCTTTGGAAAGAACTTACATTCTGGTTGAGCTGAGAAAAGAACAAAACATTTCCTTGGAACATTCTAAAATTTAAAAATGAATCGATTTTAAAAATGAAATGTCTTTGGCACGAGCTTAAGGAGGCGTGCGCCCTCCTGGACTGCCGGGCGTGGGCACGGGGGGCGCCCGCGGGGGTAGGGGGCGGCCTGGCCACGCCGGCCCAGCGCCTGCGCACCACCCGCCGGCCCAGGGCTACCCGCGGAGAAACTTAACCGCAGGAGGGAACCACGAGCGCCGACAAAGGTTTATTGGGAAGAAACCAATCACAGAACAGAGAAAAGCCGGTTCACAGTAGAAAGCAGACTGAAGAAACGGGAGCCCTCCATCACACCGCGGAATGCCACTCGGCAGCGCTCGGGGACAACACTGTCACCCGGTGTCACAGGGGAACGGGCGGGGGACTCTCAGACACACCGCGCGAAGGACAGAGGAAGACGCCGAAGGGCACCCACGGTGTGACTTCCTTTCTATGAAAGGGCCAGGAAAGGCCCTGGCTGGTGTGGCTCAGTGGACTGAGGGCTGGCCTGTGAACCACAGGGTCGCCGGTTCGATTCCCGGTCAGGGCACAGGCCTGGGTTGCGGGCTGGGTCCCCGGTGTGGGGCGTGAGAGGCAACCCCACATGGATGTCTTTCCCTCTCTTTCTCCCTCCCTTCCCCTCTGACAACAAAATCTTTAAAAAAAGAAAAAGAAAGAAAGAAAAAGAAAGGTCTGGGAAAAGCAGTCCTACAGGCAGGAAGGAGGTGAGCAGCCGCCTGGGGTTGGGCTGGGGGTGGGTTGGTTTCACTGTACAGGAACAAACGGTCCATCTTCTAAAACTCAATGAATTGTGCAGCTGAAGTGAGTGGATTTTATTATACACATCAACAAAGTGGTATAAAAAGTATGATTTAGCCATGTAACTTACTGTGCACTTTTTAAAATTTTAACTTTTTTAACCCTCCCCTGAGGACCTATCCCTTGGTCACGCCCGTCGGTTGCCTCCCCAGTGCGCGCTGACCAGGCACCAAACCTCTGCCTTTGGCTCCTTATCTTTTGCCTTTCAGGCGACGCTCCAACCAGCTGGGCAACCAGCCAAGGCTATCATGCCCTTATTAAAAATGATGTTTTAAGGGATGAGGGCATGCGATTATATTCAGAAATCATTTACATATTTTAGGTATGATAATGGTATTACGGTTATGATTTTTAAGTGTCCTGACACCTGAGAGAGACTTTCTGAAATGGTCCTAAGTGAAAGCGCACACCGGGGACCGGCTGCATAATCTTCCCGGGGGTCCGGGGTCAGAACGGGGTGAGTGGCGGGGCTTCTCTCCCGGGCTCACGGGCAGTCCCTGCCCCCCGCACACTCTCCCCGCAACGCAGCTTCTGATAAAAGCTCAAAACAATAACAGACGGTGTAAAAGAACATTTACTAAAGTCAGGAAATTATCCATGATTTGTGTGTAAAAAAGATTAAAGATATGTACACTTAAAAATATTATTTAAAAACTCACATTTGACCAATATTAACCAAAAAGTTTAAGTGTTTATTTCTAAATGTTGGAATCATAGAAGTTATTATCTTATTCTTATATTTTCCAAATTTCCCACAGTATATGTTTTTTCCCACATATATTAACTTTTTTTTTAAGATTTTATTTATTTTGTTTAGACAGAAGGGAAGGGAGGGAGGAGAGGGAGAGAAACATCCATGTGTGGTTGCCTCTCACGCCCCCAACTGGGGACCTGGCCCGCAGCCCAGGCCTGTGCCCTGGCTGGGAATCGAACCGGCGACCCTTTGGTTCTCAGGCCGGTGCTCACTCCACGGAGCTGCACCAGCTGGGGCCCACATATATTACTTTTATAACAAAAACATTTTACAGCAAGCATTCATGTGAAGGGCAGTTAGGGCAAGAATTCTCTCCTCACCCAGGGTCTGCAGCGGGCCTCAAAAACATAATCAGGCAACAGCTTGGCAGGAGGCTGCCCAGACAGTGTGAGAGTGTCTGGCCCAAAGGCGCAGTTCTTGCCTAGGTTTTTGAATTATTTTTTTAAAGAATTAACCAGAAGAAGGATAAAAAAATTCTAATTTCACTTCTGCACGGCACACTCACACCTGCTTCTGGAACCCGCGCTCACGTGAAGCGACCGCTCTCCAGTCCCCAGCGCCGCGGGCACCCCCGCGCCTCCGAGCCCGGGCGGGGAGGAACGCAGGGCGTCACAGCCTGCCTGAGCACGACGCCAGCCTCAGGCCCGACTGTTTCCTTCACGATCGAACACCGACAAGTCTGCTGGACACTGTGGTCTCCAAACAGAATCCTCACAGGAGGCAAGTGTCTGCAGCAACGATGCCAACGTCACAGGTTGTGACAGCCACCATCACTGCCGCCTTACGTGTGCTCACTGCGGTCTCCCGATAGGTGGTTTCTTTTACAGAGTTTTATTTCTCTTTCCTTTCTAAGAAGGTAACGTCACCCTCATTCTGGGCCAGTGACAGGAAGTAGCTTCGCCTGAAGCCGAACATTTAACCCAGGAAAGCCGCGCAGGGCGACGCCTGGCGCTGTGCTCACTAAGCCCCTCGCCAGTGCCTGCCGCGGAGAACGCCAACCTCAGGCTGCGCCCTGTTGCCCAGAGGGACTCTCGCTCTTCGCCGAGTCCCTCGGCTCACTTGACAACCTTCCTTCTGGGTCTTCTCATTCACTGCAGCAAACCTTGGCCTGCCTTCTCCCCCTCCCAAGGATTATTTTTTATTTATTTTATTTTTTAAAATATTTATTTTTAGAGAGATGAAAGGAAGGGAGAAAGAGGGAGAGAAACATCAGGGCTCAAGAAACACATCGATCGGTCGCCTCTTGCACGTCCCCAACCAGATACCCAACCTGCAACCCAGGCCTGTGCCCTGACTGGGAATCAAACCTGTGACCTTTTGGTTCACAGACCAGCACTCAATCCACTGAGCTACATCAGCCGGGGCACAAGGATTATTTTCTTAAAAGGGGAAAATTATTCAGCCTATGCAAGCCAAAACAGACTGGAGTCAGGGACCCCATCCGGTGACCACGAAGTGGGCAAGGAGCTCCAGGAGAGCGCAGGAAACTGTCAGGCTAATGGAGCACTCAGCACGTGCCTCGCACGCTCCTCATGCACACCCTCCGCCCGCCCCCAACTCCGAAAACCCGGCACCCCACGAAGGACCACTTTGACACTTCAGTTTTCTTTTCCTTCCAGGAAAAAATGCGCCATGCTCTCTTTCTCCCACCAACTTTCAGCTGGGAAGGATTCCCAGCACACTCCGCTCCCTAACCTCGGACCAGCATGAAACGCAAGTCTCGAGTCTCGGTGGCGCAGAGGGCACTGGTTCAAACCCCTGAGACTGGAGCGGGTAGGTCTCTCGGCCGGAGCACTGACGGGATGGAACAACTCCACCTGCTCTAGAGGAGGTAGCGTGTTTCTACTGCGACTGTTTCCTGAGCCTCTAATGTGCTACTCACAGCTCAACACAGCACCTGCCAGGTACGTGGGTACCAGGTGCCGCGGCCAAAGTGGCTCCTGGAACCAGGAACAAAGCTAGGCCTGCCCTGCAGCCTCACCTGTCCCTCTGGGTTTTCTCCTGACTTTGCAATTGCCTTAAGGTGCCAACGCAAGAGCACGGACATCAGAGCTCAGGGAGGGTGTTCCCTTTCCAAGTGCAGGACCCCCCAGAAAGGTGAAGGGAAACAACCAGGAGATGCAAGCTGTGGCCCGGGAAATGAAATGTCCACCTGAGTGACTTCCAGTTCCATCAGTAAGTATTAGGTCCGGCTTAATAATCTCCCTTCCACACCCTGTTCTTCCCTATCACACTTCATAATCAGTGTGTTTATGGGTCTCCTCCCAGGCTGTGAGCAATGAGAACACAGGGACCTTGTCCTCCTTGCTGGCCACAGAGTCCCCGGCACCAAAATCAGCATCTGGAACAGAGCAAGCACTCAATAAAGGCTTGTGGCTTCATTCAACAGATGCCTATTAAAGCCCACAAGTGCCGAGGGCCAGGGCCCGAGGCCCGGGGCCCAGGGACGAACAAGTCAAGCGAGCCCGTACACTTGGGGGTAAGCAGTCCCTGGTGGAGACAAACAATAAACAAGTAAACAGAAACATAACCGAGTGTTCGTTGTCATTTGTTGGCAAGACAGCTTCCATTCAGCAACCACTGGGGTCGCTCCCACCCCCTGCCAGGCCATCGTCCTACCTCGGTGAACAAACACCGACAACAATCCCCTTCCTCAAGGAGCTCGCACCAGGCTCACTGCCAGTCAGGCTCGGGCTCACCTGGCGGGGTCCCGTTCACCCAGATCTTCCCAGGGCCGGCCCTTCCCATCAGAACTCGGCCAAATGTCACCGCCTCCCTGAAGCCTACCGTGGCCACCGCCAGCCTGGCCACCGCCAGCCGAGCCGCCCTCACACCGGCCCCTTTTATTTCCTTTATAGCAGTTTTCTTGTTTACATACTTATTTGTCCAATCTTTGTTCCCCACCACCCCCGTAAGTTCCGGAAGGGCCCCCAAAGGCCTTATCAGATTTGTTCCCCCGTTTAGCCTTGCGCCTGGCACGGAAGCATCTGATGGCACGGCCCGAAGTTGACCGAGCCCTCGCGGGGCGTTCGCCACTAAGCCAGGACGCTGGGCTCGCCCGCCTGCGGCCTCTGCGGCCGGGGCCTCAGCCTCCCCGTCCGGGAAATGGGGGCAGCGGCGCGCCCCGGCCCAGGCGCCGGCGGAAAGAGGGCCCGAGTCCCCGGGCGACACTCACGTCTCGGAACTGAACCAGGCCCTTCTCGCCCAGCGCACTCAGGCACTCGTAGGCCGTGCCCGACTGCAGGAAGAGCTGAGCCAGGCACATGCTCTCGCTCCGGAACAGGGACCCCATGGCGGGCCGGCCCGCGCCCCGGCGGGTCCCGACGGGCGGTGGCGGCTCCGGGCGGCGCGGGCCCGCGCGGTCAGGCGGAGCGGCCCGGGCCTCGGGTTCCTTCTGCGGCCTGGCCGAGGCCCCGCACCATTGGGCTCCGAACTGCAGCAACCTCCCCCGGTCCCGCTGCCGCGGCCGCCGCTCCAGCCGCCGCCACTGCCGCGCGAGGCCCCGCCCCCAGCGACGGCCGGTTCCGGTTCCGCCCCCCCGGGGCCGACCAATGGCGCCCGGAGTTGCGGCCGGCGGCGGCGGCCGAGGGGCCAACCGGCGCCAGCTCAGCGGGGAACCGCGGGGCTCCGGATGCCGAACCCGGGCCGGCTCTGCGGCTTAGGGCCCTTGAAGAAGAGTCTGCTGAGTGCACGTGCCGTCAAGTTCGCCCGACGAGAGCACGCAGTCCCGGGGCGCGGTCTGGGAACAGAGCTGTGCCGCCCTGGCCCGGGCGCTCTCAGAACCCAGCCGTCAACCCCTACCCCTGCGCGGCCGCGGAACGGCGTGGTCCCCACAGCTCTGCCTGTTCAGGACACTCCTGTCCACGGAGCTCCTCCGGGGACTTGGGCGTCTGCTCTCCGGTCCTGTCCCCGTGCAGACCGGAAAGCAGGCTCGGAGCCGGGCACTGCGATCGAGTCTCTGTCGCTGCTGCCTTCTGCACACGCTCCTGCACCCAGCAGCCACCGTGACCTTTGACACGGGCCAAAGTCGCTTAGCCTGCCTGAACCCCTCTGGCTTCGCCCACCGTACCCGCAGAACGGCCAAACCCCGCGCCGCGGCCCCAGCGCTCCCCCAGCCCTCACTCGGGCCACCTTCCCTGGACGCCCTGGGCCCCGGCGGCCCCTGCCTTCTTTCCAGGTCGGTGTCATCGGCCTTGCCTAGAGCACCCTCCTCCCAGACCTCCCCAACGGTGGCTCCTTCGGGTCTCGTCCCCACTGAGGCAATGTCCCTGACCCCTAGCGAGAGTCGCCCTCGCAGCCCACCCCATCACATCCTCGTTTTATTTTCTTCGTAGCACCTACCACTGTCTGAACTTATCTCGTTTGTGTTTATTGCCAGTTTCCCCCCAGGAGAAGGTAAGTTTTACTGGATAAGAGACATTGCCTTGCCATCTCCAGGGCCCAGCGAGCAGTAGCTACTCAAAAACTATTTAAGTGCAAACAAGAATGTGTAAACTTAGAAAAGTTAAAACCATACAGTGTGCCCCCAGATCCCATTCTGCGGCCAAACCGAGATTTTCCCTTCTAAGTACCAAAGTCCTTCCAGCACAGCTCACAAAATCAGGATAAATGACCTGTCATTTAGAAATTCTTAACTGAGTTCCCAGAGCTAGTTACACTAGCTGCCTGGTACTTTCTGAATTGCTGCAATTAATTAATTAATCAGTGGGTATTTCCTTTTCTTTAACAAAAGACAATTTTTGACTTCTAGAACGACTTTTCAAAACCAGGTTTCCGGCCATGTACCAAGTCCGTCTGGTACAACGACCGAACGTGTCTGGCCCACAAAGAAACTCAGAGACTGGCCCTGTGGCCTCCACAGGGGTGAAGTGGGGGAAGACACCCGCTCCCCCAGCTGCCTCACGCTGTCTGTCCCCGTGTAAGGGGACGCAGGAGAAGCTTCTCTCAACTCAACTAGGAAAAACTGTCCTTCAGTGAAAACCGGCCTGTTTTAATGGAGGGACGCTGTGACCCCTGACCTAGTCATAGTTGGGTCTTTTGTAAACTGAAGACTAAATTAGGGATTTAACTTTACTGAATGCAGGGTCTTTGGCATAAATTTTCAGGGGCTTAAATTCACTCCAGGTTTTGTTTACTTTCCTCTCTAATATTTCCCCTTCCCAACCCCGTATCTTTCTTTAACAATTTATTTTGCGCTCCTGTACTATATACATTTTTAAGGCTTTTAGAGTTCCTAATCCTTTCTTTGGGGTAGGGGAAAATGATCCACCAATTCTGCAGAACTATGTAAAAAGCTGAAGAAAAGACTGACTCTCTAAGGTACAAATAACATATTTGGACCAAAATTCCTACGACTTTAGTAATCTGTGATAAAGTGAAGCTTCTAATAACATTTATTCACACACCTGACCCTCTTACACACTTTGCTCGGTCTGGTCCAGCAACGAGAAGGCCAATTCTGTATCACTTCGTACATCTGGATACCTAATGTGTGAATTAAATTGACAGAGCACTTGCTAAAAATGTCCTACAAAAATAAAACACTTCATTTATTAGAAATGCACGTAGGAGTACAACAGATCGCCTAAGTAGAAGCCTGTGGTCTGCAGGGCCTCGGACGGCGGCCGAACGTCACACTCGGCATCGTCGGGGCCAGGGGCCCCGGAGGAGCACGGCCAGCGCGGAGAAGGACGCCAGCAGCAGGCCCTTGGCCACGCACTCGGAGTAGGGCTCTCCTGCAAGACAAGGCGAGCTCGCAACAGTCTTAGCTCGCCACTTTTTAAAAATAAATACTAAATAGAAGCCAAAACATTAATAGTGATCATTTTTTAAAGATTTTACTTATTTATTTTTAGAGAGAGGGAAGGAGAGGGTGAGACACATTAATGTGTGGTTGCCTCTCACACACCCCCAACTGGGGACCTGGCCCGCGACCCGGGGCTGTGCCCTGACTAGGCTGAATCAAACCAGCGACCCTTTGGTTCACAGGCTGGCGTTCAATCCACCGGGCTGCACCAGCCAGGGCAAATAATGACCACTTTTATGTGGCAACATTATCAGTAAATTTTTTCTTCTTAAGCTTTTTTATGCACAACATACTGATGCGCATTCTGGAAGCTGGCTCTACCTACCTTGATAATACCGGCTCAGCGGGTAGAGGAGCTGTGGCCAGCACACGTCATTTCTGTCACAGTCATACTCTGTGAAGTTGATCTGGAATCTATAAAACATTTTAGAAGATTACAATAGCTTCAACGCAGCACACTTTTGGTGAAAAGCATCAAAAGTTAAAGACAAAAACTTATTTTTGAATGTACGTATTTGTCCGCTTGCTAAGATGTCAGCTCGGGCGGTTACCTTGTCGGCGGCCGTGGTGACTGTGCCGGTATCTTAATGAACTGCACCGAGGCGCTGAGAGGGAGGAGGCCGGGCTTGAGCCCACAGGTGAGCCCGCAGGGGAACTGCCAGTTCACCGAGGAGACCCTGGGAGAGAGGACGCAGGCACACGTGGGGACCCGCGCCCGGTCTGCCGAGGGCGCCGGGGTCCCCGACCAAGCTTTGAGCTACCCCGTGCTGTGGCGCAGACTTTCGAACGTGCACAGGGTGGGCAGGGCAGCGGAAGGACCGCTCGGCCCGTCTCCCAGACACGGCGCCGCCCGCGTTTTGCCAGCCTCGCCTCGCCCGCCCGTCTCCTGTCGTCCCAGTGCTTCTGAAGCTAATTTGCTTTTCCACATATTTGTCTCAGGCTACGTGACAACAATAGTGATAGCAGCTGCTAACGGCGCTCGCAGCTCTCCGTGTCCCCGGCACAGGGCCGCGTGCTCTGGGACCCTCGGGGCAGGACCAGGCGCCTTGGGTGGTTAACACCTGTCACTTCTGCCCACCCGGCACCCTGCCCCCTGGTAATCGCAGCCCAGTTTTCCCTTGGGCAACCACCCCCAACTCTCAGGTGATGGACCAGAAGGGACCCACCTGAACCTGGGGGGCGGGCCCATCGCTGAGACTCACCCACCAGAGCGGCCCAGCGCCCTGGCCACAGTGACTGGTTCAGAGAGGAGCACATGACCCGACCTAAACCAATGGCAGCCCGCGTAGGCCACTTTGGAGAAGATAGGAAAGAGCCTCTCCACTGGATTCGCAAGGGGCTATGAGCCTGGGATGGCGGGTGTTCACCTTCACCACCTGTTGAGCACCTCACCCAGGAGGAAGCCCACCCGAAGGAAAGAGGAGCCAAGGGACGGAGGAAAAAGAGCCCTGGCCACACGGAAACCATGACCCACGGACAAGACGCATGCGCACTTTTCAGAACTTGAACCGATAAACTCCCCTTCTAAGTCAGCATAAATGGGGCCCTTCACTTAGAGCTGATAGAGGCCTGACACGTAACGGTCGTATCACCATCTTGCAGCTGAGAAAGCTGCTGCTCAGAAGAGACGACGGAACTGTCAGGCTCACAGAGCTCATAACTAACTGGGAGAGCCATGATTCGAACCCGCCTGTCGGCTCCCAAAACCTCTAACCACTGGGCAATACTCCCCGGTCACTGTGCCAATTACATTCATGGATTTCAAAACATGCTTAGCACCGTGCAGCCCCTTATTCATCTTTGTACCCTCTAGACACCTTGCAGAATCCCTTACACAGCGCTTTATAAGTACTTGTGAGTGAGAACAAGTTTCCATTACAAACACAGTTGATACATTTTCCACTTATGCATATATTGCTAGTAAGTGAAATTTGTGAATAAACCGCCAGGCTCTGAGCCAGCACACCCCACTCTCCGGAACGCCCTGCCCTTCACCGGCTCTCTCGGCCACACCCAGGCGCGACGCAGTCGGACCTTGCCTCTGCACCAAGGATCTCCGGCTGAGCGACCCCTTCCACGGCGCCGGCGTCCGAGACGAGGATGCGGATGCTCAGCTGAGCGGGAACACCCAGGCAGGTGCCGTTGGCGCTGCCCACAGACGGGTCGGTGCCGGCGTCAGAGGCGTCCGCGCCTGCAGAAATGGCAGGTTTTGCATTGAGGAAAGAGAAACCTGGTCATACATTTTTCGACGATGCCAGGATACCAAAAAACGGGAAATGTTATTAGATAGGAATCACAATAATGAGGCGTAAATCTCTAATAGGCTCTGGTTGTTTGTCACCCCGTAACTGTATGACCCCTTGTGTTCAAAGTGTTTCCTTGTATGTTAAGTCAGTCATTGAAACTTTAAAATCCCTGACCCTGACCCGCATAATAAAACCCTAAGTCACGATTCTGTTCCCAGGGCCCTCCCTGAAATCTGGCCAGAGCTTTAACAGAAATACTACACAGTTGCAGTAAATGCACTGGGTGTTATCCCATGAAGTCACTGTCCTTGTAGCAATTGACTAAGCCATTTAAAATCTATACTAACAATGTTAGCTAGTGTGTTATAAATAGTTTAAAAGCAAAATCCTAATGTGTAGCCAGAGCAGTAATACAAAAGGGAGAGAATGAAACTGGATGAGAAATTAATTTTCATTCACCTTGAAAGCTGGCTCACAGCGGGAAAAAGGAGCAAGGTCAAGTATCAGAGGTGAGTGGCAAGTTCTCAGGCAACTCCGGGCGGGGGCTGGGGGGCGGTTCTGTGTCTCCCTGGGGATTTGGAAGGTCGGTGACACTGTTTCTTTACAGTGTCTGGTTTCCTCCTCCTGACACATGGGTTCGATATCACTTCTCTTCTGTTTATTAACCAAGATCCAGGGTGACTTTGGCTTAGGCATGAGAAAGAAGCTGTTTTCTACCTTGAAGGCAGCACAATGTCATCACCTGGGATTTTGTATCTGCCCAGCTTGGGTGCCCTGCCTTGCGATTCCCGGTACTTTTCACTTGGTGGTGTCTTACCGACACCCTCCCTCCACCCCTCGGTCATTCTTAGGTGCCAGAGCCCAGCAGCTGACAGGCCCCAACCTCGGGGTTCGACTCCCAAATGAGGGTCTAACTCTGGGACGAGCGACTCGAGAACGGGTGGCCACCAGGACCGCTGCCCAGGTCCGAGAGGGGCCCTGGCCACCCAAGGGTGCCGGGGGGAAGGGCCCTGATCACGAGGGCTGGGGAGGGCGCAGGCGCTTGTCCAGAAGGCGCTTCGTGCAAACCCAGGCCCGCTGAGCGGAGGTGGGCGCAGAGGGTGTGAAGGACGGCAGCCGCCCACCAGCCAGGCAGAGGCGGGGGCACAGGAGCGACCGCAGGGACCGGAGGGGGCTTAGGAGAGCAGGTCCTGCAGAGCCACTTAGCTCCTTCTGGCTCCAAAAGGCAACTGCACGAACTAGCGCGACAGAAGCTCTGCTCGTTGCATCTACACGCTCAGGTCTCCCGGAAACCACGAAGACGTACCGACCTGCCAGCTGAGCAGTGAGGACAGAGGCTGGCAGCCCAGGTTTAGTTCTGGCTCGGCCACAAGAAGCCGCGACCCTGGGCCGCTGCGCTGACCGCCGGAGAGAGCCGGAGCCCGGAGCCCAGAGCCCAGACGGCGCGTGGGTTAGCAGGTGAAATCAGGCTGGCTGTGGCTGGCTACGTCTGGGTCGCCTCGGCTCCATGGGGCACATGGGCGCAGTGTCCCGTCTTCCAGGCACACAAGCCCCTACGAACCCGACGCTGTAACTGCCTCCGACCAGGGAGAAAAGGCCCTGGACCCCGGGGTCTCGTCATTCGGCCTCGGTGAGCCCTCTGCTCTTAGACCTGCTGCGCCTTGATTTCTTCTTTTAGCCTCACTGATACATAATTTGCATACCATACAATTCCCCCAGCGAGGGATACAATGCTGTGGTTTTTAGTCTGTTCACAGAGCTGTGAAACCATAACTACTCGATTCAACCTTAGAACATTTTCACTGTCCCCGAAAGAAACCCTGTACCCATTAGCAGTCACCCCTCATTTCCTCCCACCCGCCCCGGCCCCGGCCCCCGCTGATCTGCCCCTATTTCTGCCAACCAAAAACAACGCAAATCGAAAGGCACTAAAAATCTTCAAGCCTCCTTTACAAAGACGGTTAGCTCGTAAAACAGCTGGGCAATTTGACCTTCATATGGGTTTCCTTTTTTAGAAACAAAAAAGGCATCAGGAATGGGAGGCGAAGACATGACAAGCCTCCTGCCTGGACTGCTAACCTCTGAACGCACTTGAGCTGAACCACGGCAAAGAGAGACAAGCAGCCACGCAGGGCCCCGCCGCCGCAGAGCCCCGGCAGCGCAGCCTCACGCACCGCACACGCAGCTTCGACTCACGTATTATTTCGAGCCAGCCGTCGCTGAGATCGTTGTGATCGGAGTCGCCCCGCATCGCAACGTGAGTTGCTTGCGTTAATGAATCGAGTATTTCCACCGCCTTCTCCCTGCAAGAGAGTCAGACAGTCCTCAGGGCATGTCCGCCAGCCAGTCCCACCCCGAGGCCCTTCGCAGGGGCCCCCACGCTGAGCTTGCTGGAGCCTGAGTGAACACCTGCCAACTGGGGAGGGAGGGGCATGCAGGAGTCATCCTTGACCTTGAACTTGAAATGTTGGTAACTTGTGCGGTATCATGTGGTTTACAGACTCTGCCGAGTGTCGCAAAACACGGGAAGTGGGTAGAGCCCACATAACGTTCCCTGCATACATTCACGGGCCAGAGTGATCCAAGAATAAAAGGAACCTGAATGGTTAGCTAGAATTTGGAGCCATAAAATTACGAGAAGACTAAGAACTGGAACTTTGCACCCCTCCTTCCAGGAATGTCAACGGAGGATACGTGTCACATGAGCTGCAGCGGCCAAACGCTGACTCGCTCCCTGCGATCAGGAGTCGCGGTGGGCGACTTAGACCCACAGTTTTCTTCCCTTCTTAGTGTCTCCCCCAACTTCTCCTTGCTCCCCAGTAAACTACACCACTCAGGATACGGTACGGATGAAGTAAGTATAGAAACGCAGGCAAAAAAAAAGCACAAGGAGATACCACTCCATGCCTAGTGGGATGGCTATTATCAAAAAGGTGGAAAATACCAAGTGCTGGCAGGGCCGTGGAGAAGCTGGAAGCCTCTGGCACGGCCGGGAGGAGTATAAGATGGGGCAGCCACTGTGTAAGACAATGTGGAGGTCCCTTAAAGAAATTAAACTAGAATTATTATACGATCTGGCAATTCCACTCCCGGGCATATGCCCGAAAGAGCTAAAGGTAGATGTTCACACAAAAACTGGTACATGAATGTTCACAACCGCATTATTCACAACAGCCGACAGGCGGAAGCAATTCACATGTCCAACGGCAGATGAAGGACACGCAAAATACAGTTCGCCCAGACAGGGGGCTGTGACTCAGCCACAAGAAGGAACGACGCCCAGACACTGGCCACAGCGCGGATGAGCCCTGAGAACGTGACGCTGCGCGAGAGACGCGAGGCACAGAGGCCACACAGCGTGGGGCTCCGCTGACGGGAAGTGCCCAGAGCAGGCAAGTCTGGGGACAGAACAGGGCTGGTGGCGCCGGGGGCGGGGGGCACGGACGAGAGGTGGCTCTAAGGGCGGGGTTCCCTTCTGCAGCTGAAGGTGCTTTGAACCAAAGAGAAGCGAGGGCCGCACAACATCATGAATGTACTAAATGCCACTTAAACAATTAATGATGCCACATACATTTCACCTCAATTTGTTTTTTAAAATGAACTGAGGTGGGCACAGGGAAAGGGTAGGGGAAAAATAAATTAAAAATTAAAAAGAATGTATATGCGTATCTGTAAAAACACGTTCCAAATGCCACCCAATTAAGAGGAAAGCTCTTCATACACAGCTCTTCATGAAAGGGCATAAGTGCTGACCCACCAACGACAGCTGCCAGGCCCTTCTTACGGTTCCAGGAGCCCTGGGTTCCGAGGAGCTGAACGCACTTCAGCAGGGAAATTTGCATACATGTGGATGAAATGGCTTCAGTCCCAAGAAAAGAAGTCTATTTTCCCTTACACTGATATTTGAATCAGCTCTACATTGTATTGTACCTTTGCATGTATTCAATACTCACTACCATTTTTACATCCATTTTTTATTCAGACCCTAATTTTCCACATCCTCGTTGTCCTTAGGATGCACGCGGTGAACTAACTGTGAGCAAGCCGCCGACGGTGCAGGTGAACCCCGCAGGGGACGCCCACCTGAGCCGAGCGCAGTCCTCGTCGATCCCGACTTCCAACAGGCACCCCGAGAGCGCGTTCTCCCCGAACGCCACGGGCTGGAAAGGTGCTGATGCGCACAGACCTCTTCCGGCTATAAAATACAAAAGAGCATATCTCTTACTAGTTTTTCCTCCATAAAAGAAAAGATTTACATCAAAGTTTTTCTTGAAACACAGAGAGAAAGCAATGAGTAGAAATAAAGTTTCCAGTTTTCCAGAACAGCGGCCATTGTGACTCTGACGCTTCCGGGGCCAAACGCCGGCGCCTCTCTGGTCGGCGCGCCCGGGGCCCACGGCAGGCTCTGAGCAGGGAGCTCAGAGCTCCGGCCGAGGTGGCGGACAGCCACGGACATGAGGGGTTGCTGCCTGGAACAAGGCTACCCTGCCTCCGGTCAGCACCGCCTTGGGCAACAGGCAGCTGGGCCAGGACTCTCAAGCCAACCCTGCATTTAAACCTCTCTAATAACCAGCATCTCAGGCACAAACACTGGTAACACTTTTTACAACAACAACAGAAAGAAAAAGGGCATAAAAAATAACCCCCCCCTCCCCCCGGCAGCAAAACAAACCAACGGAACTTTAAAGTAATTGCTTGCTTGGTTAGATTCAAATATGGCAATATTTCCGACTGTAGTTTACCGGAGAGCCAGCCCTGTAACCAGAGCACGTTACCTGGCTGCCAAAGGTGTAAGGTCGTGATGTCACGCTTCCTGTTGGCATCTAAGGCTCGGACAGGCCTGCCAAGTTGGTAACCTAGACAGTACAACAGAGGAGAGGCAACGTCTCTGCTTCTAGAGTCAGTCCACACCACGGCGAGCGCTGGCGCGCCCCCGACACGCAGCAGGGACGCACGCTGACGGGACACCGGCGGCGAAGCTTTCTCAAAATGGCCTGGGCGGGGGCGGGGGGGCATCGCCTCCATTTGTGCTAACAAATGCTATTCATGAGACATTTCAAATCAACTTCAGAATTAGAATCGGAAAAGTGAAAAGCAGGAAGGTGCCCGGCTTGGACCGCTCTGCTGCGCAGGCCCTTAACGAATATTTGCCGAGAGGCAGGGCCCCCGCTTACCAGGGAGCCTGCGAAGGACACCCAGACCCAAGGGACCCTTCAGTGGGGACGTTCCTGGAAAACTGGTTCAACCCCACGGTCTGGTTGGGTCCTATTCCTACCCGTCGGCTATTAATCCAAATTATTGTTCCCAACCTTTTATTATGAAAATGTTCATCTGTACAGAAAAATTTAAAGTAATACCATGAAGACCACCATCTAAAATCAACAACTGTCAATACTGAGCCATAGGTATCTTATCTGTATTATATATACACCTCTCTCTACGTGTGTGTATCTATATATGCGTGTATATATGTGTGTATACATGTGTATATACATATATGTGTGTATATACACACACACTTGCATTTTTTTGCAGGACCATTTGAAAACAAGTTGCAGACGTCATGACACCTCCCCTCTGAAAGCCCCGCCCTACAGCTCCCAAAGTGAAGGCCGCCCCCACAGTCGAGAGGCGGTCTACGTGCCCATAAATACAAAACGCACAGGACAGGGAGCTCCCAGCCCTGGGGAAGTCTATCACGGTCCCCAGATTAGGAGCTCATCATCTGCAGCTTATTCTTCCTTAAAACCCTCATTTCAGCAACCTTTTACATGTGTTGCTTCTTTTTCAAAAGATCAGGAGCTGAAGGGAAAAAATGTCTTTCATTTATACCAACTTGCTGCTATCTACAACTATTTATGCAAAAAAAAAAAAAAACCCAAAAGGTTGTTACCAGAAAAAGAATACAGTGTCATACCAGAGAAGGAGAAAGGTCCAAGTCACAAACTAAAGTCGGAGGGCTACTTAGAATCATCGTGCACGCGGGGGCTGTGAGGCCGCTGACTGACACGTCCCATCTCACCTGGGTTTCCAGAGGTTTCCTTTTCATTACCACTGTTATAGCTTAAAAATTTTACTGTAAATCTCTGTGTCATGATTCCTAGAAATAAAACAAAACAAAAATGTCATGTGCTCCATTCCACTAGGAAAAGGAATTATCTCCCATAGTGTTATTTTCTTTACCTTATAATTGCATTTCGACATGCAAAAGGAAGTCTTTTTTATTAAATCGCAAATAAGAAACAAGTATGACTTCGTTTTATGTTATACATATGAGAACCTTGCAGAAAGGAAAACATTTTAAAATGAAAGCAGTCTCGCCACCTTCAGCCAAGTTACCTTTCTGGTGGGCATTGATTTCTGCCCTAACAATTCTGATGTGTACGTCGCTGATTGTATTATTATTCCATCTGAAAACATAATGTTCTTCCACAATCACGTTTCTGGGGGCTGATCCAGTACTTAAAAGTATTTCTGCAAACACAAGAAAACTTTTGTAAATTAAATACCCGCTGCGGGCTCAAGTCTATGGCCGGCCCTACCAGGTCAGCGACAGGGGCTTGCTCGGCCGATCACAGTGTCCTGCGTGAGGCCTGCCCCCTCCCTCTACCCGTGCCCCGGCCTCCCAGCTCACGGCTCGGAGCAAGTGCTGCGTAGGACGCGTGCTAAAGGAGGGACCACAGAGCGTCAGCCCCGTGGAGCGGTGCCTGCCGCCCAGCCCACTGCTGCGCGGCAGCATCCACCGAGATCTGATGACGTGATGGATAAATTCAGCAATTACCACACACTGAAAAGAAGCACAAATATCGCCCTTCCTTACAAACAAAAGCCCTGGCACTACCAGCCCAGCTCTGTACGGCTCGTCGGCATCGCCACTGCACAGGTGAACTATCCAAAAAAAAAACCAGAAACAGGAAGTGAAAATGCTCATCCTAAGAAACTCTTTACCTATCTGAAAAATTTTTAGGAAAGAGTTCACAGACCCTGCAACCAGAAGGGGCCAAGAGCGGAGGAAGTGGTTCGAGGTCACTTAGAGACTCTGAAGCAAGGGAAGGCGGAACAAGGGACAAACAAAAGCCTGGTGCATGGCTTTCCGACTGTGGCGAACCTCCTTAAATTCTTAATTAAAATGCATTTAATCTAGGAGTGCACATTACTTGTAAGCAATGACACATGTATTTCTGGGGAAATGAGATAAATGTGGAACATTAAAATACCTGTACTGATGAATCTGTCTGGGTCAGCTGCTTCCTCATAGATGACTGTCGGCGTGATGACACCTAAAAAGACACATGAATTAACCTTCTCAGGACGACACGGCTGACATGACCACACTTACTTATGCAAATGAAACTTCTCAAGCAAACACGGTGCTTGCCTGTCCTGCGCGCCAACTACGAAACTCCCTCCCACTCTCCAAACACCGTCGGATGGCGACCCCACTGCTGTTGGCATCTAATCACAACGGAGGAGAGTCCAATGTCAGCACTAACAATCCGGAGAGACACTGTCACGTAGGAACTGCTCGTGGGGACGTTAAAAGAGTGTAGTCACCATAGAAAACAACTTGGAGGGTCCTCGAAAAGTTAAGTGACGCTGTGAGCCCGCAACTCCCTGGCTAGGTACACGCCGAGAGGAATGAGCTGTGCGCGCAGACACTCGTACACGAGTGTTCCCAGCAGCCCCATCATCACAACGGCCAACAGCAGAAACCACCCAAGTGTCCCTCACAGGATGAACTAGGTCACAGAACGGGGCCTAGTCACAGGATGCACGATCCCAAACCCTGATGCTGAGGGAGAGAGAGGCCAGACGCAGAAGGCCGGGCACTGTACGACTGCATGTGTGTAAGATGTCGCAACACAGAGGTGGCGCTTGGTTGCACTACATTGTGCGTGGATGAAATGCCACCAAACTGTACACTTTAAAAAGGTTCATTTTATGCTCTGTGAATTTCACCTCAGTTCTTCAAAAAGAACTAAGATGCAACACACTGCCTTATGGAACGGAACTTCTTCCAAAGACAACAGCTTCCTCGACCGGCGGCTGAAATGCTATTTTCAGTGGATCCAGCAGAAATGATCTTTATTCTCACGAGACCAGAGTTTATCTAAACACTCAGGCCTCTGTCCTTTCCTCAGACCAAGGTGACGCACCTCCTACGGCGCCGTTCTTTATCCTGGCGTTGACCGCGCCATCCTGCTCTCGGGAGTCTCCCACATCGGTGACGCACCGGACGTCGAAATTCTGAAGGAAGCCCACGGGGGCCTCCCGCACACACTGCCCAGCCATGGACACCTGGGGTGAGGGGAAACCCGGACAGGTCTGCAGCCTCGGCTCCGATCGCGGAGCACAGGCTGGCATCTCGCAGAGGCGCCCCCCGCAGCCCGCTCCTGCCGCGGGGTCAGCCTCAGCGGCGGCCGCTGCGCTCCCCAGTCGCCCAGCTTTAGGGGAAAATCTCGTTAATTTGCTAATCAAAGTCTGGAAGCCACCCGCTGAGGAGTCTCAATAAAAATATTATTCCATCAAAACCAAGGAAGTCCCCTGCCCTCCTCCATTCACTTGGCAGAAACATGACTACATTCGACTTCATTTCTCTTCCTCGTTACAACCAGATTTTTGTTAGAACCACAGAAATGGATTCATATGAATAAAGAAAAATGATTTTTAGACTCCCCTGTGTTTTGCCTGTTTGTTCATCCTCACCCAAGGACACGCTTATTGATTTTAGAGAGAGGGACAGGGAGGGGGAGAGAGGTTGCTTCTCCTACGCCCCGGGCGGGGATCAAACCCGCAGCCCAGGCCTGCGCCCGACAGGGACCAAGCCCACAGTCCTCCAGTTTACAGGTTGGCGCTCCAACCAGCTGAGCCACACCAGGCAGGGCCAGACGCTTGTGTTTCGTGCCCACAAATATTTTTCCCACAGAATTTTGACCATAAAAAAAAGGTTTCACATAAAACTCTACAGCCTTAAAATATTTTTTTAAAATTCTGGGTTATTGAATATATTAAATTATATATTTAATTTATTACATATTTAATTAATATGTGAAATTCATAGCTTACCAGAAACTGGCTATTAAACTAACAGAAGTGAAGAATGAGTTACTTCAATGGAAATCTACAGAATGTCTTCTGATTTTACTAAGTTTAGTCTGAGATTTAGCAAAGAGAGTGATTAATTTAAGAATGACTATGAAAAAAAATAATGGAGAGACCATAGCTGAGCACCTAGAAAATCAGTAGGAAAAAAAAAATAAGTAACTTAGACTGGAGTTTTTCAGAGCAATATGAGTTAAATTAAACATAGGTTGAAAAAATAAGGCCCTGGCTGGTGTGGCTCAGAGGACTGGGTGTCCTCTGGCAAAGCTAAAGGTCACCGGTTGGAGTCCCCGTCAGGGCACATGCTTGGGTTGGGGACCAGGTCCCAGGCTGGGGCTGCTGGAGAGGCAACTAATCGGTGTTTTTCTTGTACATCCATGTTTCTCTCCCTCCCTTTCTCTCTCCCTTCACCTCGTTCTAAAAGTAAATAAAATCTTTTACAAAAATAAGAAAAGGCTCTCGCATATCACAATGGAAAGTATTACCTGAGGAACAGTAAGATAGGCCTTGTCCGCAGTCATAACTGGGTCTCCTTGTTTGTAACCGAAGTCCGAGGTGTCTCTGGGATCGGCGTGCGAGTGCACGTCAGGGGAAGCCAGCTGGCCCGGGGCCCTGCGCGCCGGTAGGAAACATTACCGCTAACACTTTTAGCTCTTGCCTGCTAAAAGCAATTGTTTGTCGAAATCTTATTCTCTACTTTTTTAATTACCAAAATGGTATTTGTATTAAACGCCACTGAACTATATACTCTCAAGTGGTTAATGGTTAAGAAATAATAATAAAGTGGGTAACGGCTAACCCTACGTCGCTCAGCTCTCACTTCAGTATTAAGAGCGACGCCTGCCGCGTCGACCATGCGGGAAGCCGCCGCCCCGCCCGCCCCACGCGCCCGCCGGCCTCCCACTCACAGGGCCCCGCGGTGGAAGTAACCGAGGAAGGGCGAGCTGGCGGGGGGCGACTGCACGCACAGCAGCGGGAACCAGTCCGCGGCCCCGGGCGCGCGCCGCGCCGCGCAGAGCTGATCGGAGAGCGGGCTCACGTCCCCGCCGAAGGCGCCGGTGAAGCAGGACGCCCTGAAGAGCTGGGTCAGGGCCGGGGCGCACTCCTGCGGAGGGAACGGACAGGGGCCGGGGCAGGCGCGCGCTCCGCCGGGGCGGCCGCCGCCCAAGCGCGCGGCTGGGGCGTGGGAGAGGCGAGCAATCCACGTTTCTCTCGCACGTCATTTCTCTCCCTCTCTTTCTCTACCCCCTCTCTCAAAACAAATAATTTTTTTTTAAAGAAAATATAAAACTGGCCAACAAGCACATAAAAAAGATCCTCGCCATCATATGCGACTAGAGCTACAGAAGGCGATCACAGCGCTTTCCCAGCCGGTCCCGCCCCGGGGGCTGCCACCCGGGACGCCCGCGACACGGGCAGGGCAGCCCTGGGAAGCCGGCCCTCGCAGGCGCTGGCGGGCCGGGGCCGGGGCCGGGGCCGGGGCGGCCGCCTCAGAAAACGACAGCTTCTCCAAAGGTTAAGCCCGGTCACGGCGTGGCAGAGCATCGGCCCCTAGGTAGTGGGTCCAAGAGAAACGGAAACGCGCAGCCGAGCAAAAACTTGCGCACCAACGTTCACAGCCGCATTGCTCAGAGCAGCCCAAATGTGAAAAGGCCTCAGACATCTAAATGGAGAGACAAAACGTGGCCCACCCATCCCGGGACTGACTGCGACGGGGCCACGGAAAGGAGCGGCGCTCTGACGGCTGCTACAGCGCCGACGGGCCGGGAGGCACGACGCGGGCCGAGAGCCGCCAGAGCCGGAGGCCACGGTGTATGCCTCCCCTTGGATGAAACGCCGGGGGACGGGCAAGGCCGCAGAGGCAGAGGGCAGGTCAGCAGCGGCCGGCCGGTGCCTGCAAACGGGCACAGGGCTGCTTCTTGGGGCAGTGGTTCTAAAATTAGGTGGTCATGATGGCTCTACAACTCTAGAAATTTTCTAAAACTCGTTAAAAAAATGTTCTCTTTCCTTTTTATATTCTTTTAACGGCTTCTAAATAGGATATTAAAACCATCCTCTCAGTATAATGTTCCAATCATGACTTCGTCCAAAGAGATACCTTTTTATTTCCACACACAAGACTGGTAGTGCCAGATAAGAAAATCCTCGATTTGAAGACAATGTGCCGCATGAAACACAGTTAGAAAGCTGTTGCGGGGGCGCCGCCAGCGTTCTCCCCGTGCCCCCAGCCACCGTGACCCTGTTCCCGAAAATCAGGAGGCGCCTACCTGGTCACAGCAGCAGCGAACGTCACAGGCCCCGGCGGTTAAGTTACAAGGACAGGCACCAAGAGGCTGGTACACCTGGTTAGGGATAACAGTCACGTTCTCTGAAAGGGACAAGCAACAGGGAACCTCAGCTGTGACACACACCCTCTGGCAAAGCACAGCCACAGGGCTGGCCCCGAAAAGAAAGCCGAATGGCTGCTCACAAATCCCCGTTACAGCGCGGAGTCCCTGAAGCGAGCTCCCCACAGAGCGCGCCCGAGGCCTGGGCACGCCGCTCCACCCAACACCCCAGTGCGGCAAACACAGGGCTGCTTCCGGCAAACTGGTCCACACGAACGTTCTGAGAGTCAGGACACTTCACTTGCCTGACGCGTTCCGGCCCAGGGAAGAGTTGGCATAAATCTCCACCTGGATGAGCAGATGTGCCAAACAGGATGAATTGTGAGACGCTGAAACCAGCAGAGTTTGGACGATACACGGGGACTCAGAGAAGGGATCTGTCTCGGGGGGACACCCCTGTGGACCCATCCTCAACCTCACCGTCACTTCCAGCGCATTCTGAAAGGAAGAGATTGATTACGGTGCCTTTTAGCATCTACAGTCATAGAAAACACAACAAATTCACACACTGGCCTCGGTTCATTTTACAAAAGGAGAACTGTATACAAAGATGACATAATTCTGTTTCCAAATCCTCAGTTTAACATAAAAGCAAGCCACGTTTGGATCCTCCGAGAAAGCTAACCACAGGTCTGAAAATTAACTCAGTTTGTCCCGCCCCTTTTGAGTTTATCATCCTGCCAGTGGAAGATTCAATACACAAAACAAGCTACTGGAAAAAATTAATAAATAAATTAACATCAGGAAAAAGGACAACCACAAAAGGCTCTTGTAGACAGTCCGCAGTTCCTGAGGTGCAGAGTCTGTCTTTCTCACCCTCTGTAAACTGTGGGGCTGGTATCTTGCACATACTAGGCACTCGTTAACATGAGTTAAATGGAAGATATTTAATCTCTCCAGGCTTGAGTGCCCTTACACATAAACTCAGAGTAGGATGAGATCTGTGGTTAAAGGAGCTTTCTGAGTCACGGACTTGATAATCTGATGAAAGCGGGCAACCCCCTTGTAAGAAAAATGCACCTGCGCACGTGATTTGACACCCAATTTCAGAGGGTGCACAGACCCTCTGCGACTTGTCCAATGATTCCTATCTCAGGGGGGAAGGACCTCTGGGCTGGATGGGTGTCCACTGGACCTGAGAGCCCACAGTCCATGGCAGTAGCAGCACTGAGACAGCTGCATCTTGTCCACTCAAGAGGCACTAAGTGCAGGTCTCTACGGATGCCACTGAGAGGTTTTGCCTCTGGCCTTACCACGCTGGGGGTCACAGTCAAACTCCAGTCTCCTGTGTCATTCGGTGGGCCACACGCGGGAACTGGCAGGGATCCTAAAGGAGGCGAGAGCGCAAGGCGGTGGTGTTGCGCAGCAGCTCACAGGTGCACGCGCCCCCTGGGCTGGAATCCCTTTCCAAGCCGAGGATCGAGCCCTTTCCAAGCTGCGTGGTTTCGGAAAAGTGACAGCCTCTCTGAACGTCAGCGTCTTCCTTGGTCTCATGGGATTAAAAGATAGTACTGTTCTCATTGGGACAATGAGGGATGCGTGTCAGGCACGGGGCGCAGCTCACTGAATGCTGGCCCCTGTGACTGTCAGCTTTGATGGGGCCTGTCCGGGTCGTCTCGGGTCCACAGCAGCGCCCCTCCCTCCGCGCCACATCGACTGCGCTGTGGACAGCGGCAGGGGACCCCCAGGGTGCCATCTCGCCCGTTTCCTCAGCCGGCCGGGGGCTGGCCCCGACCCCGCCCTCCCCACGGAAGGGCCGGACTCTTTACCCGCCTCGGCCTGGAGCAGGGACAGGGACACGGCCACATCCTCGGTGTCGCCTACCAGGGACGCGCTGACCACGGGGTCGGACATGCGGATGAAGGAAGGGATGAACACTAGGCGAGAAGGAAGGGGACAGGGAAGGGTTAGTAGCGGCGGAGTCTGTGTCCCCCGCCCGTTTCGGCGGCGACTCCGCATCCGGCCGCTTCAGCGCCTCGTCTGTCAGCCCGGCCCTGCAGGCCCCGGCCCCGCGGTGCATACCCAGGTCCGCCGACAGCGGCCTCAGCACGCCCTGCACAAACAGGAGCCCCAAGAGCAGAGGCGCCAGCGGTGGCGAGCCCATGTCTGGGACCTCCCAGGGCCCGCACGCGGAGCCGCGCCCACCCTAGAAGTCGGGAGGCGCCGGGACGCAGCACCGCGGGCCCCGTCTCCCCTCCGCCGCCATCTTGTCAAGCGAACGCCGGGAGCTATGGCAACCACCAATCGCGCAGGGGCCTCGGAGCGGCGCTCCGTGATTGGACCAGCGGCAGGAAGCCCGCCCCTGGCCTTGCCTCAGCATCCCCGCCCTTCGCCTCGCCCCAGCCGCATCCTGGCCTCGACCACAAGCCCCGTGCCCACCGCAGGGATCAAGGAAACTTAGGAGTCCGTCTACCTCGAGTTTAAAAACTGGAGTTTCGCTGGGCGAAGGGGATATAAGGGGACTAAATGGTAATGGAAAAAATTATAATAAAGATAAAATTTTAAATAACAAAACAAAACTGGAGTTTCGCCCTGGCTAGAGGCTCAACTAGTTGGAGCATCGTCCGGTGCACCAAAAAAGGTCGCGAGTTGGAACCCGGAGTCGGGGAGCCTACGAGAAGGCAGCGGATCGGTGTTTCCTTCTCTCTTAATAGCCCCTCCCAAGTAAGATCGTGTGAGAATTAAATGAGGCAGCGTAGCTGATGAGCTTCATCGTGAGCCCTGAGTACCTCCCGGCTCGTTTTCACCCTCGGAGGGGTGGTGCACCCTGATAGCTGGAAGACGGCGCGGATGGTGTTCGGCGGCGCCCGACCATCAGCAGAGGCCAAGTGAACATTTGCCGTTGTTACTCTTTATGTTCCTTGTTTTTTAGCTATATGTTAATTGATCAGCAAATCTAACTTTCTGAGCATTGTATTTTTTTCTTACAGGCTTCTGGCAAAACGGTTAGTTGCTGCAGTAGTAACATTAGCATTAACACAGCGAAGTGCTTAAATCTCTTGATGTCTGGGAATAAAGCCTCAGAGAACCTCACTCAATGGAAGGTTGTCAAGCGACTTAAGTATTTTGTTACCTACTAACCATTCCTTGGGAGTAACCATATACAGTGAGGGAAATTGGCATGTTGAATTATTTTTAATCTTTGGGTCAAAATGCTTTCTCATTGAGGTAAAACATAAGAAAGTAATTAACGCAAACACTAATGGTCATTGGGGTGTTTTTAATGTATTATAAATCCTTTTCACCAAGTGCTACTTTTCTAGACCTTTACATTCTTACTATGTTGTCATGCATTCTAAGTAGACATCATTTGTACCATAGTTACCTGTATTGGCAAATGTTGCTTGTCAGGTGCAAAGTAAACCCTTTTTCTTAGGTCAGTTGAAAAATCATCCTCTCATTTATCAGACAAAGGATCTGATAAATGTGACCAGATGTGACGCGGTGCTACCGGTAAACAATGTACCAAAGAGTAACAGTGTTTTCCAACCCTCCTAATTCTGGGTGAGTGGTGGGGGAATGATGAGTCGATTTTCTTTCTATTTTTCCTCTACTTTTGTAAATTTTTTTCAGAAAGCATGTAATCATTTTCTGTTGTAATCAGAAAAAGTACTTATTAAAAGTATGCTTTATTTTCCTGCTTTTAGTTGCAGTAAGCTATTTACCCAAATGATCTTTATGGAAATGAACTATAGAATTCTAAAGCATTACAGTCAAAAGGAAGTTTCAAAAGTAAAAAAAAAAAATGGTATTTTTGAACTGCAATGATATTTAAAAAATCAACTACCATATGTACACTTGAAACTAACATTTTAATCAATTACCAGATAATTTTTCTGAAGCTTTTATCATTTCTATTAATATAAAATTTCAACTCAACTTTAAATGCAAAGTCCTGATTTTTAAATACTGCACCTTTTATATAAAAATGTCACTGCTGGAAACATTCCATGCACTCTCCACTCTTTTGGAATTGCTGCAACTCTTACAAATGTTTGGATTATTTAAAATTAAAAAAAACTTTAAGAAAAGCAACAGAGTAAGAATCCTTTTGTAGCTGAAGCCCAAAGAACTGCCTTTAGAACAGCAGTTGGATTGTTATAACTATTGAACTATTTACTCTAGTAGAGAATAATTTCATGGTTTTAAAAGTAACTATTATGAGATAAACTGTCTCACTTTTCTAGCATCAAAACATTTATTGTATTCTAATACCAGACTGCTTTACCCAATGAAAATACCAAATAATCGAAATTTTACTAATCTTGGTCCCAATATAAAATTATAAACATCAAATCTTTCTTCTATTTCTTTCATAGTTAGAAATCTTATACTAACTACTTCATACCAATCTATTATTGCATAGGATTTAGAACAATATTTTCATGAATAATTTTGGCAAGATCTGAAATTAAAGTTCTTCAGACTGAATATCGTCTGGTATTTGACCAAATCCAGTTAGTAAGTACACAGTTGAAGAATTGAATGAGTATGAAATGAACAATTAAAAAATTCAAGCATTAAAAATTTAAATTATTTTATTATAAAAATTTATATAAACCATAAACAAAAATAAAACAAGCAGAACTAAGACAGTATATAAAACAGTTCCAATGAATGAAAATAACCCTAACCTTAACTTCCTTGAACTTATTTGTCTTTTACATAAATGATGCTTTCTTTCCTAGGCTTAAAATAGTGTTTTCCATTACACTTAATTAGGCTATAAAATATTAAAGATTATTTAAAAAAAGATAGATTCTCAAACTTAAGGGTTAACAAATACCTGCAAAGTTATCATGAAAATTTTGTGTATTTAATAAAATTGTAAGTCCAGAATACAAAATATACCTGAAATAATCTAACCAAAGACCACCAAGTTACTTAAATGAGTTTCTGAGATGGTATAAAGAGAAAATTTAAATCTTACTTACATATAAAATTGGATACATAATTTGTCAACATACTTTTAAAAACAAACCAAACCAGCCACTGTTCCTGAAAACACTTCCTACACTATTAAAGGACTTTTAATAACTTCAAGGTTACATAGAAACATTTTTTATCATTAAAATTACAAATAATTGTTTTTTGAACTTACAGAAGTTTCCAGTATTAAGTCCAAAGCTTCTAAAGAATAGTTCCCCAATATTAATGGGTTTCTTTTCTTTTCCTTGGTTGAAAAGCAAAGAATTCAGTCTGTGGGCAACACTTAACTATAGAGCCTCCATCCCCCCCGCCCTGCCAACACACCCCCACGGCCAGGCCCCCACAACCCAGGCGTCAGCTTCCACAAGTGAGCTCCTCACACAGCTGCTCTGGAAGGAAAAGCTGCAGCCAGACTCCTGGGCTCACTCGCCTCGCTCATTTAAAATCAGATTTTGTAGGGATCCAGCAACAAACTATTATTATTTGGATACCTGTGTCCAAACATGTACAGGTGTCACACAAAAGAATAAATAACTGCTAATATATGAAGCTAAACCTCAATGCAGGCAGTAAGAATTTTATTTACATGACTGTTGTCAAAGTTAAGAGCTGATTCAACTAACATGTTCCATATTGATTAACACCATTACTCCGTTTTCTCTGTGTTCAGATTTCACGTGTAACATTTCGCACTACGAGTCTAGACTTGGGTAGTAAGTTCTAAAGCCTATAATCAGCCAGGACACACTGACGTGACAAATGACCATCCCAATAAAAAGTCACAAATGTGTGCTTTCCTCCCCTCTCTGGACCACTATCAGCCTGAAAACACTTTAGGGTACTTACACTACATAGGCCTCCCTCGTACGAATCAGCCCCCCAGAAGTACAGAATGAGGATGATGTTTGAGAACTGTATCCTGTAAGAGACTCCACTGAAAATCCTTAGCCATATCGGTATTTTTTCAGAGCCTTCCTGCAAAGCCTCCCCCATACACTATCTATAAATAGCTCTAAAGGACGGGGAAAGTTCCATCATGCAGACACTTTCAGTTTCTTCTTCTTCGCCTTCAGCACAGGAGGTAGGGAAATCTTAAAGGCAGTCCTGAAATGACACAGGAAGAAAAGCCCGTTAAGGCTCTAACAATTCTCTACCGCATGAGCCAGCCGCACGAACTCACAGATACTCACTCGCAGGTAGTGCAGATAGGGCTGAAATTGCAGAATACTGGAAATGTAGAAAAGGGAAAAAAAGGAGGGTTTAAAACCATATAGTCAAGGTTTTTTCCAGCATGGAAAAGAAAAGCGCAGTCCATGAACTTACTTGACAAGCACACAGAACAGACGTAGCCAATTTCAATGAGATTCCGGTGACAGAAACACGCCGCCCGGTAGTCGACATGGACGGGGGGTGGCAGGGTCAGCTGAGATCGCTGATCCTGGTCAGGAAGAAAAACCCACTGCCAAAAAAAAAAAAAAAAAAAAAAAAAAAAAAGGCACGTTTCTTTATTCACTCAGCCATCATCGAGCGCCGCCACCTGCCCCTCTCACAGGCAAAGCTCGGCGGACTGTCCTACCCATCCCGCGCGCAGCTTAGGGGGCTCGGGCTCGCTGACGCCCAGCCTTCGGAGCTTCGGGAACCCCGGGTCGCCCCTTTAGTCCTTCTCCCAGTCACTGGCACCGGCCACCCCGCTCCCACTCATCCCGCAGGGACCAGCTCTCCCTGCGCGAGGCGACAGGCACTGCCGCAGGTCCTTACCAGTAAATACTGCAGGAGAGGGTGCACCTGAGGCACCTTCAAGTACATTCCCCCTGTGATGTCACAAGCCTGCAAGACACACGAGGGCTCTCTGCCACTCAAGCTACGCAAATAATTTAAAATTTTCTAGCCACATAAAATGGAAAAAGATAACATTTTAATAGCATATTTAACTCAATATACCCAAAGTGCTATCAGTCTAGCACGTAATCAATACAAAAAGTCATTAATAAAATACTTTACATTCTGTTCTCATAGGAAGCCTGGGATTCAGGGTGTTGTATACTTGCCACATACCTCACTTCAGAGCTCAACAGCCGCATGGCCGCCGTGTGGGACAGCAGGAACCTAGGCTATGACCCTATTTCCCTAAAATTCTCTGCTCGGGGACTGAGTCTTCCATCGCTATCTCTATACAGAGAGAGGTCTTTCATTCTGCTCACGTAATATTAACAAAGGTAATTTTTAGATGATAGGCTCTGAAGGGATTTTTTTAAAACCCTTTTTAAAAATACTTTTCTGGGCTGCACGCATTTGTTTTAATGTGTGAACCACTTTTACAAAGTCAATGAAATCATTAGGTGAAATATAAATAAAGCCCGAAGGGACCAGAGAGAGCGAGTTCCCTAATCTACGGCGCCAGCAGGCTCAGCCCAATACCGCGTGCCAGCCGGCAAAGGCACCCAGCAACCGGGGGCGGGACGCACGGCGCGCTCATGGCCACCCGCACCGGGCACTCGCTGGGAACGTACCTGTTGGAGGAGTCCCGAATCGGAGTCTAAAACACAGGCATCGATTAAAATATTCTGAAACGAATATTCCAAAAGTGTTATGGAAACGATAGCAATGACTATCTTACACCAATACCCTACTACGTGCCAGACTCTGCTCTTAAAATGGCTTACTTCATATGCCTAACGCTGCAAGGCAGACATTCGATTAGCGCTTTGCAGCTGAAGCGCCCAGGCCTCGGCCAGGCTGTGGTCACAGGGCTGGGGGAGGCGCTGCCCTCAACCCCAGCGTGCCTGTCGCCGAGGCTCACAGTCTCGTCACTACGTCATGCGGGCACTCCGAGATGGAGAAAAGTATCCGTGGCTGTGGCACGTCAGACTGAAGCTGAAGCTTTAAGTTCTCCGTTAGGAGTGACAACTCATCAGGGCGCGCAGCGGACTGCAGAAGCAGGGACTCAGCCTGCGGTCCGCGGACGGCTGGACGGGGCCACAGGGGCGCGCCCAAGCTGCACTCAAGACTGTTCTGTGCACACTTTCCTGGAGGCTCATCAGGTTCTCAAGGGGTCCAGGACTCGAGACAGAGAAACAACTGCAGGAAATACGGGTTCCAGGTCCCTAACCCATCGATAAGGCCATTAGTCACAAGGCCTCCCTGGGTAGACCGTTCAGAAAAGGCAAAGCCAGTGCCTGCATCAGGAAGCGGCATCCCTGAGGAGGGGCTGGGCGCGCACCTGTTTCTGCGCAGCGAAGATGACGTTCATGAAGTTCATGTACTGCAGCGCGCTGTCCTCTGCGGCCTTGATCACCTGCGAGCCAGACCCACGTCAGCGCCCGCGGGCTCGCCCAGGCGCCCACTGCACGGCGCCACCACACACTGCAAACTACAACCGCTGCTGTTTTCTGATTCGCCTGCCTAGTTATCGTTAAATACTACCTCTATGTGTGACGACGGCTGGGAAATCGCCCCCCACTCCCACGCTCACAAGGTAATCATTGTTACTAATTTCTGGAGAGCGCCTTCATGGGCAGATATATACACACGCTCACCCACAGCACACACGCTGGCAGGATGACCCTCTCTCCAGAGTCTGCAACCTGCTCACTTGGCTACAGCTCCTCCTTCACGCTGACCTCACAGACCTCCGCTACTTACCCAGCTATCTACAGGGGACGTTTACACAGTTTGCGACCCTCAGCTTCAGACGATGCTCTGATGCACACACACAGGCACCCTGTGCACGACTCTAGGACCAGCCCCTGAATTACAGACTCAGTGGGGTCACACATTTCACCCTGACACCAGAGGTCGCCCACCTGCCCCCCACGCGAGCTGCACGACTTTACACTCCCACTGGTGATGCGCGGGAATAACCACCCCCCAACGCTACCAGCAGCCTGGGGACTGCCAGCTCTTTCGCCTGCGCAGAGCAAGAGGCGCACAATGAAAGGAATGTGTTTTCAAATGTTAACTGACCACGTGCATTTCCTCTTTGGCAGACTGCTCACGATTGCTGTTTCTTCAGACTAACTTTGACTCGTAAAAGTTTATGAGTGCTCTTTTTCACTTTTTTATTTTTAAATCCTCATCCAAGGATATGTTTCTTGATTTTAGAGATAGAGGAAGGGAGGAGGAAAAGGGAGAGAGTGAGGGAGACAGAGAGAAAGAGAGAAGGAGAGAGACAGACAGACAGACAGACAGCGACTGGCTGCCTCCTCTATGTGCCCTGACCAGGAATCAAACAGACAGCCCAGGTGTGTGCCCTGACTGGGACTCGAACCCGCCACCTTCTGGTGCACGGGAATGACACACCAATCCACTGAACCACCCGGCCAGGGCTCCCAGTATGTTTTCTAATTGGCTGTAACTAACATATAATCATAGTACTGATTTTTTTTAAAACTTACCAATATCCTTGACTTCATTTCCTGATTATCTATAAAGAGATAAAAGCAGTTTACAATTTAGCTGAATCTTAAAAAGTATATCATAAGGTTTTCTAACCAATTTTAAACAGTCCACCAAGTTACATTAGTAAAATAAGAATTAGTTTCATAGAAAAACGAAGGTTCCTACCTTTAACCTCCTTGTTCATCCTATGAATGTCTTATTTTCTTAGAATTAAGGAACTTAAAAATATTATTTAACCTCATAAATATTTCTAGTAAACAAAGAAATAACCTCAAACTTTAGTTAAATAAACCCAGCAACAACGTAACCGAAAAACAGAAATGCTTCATTTACCATGATAAACACACAAAACAAGGGGGACTGGGGATCCCCGATGACCGACGTCAATCAGCCGGCCCTTGTGGCCTGAGCGAAATGCCTTTGTCCCGGAAAATTAAAATCCCCACCGTCTGACCGTTCTATGACTATCGCCACCTCCTAGACGCGAATCCTGGGACCGCGAGTAAATCATTAAGTCCATCAAACGAGCTGTCATCACACTGGAAAGCCACACAGGCGACGAGGTATGCCCCCTCTGGGCCAGAAACGGCCCTTGGGACACAAAGGGACACAGCTCTCGGGGCGGAGGGAAGAGCCGGCTCCCTGTTGGTCCGTCCGCTGGGAGCGAGGGGCGTCCTGCAGAGCCGTGCAGGAGGGCGGCCGCGCCCCTGGCCGCTTCCAAGCTCCCACTGCGCGGTTTTACCGCCTGTCTCAATGACACCCGGGGCCCCACTCGGGCGCACGTGGGCGCCTTCCTTCCGCGCCCCCGGGGTACAAGGCCCCAGGACAGGCACGGGCTGAGATGAGCGGATCCCAGGGACGCCTTCCGAGTGGACGGCCGCCGAGGATACAGCACAGCGCTTTGGCCAGGGATCCTGCCAGCAAGGTTTCTGTGTGCTGGCCCTTGATGTCACCTATAAAGAATAATAGGGAAACTTAAAAGGGAGTTTTTTTGGCATTTCCTTGAACTAAAATGATTTTCAAACCAAGGTATTCTTCTTCATGAATGAAAGAACACACCACTTTCAAATGGGTTTAAAAACAGCTATCTTTCCTCAGTAATGCTTAAATAAGCAGTTTCTTTAAACATTTTCTGAATTTAAAACACCCTGGTGGTCAGGGGCTGAGGCGGGGAAGGGGGACCGTGCAAGAGCACGAAGTTCCGCGGGGGAGCGGAGCAGCTGTGGAGGCGGCCGACGGCGACGTTCGCACAGCGACACGGCAGAACTTGCTGCCGCAGCACTTAGACTAAAAACAGTTAAAACGATGTTTTATGTTACATGTATTTCACCACAATAAAAAATAAATAATAATAAATATCCCAGGGTCACATGGAAAAGTTCAAACAAAGGCCATGTGTCCCCGCCACAGCCAGCACAGCGGCCCTGGGCTGGACCCCAGCCCACCCTGCCCCCCAGGAGGCCGCCGCCGGTCAGAGGCTGGAGATGCCTGTCAGCTGCGGCGAGGTCTGCCACTTGCTTGGAGCCTGGGGTGAAAAAGCCTCACTCCTAAGAAATATCAAAATTCTAAACCTGTGGCCCGCATTTTCGGCTCAGTCTCTCCTTGTGGTGGGGGCTGTCCTGTGCGGTACGGCTTCCCTGGCCTGGCCCACTAGGGAAGGGGCAGGGGAGCAGGACGGACACCCCGCAGAGAGGCCCGGCCGCTCACCCAGAGCCGGACCCCCGCCTCCCAAGGCCGGCGGGGAAGGTCCGCAGAGTCTCCTGCGAAGCCAGGGCTCTGCCCTGGCAGCCAGAGGCTCTCGGTGTGATTCTGGAACCAGCCCTGGGGGCACCACCTGGGGCCTTCACAGAAATGCAAGTTCTGGGGACCACCCCAGGCCCTTTTAATAGATCAAGACGCCAGGTGATTGGTGACAGCGTTACTTACAGATCCTAAAACTCACCCCTTTTACGCGCACGAGGCAGTGATTTTAAGCACTACATAATTTTAGAACATTTCCCTCGCTCCGAAAGATCACGTGAGCCCATCCCCAGGCCCTGCCCGCTCCTCTACGCCCCGCCAACCACAGATGACCTCCTGTCCCTACAGAGTCGAGTCTCCCCACCCAGGTGATCCTGCCAGAGGCTGCGGGGTGAAAAACACCGCCTGCCGGCAACAGGGACCCAGGCAGCAGGGCGCAGCAAGGCCCTTCAGCCAGAGCGGAGCTGCTCTGGCCTCCGGGGGCGGACGCTGGAGGCGGAGTGGCGAGGCTGGAAGGGAAGAGACAGGGGCCAGCGAGGAAGCTGTTACGAGACCTCCAGCAGCGGCCCTCACCTTGAGCAACTGTGCCCTGCAGGGGACATCTGGCAACGTCTGTGGACGTATTTGTTTGTCACAAGTGGGGAACATAATGACAGAGAGTGGGCCAGGCCAGGGAAGCCGCACCGCACAGGACGGCCCCCACCACAAGGAGAGACTGAGCCGAATACGCGGGCAGCGCCGAGCCGGGGCCCTGTGACAGGTGGAGGCCCGACCGCGGAGGTGCTTCCGCGGCTCAACGAAGAGCCGAAGAGCCGTTCACAGCTGATTAGACTGGAAGAGTGGGTGGATGCGGGAGATGGAAACAGGGAAGAGAATGGGCGTAACTGAGGAGGAAAGAGAATGACACGAATCCGGGGACCCTGGGGGACACTTAGGGGCGACATGCGCACTCGAAAGGAAGGCTGGATTAGAGGCGAAGGTAGGAAGTGTTCCCATCTCAACAATGAAGAGTGGAGGACAAACAGCGAAAGAAAAAGATAACACACAGAATAAAGAAAATATATTTTAAGGAGGAAGATCATGGAAAAGTCAGAAAAAGAAAAAAGAAAGTCCAAAACAAGAGGAAAATGAGATCGAAGCAGCGGCTGGGCCACAGCGTCAGGTGCTGCGGGGCCAGGGGAGCGATGCGCCGACTTTGATGGAACGACTTCAGAAAGAAGAGAAGCACGTAGGGAGTATCCAAAACCTCAAGTCTTCCCTGGCTGCTGTGGCTCAGTGGACGGAGTGCCGCCTGCGAACCAAGGGGTCGATGGTTCGATTCCCAGTCAGGGCACATACCCAGTAGGGGACACTGGAGAGACAGCCACACATTGATGTTTCTCACCCTCTCTTTCTCCCTCCCTCCCCTCTCTCTAAAAGTAAATAAATAAACTGTTTTAAAAAAAATAAAAAGACACCTCAAATCTTTGGACTTAAAGCCTCCAAAACCCCCATATTCAACTCCATTTGTAATATAACAATAAGGGGGGGGGGGGACTCTTACTCTTAGTCATGAGATCTTTAATCTCGTCAACAATGACTTCATTTGCTGCGGTTAACAGCTCGTACTTCCCGTCTTTACTCCCTGAGGGATTGAACTCGGAAGGAGGGTTGCCAGGGTCCCCGAAGAGGTCTCCCAGTCTGCCGTTCCTTCCAGGATACAAGAATCGGCTGAAACAGCGGGAGAAAAACAGAACCTGGTCACCCCAGGGCTCGGCGCCCTCACCAACAACAAGATGAAATTCAGCAGAAAAACAAACAGAAATCACATAATTCTGGACTCACCAGATTCTATAACAAATCTCATTTTTTAAAAAATGTACAAAATCGGCAAAGCAGAAACAAAAGTCAACCACCACAGAATGTTTTAATGATTCCACTGTTTCCGGGAAGCTGAGCGGGAACCAAGGAGACGCTGGGATCTGCCTCTCCAGGTGCTTCGGGGCGACGGGGGTCGGGGGGCCTCACTCTACCTCCTCAGTGACAACTGGAAGATTCTACTGGCTTCTAACTTCCCGTTGGTTTATCACTTGAGGTCTGTTTACCTACTCCAGCAATAAGAACCTGGTCTAAGGGTCCCTAGAAGAGTCTTCCCGTGATCCATGGCTTTTATAACAACGTACAACACTTCTGATTTTTCCAAAAAATGAAAACTTAGCCTGTCCTAGCCTTTACTGACATCTTAATCCAGTCGGCACCCCTTCTGGATTCCGAGACAAACGCAGGGCGAGGCGGCAGCGGGAGCAGCCCGGGAGCCTGTGGGCCCCCCCCCCACACCAGAGGCGGTGGGCTGCGAACCGCGGCGCTCGGACAGCGCCCACCGGCCTCCCGTGAGATGCGCGACAGGCTTTTAGCCCAGGCAGAGGAGGCGCTTCCACAGTCCACATACAACGTGACAAGTGAACGTGGTCAAGATTGCTCATGGAAACCTTCACTGCCCGCGCGGCCAGATCCTCGCGCCAGCTATAGGCCCACTCACCGCCTCGCAGCGCTGGCTCCGCGCCTGTTAGCAAAGGCCGCGGCTGCAGCGGCGGAGCACCAGACGGAGCAGCGGGCTTGGGTTAAGGAGCCCGTTTATGAGAAAAATCCTTCCTGGTACACCCGGGAATCCCCCACAGGGCGGTGAAACTTTCCCACCAGGAGAGGCGCCCCGGAGCCCAGACTGGCCCCAGGGAGAGCGGGATCCCTTGGTGGCTCCCCTGCCCCCGGGGGCAGACCCACCCCTACAGCAGGCGGCTCTGGGAGCGGCCGCCGGATCTGACATTCTCCTTTCTGCCTGGAGCCGACCGCGGAAGCTGCGACGGGCAACTGCGCACAGCATGCACCTCGGCTGCGCGTGAGCTACGAGGTTTTCAGTATTCACACCTGTGCCGGTTCCTGATGCTGTCAGTGCTGTTCACTGGTACAGAAAACGGTTTTGCCACATACACTGGGAACAGCACTGGATACATGCTAACTGGCCTAAAAACCTCAAAAGTTAAAGATCGAGTAGGTTCTCGTAACGGTCCTACCTTTCTTGAATGTGACTTGCTATGACAGCAAGCTTGTTGGAACGATTCATGAACAAGTGAGAATTCCCCAGCACCATGACCGCATCTATGCATTTTGATAAGGTAAACTATTGAAAAAAGAAGACACGAGAAAGGTAAATTAGCCGTACAAATACCTTCCTGAAATAATTAAGATTTCACTTGAGTGTTAGACAACTGTTCACCGGTAAAAACTTGCCCAGGGGCTCCCTCCTCCAAAGCCACAAGCCAAAACGCTTGAGAACTACAGTTTTCTAGTTTTACTTACATGAGGTCATTTCTGTACCGGCACGCCATGCCATGAGTATCTTCCGTATAACACTTAGGGAATAGCCACACGGCACCTTCTGTGATGAGGTTACTAGCCAACTATTGCTACACAAGGAGTATTTATTGGTATGTTGATTAAACTGGTGACTTGCAAAAGTTTTCAATCCATTCATTCACACATTAAGTTTGCTGAGCGCCTGTTACGCGTTATATCCCTTCTTTCAAGCAGGTCACATTCTCACAAATGCTAATGTTACTAGAAACATAGATGGATATTCTTATAATCCCAGAATAAGGCATGTTTCTCTTAAAAACATACCTCAGGCAGAAAGTAACTGCTGATAAATTTCACTTTATTTTTAAAAAGTAAAACAGACCTATTAAAATTTCTGTATGGCAGGAAAACGACTAAGCAAAGCTGAAAGACCACATATTGCAAGGAATCAATAGGTGAAATGTCAGAAAAGGTAATGAAGAGACAGAACACAGGCCGGCGGCTTCCTGGGACTCGGGGCTGGAAGCTGTCATTGGCTCTAAACAGACAGAACGGAACTTTCTGGGGTGACAGAAATGTTTAAGACAGAACTGTGGTGATGATTACACGACTTTATTGTGGTTTAACTAAAAAGCCATTGAACTGTACATTAAAACAGTTGGATTTTATTTCAATTATACCTTCCTAAGCTATTTTTTGGAAATTTAACCTAGGCTTGGTTCAACCACAATTATCCAGAGACCCTCAGGCAGCCTTACCTGAGACCCCTTTAATGCTTGCTTTCCCCACCAAATCGGGTTGGTGTCAACTACGATAACTAGGAGGTTCAGTTCATCTTCTGAAAAGATTAACAAAAACAAAAAAACATTAGCCTCACGAAAATGAGTCAAAGCCAACATTCTCCACACTTTTTCATCTCCACGACCTGACAGCCACGAGACTGACAGGCGGCCGGGTTCCTGCGTACACTTGGAGCTCTGCGGGCCCCCCAGCTCCCGCCTGCTCTCTGCATCCCGCATCTGTCACCAACGGAGTGGAGGCGGCTTTGGGCTGCTTCTCCTCTGTTCCCAGACTGCTGCCGGCCACAGAGGATGTGTGATTAGTATCTATTATGCGAACCCAAAGGTATTTGCACTTTAAGTGCCTGGTCAGTTTGAGAAGGCACTGATTAACCAGCAGTAAGAACCACTAGTAGCAAAACTTGGCGGGGGGGGGGGGGGGGGGGGGGGGCAGAGGGGAAGAATCTGGAATCAGTTTGGCCCTGGGGACATCAAATCACCTAGCAGCAAGGCCAGCTCTGATTAGGAACCAGATTTTAAAAGGTGAAAACTGATTCCTATGTAAAGAGTATTTTCCTGGGACAGAAACCAGACTACACTCCAGACACAGAGTAGCCTAACTTAACCCTTCATTCACGCAACAAGCTTTACACCAAGTACCAGCGTCGGCTGTTGTGCAGACTGTGCCCAAGCCCTTGAGGAGCCTACATTCTAACTGAAGCGACTTTCGAACTTGCAAGCACGTGCTGTTGTGAAAGCCCAGGATGCCCTTTAATAACGGAAAGCAGCAATGTCTTTCCTGCTTCCATCCCCCCCCCCGCCCCCCCGCCTCCGCAGTCCGGCCGCCTGCCTCAGGATGATCCCCACCGCCCCATCCCTGGTTTCCGCTCCCATCTCCAAATCCCACTCACTCTTCAGGGCCCCAAACCAGTGCGACCTCTTTCTTCCAAACCCCTTCCCAGGTCTTCCAACACGTCCCGGCTCCCTGTCTCAGGGGGGCAGGGGTGCCCCCCGCTTCCCCGCCCCAGGCCCTGGCACACGGAAGTCTGTAATCGCATTCCAGGCTGACAACCACCCAGCAAGGGACGTATTACTGACATCTCTCATCAATTACATGATGTACCTCCTCCGTTTTTTGGGGTTTTTTTTACATTTCGCAGTTGCTGAAATCAGATGGTATCTTAAGATGAAGATGCGCAATATTTTTTTTCTTACGGGCATATTAAATAAAGGCACATTTCATAACCAACGTTGTTTCAGATTGGATGAAATATGGTATTCCTATTTTGCGAAGTAACTTGCTTTAAGGCACATGCCTGCTGGCAAACAGCAAAGCCCAGGCCCAGTTCGGAGGACAGGCCCTCCTCTAAGCCCCACTGCCCAGTCCTGACCCCGCAGAGGACTGAGCCCTTCTGGTAACACTAAATACTCACTACCTCCTTTCACAGTCAGCTGTGTTTCTCATCTCTCCCCCACCCTGTCCATGACACTGCCGAATCCTCAGAGATAGAGGATTTTTGTTACTTCCGCAAATCACACAACCAAGTGCCTAGCACCGAGGAAGCACTTAAAAACTGTGTCTCCCATAAATCTTATGCCTCTAGCCTTCTCCTCCATCAGGCCACGCCCCACACCTCTCAGGCCACCCACTCCTTGCTGCAATCAAGAAAGGGACAGTGCGCTGCCTGTCACGAGAGGTGTGTGTCCACACACACACAATGTCGCTGTGGCTCAGGGCGCTCCGGCCGCCCTGGCCTCTTCAGGGAATCAGGCTGCATACCAGGTCGCTTAATGTATGAATGAAAGTCTCTCCCCGTCTCCACCCCCAGACTCCCCGCTTCTGTCTCACTGTAAAGTAGTGGCTCAGCTCGCCCCAGGGCACTGGCACAGTCAAAGTCCTGGTTTCGACAGCACTGCGGTCCCCTGGACGCCGACCTACAGCGGCTCCTCCTCCAGCAGCCCTTAACCACAATCCATCACAACATCCCATTATAGTGTTTGCACAGCTCTTGTTCTTCAGAACCATGGTCTGTCTCACCCACCAGACTGTGACCTCCACGAGGACCTGTCACGTTCTCGGCTGCCAGCCCCCAGCGCAAACGGCAACTAACGCCTGGCACACAGGAGGCGACCCCAAAATATTTACTGAATGAGTACATTCGTTACCCTCCTAAGGACCAATCAGGTTCCACCCAGCCCAAGACATAAACTCCGCGCGGCTGGTCGCGGCCGGACCCAACCCGTCCAGCCGCGGGGTCCGGGCCCCGGGCCCCGCAGGCGCAGCCCTCACCATCGGAGGCCATCGCCCCAGCGTCGCCCAGCGCGGAGCCGCCAGGAGTCCTGCGGGCGTCCCGGATGTGGCGTATCCCGACTTCCGGCACCGCCGAGGGACGCGCGAGGCGGTTGGGCCCAGACCCTGCGCCACACCCAGGCTCCGCCCCCGGGGCGCCGGAAGTGGAGTCCAGGACCGCGCGGCGCGCTGTCAGTCCCTGCGGCTCGGAGCCGGCGCGGTCGCGGGACTCTTCCGGACAGCACGGGTGGCTCGGGGCCCCTCGGGTTCCGCGGTGCGGAGGGCACCATGGACGACAGGGGTAAATCGGGACGGGACGGGCCTGCTGGTCTACAGCGGAGCCGCTCAGGGGTCCCCCCACCTCGCACGCCCGGGCTGGACTCCGGGAGAGCTCACGTTCCGAGCTCAGGCTGCTCGGCTCGATGCGGTTCCTTAACCCCGCTCGCGGTCCCGTATCCAGGGGATGGACCCCGAGATTATCCGCAGGCACCCTCTCTCCCTACGCTTTTTTCCATTGCCCTTGCCCAGAAAAGTGAGACTTCGAAGGGAGCGTGGAAGTCTTAGCAGTCTCGACGTCCCCCTATGTGGAGTAGGAATGAGACTCCCTGCCCTGATGAATTTGGAACTAGAGGAGAAAGAATAAGGCGTGCTTGGTGCGCTTATCTAGTGTGGTTATCAAAGTGCTTTCTTAAGTGGGGCAAACTAATACCCATAATGTAGCTTTGATGTTAAACAAATAAAGGGAGTGGCTCTCTACATACACGTAACTAAGTCTGTATGTGAATAGGCTTGACTTAGCATAGACTGTCTGCAGGGTACAGGAGAATGGATGAGGAGATTGACATTGGGACGCTCTCAGGACTTGGGGTCTCCGTGAAGAGGGAGAATGGCCATTTAGTGTCATTTAGCAGCTGTCATCTCTATTCCCGTCAAGCATCGTCATTTCCCTAAAAGCCAAACATCGTGAAAAGAAAGTTTTTAAATTAGGTTGCTTCGTAAGGTCAACAATTATCGCCAAGCTTTCTGGCTTTACAACCTGCAAAATGAACTTGAATCACGTTTCTCTCTCTTTCAGAGTTAATTGAATACTTTAAGTCTCAGATGAAAGAAAATCCTGACATGGCCTCAGCCGTGGCTGCCATACGGACGTTGCTGGAGTTCCTGAATCGAGATAAAGGTGAGGGCCATCCTCCAACACACGGGGCCTTAGGAGAGAGAGCCTTCTAATAACTGTCGGAAGAGGAGACAGTGAGGGAGGCGTGTGTGCCTACGAAACGGGATGCCACCCCAAGTTCAGCTGCCTCCTTCATTTCACTCTTCCGTTTAAACTAGAGAGAGCCCTCGAGTCACCATTAAAATGGGTTCCCTTTCATAAATGACATATACTTTGAATCAAGAATAACCATTTTAGCCCAGGCAGGTGTGGCTCAGCGGATTGAGCGCCAGCCTGCGAAGCAAAGTGTTGCTGGTTGGATTCCCGGTATAGGGCACCTCCCTGGGTTGCAGGCCAGGTCCCCAGGAGGGCATGCGAGAGGCAGCCACACATTGATGTAGTTCTCTCCCTCACTCCCTCCCTCCCTTTCCCTCTAAATATAAATAAATTAAAATTTAAAAAAAAATAACCATTTTATATGACGTTGACTGCGAGGTTTAAATTATAGTAACAGTTCAGCTTTCCAACTGTTTATGGAGCTGTCTTGTGCCAGATTCTGTGCAGATGCTGCAGAGATTGTTCCAGAATAAGTTCTCGTATTAATGTCATGCACTGTGATTGCGTACTACTTCAGGCGTCCCAGATGTAAGCATCTGGGTGTAAGTGAACTAGGAGAGCCTCCGTGAACCCGAAGGGCTGGCCCAGAGACCTGGGTCCCCAGGACGTCCTCCAGTGTCTTCTCGTCGTACTCACGGTGGCGTCCCAACCCCTCCGCACCCCCACTGCCCCAAAGACCCGCTCCATGCCGCCCCCCACACCGCGCGCTCACACATTTGCTCCCGCCTCGCGGCCTTGGTATTGTCACCGTCTGGCCCTGCACCTTTCCCACCGTACCTGTCTGTGGCTGGATCCCCTCCTCCTCGGGGCTCAGTTTAAATGGCCCCCTCCAAGAAGCCATCCCCATTTGCTCTTTCATAGCTTCACCTTTCTCATCACTCTGCTTTTTTTTTTAAGTCCTCGTTACAATCTGTAATTAACTCCCGTATTTCTCTGGGTACTTATTTATTGTCTGCCTCTTCCACTGGAGGAGGAGTTTGCTCAGAGCAGGGACCCTGTCTGTCTTGTTCACCAATGTGTCTCTGGCATCTAGAACAGCACCTGGCGTACAGTGTGCACCTGGCAAATACCAGTTGAATGAATCGCGGGCCCACCAAGGGGCTGTGGTACTAAGACAGATGTCACGTTGCCCATGTGATCCATCCAGGGGAGACGATCCAGGGCCTGAGGGCGAATCTCACCAGAGCCATAGAGACCCTGTGTGGCGTGGACTCTTCCGTGGCCGTGTCCTCGGGCGGGGAGCTCTTCCTGCGCTTCATCAGCCTCACCTCCCTGGAGCACTCTGTAAGCCCGCCCCGCCCAGGTTCCCCCTCCACTCCTCTCTCGGCCTGGGTCTCCCCTTTGCCCTCATTTTGCTCTTCTCTTCCTAGGATTTCTCCAAATGTAAAAAGATCATGATTGAGCGGGGAGAGCTGTTTCTCAGTAGAATATCGCTGTCAAGAAATAAAATCGCAGACCTGTGCCATACTTTCATCAAAGATGGGGCGGTGAGTAGATCTCCCCGCGTCCGGTGACGGGAGCCAGGACTTTGCATTAGGCCCCTGGCGTAAAGCCCTCCCCCTGCCACGTACTTGCTGTGCAGCCTCGGACAGGGCACTTAACCTCTCTGTGCTGCAGTTCACTCATTTGCTACATTAGGGGTATAAGAGTGCCCATCTCACTGGGCTGGTGTGCGGACCAGGGAGGCAGCACGCATAAGGAGTTGGCGCAGGGCCTGGCACATGGCGAGACTGTGTAAACATGGACGTAGTTATCAGAGTTGTCATTTTAAACACGCAGAGGAAAACACTGCGACAGCATGGGTGATTTTTGATTTAGTAAGATGTCTTACTAAGGAGGTATTTTTATTATTGGACAGGTACTAAATTAACATGAATTAAGTCAACACAGAACAGCTCTTATCCCGGGTTAATGCTGTCTCTTCCTGGGGAAGCTGAGCCCTAGATTGAGATGTTTTTTTAAAACTTCTTTTCAAATGCTGTTAGAGAGCTGCAAAGTCGCCAAGTGTCTACGGGGGTGGAGAGGCGGAGCCGCAAGTTCAGCCAGTTCCCCAGCGCAGGGCCCATAAAACTCCCATGCATCCCTCACGCCACCTTCCTCCTTCCTGCCATCCAGCGTCCACTGACCATAAAACTATTTACATGCGTTTTGACTCTGAAATCTTGTCCTGTTTTATTACCTGTGTCCCAGCCTTTGGAGTATGTTATTAAATAAGTGACATAATAGATGTGAGTGGAACTTGTACAAAAGCCAGTTGCAAACAAAGCCATTGTTAGCCAAGTCGGAGCAACATGACAGCTGCTCAGCTGCTCCGTCAGCGGCCTTGGCCTTCCCCTTCTGGCCAGCCTGTCCCACTGTCAGTATCGTGTGGTTTCATTTACGATGTAATGGGTGACACCCACCTGCATCAGCACAGACTGAGACCAAACTCGGAGCATAGCTGCTCAGGTTTAAACATGCAGGTGAACTGCCTGGGATCTTATAAAATGCAGGTTCTGACTCAGTAGGTCTGGGGCAGGGCCTGAGAACCTGTGTTTGCAACCAGCTCTCAGGCCAGAAAGGAACTCAGGGGCCACGTCCATCCGTCTCGCACTGACCTCTAGAAAAATCAGATGCGGTGGCATCCGTGGGACCACATGGTGACGGCTGGAGCCCACCCGCCCTTCTGCCCGGAGGCCCAAGTGTGCAAACCGTGGCCTAGAGACAGGAAAGCTAACCCCTAGGAATCCAGCGGAGCCTTCAAGTAGAAAGGCTTTGTCCACTGCGGGGGGATCCCACTCCTAGGTGCGCTGGGGCTCGGGAGACCCCAATACGGTCCCCTGGCGGAACCCTTCCTCAACGTACGCATATGGGCTTATCGCCCGGTGCGGCATCGGGCACCTTCCTCTGACCGCAGCTGGCGTGTGAGAAAGCAGAGACAGGAGCCACAGGCTCCCGGGGGTGCAGAAGGGGGGCCCGGCGTGCGGGCGGTCAGGGGAGGCCGGCCCCCTGACGGAGCGTCCTCGGCCCACAGAGAATACTCACGCACGCCTACTCCAGAGTGGTCCTCAGGGTCCTGGAAGCGGCTGTGGCGGCCAAGAAGCGCTTCAGCGTGTACGTCACAGAGTCCCAGCCTGACTTATCCGGGCAAGTACCTTTCCATTGGGGGGTGTGCCCAGCGGTCGTGTGAGCGGAGCCAGAGCGGGCCCCGGTTTGCCCGTTCCTGTGGCTTCGCAGCCAGTCACCATGCAGGGCCGGCAGGCTTAGTTAGGGGTGACAGAGGAACCACAAGATTTTTTATCAAGGAACGGGTCGTTCATGTCTCATCAGTTCAGAAGATGATAACAGAAAAACTTTCTCCTTTCTTTCTGAATTTGCATGTCTTACCCACAGCCCCTGGAGGTATTGTTTCCCTGGAACACACGCTTCCTTCTAAAGAACCAGGTTGTTTCCTTGGTTGAAAGTCCTGGGATCTGTCCCTTAATCCATTAATACCAACTGAGTTTCAAGCTAATATAACTTATCATTGTCACTTAAGTGACTGATTTACACACATTGGAACTTCCTTGAATTTTCTCTAATGTTCTCACAATGCTATTTTCAGTAAGAAAATGGCCAAAGCCCTCTGCCAGCTCAATGTTCCTGTCACGGTGGTCCTGGACGCTGCCGTTGGGTAAGCACCCAGCCTCCCTGCCACAACCGCCTGTCCCCGCCCCCGCCCAGGGTTTGCACGGAGCAGGCCTTCCAGACTGAAGGTCAGCGTCCCACTCATAAACCTGCACCGGGGAGCGTCCTGCCTCTTCATTAACAGCTGCATTAAACCGCAAGCTCACTACAGGGTCTTTTATTTATTTATTTTTTTATATTTTATTTATGTACTTTTAGAGAGAAGGGAAGGGAGGGAGAAAGGGAGACAAATATCAATGTGTGAGAGATACATTGATCGGTTGCCTCTCACATACCCCCCACTGGGGACCTGGCCCGCAACCCAGGCCTGTGCCCTGACTGGGGACTGAACCAGTGACATTTCGGTTCGCAGGCCGGCCCTCAGGCTACTGAGCCACACTGGCCAGGGCCAACACAGGACTTTGATGTTGTACGCAGGCCGGGGGATGCTAGTGGGGGGAGTCGTTTACAGAGCATCACGATGCGTTTTAAGAGCCCAGTTCAAAGGTCGGGTTATGGCCAGTGCATGCGATAACCCCTCTCCCTCTTCTCTGAAGACACGGCTGTCCCCAGTGCCACTCGGATTCTTGTCTCACCCACGCAGCCCGAGCTGGGGTTGCGTGTTGGTGAACCTCACTAGAGGAGACGGGCGCAGCAGTCTCTCACAAAGAAAGCACATAAGGCAGGTGAATAAGGAAATTAGGGCTGTGTTGGAAAGTAAGCACTTGAAGAATTCTACCAATGGCTCACCTGAAAAGGTGAACTGGCCCCGGCTGGTGTGGCTCAGTGGCCTGCGTGTCATCCCGCGAACTGAAAGGTCGCCAGTTCGATTCCAGTCAGCGCATGCCTGGGTTGCGGGCGAGGTCCCCAGTAGCGGGCATGAGAGGGGCAACCGCACATTGACGTTTCTCTCCCTCTTCCTCCCTCCCTTCCCCTCTAAAAATAAATTTTAAAAAATTATTTAAAAAGGTGAATTGCTGTTCACACTACCTGAATGGTGCTTGAATTAGAGAACACTTCCCACCTTTGCATCAGGTCTTCGAATTTGGGTTTTGCGTGTATTAAAGCAGAACAGAAACCGCGCCCCACGCGCCGTGAGGGGCGATCCAGGTCTTGGAAGCCTTGCTGCGGGCACACTCGTGTGCGCCCATGCTAGGTGCTGTGTGACGCCCCAGTAGCAGAGCTGGTGACAGTGCCAGGGGCTGCTTCGTGTGCAGGGTGCCCTTCAGAAGAAAGTTGCAAGAGGAACTCACTGCAGTGACAAGGGAATGTCCCCCTCTGCGGGGGCGGCGCGGCTACCGAGCGCCAGGAGCCAAGCGTAAGCGTTTCCCCTTGGTTTCCTCAGCTACATCCTGGAGAAAGTGGATCTCGTCATAGTCGGGACCGAAGGAGTGGTCGAAAATGGCGGGATTATTAACAAGGTAGGAAGCTCCACTCCCCGCAGGCCCTTGTCGCTGGCACGTCAGGCGCCACGTGATGAGCGCAGCGGCCGCTTCCCAAGCCCCCGGGCCCCTGCCTCAGTCGGTCCAATTTTGGTCAAATTCCCTTCTGCTGTGGAGACTGAGCTACATGAGTTAGGGGAGTGTAATTTATATTTCCTCAAAGCATGTTTTAACTGACATTGGGGGTTTTTGGATGGTTTGTTTTTAATTAAGTATACCTGACATCAATAGAATGTGTTAAAATATTTCTATCCATTGTGTAACATGGAAAGATATCACGATAGTTCAGTTTCTATCTGTGTTAAAATAGATATTACTTAAAATCAGCCATTTTAACAATTTTAAAGTGCACAGTTCAGTCGCATTAATTACGTTCACGTTGCTGTGGAACCAGCCGTTTTCAAAACTAGCCCAGAAAGAAGCAGCAATATTTTAACTAAAAAGTAATAAAAATTATTAAAAAAACAAACAAAAAAAAACTAGCCCATCATCCGGGCGGCAGCAGGCGCCAGTCAGCAGCAGACGTCGCCACGGCCTCCCGTCTCCCGGTCGCCCCCTGGTCTTTGCCTGGTCCGGGCCCCTCGCTGGAGGGGAGCCAGGCGGGTCGGCCCCTGGAGGCCGGCGTGCCCCCCCCAGCGTGCCGCCTTCGAAGCTCACCTAGGCTGGGGGTGGGCCACCGCTCCCTTCCCTCTCGCGGCTACGTCCTGGGCCTCATCTAGTCTGTCCGCTCATCCGGTGGCAGACACTTGTGTCTACTCTTTGGCCGTTGTGATGCTGCCATGAACATGGGTGTCCGAGTGTCTGGCTGAGCTCCTGGTTTCGGTTCTTTTGGGTCCGGAGAGTGGGTGTGCTGGGCCGCGTGGTGGTCCTTCCGGCTCTTTGAGGACTGGCTACCGCACACAGCCACCGGGGATGCCCGTCTCCCGGCCTCCTTGCCAGTACTTTTAAAAATAGCCATTTGGTAGGTGTGAAGTCATGTGTCACTGTGGCTGTGACCTTCATTTCCCTAATGAGTCAGGATCCTGAGCTTCATGTCATGAGTCCATTGCCCGCTTGTGCATCTTTGGGAAAATATCTATGCTGTGTGCCGTTTTCAAGGATCGTTTTCAGTTCCAGAGTCAAGAGTTTCATGTGTTACGTTCCCTCGTATACGCTCTGCTGCTTCCCCCTGTGAAGTGCTATAACAGCTACCAGTCTCCTCTCTGACCCCCAGATTGGAACCAACCAGATGGCCGTGTGCGCCAAAGCACAGAACAAGCCGTTTTACGTGGTTGCAGAAAGTTTCAAGTTTGTGCGGCTCTTCCCACTAAACCAGCGAGATGTCCCAGATAAGTTTAAGGCAAGAGTGTTACGTATTTGAAAGGGGTATTTGTGTCTCAGCTGAACCCTTGAAGAGGCTAAGAATGTCCCAGGAAGGGACTCGCTTCTCATGGTGCTTTGCTCCTCCACGTGGGCTACAAAGATTAACTTGTGGTTGTCAGGCTCAGAGTCTAGCCTGTCCCCAGAATCGCGCTGCGGGGCGGGGCCGGGCTGCATGGGGGGCTGTCGGGGAGCGCCGTGAGCTTTGGAGTAGCCTCTCTGGACTCAGCTCCCTTCCCTACCGCTTGCTGGCCACACGCCCCCGGGGCAAGGCCTTTCCTTCTAAGCCCCGAACTCCGGTCCCTGCACAACTGCCCTGCACTGTCAGGGCAGGGACAGTTCTGAGACCGTCATGGGAAGACCTCAGCAGCTGCCTGGCACACGGGCGCTCTGTGCACACCACTTCCTGGGGAGGGCTGCCGGAAGGGGAGGGGAGGGCCGCTCACTAGTGAGCGGTCACCTGGGGTGGGCTCTGTGGCCGGCGGGCCGCCTGAGCTGGGCCCCTGCGCTGGGCCCCTGCAGCACCGCCCTCCCTGTCGGCGGGCTTCTCCCCATCCCTGGGGGTTCACTCGGGCAGCAGCACCCTCCCTGCCCTGGGGCCGGGAGAGGCAGGCTAACCTGTGCTTCCGTCTCCCCAGTACAAGGCAGCGACTCTGCAGTCTGCGCGGACCGGGCAGGATCTCAGAGAGGAGCACCCATGGGTCGACTACACGCCCCCCTCCTTGATAACCCTGCTGTTCACAGACCTGGGGGTGCTGACGCCCTCCGCAGTCAGCGACGAGCTCATCAAGCTGTACCTGTGAGCTGGGGCCCTCGTCTGCCCCCGCAGCCGTGCAGCCGGGCGGGGAGGAGCCTCCTGGCCCCTCAGCAAGCCCGGCGAGAGGAATTTTATTTTTAAAGAGGATTTATGGACTAAGGACTTAAACTCTTCAGTCTCATTTAAACATGTTCTTGGTTCCCTTAAAACTCAACCTAAATTGTACTGACAGTTTGCAGATACTTGCATTCATTTCCTGTTCCTAAAAATACACCTTAGACTATTGGCCACTTAACTGACGAAAGATGAGCCCGGGTCCCCTCCCTGCACCTTCCTCTGCGCTACAGTCTCTCTTGCCAAAAGCAGCCACTGAGGAGGTGCAGCCTAACCCCACAGGCGCCCCCGCTGCAGCCGGGCGCCCCTCCGGGAACCAAGGGCTGCCCAGGCCACAGACACGTGGTACCTGGTGCCTCGCAAGAAGGCAGGGCACATCCGCCCAGTGGGCACCGGGGTCCCACGGGGAACCCCAGCCAGGGCTGCTGGCCCCGCACAGGGTGGAGCCCAGCGGAGTGGAGCCTGCCCAGAGGGCCCGCGCCAGGAGGACACCGCATCGGCAGGGTCTCCATGGCCCACCATGTATGAGTGCGCCTTCCGGAACACTTGTCACCTTAAATTCTGTATGTGTGAAAGATGTGAATCTTAACAGGTTGGGGACCTGACCTACTTGTAAAAATTGTATTTGAGAACTGAGCATCTTTTCAAATAAAGGGCACGGGAGTGTATGACACAGCTTTGCGTTGGGGCCGGGGCGGACCCCGGGCCTCCCTGGTGGGGGCCCGGCAGGCGCGGCGCAGGCTCACAACAGACTTGAGTGGCAGGAGACGTGCTTCATTCCACAGAAGGCCTCACAGTTCTCCGTCCCAGAACATGACTCGCCCCCCCCAGGTTTCCACACGCTCCTCAGGGCGGGGGCGCTGGGGGCCATTCCAAGGGAAGAAGGGGACCCTAGCAACCCTCTCCCAGGGACGCCCAGTGCCCAGAACTAAGTGTGCCTCCTTGTCTGCGTTAGAAATAGGGACAACATGGGCCCAGGAAAGTGGGCTCTTTAGAGCTGCCCCATCAAAATAAACATTGATGTCTAATATTTACACTCAAATAATTTTACCTCCTGCTGGGCTTCAAGGCTGGCGTGGCTTTAGGGAAACACTGACGAGGTGAAGCCCCGCCTCCCCCGTCAGACGGTGCCCAGTGACACGAGGCTCCCTGCGGGGCGGCCGGCACCGCGGTCCAGGGAGGGCACCGCGCTCACGGCCTGCCGCGGGGGCGGGCGCTGCCGCAACCCTCCGAGGCCGCAGACTCAGCAGTCCTCCTCCACACCCAAGCTCCCCAAGGCTGCCGTCTTCAGCGGCCTTTTGGCGCTTGTCAACAGCCCCTTATCGAATTCTTCCTCCGTGATTTTGCCTTTTTTAAACTTCTTCAGGAGCCTTGTGTCATTGAGAAGCTCCTCCACGTCCTCGTCTTCGATGTCAGAACCCTATGCACACACAGATCACTCCTCTTACTTCTCAGCCAGAGCCCGAGGGACCCCAGCAGCCTTCAGCCAGGGACCGTGCACTCAGCGCCCATAGACACCGCGTGTCCCCCCAGGTCACTGAGGGCCCCAGAAACCTGAGAGCCCCCTGCAATGCCATCAGAAGATACTATTCCAATAAATAAATGGGCTCAGAATTCTAAGGCACGTATGTAAGCAATAAACAATAAGCTTTACCTTTTCCCTTTTCCTTTTTGCATTCCTTTTCTTTTCCTTCTTGGCCTTCTGCTTCGACCACGCTTTATTTTTCATGAATTTTCTCCTCCCTCCATTTTCTGGTTTCCCTTTTCTCTGTTGCTCCAGTAGTTTCTGCCTGAGCTTTTCTCTGACCTTGTCTTTAAACGGGATGGTGTCTGTGTCGATGTCCACAGGCACGAAGTCGGGGAACTGCTTTCCTCTCAGCTCCGGCATCCGGGGCATCCTCAGCAGAGCGAAGCCTCGGGCAAGAGCAGCAAAATCCAGATCTGGGGAGGAATCAGCAAGTGAGCGCACCCAGGGCGGGGCTCTGCACAGGCCCAGGGCAGCGTCCAGGCAAGACTGCACTCTGACCAAAGGGCTACATGGGCTTGTCAGGATGCGCGGAAGTAACTCCCCATTGACTACAGAGGACTCGGCAGGCAGCTCCCTCCAGCCACCCGCCCCCAGGAAGCCCCCCCACCAACATCTAGAACAGAGCAACCCAACGCGGCCCACGTACACGACAAGCAGCTCCACCCGTGTTGCACGCGACTCGGGCAGAGACACAGGACGGGAGCGAGCCCGGCTCACCCTTCAGCCTGAAGATGAGGCTGCACTCGTGCTTTGCGTAGGCCTGGACGTGGGACACAAAGGCTCTCATGCCCTTCTCAAACACGGCCCTGTCGGCCAGGGCCAGGGACCTGAGCCTGGGCAGGAGGTCCGCCGCGTCCTTCTGCAGCGCCATCTCCTGCAGGGGGCACTGCACAGAGACCGCGTTCAGTGTCCACCCGCGGCGGCCCCCCAGAGCCCGGGCCAGTGAAGCCAAAGACGGAGCAACTTGCTGGAATCTCACGTGACAGGCCACGAAGCCCCGATCCAACCCAAGTGTTTCACTTGGTCTGAAAGCATTTTTAAAATTTTACAGGAAATTTTTTAATTAGGCTCTATATAACAATCCTGACATCTGGTTTGAAAATACAGCACTACCAGGTCCGTGTTCCCGTGAGTGTCCACCCGTGACCCCCGCTGGGGCCGAGCCGTGGCTGCCACCCTGGGTGGGGCCGGTGGCGCTCCACAGCCTTAAAGCCAGCTAGGATCCCGCACGGACATCACCAGCCTGGCCCCAGGAGCCGGCCCCCCCCAGCCTGATTCTGGGCCTCTTGCTGGGAAAGAACTTTCCTCCCCTCCCATCCCCAGGCAGCCTGAGTGCAGAGAGAAGACAGCTTACTTTTTGGTTGATCGCAAGGAAGTTGACGTACGACTCTTCCATGGGAAGGAGAAACACCAGGGCGCTGCCGCTGTGGCCGATGCGCGCCGTGCGGCCACAGCGGTGCACGAAGGCACTGCGAACACAGGGCGGGGACACGGGCACCGTGGGATGGTGGCTGAGCAGAGCAGGCCCAGAGCCGCCTGTCCCCATCTCAGTCCCATCTCTGCCACTGACTGGGGTTGAAACAGAAGAGCTGGCGATGAACATACATTGCAAACCAGATGGGATTCTGTCAATTAACGTGGACTATGAAGTTTTAACATTTATGCTTATCTGATGGTACAGGTAGGATGTGGTCCTAGAAGAGATTCGGGAAACAATGAAAAGTGTAAAAACTAATACAGCGCTGACCGGGTGGCTCAGCTGGCTGGGGGTTATCCTGTAGACAGAGGGGCCGGGGGCTCGATTCCCCATCAGGGCACGTGCCCGGGGTGTGGGTTCGGCCCCGTCGGGCACGTGTGAGACACAGCCGGCCGCCGTCTCTCTCCCTTTCCCCTGCCCTGCCCTCTCTGTGAAACCTGTAAGCCGTGTCCTTGAGTGAACATGGGAAAAGCAAAACAGCCTGTGAACTCCTGCGGAGAAGCACCCGGTATCGTTGTCGTTATCGCGGTCATTGACCGGAGTCTGTATTTACGGGCGTTTTCCGATGGTTGGAGGCCTTCACCACTAACACTCTGGGGGAGTCAGGGGGGTCTTCACGCGTGGCGCTACGTGCTGTTTTCCTTTAAACATCCGATCACACCCATCTGTGCATGGGCTGGGGCAAGCCTGTGAAATGCTGTGTAACTGCTGCGTTACACGGGGTCGCTCCTCAGAGAGGCGGGCTCCCCCGCCTGCCGCTCACGGCAGCGTCCGCCCTGCTTCCTCTTGCTTCCTAGAGGCCACGCCCCTAGCCGGGGCCCCAAGACGGGGCGGGTGCCGCTGTGCCACACATACCTGGCGCTGCCGGGAGGGTCGTACTGCAGAACCCAGTTCACTTCGGGGATGTCTATTCCTCGGGCCATCACGTCAGTGCACACCAAGATCCCGCTGGAAGGGAGGGCACACGGTCTGGGGGGGCCCCGCCACGCCCTTGCCCCGCCCCGCAGGCTTTGCGAGCTCGGTGGTGACCACACAGCAGGTGCTGGGCTCTCACCCAAGCAAACACGCAGTACGCACACCTTTACTTGTTCTTCCTTGAGGGGTCTAGGACTTTAGAAATCACCAGTGAATACAGGAGGCAGGGAGGAGGCAGTGAAAGGGCTTTAAAAGTGTATATTTTTCCACTGGGAAAAAGAGACTATAGAGGGCCTAACTCTTTACAGCCACTCAAAAAACAAACAAGTGAAATGCTCTGTCCCTGACTGAGGTGTGACGGTTTCATCGCTTTGCCCAAACGCATGCTTTTAACGGCATGTCATCGGTTTGGCTCCGATGAACTCTTATAACAATTCTCTCTAAAAAAAAGAGAGAAAGGAAAACAGAAAAGTATCACACGCACAAACAGAATCAAGTCATGGCCTCTGAGACACAGCGCCCCCGTGTCCTCACCGCTCGACAGCCTGCCAGCTGCACTGAACAGATGCTGCTGTCCATTCCGCTCGCCGACGGCATAGGCGGCTACCCAGGCCCTGGCGGCCAGGCCCTGGGGCGTCCCGGCCTGAGTGCAACATGCAGGTGCCTGTCCCCATGGGGCCTGCCACCTTACAGGGGAGCCAGCAGGCAGCTAAGGAAGTCCGCACAGCAAAGCGTGACGAGGCCGGGACAGAGGTAGGCCTGGGCCTGCCCACAGGGAAGATGGGACACGGGCTGGGGGAAGGGGGCAGGGAAACCAACACCACGGAGCTTCAGAGAAACGGGGGCGCGCAGCAGACGCGGTGGCTGGGGACGTGCCGACTCCACGCGGCTCCCACCTCTGCAGCTTGCGGAAGCCCGCGAAGATCTTGTTGCGCTTGTGCTTCATCTTCCCGTGAATGCACATGATGTCCACGCCCTTCACCAGAACCTCCAGGGCCTTCCCGTAGTACTCCACGCAGGCGCAGGTGCTGCGGGGGGACACGGAGCTCAGTCGCGGGCAGCGGGGCGCGGGCCCCGGCGCCGGGACGAGCCGTCCTCCGGGAGGGCTGAGCCCCAAACCTCGGAACCCGCGGCCAGCAGAGCGCCTTACGCACAGCTTAGAACCCCGAGGATGCACTCCCACCGCCTGAAGACGACCTAGCACGGGCGCCCCGCCCCGAGAATGAGTCACACTGAAGTGGCCTCTGTAACAGAAATGCACAGTTTCACAAGGTTCCCAAACACGCCTGCTCCCTTTGCGGAGCTGCCTCTCTCCATGTCTGACCCTGGGGCCCAGCAGGTCCTCTCCTGGGTGCCTGGTCTGGCCTTCGTCGCCCACGGACACTGCAGGAGGGGGTGCCCCGAAGAGACGGTCCCGGGCGCCCCGACCGTGTCTTCCCAACGGCTGGCTGCCCCACTTCCCCTTGGAGTCTGTGGGCACCCCAGGCAGCGCCCTCGGGAAAGCTGACCCGAGCCCCCTTCTGCCTGGAAGGGTGGCAACATGGCGTCACGCCCCTGTGCAGAGGAGGGAACGGGAGTTTCCGGAGAGGCGCTGTGAGTTGGGGCGCAGCCTGGGCCACATCTAGCTCCTTCTCCAGGGTGGCCCCACTGCACCAGGCTGCAGGGTCCCAACTGGGGCCGACTCGCATCACTTGAATGCCTCTGCCTGAGACACCTGCACTAAATGACGACCACACTGTTCCCAGCGCGAGTCCCATCAGTACGTGACAAAGCAGTGAGACCCCAAAAGCAACCTGCTGGGTCCTGAAATCGAGTTGGGGGCACCAGAACGCCTCCCCCGAGTCGAGTGCAGGTTTGTGAACTCTTTGTGCGTGTACCAGGCTGTACCTCCTAACACAGCTAATGCATGGGATGGGCGGAATGGCGGATGGAAAAGGAGGTTCTTTTGGTACAGCCCAGGATGCCTCTGCGGGTCCATCTTGAGGGGGGGTGTAAAGAACACACATAGCCCCCCACAGCCTGCACACTGACGGCAGCACAGACCCCGCTAGGCGATGGGGCAGCCAGCCCCCTCGCCACATGGCAGGAGCAGCGCAGTTCCTCCCTGCACCTCTGCACCCTGAGGGCTGCAGGGGACCACCCTCGGCCCTAACGTGAAAGCTGAGTAGGCCAGGGAGTGGGAGTCCGAGAAAGCTTTCCGCTCGTCTGACCCAAAGGGCGGGTATCGCTAGCACTGCTTCCCGCCCCGTCCCTTCCTCCTCTAGCGGTCTTCTTGCAGACAGGACAAGGCTGTGACAGCGGCCATCTCCAACCTATGGGTGACACGCGGGAAGGAGAGGCCAAGACAACCGCAGGAACATGGACCCTGGCCTGGCCGAGGCCTGAGCCGCGTCAGGGCCTGCCTACCGGGGCCGAGGACCCCGCCCCGCCACGGAGCGGGAGCGTTACCTGAAGAAGACCAGGTGCTTTTCCTGCTTATGACGGCGAAGAAAATGTACCAGTTGGTTGAACTTCTCATCTGCCTTACATACCTACAACATAAAAATGGAAATAAAATAAAACACAAATAATACTCCCTGTACCGATTTTCGGTCTCTGCCCTGACGTTAGGGCGTCCGACCTCCTGCGTGCGCAGGGCAGTGTCCGTCGGAGCCCGTGGGGCTGCCAGCTCGGCGTACACGTCAGGCCGCGCAGCTGACACAGCCGCCACGGGCTCCGGGGCTGGACCCCAGGGCCCCGACAGAGCGCTCCCAGGGGCCGCTGCAGAGGCAGGCGCAGGCCCCGCTGGGGGGACGCCGGCTTCCAGACAGGAATACAGACTCCCCGCAGAGACCCCCAAGGAGACTGAGTCCCCCATAATAACGCACTCAGGGGCTCCATTCAGGCCCTAGGCTGGGGACATCTAAGTCCACCTGTGTGCATTTCCCCCTATTTTTACAGAAACTGAAGTCTCAGTTTGGAATGTCTTCTCACGCACCCAGACATCCCCAAATGCAGCCGCCGCAACGTCAAAGCTAACACCTGTTACTGCTTCTGGGGATTCAGCCGGGCGCGAACACCTCCGTCCGCCTCAAGGAGCCCATCCTCACAACAGCTCCGTGACGCGGGGGCCCCTCCGCAGGCGATGAGCTGTGAGGGCGCTGGGCTCAGTCAGCGAGGGACAAAGGCAGGCGCACACCGCGCTGCCAGCGCCGACCGCGAACGACCCCGGCCCGCCTGGGAGCAGCCGCCCCAGGCCAAGGACAAGGACGCGCCCACGGCAGGCGGGCCTGGCTGATCGCGGCCTCACGCGCCAGGCAGCCGTGCCACAGGTGGCGTCTGGTCTGCAAACCCGCCCCGCCCCCACCAGCAGCCACAAAGGACGGCCACCTCTTCCCCTGGGAGGGCGCAGCAGCAGCCGCGCCACTCGGGGTGCCAGCCCGCCTCCCTGGGGGCGCAAGCCCTGCTCACGGGCTGAGGTGCCTCCCGGCCGGAGAGGCCCGGCCCCGGCGGGTGCAGCCGAGCCTTGTCACACAGCGGCCCCGGCCCGCGGGCTCTCCCGGCCGTCGTCTGGCCGCCCCGGCGATGGGCGAGAAGGGAAGAAGGGCGTCCTCGTGACCAAACAATCTCAGTCCCAAAAGCCCTCCCTCTGTCTTGGGAGGAAACTATAGCACCGGCAGCTGGGAGGTACGGCCACAAATCCAGCTGTTCCCAGCTGCCAGTGAAAAGCACAGAACATGTACGTCACAAAGCCACAGAGCAGTCACCCAGCACACAGCCTCCTTCAGAACGGGCTACCATTTGATCGGCAGGCTCCTACCCGGGGCACCTCCCTCATGTAATAAAAACATGTGACCACTTGGGGGCAGGAGGTGCACACACACTGGCCTTGGAGACCAGGCTTCGCGTACCTGAGGCACTAACAGGCCCACTTGCCAGCAAGCCTCGTCACCCATATCACTGCCCTGCTCTGTCCCCAAAGGCACTTTAAATACACCACAGTATCATGTTATTGATTTGCTTTCCTGGAGAAATGCCGCCTCTCCCTAGGACACCCATCATTACTCATTTTTGCTTGTTTGCTCTAATGGCTGACAGTTAACGTGTATTAGTGAGAACACTGTATACCATGTCAATAAAACACGCAGACAAGGAAGGATAAGAAAAATTAAGGAGTCATATTTCAAGTAGGTAAAAACACAAAAATCTACTACACTGGTTAAACAATTGTTACAGTTGACCATTTAAAAGGAAAGACAGGCTTCCCCTTTTCTGCACTGTAATATTTTCAGTAGTTTTCTATACCTGTGTCCTATCATTTAGTCTTACAAGAGGACCACCCCGAATCCGTCAAGAACGAGAGCGCGGCCGTGAGCCAAACAGATAAGGAAGGACGCGGTAAGTGAGCAGAGGCGGCACGTCCGGTGCTCCCTCAAGGTCAGCGCCCTTCTGGCCCCTCCATTACCCTTCAACTCTGAGCAAAACGGAAGAAACGGAGTTTACTGAAAACTCCAATAAATTCTCACATAATGATTTAAGAAAAAAAGGAAAGGCAGGACTAAGCTTACTGACAGCTTAGTCAAGTGTCAGTAAGTCGCTTTAGCATAGAACGCGTGCGACACTTTTTGCCGCTTTGCTGAGAAGTGACTGGCAGGGGAAAACGGCACCCCTTCAGGGCGCGCGCTGTGCCGGCCCCCCACAAGCACACGGGGCGTGGAACGACGGCCCGGCCTCGGAACAGACGACGTCTTCACGGCACAGGTGCCTTTTTTTTTTCTGGTGAGAACACGGGAGATCCACCCCCAGCACCCCAAGGGGCGCGCTGCGCTGAGACCCGGCCGCCACCCGCTGATGCCACAGAGGGCCCCGGAGTGCTCACCATGTAGTGGTTCTGCAGGCGGGAGGGGGTCTTCTGGGAGCTGCTGGCGGCGGCGCCCTTCTCCTTCACGGCGATGCGCACAGGGTTGCGGAGGCCGGCCCGCACCAAGCTCTCCACCTCCTGCGTCTGCGTGGCGGAGAATAGGCCCGTGCGCCGCTGCTTGGGCAGGAACCCCAGAACGGTGTTTATGCTTGAAAATAAAAAAAAAGGGTGCGACCTGAGCCCCAGCCCATCAGCACAAACCACAAATCCAGCCTCAGGACAGGAAACGGGTCCGCAGAACGACGGAGAGAGAGCCCAGCGCAGCGCTGGCGGCCAGGCTGACGGGGAGGCCAGGTCGGGGCGACTTTCGCCGCCTCCTATCCCCGCCTCTTCCCAGGCCTCTCCAGCACGAGCACATAACTGCACTTCCACAAGGTGGGGCCGTTCAGAGACCAGTGCAGGGAAGACATAGGACTTATTGAGACTCAGAGCCACTGTGCTGTACACTTTAAACAGGCGAACTGTATGATGCATGAATCAGACCCCAAAAGAGCTGTTCACGGACACACACGCACAACCTGTAGAAGAAACCAGGACGGAAAATAAACGCATCTTGAGCAGCAGCATGGCACTGACATTGAGGGGTGGAGCCTGAGGCGCAAGCCGCCGACTGATGTGAAACGCCCACGTGCTACTGGATGGGAGTCGGGAGCCCACCAATGCCACTTAGCTCCCCTTCTCACGTCCAGTGTTGCCCAGAGACAATCGAGCCCAAAGCCCCGTACCTGGCCTCGAACCCCATGTCCAGAAGCCTGTCTGCTTCGTCCAGCACCAGGACCTCAAGGGACCGCACACCGCTGGCCAGGTCCACGCCCTCGGCCTGCCTCCGGAACATGTCCTCCAAGCGGCCTGGCGTCGCCACCACGATGTTCCCGCTGGAGAACAAAGCGGGCGGGCACATGCCCTCTGCCTGGGGCACGTGTGACTCCAAACGCCAAGCTTTGTGCCCGCCGCCCCCCAGCAGCCCCCTAGCCCCAGCGGGGAGGAAGGGGGCCCAAGGGTGGAGTGTGGCCCTGGTGGAGGCCACTCACGGCAGAGCTGAGACTCCTCTCAGTGAAGCGTCACCCACAAATGGAGCACAAGACCTATCACTGCCCATCATGAGCCCCGTCACGCTGGGCCTGAGTGACATCCGAACGGCTGGTGGCCACTGGGTGTCGGAACACGTGTGCCGAGGGCTTGCGAAGCCCCCGCCGCGCCCTGGGTGCCGGGCCAGCCTCTTCAGAGGAAAGGTGGCGAGGCCGCCCGTCCCCCCAACCCCCGGGGGCACAGAGGGCCAGCCCTCTGCAGCAGGGGCAGCCTCGCAGGCCCGCGCTGTCCGTAGCCGCCTCCCTGCAGGCCAGCAGGGCCGCTCGTTTTCAGTGAGGGACACGTCAGGCTTGCGTTCTGAAAAGGCCGTGCTGGCTGCCACACGGGGAGTGGCTTACGACAGGGATCGTAAGAGTGGAAACAGGTAGGTGAGAGTCCCCGCAGGATCCAGGGGAGAGAGGAGGGGGAACAGTGGCGAAGGAGGAAAGGTGGCGGGAGAGAAAACGTGAAGGGCCTGGTGGTGGCTAACCGTGCGGGGGCTGGCGGGGGCCCTGAGGTGCCAGGACTGACTCCGGACTCCGGGAGCACACGGGTCGATAGATGGACAGGGGCTGCTGATGACATGGAAGCCTCGTTCTTTGAGACGTGTCTACGACAGCTATGAGCCGCTGGGGGAGGGGCCGGGCAGATGAGCAGATGGCTGTGGGTTTGGGGCTGTGGGCGATGTCAGAGGCCACAGAGAGAGAGCCCAGACTGAGGACAGCAAGAGCCCTGAGCCCCACAGCGTCGCCTGGGGAGAGCTGGGGGGCTGCACCCCAGACCTCCCTCTCCTGCAGGGGCGAGGCTCGCTGGAGGGGCGGGTTCATGAGAGTGGAAAGGAAGGAGCCGGTGAGCAAAATGGGAGGATGGCCTGGAGGAAAAGCCCTTCTGGGGAGGCAGCAGTTGCCCAACGTGAGTTTCTGGTTAGGCCAAGGCCGCACAGAGCACGAGCTGCAGCAGCGGGCTTACCCGTGCTCCCGGAACCTCGCGACGTCTTCTGCGGGGTTTCTGCCTCCGATCAAGAGAATCTGGCTAAAACAAGGCACAGCGGGTCCTTCAGCAGGCCAGGCAACCCCATGGCCCACGGCCCACGGCCCAGAGACGCGGCGCCCCATTCACCTGAACTGCGGGAAGGGCTTCGTGAAATGCGACAGCACCTCATCTATCTGGATGGCCAGCTCCCGAGTGGGCGTGATGACTATGGCTCCAACCTGCCCCGTGTGGGGATGGACACAGTGAGCAGCCCGCGGGGCTTGCAAGCGGAGCGCGTGCGCCTGGACCCGCCCCCTCACTCCCCGGGCTGCTCAGCAGCCTCCGGTCACAGGGCACATCAACTACTTCAAACCATAGTCAGCTCTCGTTACTCATGGCAGCTCTGTTCTGTGATGTGCCATGAACCCCGAACTAGTGGCTACGGAGCCCCAGCTCCTCGGGGAAATTTGGGGGAGGTTCCTCTGAGCCCCTGATCACGTTTTCACCAACCAATCGCTACATAAGTCTGATTTACATTTCTGTCTAAAGATACCTATTTAACGTGTATTGTTACTTTATTAACACTGAACTCAGCCAACAGCACTATCACTCATCCCTGAAGGAAGCTCATCGAACGCATGCTTCCCGTAAGGCACTCACAGCCTCCCTGCGCTCAGGGACCCTGGACAGCGCTCTGGTGCTACGCTCGCTCGGGACTTAACAGCGAAGGCACCAACAGAAATGCAGGCATTGCAGCAGTAAGCAGGCCATGGAAAGGACCCAGTGTGCAGTCTGAGGCCGAAACCGGAAGGCAGAGCCATCTGGTCAAACCCGCCGGGCACAGGGCTGCCCTGCACAGGCCGGGCGGGGGGCGGGGGGGGGCGCGGAGCGGGAGCTCGGAGGGCGCCGGCTTGGGAGCGACAAACGCGCTTCACGGGGCAGCAGCTCTCAGATGCAGGGCCTGTGACTAACAAGAACAGGCTGTGTTTCTACCTATTTTTAAAGCTGTGAACCCCGCTGACTGAAAACAGCGCGTGGCTGCCCTCACCTGCCACTTTTTCAGCCTCTCCTCCCTCCTCAGGAGAATCTCCAAGATGGGGATGACGAAGGCGAGCGTCTTCCCGCTGCCGGTGACCTGCGGCAGGAGGAGGTTGGTGTCAGCTTCCCGCCCCCACCCGGCAGCTGTTGGGGGGGCGGGCAGGACAGGCCACAGCTGCACAAGGCACTCACCGCTTCCGCAGCGACGTCCTTGTTCTTCAGGAACAGGGGGATGGTTGCGGACTGAGGGAGAGACGGCGAGGCGCTGGTGAGAGCGCACCGTGGCCCACAGACGGACCCCCGCGGCCGCGGCCCTGAGCTCAGTCACCGCACGGCCCCCAGCGGGGCAGGCTCCCAGGGCCCGGCGCAATGGTGCCCACAGACGGGGGACGGGAGAGCAGGCTGAGCCGAGGCCCTGGAGTCCTGCAGCCCAGGTCTGCGCCGCCTATGTCTCCTCTGGGGGCCAGGCGGGTTGGCAGACTCCGGGTGGTAAGGTCCCTTCCAGCTCTGGCACCCGAGAGTGACGGCTGCACTCACTCTACACACTGCAGGAGCGCCCGGGGCACAGGACGCCCGCCCTCGGTCCCACCCTCCTGAAACCTGGGGCTAGATGTGCAAACAGGCCTTTGCGGCCGAACCTCAAGCGGACTCAGGGCCTGACTTCAGGGTCGCCCCTTCAGTCCCTCTTCCTTCCCCCCCAAGCCTGAGCGCACCCCATCGCAGCGCACCGGACTTTTCTAACCGCTCTCCCCCGGGCGGCCTCTGTGCTCCCAGGGACACTTGGCCTAGAGCCATTTCAGTTGTCAAAACCCGTGGTGGTGGGTGCTCACGGCACCTAGAGGCGCCTGGGGCCAGGGGTGCTGCCAGACGGCCTGCGGTGCCCAGGAAGGCCCCCAACAAAGAAGCGCCCCGTCCAGCACGCCAGCATCGCGGGGCCCGGGGGCCACTCCAGACCCTGCGGCCCAGCAAGCAGGCGGGCCACGAACGTGGTTTTAAAACTTCTAGGAGCCACACTGAGAAAAGTAAGAAGGAAGATGTGAAATGAATCTGCATATCTTATTTAACCCAAAATATGTAAACTAATGTCACATAGGTACTTAACCAATATATTGGAAGTTGATGAGATCATTTCCATTCTAATTATCATGCGAACTTTTCGAAACCCACTGTGCATTTTACACTTGCAGCACATGCCCACTGGGGCTCACCCTATTCCAAGTGTACAAGACCCACGTGTGCCTAGTGACGGCCGGAGTGGACGACACAGACCTCAACTGACAGCCCCGACGGCAGAGATGGGACCCTGCTGGCACCACATTCCCAGGCGCGGCACACGGCACCCCAAGTTTTATCTCCAGCCCTGCCTGTTTCCCCCACATCTCGTCTGAGGCTCATACGGATACCTCAACTCAACATTTCCAAACAGAACCCTCCTGAATCTCCTTCTGAAGCCCATTGCCCCTCCCGGCCTTCCTCGCCTCAGTGAACGGTACCACCTGCCCAGAGGCTAAGGACAAAACCTCAGGGTCCCTCTAGGTTCCTCTCTCCTGTAACCCCTTCTCCGGGCCGGTCCCTCAGCAACCCTATGGCTATCTGGAACCTGACTTCTCAATAGCCACTGCTCCTTCCCTACGCCAATCCACCGCCATCTCCCATGGACAACGGCCTCCTGACTGGCCTCCTGGCTTCTCCTTTTACCTTTAAAGTCCACTCCCTACCTGGCGGTCACACCCCTGCCCCGGCGCACCACTTCCCATGGGAGATGGCTTCCCCCTGCATTTAGAATAAAACCCAGGCTCCTACAAGACCCTGCACCACGCAGACCCTGCTGTGCTCACCTCTCACGCTTCACCCGAGGTTTCAGCCACCAAGGCCTCCTTTCGGTTCCTCCAAGCCCACTTCCTGCCCCAGGGCATTTGCACTGGCTTTTCTCTCAGGCAGGAACCCTGCCTGTCACCCCAGAGCCAGCTCCCCCTCCACCATTCAGGTATCGCCTCAACGACACCGCCCAGAGGGGCCTTCCCCAACGCCCTCTCCCGGACCTGCTACCCGTCCCATCGGTCTGCTTTAGTTCCGTCATACTACTTAGCAGCAGCTGACTGCCTCCTTCCTTCACGCCTTTCTCTCCTGCATTAGAAGATAAAGCCCATGAGTGGAGACCAACCCTGCAAAATCGCCAGAGCTTAGAAAAAGGGCACTCAGTAAACTTCTTTGAGTAAATTCCCGGGCGTGGCACCAGCTGATAGTTACTGTTACTACTGTGTGGGCTAATTTGAGTAAATTGAGTAAACTGGGCCACCACACTTCACTTATGCCACACAATAGCAACAGTAACATCAGCCGGTAACGTGTATCGAGCTAGCCCCCAACGTGCCCAACGCTGCGTCACGGAATCCAAAAACCCTGCGAAGCACACCGGTCATCTTCGCCACTTCACAGGGAAGGGAATGAAGCCCAGGGAGACTAAGTCCTCTGCCCGGCGTCCGGCCGCTCGAGGGGCAGGGCCAGCCACCGAGGTCCCAGCGCCAGCCACCGAGGTCCCAGCGCCCGCAGGCGGAGGTGGGCGGGGCCCTGAAGGCCCCGCGCAGGTCCGCCGCCGCCCATCGCCCCAGGGGACCAGAGTCCCGAACCGGCTCGGCAGGCCCCGAGTCCGCGCCACCAGGAGACGCGGCAGCAGGCCCGCTGGAGGAACGACAGCTCCGGGACGTGGGTCCCAACGCTGACACCGACCGGCCGCGTCCCGTTCGGCCGGAGCTCGGCGCCCCCGCGCCGGCCTCTCCCCGCCCGGCCCCTGCGCGCGGAGTACCCGCCTCCCCGGGCCGCGCCGCGTACCTGCACCGGCGTCATGTACGGGAACCCCAGCTCCCGCAGCACACCCAGCACCTGCGGGTGCAGCGGCACCGGCAGCGACTCCCAGGACCCCTCCGTCACGTGCTCCATAGCGCGCCGCCGCCGCCGCCGCCGCCGCTGCCGCCGCTGCCCGGACGACTCGGGAGCGGAGCGCCGAGCACTTCCGCTTCCGGCCGCCAACCCCGCCGTCCGGGAACCCGGCTCCAGCCGCTGAGTTCCGGGGGCGGGGAAGGCACCCTCGCCTCAGGTGAAGGGAGAGCAGATTTCAAGAGAGTGAAAGCGGGCGGCGGGGGCCCCGGCGGGCGTAGTGCCATTCGGCCTGCGCGGCCACCTGGACTCGGGGCGCCTCTCACCCCGAGCGGACCTTTGGGCAGCATGGAGGCCGCCCAGGCTCTCCCACGTTCTCCGCCAGTCGGAGGCAGATGGCAGCACCGTACCGCGCTGGCCGAAGGACAGAGGGGCTGGAGCGAGTGGACAGAAACGGACCCCAGCCCCGGAGCCCCAGGTTAACAGCAAGGCAAAGTAAGGCTGAGGGCGGGGATCCAAAGCCAGGCACATAATGAATGTTGGTTTACTTCCGAGAAAGTTGAGTCTTGTCTAGAACTCTGCGCTCGCCTCCGGCGCGGGCCGTCCGTCTGTCCACGCGCGCGCACTGAGCAAGCTTTGCTGGTCCCAGCGTGTGCTGGGCTCCGTGGGCACCGCCGTCTCCAGCCGTGTGCCTGCTGCTCCCTTCCGTCCACCCCGTAGGCATCTCGGCGGCGCCTTCCTTTCTTGGTCACTGACCCGCTCACCCCCAGCTCTCACAATGGCGTAATGGACACACTCGCTTCATCTCCCCCACTGAAAGGTAAATCCCACAACGGGGATTTTCCTCTATTTTAATTGGTCCCAGTGGCTACCCTAGTAGTACACAGACAGTACTTTGGGATGAAGACATAAAAATTGTACCCATGCAGACTCCATTTCTAACTAAAGAAGGTGAAAAAAGCCCAAGACATTTTCACTGGAATATGTGTTCACCACATCCTCAAAGCACCCATGGCAGCTTTTATAAGATGGGACTAACACAGGCAGCTCGGAAAGCAACGGCAGGGGGAGAGAGCAGAGCTGTGTCCCCACTTGGGGCTCTACCCACAACCGTCTGAACCTGCGACCCTCTCCAAGCCTGTTATTTCCAAAACGAGGGTTAGAAAGCCCAGCCTAATGGTTTTGAAGAGCAAATGAGACAGACCACGTAAGCATATAGCATCCAGCCAGAACATGGCACAGTGCTCGACAGTTGCTCGCCTTTGGTATCACTAGCAGGACCTCAGTGTAACGGGGGGCCAGGAATCACTGCAAAAGGCAGAGATTGAGTTTCTGGTCTCACCAGTCACTCATCTGGGAGCCTTGGGCAAAGCCGTTCTCTCAAACTTACTTCGTACACTTCTCACATCCATTAACCAGGTGGTTGAATGAAAATCACTCAAAACTTTTTTTTCCAAATGAACAAAATACTTAAGATGTTAACACTGACCAAAAGAAACCACACAGGAGAACCTGTAACTGGGATTCTATTCACTATCTGAAGTGTATAGACATAAAAAGTAACAGTCATTTATAACAGGCTTTATTGATCAGAAAACATGGACACGTCTCACTTCAAATAGGAATAGAAAATTGGTATATAACAAATGTGAATCATTAATATATAAAGCACAAAACTAAGAGTGTTTTTAAAAAGAATTGTTTATTTACTGAACCTGGGGCAGATTTGATACACAACCAATTGTGAATTTACATATTTTAATTCAATTCTGAAGTGTTTTCTTACACACAAAAGAAATGGCACGCAACAGCTCTCCTAAGGTCGAACAGTCACCTTAGGCTGCTGCAAGTATTTCCACCCAAGGTTGAAAAATTGTTTATCCTGAACATGAAAACCTGTAACAAATTTAAATTAATTATATAAAACTTGTTACTTGTAGTTTTACCTTTGCAAAGATTCCCCCCCCTCAAAAAAAAGTACAAGTAACTAATGTACATCAGTCACAACATAATCCTGGACCCCCACACCAAAACCAGACGCTCCTTCAATTTTAAATCCATCATCAGAGACCAAGAGGAAGTTATTTTGTTTTATACAAAACAAAATTCACATGTGCCAAAAAAAGACCCAAGAAAACCAAACCAAAAACCCTAGTACTGACAGCGCTGCCAGCACCCTAATTAGCAAGTGGCCGAATGCCACTGATCGAAAATAAAACAGTGGCTGTAAATCACTCAGGGCAATGAAACCCAAGGCTTTACGCAACCCTTCGCCACCAGAAGCCTGGACTTCAGCGCCTCTGGCGAGCCAGGGGCGGAGCAACAGGAGCCTGCGCAGCGCATCCCCCAGGCGTCCCACAGGGCTCGGCAGAGATCAATAAATGGCTATTAGCTGCTCTGTCATCAATTTAGTAAAGGCGAAGTCCTATGGTTCAAAGTAAAACTTTAAGGGGGAAAATGTGGGGTTGTCTTGTCTCTGAAGGAAAAGCAAGACAAAGTAAAAATGAACCAACCTGGTAGCATACTCCAAAGTCACAGAGCTCTGCCATTAGGGTAGAAAACATCAAGATTCAGACTACTGTTCCTCATAGGGCTAAATAAAACGAATCTTTAGTGACTTGGATTTCAGGGTAAGGGGTCAAAAAGAATGCAGTCATTTTAGTAAAGCACTATCATGAACAAACTGCATTTTGTTATGAAAATGAAGATATAATAAGGACTACATGCCTACATTTCATTCACCGTGTTCAAGCCCTGGAAGGACCTATATAATGGAGGCAAAATTCAAATAAGAAATTGTGCCAATCAAATGTCAAGTTTTCACTATCACTTTTGTAAAAAGGTGTTTTTCCCCAATATCTATTCATTACAAAGGAAAAGAAACATAAGCTGTGAATGTACAATTCAGAAATAAACATGTACAAACTGATGACATTTTTATGACCAAGAGGTTTGGTAAACAGTGAACTATGAGCTTCGGATCTTGAGGAAAGGCCTTTAAACCACCCTCCGGACTTCAAAGAACCTCTTCAGGTAGTAGATCTGTCCCAATGTCATGGCAACTAGAACAAGAGCTTCAAAGAAGGACCAAAGGACCACTCTGCTATTTGTGTTGTCGTTTACTGTGGAGGAGAAACAAACAAAATTTAACAATAACAGCAACGAAAACCCACAGAGGCATCAAAAAATTACCCCCTAGTCTTACTGCGTGAAAGTAGTATCCGCACACCATTCAAAGAGCTTTGAACACTTATGTCTCCAAGCAACTTGACACACGCAAACGTGGAGAGCCCTGCGTTCACATGGGCCTTGCAGTCGCGTGTCGAGTCAGGCCCACTCTGCTCGCCCACCAGGGTCGGGGAGGAGAGGGGCTCCCCAAGCTCACACTTCTGGGGCCAAAACCCAACCCTGCAGCCCTTCTCCCTCACAATGCAGTGTGCCCACAGTCTCACATCTGTTTTCTCAATCATAAAAGTGACTTTAAATAAATTAAGACATTATTTCAAGATCACAGAGTTACCCAAAAGGCACTACTTACCAAATGAAAATATGTCAAAGTATCGGTTTTTAAACCAGGGTTTACCGAGCACCTACTACGTACTTGGCATTTGTTCTAGGAGGGGAGACTTCTCAGCTTCATGGACCAACGCTGGCAGTTACTACCAAACTGAACGGGCCTCACAGCTTATCCCACTCATCAGCTAAAGATTTGATCCTGAACGTGGCAGTCACGACTACGTTAATTTATTCTGCTCAATTCGTATCACGTTCCTTCCAGTTTCTGATCAAATTCTAGAGCCTTAGCTTTTAAAAATTACTAGGTAGTTTTCTGATTTTTCTGTAAATGATAGTATTAGAAACAATCACAATTACCAATATAGTAATTTTTAGATGTATATTGTTCATAAGAATACTAACTAGACTTTTAACAGTTACTGGATTGATGATCACCAAAAAATAACTGAAAAGAAATTAATGAGTTTCCAAAAGGATAGCTCATTTTCTCAAAAAAAGTACGGCTTTCCCCAGAGTAAAAACAGGCAGAGCCAGAGAGTGTCACCCAGAGTCTGGCCACCACCCACTTGGGAATCACAGGGCTAACTAAGGTGAGCTTATTTCTTTTGAAAACTTAGTAACCAACTTCTAGCTTAACCGTGAAGGACCAGCATTTAAGACTGTGTCTGCAAGGGTAAATAGTTCAAATTAAGCAACCACATAGAAAGAAGCATTCATGTCTCCCTTCACTTACAGAAAAACGCACCTTTAAGACTAAACGGAACGCACTGAAACATGACGACAGGGGCCAGCAGCCCCCAGGAAGGCGTGTGTGTACACGAGACACTGTCCTCAGGCCCCTCACACCCCAGCCTGATCTGGGAGCCAGACGGTGTCACTGTGGCAGCGCGATAAAAAGTCTCACCCGTTCATCCCTGAGAAGTGCTGTCAGGAGAGGCACAGGCAACACACAGCCACGGGGGAACGAGTTCACTTGCGAAATCGAACTGAACGCCTGCACCTCTCCTGGCCTGGGAGGGGCCTCCCAGTGGAGGGGGGCGGAAAGAACGGGGCCTGGAGGCAGTGCCTTCCCTGGCTGCTTGGTTCCGGGACCCTCCGTTTCAGCCTCCGGGTCTGCGCCAGTGCAGGCGGCACGGCAGCGGAAGCTCTCAGTCCTCAGACTTCGACTGGAGCCCTTCTGAGGCCGGAGCAGGCTGGCCCCACTGGGGAGCGAGGCAGCCCCCAGCCCGGCCGCTGCCAGGCGGAGGGAGGTCACGGGGTGGGGGGTCAGAAAGAGTGTGGCCGCGGCCGGCTGGCAGAGCTGCGCGCCCAGGGCCCCTCGTGCCCCGCTCCACGCCCCCAGAGCGAGAATGGGGCGCTTCTCCAACCTGTCCTGCCGGCTCACCACCCTTCCCGAGAGAAGGAGTCCATACTCCTCTCACAGGTGTGAAAGGAAGGACCGGAACCAACCACTGAAGAAAGTCACCTGAGTACTTACCGAGTCCCCTGCTTTTCCTCCCTGCCCCAACCTCGGAAGGAAGACTGCTGACCTAAGTCGCTTTGCATTTACAGACAAGACCGTGCTCCTACAGAGGTCTGTCCCCAGGAACTACTTGCCGATGAAAGACACTGAACCACGGCTGTGGACCTGCATGTGAAATATGCCATCTGGTCCGCGTGGCAACATGGTGCTTCTTAAGCTAAACACAGCGTTGCAACCTAATGGGATTCCAATCATCACTGTTTCCACAGACAGATACATTCTCATTTCCCAGTTTACAAATCTGCGAGCCCAAGCTGGTCTTCACTTGGTCACTGCCTACGTCCATGGTTTTGAACTTGCTATTTTAGCTATACTAAACCTCCTATTTTAAGAAAAAAGCTAAATCTAAGCATATAATAGTAATCATACTGGCATAGAAATTTTAGATATGTTCTTAAAGACCAACACAATGCCCATTTTAGAATGTTTTTCCCTCCTGCTCTAAGAAAACGATTAGTGCTCTGGCCGGGTGGCTCAGCCGGTTGGAGCGCTGTCCCATACACCAGAGAGCTGCAGGTTTCATTCCCAGTCAGGGCACATACCTAGGTCGCAGGTTCGATCCCCGGTCGGGGCGCATACGGAAGGCAACCAACTGATGTTCCTCTCTCACATCAATGTTTCTCTCTTGCTCTCCCTCCCTCTCTCTAAAAATCAATAGAAACATATCCTCGGGTGAGGATAGGTTAAAAAGAGAAAGGAAACGATTGGCTTATTTTTTAAAATAAGCATTTTTAAAAAACCTCACAATAGCTTGTGCTGAACCCTAACAGCGCTTACTGGTTTGGAATGTGTGTCCCAGCAGTAAGCTGGTGCCGTTCAGAGCTCTATAGAGATGCACACTCAAGAAAGGTCTCTGCACAGGCGCTCCGCCTCATCAGCCCGCCGGCACAACAGCATGTGCCACGCTCGCAGCGAGGGAACGGGAGCCAGGCCGGCGCACCCCAGGCCGGCAGATGCCGCAGCCAGGCCCCCGCCCCCGCCCCCGCCCCCCACTTACTCGCTCTGTGTATCCGCTCCCGAACCTCCATGTACTCCTGCTCGTGCTTCACGGCCGTCATCGCCACCGCCAGCTCGTTAATCATTTCTTCCAGCTTGTTCTGGTGAGCTACAGGGGTGCAACGCACGTCAGCATGCATTTGGAACCTCTTTTTGAAATGTATTCGTAAAGCAGAAAAAAAAATATTTCTCAGAGAACACATACAAAAGCAGCTATTTTAAGAAATGGCTTAGGTACCATTTTGGGCCACAGGTGACAGCGTAACCCTCAAAGTGTTTGTTAAAGTCCATTCCCAGCAGAAAAATCTCTTCCAGGACAGAAACACTATGCAAATTTTACTACCTGAAGGAAAACCACCCCACGGAATTTCTTCTACTGAACTGCTGCTACCTGAAGCCCAGCGCACTCAGTGCTCCCCAGAGAGGGAAAGGCATGAAGGGGCGGGCGGCCTGGAGAGAGCACACAGCAGCACACACGCAAAATGCCTCATAACGCCCTAGCACTCATCTATAAACATCTCAGCTAAACCCGAAATCCGCTCCTACGACTGCAAGGTTAACCGAGGCGCAGCGTCGACACAGACTTTGCCCTCTGTGACACTGAGCTGAGCGGGGGAAGACGTGAAGACGATCCCGGGCAAGCCCGCAGCCGTTCACGCATCCTCGGTGAGCGTCATGGCAGTGACCTCACTCGGTGGGGGGGGGGGGGGGGACACGGCCCGTGCTGCAGGGGGAGCAAGCGGCTCGCCACTGCCCCAGGTCTAAAACCAGGCACTCTCTGGCCAGAGATGACCACAAGGTGACCGTGCTATACTACGACAATGAAGAAACAGGTAGGAAAACACGTGTACCACAGGAGAAGATCTCCACTGGCGGGGCCTCTCTATGGCTGCCCAAGACGGGGCCTCCCCTAGAGCCTCTACATCGCTCGAGGGAGGCCAAGGGCCCTACCGTTCGAGGCAGCTGGGTTGCAACCTCAAATCCCCACTCAGCATCCTCACCTCGGGGGCCGCAGGCTCGATGTGGGGCCTTTAGAACAGGGTGGCTCAGAAGCAGCACAGGTGACATTTTGGACCAGCTAATCCTTTGTTGTGGGGTACTGCCCAATGCATTGCAGGACCACCCACCAAGCCATAAGAACCCAACTGTCTCCTGACAGTACCATGTGTCCCTTGGGGAATAAAAATCACCCTGACTCGAGAACCACTGCTTTCAAGGAAGCCTTGGTTTGACAGCTGCCATTCATTGACACTAACAAGCAAAAGCGAGAATTTTAAATGCTGTGTTAAGGATTATTTAAGAATAATTCAATATTCACATTCATCAGCCAACAATTTCTAACTACTTAAAAAGACTAATTTCCAGAAAATAAACAAACAGAGCCCTTCAAATTCCCAATTCTCCTTGCAAATTAGCCAAGTCCCACACTATAAACGACCCTGAAAAGCAAGTATAGGAATTACTAAGTAATATGATTCTCTAATTTCTATAGATTGTAATACCCACCTGCCACTTCATCTTCTTTAGATGTAAGTACTAATTGCTCAATACCTACAGCAAATTTTATGTTAGTACTATAAAATGTATTGAACTGCTACTTTCCACAAATCCTAGCAGGCACTATGACAACACCTCCCCCCCCCACCCCCCGCCAACAAAAATCCTCAAGTGCTGGCTCCTGATCAACGGTTTATCCAGAAGAACCCATCCAGCGTTCAGTGCTGCTCAGTGGAGCAACACGAACCAACCTGGCCGCACTGTACAGCCGGACGAGGCCCTGCTGCGCCGTGCGGCCGCGGCTGCTAGGGATGCAGCTCACACCCAGGCCCTGGCTAGAGCACGTCGGCGGCCGTGAAGGCGAGCGTGCAAAACACCCCCTGCAACGCCAGAGGACCGTTTGCTGTTAGCTGTGCTTAATTAAGACTGTTACTTGTCCAGCTACCGTTGACTATTTCCACCCTTCAGCCTTCGTTTAAAGGAAACACAGCGCGATGGTCCCACTAAAATGTCAGCGGCCGTGTTCCCAGTGATACTGTTACTTAAAAATGGCCTGCCCTGGATCTCCTGACGACCAATAAAAACCACCAGAAAACAATCCCTCTACTTAGGTGTACAGTTGTTTTTTTTAAATTAGGACAAACACAACAACACACTCGCATGCCAACAAACCGAGGTTAGAAAGGAAAGCAGAAATTAGGTAACAGCAAACAAAAACGTGCAAACGCTGGGCGCCATCAACACACTCCACCTACCGTCCCAGGTGTCTCCGCCACCTACGGGGAGGTTTAAGAGATAAACACACAAAAAATAAAAACAACAAAAAGTTTAGCTAAACTAGTCTTATATACAAATGAGCAATAAAGACACAAACGCCAGGATCTGCAAATTCACAGAACAAGCCACCTAAGACGCATGTAACCTACATGCTTACAAGAGCACAAAGTGACGAAGCTGCCAGAGGGGCAACCGGAAAGGACTGAAATATAAACATGAACTTCCAGAAACTTCTTTTTGTTAATCAGGAGATCTGGAAAAACGAAAAGTACCTCCACAAAAGGTTTTTGATTTTAAAGACAATAGATGAAACAAGAGGCAAGAAAAAAAAGACAGTGGATGAACCTGGAATAAGAAATCAGAGTAAGTACCCCAGATGATACAAGTGTACGGAGTTAATATGCACTCCTGGAACGTCAGAGAAACCTGCTGAGTGTTCACCTCACCTTCTGTTTCCATGTCTTGTCCTTTGGGGGCTTCCCCAATGTCAATGGTGAACATCACTATCTTGGGAGTCATTGTGGACATCCTGTTGCTGAAACAAAACTTGTACGTTCCGTCCATGTGAGCAGCAAATGTGTACTTCCCACTGGACTCCCGGTCTCCTTTATAAATCCCCTTATTATCAGGTCCTGTGATCTGGAGGCAGGAGAGAAATGCACGAGACATCACGCAAGATTTCAGATCACACACTTCGGCCGTGATGTCTACTGGCAGCAGGATACTTGCTAAGGAAACGCAGTAGTCACTTAGCTCCACCTCAGTTAGTGACGGCGACCTCTCTGGGCTCCCGCTTACGAAACTAGAGTCTCTTACCTTCCCCCTTTCTGACTACATTTCTCTTACTCCTTCAACCTAAAGGTAAACCCCTCAGAAACAAAAACTGCACCTTACACGTGGTCTGCAAGTGGCCTCATGCCGCCCACAACCGTGCAAGTCTGGAGTAGTTAACATCAGAACAAGAAACCTCTTTAAAACCCAGAATTCTGAGCAAGGTGCATGTCTAGGTTGTGCTGCCCGACCACCGCAGCCAGTGAAGGAATCTGCTTTATCTGAGATGCCTGGGGGCTGCAGGGGAAGGGCCTGGCCTGGAAACCGGGAGACCCTGCTCTCCTTCGACCTGCCTGCCGCACAGCGGCCAGCAGGCCTCGCCCACCCCGGTTCCTCTCGGAAAGCTACCCCACCTCCCCGCCCCCAGCGCCGCACCTGCGACACTGGACGCCGGCCTGAGCTCCAAGGTCCCAGCCAGCTTTCCCCGTCACTCCTTCCATTATCCTCTTAGTCCTGGGCCTCGCTCCTATTGCATAATCGTGCCCAGCTCTGCTGAGGTTCACGACCAAATGGAAAATCCTTAAACCCAATTAATCGTGCTAACGGGTGACTTGAAATACCAATTCCATGTGACCCACCCACCCCCAAGCCAGAAAATTAGAGGTAAACCATTCTTTTCGTTTAAAAAGAAAAAAGAAAAAGACATAGAAGGAAATTTAGGGGCTGCTGATTTAAAATAATTTCCTGTTTTCTCCAGACACTTCGCTGCAGTGATTACTCTCCTAAGTCATGACCCAGCCCCACTTCCCTCCTAACTCAGAGGTGGGCTAAACGGTACGTCTGGGGATTTGTGTGAAAACGGGGAAAACACGCAGGTCGTTTCCCGGGGAAGAACAACAGTGCGAACGTCTGCCCGGCATTCCTCAGTAACTTTCGATTTACTTCTCCAAAAGTTTCCGCGCCACGTCCCAACGTTAATCCCTAACCAGAAGGAACGTAGCTGCTGACCAGGTCGAGTCCTGCCACCACTTAGCCGCGACAAGGGAGCGCCTTCCGGGCCCGGGGCGGACACGCGGCCCCCGGGCGGCAAAGCTGGGTGAGAGGTCCCGAGGGGATCCGCCGTTCAAGCCGTCAACCCAAAGCAACTGAGTGACCGCTCCGTATCCCGAGCGGAGCCCGGGGTGCGGAACCAGGAGGGCGGTGAGGCAAAGGGTCGGTAGGAGCCGCCGCCGCGGTGGCCCGGGCCCCTCCCAGGACTCGACCCGCAGCCTCGAGGCCCCGCGCTCTCCGCAGGCTCCGCGTGGGCCCCGGGCGCCGCCAACCCCCGAGCGGCCGCGCGACCCCGCGCGGTCGCGGGCAGCGGGCCCGCACCTCCACGTCGATGTCCAGGAAGCCGCCCTCGGCCACCTCGAAGATGAGGCCCATCTTGGTGCCCGAGGTGACCCTCTCGAAGAAGCATTCCTCGGCATGCGCGTCGATGCTGACGAAGTAGCCCGAGGCCGTGGCCAGGAGGGCGGCCAGGAGCACCAGCAGCTCCGCGAGCGTCACCATGGTCGGGCTGGGGCCGAAGCCAGGACTGGGACTGCGGCCTCCAGAGCCGCTGCCGTCGCCGCCACCGCTGCCTTCTCAGCCGCCACCGCCTCAGCTCCGCCCCTTCCGGCTGCGCCACCCGAGGGGGCTGATGCGGGCGCCGTGGATTGGCGGGCCCCCACAGCTGCCACGTAACGGACGCACGGCGGCCGCAGAGGGACATGGTGGCTGCGCGCGGCCCGAGCCTGGACGGTGGCTCCGAAGGACCAGAAAACATTGGCCCCACTGCCTCCTGTTCGCGCGCAGCCTGCAGTTCACGTGGACCACGTAAGACAGCGACAGGGTTGAGAAACCTCTCCAGCGCGGTTGCAAATTCCTTCCTAGGATGGTTTGGAAAGATGGCGAAAGATTTGGAGGCAACAGCGGGCGTGGAAGGAGTGGGCGGTGGGGCGGACAGTCAAGGGTTTTGAGGTTTTATGTTGGCCTCCTCTCACTCCGCGAAAATCGACCCAGAAAGGACGGAGGGGACACGAGGGGACCTCCCCAGGATGTTGGTAATGTTTTACATATTCCCCATGAATGAAGGGTACACGCGTGTTTGCATATTTTCTTAAGATCTATGCTTACAGCTAATGCAGCTTATTTTACTATAAAAAATAAAAAATAAAAAACTTGTCTTAGCTTTATCCAGTTCCTCCAAAATTAGAATCCTCTCAGTTCCCTAACGTTTTGCTGCCACACCATACACGCTCAGCTCTTGCCAGCTGCCCGGACAATCGTCCCTTGCCCTTTGCTTTCTGACATCCTCCTACTCATCCGGCAAAGCCCCACTCACGGGTCGCCTGCTCTCCTCTCCGAAATGTTCCTGAACAGCCGTCTGCCAGAGACTGGCCCCATGCTCTGTGCTTGCGACGGGGATTTGTGCCGCCTGGGTTGTAGCTACAGCTGTTCCCTCCGGAGGCACCACCTGTGCTGTGCTCTCAGGCCCACAAAGACCTCCCTTGTAACAAGTTAGTTGAGTTCTTTCAACTGGCCAGGGGATGAGGAGACCTAGATTGTTACTCCAGTTTCCACGGAGCTGTGTGATCCTAATTGCGTTACATCATCTTTTATCCGTGAAGGAGAAGAACGCCATATGCCTTGCTTGTCTGGTCCAGTCATGAGGATCAAATGCGCCACGTAGGTGAATGTGCCTGCCAGATCCAGGGATCCTTTCTTAAAGGCACCAGGCAATAGGGGGCAGTGGTGGCCCAGTATCCAGTTCCCGCTTTTGGTGTGGAGAAACAGGTGCAGCTGCAGTGATGAAAAGTGTCCAAAATGGGGAAATGTCCTAGCCGTGGTAGGCCCATGGTCACCTCGGGTGTGCTGGGGAGTCAGGAGGAAACGGGGAGTGACCGCGAATGGGGTTTCTGTTTGGAACAAGGAAGATGTTCTGGCACTAGACAGTAGTGGCAGTTGCGTGCATCTGTGACCATACTAAAAGCCACTGAACTGCATGTTTCAGCGAGTGGGTTTTATGGCATGTGAACTGTGTGTATCTCAATAAAGCTGTTTAAAACAGAGAAGAGTTTTTCACCTGTCTGGGTATAGTCCAGAAACAGGCAGGCCAGCGCCGCCGGAGTGAGGTGGCAGAAAGGACCAGGAGAAGCTGTGTCTTTGAGATTCGGTCACATTCAGAAGCTTCCCAGGGTTCAGTTTTGTTTCTTCCTGGACCGGATTTCCATCATGAATATCAAGCAAATGCCACGTCCGCGGGAAGGAGCGGAGCAGCGCCTGACATCTATTTGCTGGCCTGGCACTAGCGGCTGGCCGCGGCGCCCACCCATGGGAGCCACTTTGCAGGACGTCGGCATCAATCAAGGCTGCTCTGTGACCATGGTGGTACAAGGCAAAGCGCAAGCACAGTCCACGCCACAAAATACCAAATGTCTCGCTCTCGTGACTCATGTGAGTGATGCTACTTCTTTACCAACGACAGCTGTAGCCGGTCCTCCGTGTAAGGAATGTCTGTGAGGGGCCCCTCCCCAGCTTTGTCCCTGCTTCCTGACAGCACCCGCTCTCGAGTCAGCTCCGAGACCCTGACACTCCAGAATCACCAGACCAAAGCCCAGCTCCTGCCATGGGCTTTCTCAGAGGGTCGCCCCGCGGTTCCCCATGGTGCGCAGTTGCCCTGGCTGCGAGTGACAAGCCCATTGGCTTCACTGCCCGTTTTCCTGGTGGCCTTCGGCTGGAGGACATTAACAGCTTCCCAGCAGCCACTTTCTGTTTATCTGACACCAAAGCCAGCTCCACCAGAGCAGCAAGGCCAGCAACACACTCTCTGGCCTTGAGCAGACCAGGGTTGCACCTCAGCTCAGCCACTTTCTGTGTGACCTGTGGCCAATCCACCCGCCTCCCTGAGCCTGGGTTGCTCCTCTGAAGTCATGGCGTGCTTCTGCTTTAAAACCCTAGCGAGGCTCCCAGCTCATCGCGCATCAGCCATGGAGCTCACCCTTCCCGGGGCCCTTACCGAGTCGGTCCCCGCTCTCCGCTCTGTTTCTCCCCACATCTCCCCCCTCACGCCCCAGGGACCCCCCTTGCTGCCCCCCTGCCCCTGCCTGCGCACCCCCGACGCAGGCTCTGCAGGCCCTGCCCCCCGCCTGGCACCGTCTTCTGCGCTCCTCGCGCCCCACACCGCCCTTTCTCAGACCTCTGCTCCCATGCTGCCTCCCCAGGAAGAGCCCCCCGTTCCGTCACGCTCTCAGCCCGTGGTCCTCAAGCTTGGGGGGACGTCCTAATCACCCGGGGACACTGGTGAAATTGGAAAGGCCCAGGCCCGCTCCGCTGCGTCGCTGCAAGAGGGAACTAAGGTGGCACAGCCACTTGGGGAAAGTTTGGTGGCTTCTTGGAAAGCTAACCCCCCCACTTCCTGTGCAGCCCAGACATTCTGCTTGCAGGTATCGGTCCCCACCCCTGGCGGCAGAGCCCTGCTCAGTGCCACAGCCTCCGCAGCTCCTGACGTTCCTGGTGCTCTCCGACCACAGGGGCAAAGGCCTCAGCACCAGGACCAGCCCAGGAGATGACGGGGGCGTGCTGCAGATGGGGGGCGGGCAGTGGCCCACACGGAGGCCGCAGGAGAGACTCGAAGGGGTGGGCAGGGGAGTTGTTCACCTTGCCTGTGTACCCCACATCCCAGTCCGCCCTCCACGCTGCTGGACGGCCCTGAGACCCCGCGGCTTCGCACAGCCTCCCAGACACGTCCCGTCAGACCCAGCAACCAGGGTTCTCGGGAAGCGCAGCCGGCTCTGCTTACACGCCCCCAGACCGTGCTCTCTTCCTCTTCTCCTGCCTTACTTCCCATTTCCCCTCGTTCTCTCCTATTGGCTCATATGTTTTCCTAAGGAAGCCATGCAAAAGCAATGGGTAATTTTTTTTTCTTTTTAACTATTTCCCTTGAAACGTTTACTTAAGAGCCCCGCGTTTCAGTGACAGACCATGGAAGCAGGGCAGCACCCTCTGGTTCATGTGACAGAATGGAGATCCTGCCCAGACTGGCATGGACAGGCAGCCCCTCCGGGAGGAAACAGACACTGAAATTCAGAGAGTGCCCCCCCCCCCGTGCACTCCAAAGGGCCCATGTCTAAGGCTAGATCTCCCTGTTTTCTAAAATGCATTGGGGAGCTTGACTATCAAGCCTAATCAACATGTAACAGACTTGAGTCCTTGATATTTCTGATGTTTAAAGATGTAATCGTGACACCAAAATGGCCCATGGCCATTTTAAGTCTGTCAAATTAAAGAAGAGGAGGGGGAGGAACGAGTAGCCAGAACAGCAAGCACAGGAAGGCAGGAGCACGGGTGGGCAGGAGGGAGGGTGAGAGGCTGTTACTCCAGGTTAAGCCCTTGTGGTCAAGAGCAGGGGAGAGGCTAAGGCAGTAGGGGAGCCCATAGAATAGTCCATCTCAGCTCGGGCTGCTGAAACGAAAATACCACAGCCAGGTTCTTTGTAAACTCAGAAACTTATCTCCTGGCTCCGGAGGCTGGGAAGTCCGAGACCAAGGCACGGGCAGATTCGGGGCCTGGCGGGGGCCCTTGTCCTGGCTCACAGGGTTGTCGTTTTGCTGTATCCTCACGTGGCAGCAGCTCTCTGGGGTTTCTCTTATCAGGGCACTGGTCCCATGCATGGGGGCCCCACACTAATGACCTCACACCTCCCAGGGACCCCACCTCCCAGTTCCACCACATTGGGGCTAAGATTTCAGCCCGCGGATTTGGGGAAACGCAGTCCCTGCAGGGTCCATGGCAACAGCACAGGAAGCTGCACTCCAGTGGCCCAAAGTTGCCTCCCAAAGGCTAGTGCGGTTTTTCAGGGCCATGTGGCCTGAGTTTCCAGGAAGCAGGGACTGCTCCTTCCCCACGATCACTGCTTCTCTCTGCCACATGCCCAGTCCCGTCTGCCCTCAGCCCCCGGGGTCTCCCTCCTGCCCCTGAATGTGGGTGGTCCCCAACACCCACCCCTCCGCCCCCACCCCCAGACCTCCTGCACCTGTTGCTGGCAGCAAATCTCTTCTTCCATCCATGGCTGACGCAAGACTTGTGGTCCTCCCAGGCAAGCTCATACTTTGACACCCCTTCAAGCCTATAGTCTTTATTAAAAAAAATTATGAAAAATTGTGAATCTTACAAAAGGAGGGAAAATAGTGCAATGAACTTCCACGGTCCAATCACCCAGCTTTGACCATTTGTAACAAAATGGCCAGTCTTCATTTTATTCCTATCCCCAACCATCCCGTCCTCCCAGTGCGTTGTTTGAAAGCGATTCACAGACATCATGTCGTTGTACTCTTAAAGATCTTGGGAAGCCCCTAGCCTTTAAGTAGTTGTTCCTTGTTAGGGAGAAAAGAGGCTGAATGTCCTGCGTGTGGACCGGCCGAAGGGAGACGCCCTCTAGTGGAGGGACCTTTAATGCCCACTCCGTTGCTTCCCAGCAGCTCTGCCAGGCCCGAGTCGCCAGCCCTCCCCCCACGTCGGGAGTTGGTTCCCGCTCAGCTCTGAACTCCCTCGCTGAGTCCGGTTAGTGAAAACATTCTGAAACCGGAGAGCGGTGATTGCACGAGCTTGTGAATATACTAAAAATGACGAATGTACACGTTAAAAAGGTGAGTATTATTGCATGAGATTTCTATCCAAATAAACATTAAAAAGTGAATCCCCTCTAAAAAGGAAGAGGAACTCCTAAAACACACCACCACGAAATAAACGCAACTCGAATCACATCACATCTCTTGATCTGTTTACAGAAAATGCAGAAAACATGAACAGAAACGACATTACAAGGGTGAAATTAGCAAAAGCCAGACTGAGAATCTCTACAAAACAACCTGTTTCATCAGCAAATAAATGGGAAGGCTAGGAAAGAGAAAAGGGAAGATTGAAAGGCACTAAGGAACATATCCACCAATTGCAATACGCAGATATTATTTGGATATTGAGTTAAACCAAAAAAAAAACCAAACCTGTAAAAAAATAAGACAATTGATGTTTTGAACACACTGCATATTTGATATAAAAAATTGCCCTGGCCGGTGTGGCTCAGTGGATTGGGTGTTGGCCTACGAACCAAAGGGTCACCAGTTTGATTCCCAGTCAGGGCACAGGCCTGGGTTGTGGGCCAGGTCCCCAGTAGGGGGCATGTGAGAGGCAACCATACACTGATGTTTCTCTCTCTCCCTCCCTCTCCCTCTCTCTAAAAATAAATAAAAGATTACTGAGAATCTAAAAAAAAAATTCTGTTAATTTTTTTCCAGTATGATAGTAACGTGTCCTTACAAGAGATGCAGAGAAGAGAGACCCACAGGGGAGGGGCCCTAGGAAGACAGCAGAGGTTGGAGCCATGCAGCCACAAGCCAAGGAAGCCAGAAGCTGGAAGGAGCAAGGCAGACCTCCCCACCCACCCCCCCAGAGCCTTCCCAGGGAGTGTGGCCCTGCCAACCCCCTAATTTAAGACTCCTGGCCTCCAGAGCTGGGAGAGAATACGTTTCTATTGTTCAAGTCACCAAATCTGTGGCAACTTGTTACAGTAGCTACAGGAAGCTAGTGTCCCTCCCTCCTCCTCACTGTCCCCCTCACTGGGCTGCAGTTCATAGACCTGACCCGTCTGAGCCCGGGTTTAGCACTTGCCAGTTGCCTGGCCTTGGGCAAGCAACATGATCTCTCTGTTCCTCAGTTTCCTCATTTGTAAAATGTCAATAATAATACTTCTTAGAATGTTGAAAGGCAGCAGTTTTCAAACCTTTTGGCCTCAAGAACCCTTTTCCAAGGGCACTTTAACTATTGAAGCCTGGGCTGGTGTGGCTCAGTGGCTTGGGCAACAGCCTGTGAAGTGAAGGGTTGCTGGTTCGATTCCCAGTTAGGGCACAAGCCTGGGTTGTGGGCCAGGTCCCCTTTTGGGGGCTTGTGAGAGGCAACTCAAATATATCAATGTTTCTCACTCTCTTTTTACCTCCCTTCCTCTCTCTAAAAATAAATCTTTTTTAAGAATTTAAAAGAAAAAGCTATTGAAGACCCTCAAAATTTTGTTAGGTAGGTGGCTTAGATCTATGGATATCTATTGCAACTAGAAATGCAAACTGATTTTTTTTTAAGTATTCATTATTTTAAAAGGCATATTATAACATGTAATATATATTTTATTTTTTTAAAAGTATTTGTTCATTTACTTTTTGCAGGGGGCAGGGAAGGAGGGAGAAAGGGAGAGAAACAGGGATCGGTTGTATGCGCCTTAATAGGGGACCGAACCCACCGCCCAGGCATGTGCCCTGACCAGGAATCCAACCGGGGACCTTTCACTTTGCAGAACAAACCAACTGAGCCCCACCAGTCAGGGTGGGCATAAATATTTTTTAATGAAAATAACTTTCCCCCAACACAACAAAGTCCTGCGCACAGCAACATTATGTATATACTGTAAATCTCCGTGATGCCTAGCCCTTCATAGAAGCTGGACCAACAAAGCTGCTTTTTGCCTGTTCAGCCTATAGGGATACGTGGTTGCGTGCTAGGTGCATGAAGGACATTGGGCCTCCCACTCACACAGCGAGCAAAAGGGGCCACCTCACTGCGACCCTGTGGGTGTTGGGGACCCCCAGAGTCATTGTACTTTGAGAAAAGATAGAGTCAGGATCAAATGAGGAAATATTTCAAAAGCACTTAGAATAATGCCGGACACATGGTAAGGATAGACATTATACATTTTTAAATCATATTTACAGCAAATGCCCAACACGCTTTAAATTTTCCGGAGTTTCTATCCACATGCGCCAGGTTGGAGTGGGCTCTACGGCTCCAAGGGCATGAAGGATTTTTCTGCCTTCGAGGAGTTCCCCATTGGCTGGGGGCGCCGTATGTGTAACCACACGGTTCAAACCCAATACGCCAAGGGTACACTTAAGGGAGAAGCCTGTGGGCGCGCAGTAAGATCCCCAACCCCTGCGGGGCGCGGGACCGGGGGCCAGGACGAGGGGAGGGGTTGCGGGTGCGGGGAAGGCCCTCCCGCGGTGGTGGGATGTCGGAGGGACGAGAGCATTTAGCCAAGTCAAAAGGCGGGGGCTTGGGAAAAGGAAACTCGTGGTGCCGAGAGCCAAACCCCGGCCTCGCCTTGTCTGTAAAGTGGCCTGCGTGTCACGAGGGCCTCTCCAGCCCTGCACCCCTCTCCGGGGAGTGAGGCGGGGTGAGGTGGGGGCGCTTCCACTGGAGCGCAGGGCCCCGCGCCTCCCGGTCCGCCTGTGACCGGGTTGGCGGGGAGGGTCGCGGGCCGGGGGTGGCGGTCCTCGTTTCCTCCCCTGAATGGGCCCCATCCTGGAATCAGCCTCACCACCCCTCCATTGCTCTCCAACGCAGGGGCTGCCCCCCGACCCGGCAAATCATCCACAAACCAGCGACCTAGGTCGCCGTCACCGCGTCCCCTCACCTCCCGACTGGCCTCGACCCCTCCGCGGCGGGCGCGCGGGAGGAGGAGCCAGGCTCCGGCCGGAGGAGGGGGTGGCGCGTCGGGACGCGCAGGGGGCGCCGGCGGGTGGGGAGAAGGAAGGGCAGGCGGGCGGAGCCGGGGTTGGGGGCCACCGAGTCAGCAGGTGAGAGGGGCCAGTGCCCGTGGGGACCGCAGGGCGCCCTCGGGCGGCGGAAGCCGGGCGCGCCCCTCGCCAGGCCGGGATCGGGGCGGGGCGCGCGGCATCCCTGCGTGGGGGGGGTCGGTCACCCGGCCTCGCCGCCGCCAAAGTTTCCCGGAGCAGCGGCGGCCGCCCTTCCTTCCCAGGCCTTGGGCGCGGGGACGACCCCCGAGCGAGAACTGTTTCCGAGGGCAGCGGGGCCCCCTCCGCAGCCAGACCCCGCGCCTCCATTGCTCCCAACTCGGATTCCCAACTTGGGAGGCGCCGCGGGCCTGCGCACGCGCGCCTTCCTCGCCGCCTCCTCCTCCTCCTCCCCCGTCTTGGGAGCAGGATCCGGGCCGAGCGGGCGCCGAGCCCCGCTCCCGGCTCACCGACCCGGCTCCCGGCGCGGCGCGCCGCCCCGCCCATGCCGACGCCGGCCGCCTGCCTGGGGCGCCCTCGCCTGCGGGCCAGCTAAGCGCGGGCCGGCTCGGCGGCGCGCGGTGGGCCCGGCGGGCGCTGCCCTCGGCGGCGGCGGCGGCGGCAAGTTTGGGAGTTGCACTAGTTTGCGGGGTCGCGGGGAGCGGCCGGGCGGGGGGCTATGGAGGAGGACCCGGGATCGGCCGCCGCGTCAGTGCTGGAGAAGAACGTGGCGGAGCTGACCGTCATGGACGTGTACGACATCGCGTCGCTGGTGGGCCACGAGTTCGAGCGGGTCATCGACCAGCACGGCTGCGAGGCCATCGCGCGCCTCATGCCCAAGGTCGTGCGCGTCCTGGAGATCCTGGAGGTGCTGGTCAGCCGCCACCACGTCGCGCCCGAGCTGGACGAGCTGCGCCTGGAGCTGGACCGCCTGCGCCTGGAGAGGATGGACCGCATCGAGAAGGAGCGCAAGCACCAGAAGGTGAGCCGCGGCCTCCGGCAGCCCGTGCAACCGGGCCCGGGACCCGAGGGCCTGCAGCGCGGGGCGCAGGTGGGTGTCCAGGGACCAGACTGGAGGAGGCCCGACTGGGCGACAGGCCGGGGTTCCAGTCCCACCGTTACCGTTTGACAGCTCTGTGACCTCGGGTGAGGCCCTTAACCTCTCTGTGCTCCTCTGTCCCTCACTGTCCAACGCTGGCGGTGACAGGACTTGCCTTAGAGGAATTAAATGGAACGTTACTGTCTAAAGTGCCTGGATAAGACCACCTTTTTCAGAAACAAAATCCGCTTCCTGCCCTTCAGTGTTACCCGAAAAGATGGGATACTGGGCCCCTGTCTTCATTCTCCCTCAGAACCACCCCCCACCCAGAGCACAGGGGCTGTGACGGGACCATGGAGCCACGGATCCCCCAGTCCCTGGGTTCCCGTTTGCAAAGTGCTTCCCAGAGTTCCCTCCGGGTTAGTGACCTGCGCTCTGAGGTGCTTTCCCCTCCCTGATTTTATCTTTAGCTCTCAGAGAACTCCCTGAGGGGCGCACTATTTTCTTCATTCCACAGATGAGGACACCGAGGGGCTGTGTGGGAGGGAGGACTTGTCCCCCAGTGGAGCTGAGAGCCCCACCCCCCAGGGGAGAGAACTCTCGGGTCTCTTCCCCCCCTGTCTAAACGGGGGCGGGGGGGGGCAGATCTAAAGCCAAGAGCCTCTGTCCTGTGAACGACAAGCCCTCTGGGCTCATGGATCAGGCCCCCCCCCCCCCCCTGCCGCCTGCCCCAGGCCCGGAGTCCAGACGAGGTGCCTGGATTAAAGGAAGTGGGTGACTGTGGTTTCCTGTCCCAAGCTCAGCCCAGGGAAGCGCCTGTCAGACCCTTCCGACGATAATGGGAGGAAACGCCTTTCCTTGGGGGATCGGGCGCAGACAGGCTCTGGCTCGCTGTGTGGCCTCAGGACGTGCACTCAGCTTCTCTGAACCTGCCGGGCGGGTCGTCCCCTCCGGGGCAGGCTCTCTGAGGTCCGTGAGGTCTCAGGGACAGCAGCCCCACCTGCGCTCGCAGCCTTCCCTACGGGGCGGGCGAGGGCGGCTCCGAGCAGCGTTGGACCGTGGCTGTCCTCACAGGTCCCGGTGCCGCAGGGTTGGAAAGGAAACTCGAGGCAAGAGTTAGGCAACATTTCCAAGATCCCCGAGGCAGAGTCAGACCCGCCCAGGCCTGCAGTTACTGTCAGGCTTCCCAGGGTCGGGGACGTCGGAGCGAGACAGCCTGGTTTCAAACGCCGCTGCTCACGGGCTCTGTGACGTGGGGCAAGCCTCTCTGTGCCTCAGTGTCCTCCGCTGTAAAATGGGAGAGTAGCAGCACCCGCCCTGTAGGGTGGGGGTGAGGATTAAAGGGCCCGTACTCATAAAGGGCCCAGGACAGAGCCCGGCTGGTCGAGGGTTGCGGGCTTACAACTGTTAACGTTGTTTTTAGGCCCAGAGTGGCTTTCACTGAGGTGCTCGTAGGTTGGCACTGGGGACCCCACCCCCACCCCAGGCCCCCCTACTCCTACCCCGGATGCTCTTCTTCTCTAGCGGGGGAAGGGATCTTTGAAATCCTCTCACGCCTCTTATAGTAAACAGGGACCCAGGGGCCGAGACCAGGTCACACCGGCCCTGGCTTTTAGTTCTGCCTCTGGGCGGGGAGGCACCCGGTAGTCACCGGAGGCCACCGGGCCTGGCTGCCGCGGCGGAATTCCCAGGCGGCTGCACTTGTCGCCTCTGGAACGCCGGCAGCAGGGCAGCAGGGGAGTGAACGCGGGCACAGAGGCCGGGCTTGTTTGTAAACACCGAGAGGAGCGCCCCTCCACCGGACGGCGCCCTCCCTTCCTCGCCGGCCCCCTCGGCTGCTCTGCGCTCTTCTTGGGGAATCAGGAGGGAGTGGTCTGATCCCCCACCCCGTCCCCACAGTCCCAAAGGCTGTTCGACATGTTATTCCACAAATGTGGAAAATGTCCTTGGTCTGGTCTGTTTGTCCTTCTTTCCTCCCTCCCTCTCTCCCTTTCTTCCTTGCTCTAGCTGGTTACTGAGTCCAAAAGCCCGTGGGCGAGCCACGGCACGCTAAGTGCCCTCCTGGGTGACGTGGGCAGAGAGAGAAGAGGGCGGGGGGCAGGGAAGGCAGGAAACACACGAAGGAGGTGTCAGAAGGCAGCGGCTGTGTGCATGCAGTGGCATATAATGTAAATGGCGTCTGTTCATGTATTCGTCAGACAGATACGCTTATTGAGTACCTGCCGTGTGCCTGGCACGGGCCTGGGAGTCAGCGATGACACCGGATGAGGTGTGGATCCTCAGGGACCCACATTTCTAGTACAGAGCTGTCCCGTAGAAATATATGGTGGCATGTGACGCTAATGAAAAGGCACAGATGAGGTTAATTTTTAACATATCCAACCCAGTCAATCCCAAATGTAGGGGTGGGCAGAAACAGGGCAGCAGCTGTGAGCGACGTTCTTCTGAGCTCACGGGGCGGCCGCGAAAGCCGTAGCAGCCTTTCCACCCGAACGGCCGTGGACCTGCTTTTGCCCACCCCTTTGTGATTTCCACATGTAATCAATGTAACAAGTTATTTTTATTGAGCTATAATTGACATACTGTGTCAGTTTCAGGTGTATCATGTGATGATTTGACACCTGTATATATTGTGATATGATCATGGGAATAAGATTAGATAACATTCATCACCTCCCATGGTTACAGAACATTATTAATGAGATATCTTGCTTTTTCTTTTTGTACTGTGTCTTCTAAATCCAGTGCATGTTTAACTCCTATTGCCCGTTTCAATTCAGACCAGCCACATTTTTTAAAAACTGAATTTATTGGGGTGACATTGCTTAATAACACTACCCCGGGGTCAGGTGTGCCGTGCTGTGACACGCCGTCTGAGTATCGCGCTGTGTGCTCCCCACCCCAAGGCGAGTTTATCCTCCTTTTCTTCTTCTGCCTCCCAACCCTCCAGACCAGTCACGTTTCAAGTGATCAGCAACCGCGTGTGGCTTGTGGCTCTTCAGTGGGATGGTGCAATTCTAGTGTGAGGAGATACTTTTTTTTAAGATTTTATTTATTTTTAGAAAGAGGGGGTGAGAGGGCGATAAACATGGAATCGCTGCCTCGCGCGCGCCCCCTACTGGGGACGTAGCCCACAACCCAGGCCTGTGTCCTGACTGGGAATCAAACCGGAGACCTTTCAGTTCCCAGTCTGGTGCTCAATCCACTGAGCCACACCGGCCAGGGCAGAATTTTTTTTTTTTTTTAAGTTTTTAAAATATCAGCTCATGATAAGGGCCGTGAAGACAGCAAAACAGGGAGATATGAAATAGGCTGGCCAGCATAGGGCCTCATAGATGGGGCAGTCAGGAAGGCTTCCCTGAGGAAGTGGCACCGGAGCTGAGGGCTGAGCGAAGTGTAGGAGCCAGCCACAGAGCGATCTGGGGGCGGAGGGGCATCGTAGGCGGCAGCCACAGCAAGTGCAAAGGCCCTGGGGCAGGAGTGAGCTTGGTGTGTTCAAGGAACACTGAGACCACAGCCGACGAGGCCAGAGCAGAGTGAGCGCGGGATGGAGGGGGGAGGCCCGGCCGATGGGGCTGGGCCTCAGAGGCCAGAGCAAGGAGTTTGAAGGCTGTCAATGCTGAGAGAAGGCACAGAAGGTGCTCAATTGGGACGACTTCCTGGAGGAGCCTTTTTCGTTGGTATGGAGTCAGGATTAAATTCCCCACGGTCAGAAAAAAGAAAAAAAGAAGAAGACTCTCCGTGGTCCGTTCAGAGGCAAGAACCAGCGTCTCCAGATCAACCGTAGTTCCCTGTGAGACGCAAGAACAGAACTGAGGGTTCGAACCTGTATTTGCCTCCTGTTGCTGCTGGAACAAATTATCCCACTTGTTGGCTCAAAACAAACTTACCCTCGTACTGGATGACGGCGTGTTCTGGAGAATATCAGTGTGGACAATGCGAGACGGAGCGCGGGGAGTCAGACGTCAGGAGTCAGCAGTGGGCCTCCCTGGTCAAAGCCGGGTGTCGGGGCGCCCCATTCCTTCCGGAGGCTCTGAGGGAGAGTCCGCTCTTGTGCCTTTTCAGGATGTTTAACTCTGGCCTCTGCATCGGTCACCACGTCAACTCGGACTCCGGCCCTGTCCCTCTTGCCACTTGCAAGGACCCTCATGATGACCTTGGGCCTACCCAGACAACCCTGGGGACTCCCCCATCTCAGGATCCTTAACTGGACCCCATCTGCAAAGTCCCTTTTGCCACGTATGGCCCCACGGTCTCGGGTGCCAGGGATTAGGGCGTGGACGTCTTTTGGAGCCATTGCGCAGCCTTCCCCTGCCGGCTGCTCTTGACCGATACTTGCGGGGGCCTCCGTGCACTCAGCCCGCGCCCGACGGGGGCAGAGAGGCTCAGGCTGGAAGAGTGCGACTTCTCCCAGCCTCGCCGCGCGTGGCACGGCCGCTGCCCGCTCCATCGTTCCATCACCGCTCCTCCCCCGGCCCTGCCCTTCACCTCTGCTGCCGACCTTGAACCGGCTGTGCGAATACTTGCTCATTACCTCTCGCTTCCCCGGCACTGTGAGCTTCCTGACAAAGAAGATGGGATTTAGTAACTTATTTAGGAGACAAGTGGAGGCGATGCTGACATCCAGCCACCGGGGCTGGCTTGCGGTGGGCGGTAGGAGCAACAGAAATCCGCTCACACATCTTAGCCCTTTCCGGGCGCCAGGCGCTGTTCCAGACGATTTATGTCTGTTAACCGTTCGGTCCTCACAAGAGCCCTCATACATAGATATTACACTGTTCTCCTCATTTCCACGGCTCCCAAGGATTGAATAACTTGTCCAAGATCAGCTAGTACCTGGTAGGAGCCATTCAAGTTGTCTCCACACTTTAAACCGCGGCAGCACCCTACGCAGGCCACGGCGACGGTGCTGTTCAGTTTAGGGTTTTGCAAAATACCTTCTCTCTTTTTTTTTTAGTAACAGCTTTATTGAGTATAATTTGCATATTATGCAATTCACCCATTTAAAGCATGCAGTTCAGTGTTTTTAGTCTATTCACAGGGTTGTGCAACCGTCACTACAATCAATATTGGAACATTTTCATTCCTCAGGGGAAACAAACCCGTACCCCTAAGTAGCCGCTCCGGATTGACCCCCGCCCCCCGGCCCCGGACAGCCGCCAGCCTGCTTTCTGCCTCCGCGGGCGTATCTCCTGCGGAGGTTTCACGCTAGTGCTGTCCTACGACGTGCGGCCCTTTGTGTCTGGCTGCTGTCACCTCGTATGATGTTCTCCAAGTCCATCCGTGCTGTTAGCAGGGGTCAGTGCTTCGTGCCTTTTCACGGCTGAGCCACAGGGCGTTGGGTGGACGGCCCACGTTTTACTCTCGCATGCCGTGCGTGGATGGACGTCTGGGTTGTTTCAACCTGTCGGCTGCTGTGCCCAGTGTCGCAGCGAACACCGATGTCCCTATTTTTGTGTGGTCATGTTTTCGTTTCTCCTGGGCCGATCCTAGGAGTGGAATTGCTGGGTCACATGAGGGGAGACCCCAACAAGCCGGAATTTATTTATTACAAATTGTGTATTTATTCCTACATGTTGAAACATCAGTCACCTTCAAAGAACTCTCCGTCTGAGGCAATACAGCTGTCGAGGTTTTTGTTTCCACGGCTCAGAACAGTTTTTGAACCTGTCGATTTTGATGCCGTTTTGTGCTTCTGCTGCTTTTTGTTCCACCTTTTCCACATCAGCAAAACACTTCCTTTTGAAGACTTGTTTCATCCTGGGAAACAAAAAAACGTCACTCAGGGTGCGATCAGGTGACGTAGGAGGTGGGGTCCGGGGGCCCTGCTGTTCTCGGTCCAACACTGCTGACCCCGGAGTGCGGTGCGGGCAGGTGCGCTCGTAAACCACCCAGCAGGTAACGGGCAGACGCGTCGAAGGCCTGAACTACAAGGGGCCCGCCTTCCAGAGGAGAATTCCGTTCTTGAGGGGTCCCCCCTCATGTGGTAACTGCTGAACATTTTGAGGACCTGCCAGGCTGTCCCCCGTTCTGCGCCCCCCAGCCGTGCGCGGCGCTCACGGTTTCTCCCCAGCCACGCCAGGGCTTGCTGCCCTCTGTCTCCCTGATGGTAGCCATCCATGAAGTCACTCTGATAGACGAAGCTTGTTTGTTGTCACATCGGCCTGTGAGCCTCCGTGTGAGGGCTCCTCAGCTGAGGGGAGCTGAGGCTCAGCGTGGTTAGGGGAGTTGCCCGGGACCGCGGGAAGAGATGCCCGAGTGAGGCCCACAGGAGCTCTGGGACCAGGGGCCCCCCTCTCCACCCCAAGGTCTTGGCCGCCTCTGTCTCCCTTGGAGAGAGGTTCGTCCTCGCTGAGGGTCTGCCCAAAGGTCAGGGGTGGGCGCTGCGAGAGAGGACGGGGATGCAGGGTCCCTTGGCCCGGGGCTGCTCACGCCTCTCCCCTGCCTAGACAGTTAGCAGGTGCAGCGAGAGCTCGAGCGCCGCGTGGTTCTCGGGGCGCCTCAAGCCCAGCGGGGCCCCACCGGAGGAAGGGCACCTCCGTGCCTTGCAGAGTCATGGTGGCCGAGGCCCGGTGCCCCTGGGGAGCGGGGGCCCCGAAGCCATGGCAGCCCCGGCTGCTCCCGAGGGCCAGGGGCAGGGGGTCGGGGGGCTGCCGCCCAGTGGGCCACAGCCCCACGCTGCCGTCGCCTCCGCAGGAGCTGGAGCTGGTGGAGGACGTGTGGCGGGGGGAGGCGCGGGACCTGCTGTCCCAGATCGCACAGCTGCAGGAGGAGAACAAGCAGCTCCTGACCGACCTCTCCCACAAGGACCTCGGCCTCTCGGAGGAGGAGCTCCAGAAGCAAGAAGGTGAGAGGCGGGGCCGGCGTGGGGGCGGGGAGCTGTCCCCTGTCCTCACTGTGACGGTGGCGGACCCTGAGCACTGGCGCCGTGCTGTCCAATGTCCAGGCCCTGGCCTCCGATTGATCACCATCGCTCTGCCTGCGGGACATTGCGTAGCCTTATTGACTGACGTTGAACCTGAGAGGCTCATGACTAGTTAACAGGCTCCTCCCTTTTCTGGGCCCTGGGGATGCGCATTGGACAAGCGGCCGCATCCGTCCTCGGGAAGCTCGGGCCGGGGCGGAGGGGACGAGGGATAAACATGCGGACAGGTGGAGCACCCTGTCCTCGGCAGTGGCCGGTGGCGTGGAAGAGGTAGAACGGGGCGATGAGAGGGGTGCTTTGGCGAGTGGTTTCTTGGCACACGCTGATCAGGGATGCGTCTCTGAGGAGTGAAGCCCGAGCCCCTGAAGCGGTGGAGCCAGCCGCGTGGATGTCCTGGGAGGGGAGCGCGCGCAAGGGCCCTGGGGCATCCGGGTTATGGAGAACCAGGGCCAGGGCAACGGGGAAGACGGCCGAGGGGTAAAGATGAGGCCCAAAGGGCCAGCAGGGGTCCGACCCCACAGCTCCGTACGGGCTCAGGTTTGGACTTTGTGCCAAGTGGGCTGGGGAGAGATTGGCGGTGCTTGTCACAGGCCGGCGTTGGGCGATGAGCAGCCGGGTCTGAATGGGGCTGGGCCCTCAAGGGTCACCCACCCTTCCCGCAGCCACCCGGCACCTGCGGTCCCGGCCTTCCGCTGGCACCGTGGCAGCTCACAGATGGAGGGATTTGGTCCCGGCCCCCGGGCTCTCCTTCCCCCTCAGGCTGCCTCTGCCCCCAGGGAATCTCAGACCCATGTCTTCCGTTCGAGTAGACATCTTGGGTCCCTCCCCACGTTTGATGGGATGGCGGACGGGCTTTGTGGGGCACCCGAAGTTCGGAACTTGTGGTCACAGCTCTCGGAGACTGAGCAGCATGCTGATAAGGAACGTAGGGACCACAATAAAAGGAGATGTTTGGGGCCGGCGCCGGAATTCTCGTTGCCTTGCGTCTCCTCTGTTCACATGTGGCTTATGCAATGGAAACAAAAGTCTTGTGTGGCTGTGAGCGTGGGCTCTGCGGCCAGCGGCCCAGGTTGGAATCCTCACCCCAGTACTTACCTGCTGAGTCACCTTGAGCAAGCCATGGGAGCGTTGTGTGCCTAAGTGCCCTGCATGAAAATGGATATGACCGTGTCTTCCTCCTACGGCTGCTGTGAGCATTAAATGGATTAAGAGGCACACACCGTGGAGCGTTCCGCCGGTACCTGTGCTCAGCAAGTGTGCGCTGTCATGACCGAGGGTCCCTGTACCTAGACCCACCTCCCTACTGCGTGGCCAAGCGAAGCCAAGGAGTCAGAGCTCAGCGTTCCTTTTTCTGGCTTAGAAACACTCCATGGGGAATCTGGCTTCTGCTTCCACCCCTGGGTGGACTTCCAGGTCGTTCCCAATGTAGGGCTTGCGTGAATGATGCTGCTGTGAACTTTCTGGAACAAGTTCTTTTGTGTATATGTGTCCTGTGGTGACTGTGTGTTGAGCTTAGTGGGGAACCCTTAGCCATCTTTTCACCCGTGATGTTTCTGCAGGGCTCACCCGGCCTCTGGGGGTGACCTGGGGACTCCCCCGTCTGCCCGCGTGACGCCCACGGGCCTCAGAGTCCCAGGACCGCAGCCTCACACGTTGCTGCTCTGTGGGGGCGCCTGGCTTGGCTTGTCGTGAAAGCGCCCACATGGCGCGGTCTGAGACGCACTTCGTTGGCCTCTCGTGTGGCTCTGCCTCCTGAAGGGTTAGCTCGGGGAGGCCGGGCCTGTCCCTCGGCAGCAGCCCCCGCCGGGCAGACAGACTGGGCAGAGGGGCCCAGTGTGCCTTCACGGTTCTTAGCATTTTGCACGGGAAACCATGGGGACTCGGGGACAAAAGCATGTCCTCCTCGTGTGGGAGCAGCGGGTGCTGGGCCGAGGGCTCCTGGCAGCAGGCGTGGCCTGCAGAGGTAGCCTGAGCACATCGGGGAGACCGAGGGTTTAGGGGTGCCGCCGTGAGATAGGGCGGGAGCGGGCTGGCCCTGTGTGGCACAGCGCTGCCTCCTGGGTCACTAAGAGTGGGTGCCGCGCTCAGAGCCACCGCAGTCGGCTTCCATCTTCCATGCCCTGGACTTCTCCAGGGTCAAAACTGTTCCCCTGCCCCTTGTCTTCAGATATTTATTTATTTTTAGAGAGGGGAAGGGAGGGAGAAAGAGAGGGAGAGAAACATCGATGTATGGTTGCATTTTGCGCGCTCCCTCCTGGGGACCTGGCCTGGAACCCAGGCATGAGCCCTGACTGGGAATCAAACCAGTGATGCTTTGGTCCGCAGACCAGCGCACAATCCACCGAGCCACACCAGCTAGGCTTGCCCCTTGTTTTCAGAAGTCCGCCTGCTGGAGGGCACCGACAGGAACTGCTTGTTAGCACACGCAGAAGTAAATGACAGGCGTCCAAGCTGTGGGACCGGGAGATGGGGCACAGAGATACGCTCAGGGTCTGGGAAGTTCTTGAGCTCCAAACAGGTCCATCGCCAGGCGGGAAGGAAGACTGAGCTGGGACTGATGTACTGGTCCCATCCTCAGGTTCCTCGCCTGCAAAGTGGGAGCGGTAGCTCCTGACTCCCAGGAGGGGTGAGGGAAAGCATCAAACATGGTAGGCATCTCAGCGCAAAAATTGGCTGTGCGCCTTTATGTAAAAAGGAAAGAAAATAAAATTGTTTTCAGTGATGTTTACTAAATTTACGGAGTTGTACAACTATCACGACAGGCTAGTTTTAGAACTTCCCAACGCCTCGGAAAGAAGCCTTGTGCCCGCTACAGGCCAATATTGATTGGCTTTCTGTCTCTACGGATTTGCTCGTCCTGGACATTTCAGAGAAATGGGATCATAAAATACACAGCCTTAGCGTCTGGCTGCTCCCACTCAGCACCGTGTTTCCGAGGGCCATCTCTGGCGTAGCGTGAATCAGTGCCTCCCTCCTGTTTGTGGGTGAGTAATAGTCCAGTGGCGAGACAACCTTTTGTTTATCCATCCGCTGATGGGCATGTGAGCTGTTTCTATGTTTCTACAACAATGTTGTAAGTAGTGTTGGTATGACTTTGTCCCTTGCCCCCTGTTCCCACGTAACATTGTATCTCTGTCTTTTAGCAGCTGCTACAGGGTGTCCCACTGTGTGGAAGGGCCTTGTTTATATAACTGTTTCCTTGCTGAGGTCATTTAGATTGTTGCCATTTTTTGCTACTGCAAAGGGGGCCCCTGCAGGACCAGCCTTGCACTTGCTCCAACGTCTCTCTGAACCTCCCCACCCCAGAGGTCTTCCAGCTTTGAGCAGTGTCCGTGAGTCTATTAGAGACCCTTAACCCTCCAGTACTTTTTCAAGGCCTGGTTGTAACCACTCCCAGCTTTAATCTTAGCTCTGCCCTCGGGGCAGGGAGGACTGAGGTTTCCATTTTAAGGGTGGAATGACAGCTGGCACTTGCTCCTGCCGGGTCCCCTGCAGGCACGTGCCCTGGACTAGCCCCAGCAGCCTCACAGGTGTGCCCCAGGTGGGGGCCCCTCAGGATCCCTGTTCCAAGTGAAGAAGCAAGCTGAGGTCGGTTGCAGATCAGTGGCAAAGGCCAGATTCAGGCCAAGAAACCCAGGCTCGGACCTCAAGCTCTCGACGATCCTGTTCGGCACCTCTCAGCCTGACAGCCAAGGGCGCCCGTGGCCGTGGGGCACGTGTAGCTGGCCACAGAGCTGGTGTTCCTTTCTCAGATTCGTGCTCCGCCCACCCCCGCCGAGCTGTTCTTCCGGCCGGATTTCTCCAGGAGTGGCGTCTGCCCCGACCAAGGAGGGGCAAGCGCGGCCCGTGGGCTGCATCTCACCCAGAGCCTGTTGTCTGGCAGGCGCTCGGTCGGAGGGCAAACCACAGACACTTCCGTGGCTTTCCCTCGGACGCGGCCCACACCCTGTTCCAGCCCCGCCCCACGCACATGCACACACTGTGTCTGAGAGTCACTTTTGGGGGGAGATGTTCGCAGTGTCCTCTTGTCCCCCAAGCCGTGACCCAGGGATGTCGGGAACGCTCGTTCATGGTGGTGACCGCCTGTTGGGGAATGTCTGGGACGGGAGCGGGGAGGCCAGCGGGAAGGACTCAGGTGGGATAGAGCAGCGTGGAGGTCACACAAGGGAGCAAGATAGCTGGGGAGCCGCCCCGCTACTGACCTGGCCGAGTCCCAGAGGGGAGGGACGTGGGGGATGTCCCTCCCTTCTTAATCTGGCGTTGAGCCTGACTGTGCGCCCCCAGCCCTGGCCTGTCGGGGGCTGAATTATGGCCCCCCAAAATCTCAGGTGCTAGCCCCTGGGACCTGTGGGTGCTGCCATACACGATGAAATCTTTACTCGTGTGACTCAGCGCAGGATCTGGCTGGGAAAGTGGCCCTGGGTGATCGGGGTGGGCCCTCGGTGCCGTCACAGGCATCTCCGCAAGCGGCGGGGGCTGGGGGGTGCAGAGCGATCTCCTGTAGACAGAAGAGAGGTGCGTGACCACGGAGAAGGCAGACGCCCGAGCGACGCGGCCACGGGTCATGGCCTGCGGGCAGTGCTGCCGCCGGGGCAGCAGGGACACGCTTCGCCCCCACTCCCGGCCCCCGGAGGGAGCACAGCCCTGGAGACACCGGCCACATGAAACCAGGGCAGCGCCCGTCCTCCCAGTCCCTTCCTCTGCCCGCCCTGGAGCGCGGTGCCAGGCCAGGGGATACACAGTGAACAGGTCGGGCAAGGGCCGCCTCAGGGGCCCGCCGAGCGCTCGGTGGGTGAGGGGCGGGGCGGGGACAGGCAGGAAACGCGCAACGGACGACACCGCACGCGCCTGCTCTGGGCCAGGCGCCGTCCTTCGTGCTTCGCGGGTGTCACCTCGGTCAGCCCTCCAGCAGCTCCGCGATGGTGCCGGTGTCCTTCTCATTCTGTAGATGTGGAAACTGAGGCAGGGAGAGGCTGGGCTGAAGCCGCCCAGCTCATAACGGGAGAGGCTCCGCCCTGGGTCACTCGCTGTGCGGCGGCGGCGCTCTGTAGAGGGTCTGCGACCGTGGAAGATGCTGCGGCCATGCTGAGTGGGGTGCACGAGAGGAGTCTTCGTGGGGGTCGGGGACGGAGAGGCCTCTGTGAGGAGGTGGCGTTTGGGCTGAGGCCTGAGAAGGAGGGGAGCCCGCGGGGGCAGGGAATTGCGGGCGCCTGCAGCTGCAGTGGCGAACGCCCACGGGGCTGAGCCTGGGGGGGCGGCGGGGGGGGGCAGGAAGCCTGCGCGGGGCGGGGTGCGTGGCAGAGGAGGCCCGGCTGGTTCGTCACAGCGGGAAGCGGGCCGGCCGTTCGGGCAGCACAGGGAGGCGCCTCACCGGCAGGTCTCGCTGCCCCCACCCCCAACCAGGCACGTCGGAGCGGGAGCGGCAGGTGATGAAGAAGCTGAAGGAGGTGGTGGACAAGCAGCGCGACGAGATCCGTGCCAAGGACCGGGAGCTCGGTCTGAAGAACGAGGACGTCGAGGCTGTAAGTGACGAGCCCCCGACCCCTGTCCGTTTGCTGGGCCAGTAGGTTCCCGCTACAGACTGGCTCTCCCCTCAGGAGGCTCCTGGGCCCCCCGGGTCTCTTTCCGTGGGGCGGGGGTGCTGCCGGAGGCTCGGCGGGCCTGGCCCTGAAAGAGCCAGAGGGAACGTGGCCCTGCCCAGTGACCTGACTCCTGCCACGCACCCTGGGGAGGTCCCTAGGCCCCGACGGGCTTTGCTCTGACCCTGAGGCTTCCCCCTCGAATAAACGGTTCCTCGGGCCCACCCCCTTCGTGCTCACCAGGCTGCTCCAAGAGCCTAGACGGTGTCTCTGCTTGAATTAGAAAAAGACACTCCAGTCCCTGGCCTGGTAGGTCAGTTGGTTGGAGCGTCATCCCCATTTACCAAGGCTACAGGTTCAAACCCTGGTCAGGGCCCGTACAAGAAGTAACCGACAAATGCATGCATGAGTGGGACAACAAATCGCTGTCTCTCTCGCCCCCTCCCTTCCTCTCTCTCAAATCAAAAAAAAAGAAAAGAAAGAAAGGAAAGGAAAGAGAAGGACACCCCCTTTTCAAGGCATGTTATCTCCATCTGCTGGAGAATTGTCATAATATACTAACGAGACACTTACCTTCCATCTGCCATAAAATTATCATAGTAAATACACAAATGTCCCATCTCTGGCTCCAAGACGTGTGCAGCACGCACGGCACACGCGGGTAGAGGCCCCCGGCGCACGGGGCCGCGCCTGAGCGGCGGTGCGCGGCTGCCGCAGCCACCGGCCCCTCTGCCCCTCCAGCTGCAGCAGCAGCAGACCCGGCTGATGAAGATCAACCATGACCTGCGCCACCGCGTGGCCGTGGTGGAGGCCCAGGGGAAGGCCCTGATCGAGCAGAAGGTCGAGCTGGAGGCCGACCTCCAGACCAAGGAGCAGGAGATGGGCAGCCTGCGGGCCGAGCTCGGGAAGCTGCGCGAGAGGCTGCAGGGCGAGCCCAGGCAGAACGGCGCGCAGGAGCCCGAGGTGAGGCGGGGGCGCCGGTCTGCGGGCGCGTGGGGCTGCGCGGCACCTCATTCCCCGGTGTCCCCATTGCACTTAAAGACGCAGAGCCCAGCGGCAGCGAGCTGCTGCCTAGAGGACACCCCGCGGGCCAGAGGCAGCTCGGGGCGGCACGCGGGACTCCCGGCATCCTCACCCAGGGCGCGCGGCTCAGCCACGGCCGCGGGCCCCTGCCACTCCCTCGTTCGTTCAGATAACGTGGGTTACATTGCAGATTCGTAGCAGCGCTGACCACAATAGCCAAAAGGCAGAAACAGCCGCACATCCATCAGCTGATGGGTGGGCAAACTAACGTGGTCCGTCCCTGCAGTGGACTGTGACTCAGCCCTGAAAAGGAACCCAGCGGGGACACCTGCTGCGCCTGCACGAACCTCAAAAACATGCTACGTGACAGTAGCCGGCACAAAAGGCCGCACACCGCGGGATTCCGCTCTCTGGAAATGTCCAGCACAGGCAGATCCACAGAGACGGAAAACAGACCGGTGGCCGCAGGGCTGGGGGCCGGGGGGACACGGAGTGACTGCCGATGGGCGCAGGGTTTCTTCTGGGCGATGAAAATGCTCTGGAATTAATGGTGATGGTTGCACAACTGACTATACTAAAAATACGGAATTCTCTACTTTAAAAGAGGGGACTTTACGGCATGTGAATTATGTCTCAATTTATAGAAAAGGCGATCGGCGCTCGCGGGCAGGCAGGGCTCCAGAGGCTGCGAGGCTGAGGGAGGAGCCGCGGCCTGTGGCTGCCTGCGAGGATCCCAGGGCTGGCCTGCCCCGGCCCCGGCCCCGGCCCCGGCCCCGGCCCCAGCCCCAGCCCGGCCTGCTACTGCCTCACGACCTCGGAAGCGTTAGCTAGCCTCTCTGTGCTTCAGTTCCCTTCTCTCCAAATTGGGGATCGTGCTATAGGTCGTTGTTAGGAGAATGAAACGAATTAGTTCATGGAAAGTGTCAGCTGCTGTTATTACCATATTAGTCCGGGGGAGTCGAAAAGGCTCCTCTGAGGCGGTGGTGGGAAGATGAGTGAGAGCAAAGCAGAAGAAGCGGGGTGAGGTCCAGGCGGGGGTGGGGGTGGCACCTGCTAGGCCCTGGGGCAGGAGAAAGGCAGTGCCCGGGGCTGGTAAGAAGGTGTGGGCCGTGGGGGAGGGGCTGCCTGAATGAAGTCAGGAGGGTGGGCGGGGCCGGCCCTGCAGACTGTGGGCCCTTTCAGAAAAGCGGAGGGAAGGGCGTGGGCTGGCTCTTTCTGCCAGCCCGTTGCGGATTGTGTCGGGTGTGCGGGCGCTGTGCTAGCCTGCTGGGTCCCAGGTGCGGGCGGTCAGACAGGTGAGCTTACCATCAGGCCGCTCAAGCCCCAGCACCGTGGCGAAGTGGCTTGTGAATTCAGGCCAGGCACTGCTGGGTTCCTGGAGGACAGGAACCTGGGATGCAGGTCGGGATGGAAGAGAGGGAAGTCTTCCACGGGCGGGGCTGGGGCCTGCCTCTGGCTAAAAATGAGAGAAGCCTCTGTTAAGGTGGGTTAAGGGCTTTTTTAAAGGCGTGTTCAGCTGTGTAACAGGAAGCTTGGAGTCAAGGATAGCTTCAGGCACAGCTAGTCCCAGGCGCCCAGAGGGTGCTCTCAGGAGTTGGTTTCTGCCCTTCTCTCGCTCTGCTCTCCTCTGTGTGGGTGTCATTTTCACGCAGGCCCTTGCCACAGGGGGGCCCTGGTGCTCAACCAGCTTTGCGGCCCCAGGGGAAAGAAATTGCCTCTTTCTCAAATCCCCAGCCAAAGTCTCGGGGAACCCTCTCCTTGGCCCACCGCTGATCCAGCCGTCGTGGCCTCAGATCTTGAGTGTGCAAGCCCTTCGTTCTGTGGTCACGTGGCTACGCCTGGTGGTCCCCGTCCAGCTATAGGCACTGAAAGGGAGAAAGCAGGGTTTTTCCAGAAGGAAGTGGCCACCGCTCGGCCCCCAGGAGTGCGGGGGCGGGTGCCGGCCTGGCAGAGACGACAGCCGCTGTCGGCCGCGCCAGGGTGGGCGCCAAAGATGCCACACACACAACTGTGAGCAGTGGAGGGCACGGGCCCCCTCCCAGGGTTTCAGCAGGACGGGCAGCCCCAGCCCTGGGTCTGGGGATGGCAGGTTGACCCGGGGAGGAGCCGACAGCCGACGTGGCTGTCGGGGCTCTTTGCAGTAATCGAGGCAGGAAAGGTGAGGCCGGGCCAGGTCTAGGGCAGAGGGATGGAGGGGGAAGATGCCAAAGGTGGCCGCGGGGCGAAGCGTGGGGCGGCCACCCCTCCCACCACCTGGGCCCCGCGGAGCTCCGGCCGGCCTGCACCTGGGCCACAGACTCCGAGCCCTGCTCCAGGCCCCTCTCGCGAGGACAAGGACATTTCACACCTCCTTGGCTCGGCTGCCTGTGGGTTTCGGTTTTCTGTTCTGGCACCGATGGGGCGGGACAGAAACAGAGGAGTAATATCAGGTAGCAGTTATGACTAATCCGCTGAGCGTCTTCCAGCGTCTGTTCCCCATCTGAGCGCAGCTTCGCCGGGTTTGACTCTGCCCCTCGGAGCGGGGTGGAATTCAGGAGTCTGGTCACTCAAACAGGGAAGCCGCTGTGCTGGCTCCACCACCTGCTGCCCTTGACCCGGGGCCTGGCCGTCTCCCGGGTTTCCTGTCGGACCAGGGAGGGGCGTGGACTTGACCTGGTCCAGTAGATGCAGTGGCGTGGCTGGGGCAGAGGCTGTGGGAGCGGAGGGGGCCAGAGGGTTCTGAGTTGAGCGGCGAGGGCGGCGTAGGTCTTCAGGCCCTGAGATGGGTTCTCGGAGATGGGTAGGGCCGTTCCAGGTGGGAGCAAGAGGGTGGGCCAGGCCAGAGAAGGCGCAGGGTGTGCCCAGGCTGGTGGGCTGGATTGGTCGGGGCAGACGGAAGCTGCGGGGGCATCCGGAGCCGTGGGGCAGTCAGTTGCTCTGGACCCTGCGATTCGCTCTCTTGATTCCCGCCACCGTGTGTGGGCTGGGTCGCGGCCCTGTCGGCGTGACCTCCAGTAGACAGGGCTCCTTCTGTGTTTCGATGACATCTTTATTGAGATAGAATTCTCATACCGCAAAGTTCAACCATTTGAAGTGTACAATTCAATGGCTTTTGGCATATTCTCTCCATTGTGCCCTCGTCACCACTATCTAGAACATTCCCATCACCCTGAAAAGGAACCCCGTGCTCATTGGCAGTCACCCCCCCATCCCTGCATGCCCCGGCCCCGCCCACCCATGATCTACTTCCTGTCCCTGCGGAGTTGCCCGTTCTGGACATTTCAAAGGAATGGAAGCAGACACTGCGTGGTCCCGACCGGCGTCTCCGCGCAGCGGGATTTCCAGTTCGCCCAGTTGCTCACCTTGTAACTGAAGGTTTTCACAGACCTATAAACCTTTAAGGAATGGGGTGGGCTCCTTGTCTAAAGGACTCCGTATGAAGTCCCTAAGAAGACTGGCAAGTTAATGGCTGTGTCCTTGATGTCTCTGTCTCACAAGCCCGGGCAGGAGCCACCCAGTGAGGCCGGGGATGTGGGCTGAATTCCCACGTGCTAGGCCCGGAGACCCCGAGGGCGACCAGAGCACAGTCAGTCGGCGCTCCCTTTGCTGGGCCAGCGGCACAGAACGCGGCCTTGACGTGCCCAGGCAGCGGGGGGGGGGGGGGCGCGCGCCCAGGAGGCCAGGCCTCGGGGTAGAGGCCTCGATGGAGACGCGGCCTCCCTGACACCTCCCTGGACAGGCCCCGTGGCTTGTCAGCCTGACCCAGGCCTCCCGAGGAAGCGGCTGGGGCCTCAGGGCATCTCCCTTAGGCTGTGCCCGCAGTGTCTCGGGGGACCAGCGGACAGCCCGCGATAACCTGGGCCACCTCCACGTCCCTGGTGCCGTAAGCCGAGAAGACCCGCTGCCGATGGGCTGATCGCCGTGCTGGGACGAGCCTCTCTGTCCAGCCGGGCAGCCGGGGCTGCCCCAGGCACGGGCCAGGGCCGGCGGCCTCCGGGAAGCCGGACACCAAGCTGTCCCTCTTCTGCTCCCAGGCAGTGGCCCCAGCAGCCAGGACTTGGTGGCAAACCTGTCTGGGAAGCCCCCACGCTCTCAGGGGATCATGTTGCTCCCCCATTAAACAGCGCCACCCCCCTCCCCAGAGGAAAAACCCCAGGCTGTGAGGGAGCCTTAGGTGTGTCGGACCAGTAAACGCTGGGGGGAGGGGCGCATGAGCAGAGGCTCCGGCCTGAGAGCCAGTGTCCCGGGAATACCAGGGAGTGTGGGCGGAAGGGTCCCTGGAGGTACTGGGGGGTTATCGCGGGCTGGACGGGGAAGTGCAGGTCTGCATGGAGCAGGCGAGGGTTTGGGGAGCCTCGTGAGGCCGTTCCCCTTCCCCAGGGTGGGTGGGTACCTGTCAGAAGACCCCTCCCCGGACACGGAGAGGCTCAGGACTTGCCGGCAAATGGCGGGACCTGGGGGGAGGGGGCTGGAGGGGCGTAGGAGCCAGAGATTTGGGTCCACAGAAGGGGCCACCGATGCCAGGGGCCCAGGCAGAGCGGGAACGGGGTGCGGTGTCAGCAGCCAGGGAAGGGCGCACGGTGGGGAGCGGCAGCCGTGCCGCCTTGTGGCTCCAGTGTGACTCTGTCTTCCCGTTTCCATCCAAAAGGGAGCCCCAAACCCAGAAATCTTCTGACGTAAACTTTTGGATCAGAAGTTTCAGGATACAGTGAGGGCCCCGTGAAATGGGGGCCGGGCGCTGCGGGGGCAGAACTTCTGGCAAAACCCCTACGCGTTCGGCAAGGCCCCGCACAGAGGCCGCCTCTGCCATCGCGCCCTCTGCGATCCTCCCCACTTGGCGTTTGACGTCCTCGTACCTCTGTTACCACATTAAGCGTCTGTCCGTGTGTATGGTCCCTCCCCCCGCACCTTCTGATTCATCTCGTTGACTCTGACCGGCAGGCACCAAGGTAATGCTTAATAATTGGTGAATACGTATTGGACATCCAGGGGTGCTCCGTGGGTAACCGGGGCAGGGGAAGCGGGGTGAACAGGCCTTAGTGAGTGCCTGCTGTGTACCAGGCGCGGGCTGTCTGTGGTCTGGGGTAGCGGATGCCGTCCTCCCGAGTCTGCAGCTGCGCAGGAGTTGGGACCCTGAAGATAAGCCTGACAACACAGCCCGCCCGCCCGCCCGCCCGGGTGGCGGCGACAGACGCCTGGAGCACTTTTGTGGGTCGCTCAGTCCTCCGGCGTTTCCTGCCCTAGTTTTTGGGTGGGAAGAGGCCCCGCTCTGTTGCCCAGCTGGCTTGGGGGGTGGGCGGCTCTGTCAGGCTTTCATTTCCTGCTGTCCCTGCCACCTGCCGCCCCTGCTGCCTGCTGCTTCCTGCTGATTCGGGGTCACGCCCACTCCCGCCGCCGCCCCCCCCCCCCCCACCCAGGGCTCTTCTGTCACCTAATCTGCCCTGGTGGGTCGTGTCTCCTTTCAAGTGCCCTCTCCCAGAACAGCCAGTCCAGGCCCTCCCAGAATGCCTTCTGGAGTCCTTCAGCATCCTGACCTCGCATCCTCCGTCTAGGCTGGAGTCCCTTTGTCGCTGTGCCACCGTGGGGTTTTTTTAAGCAGTGGCTACGGGAGGGTCTCTGTTTCAATCCATCCTTCTCCTGTTCCAGAGCTTTGTCACCCTGAGCTTCTGTCCACTCCTTCAAGCTGTTCCTGGGATGTTGGCGGCTCAGTAGGGGCCGCCTGCAGGTCTGGTTGGCTGACTCGCAGGCAGCTTGCAGAAACTTTCTTGCTTTCAGAAAAATGAGGGAAAAAATGTGTTGGCGATGACAGAGAGAATGTAGAACCCTCCCACACTGCTGGTGGGATCATAAAATGGGGCGGCTGCCCTGGGAAACGGTGTGGCGGTTCCTCAAATGGTTAAACAGAGACTTACCACATGGCTCAGCAGTTGCACCCTTAGGCGTGCATCCCGAAGAATTAAAAAACAGGTGTTCAGAGAAATCGCTGCACACAAACGCTCCTGCCACGTTGTTTACAGTAGTCAAAAGGGAGAAACAAGCCCAGTGCCCATCAGTGGATAAAAGCATAAACAAAGGGTGGTCTGGCCACGCTGGGGAATATTACTCGGCCATGAAAAAGGACAGAGCGCCGACCCCTGCTGCGTGCGCATGAAGCTGGAGACCGCGACGCTGCGCGAGAGGCGCCAGACACAAAGGTCGTGTGTTGTGCCATCCCATGGATAGGAAATGTCCAGAACAAGCTGATCGGTAGAGAGGAAGAGCAGACTGGCGGTTGCCAGGGGATGCGGGGAGGGCAACGGAGAGTGACTGCCAACAGGTGCGGAGTTTCTTTTTTAAGATTATATTTATTTTATTTTTTTAGAGGGGAAGAGAGGGAGAAACGAGGGAGAGACACGTCAATGTGCAAGAGCTGCAACGACCGGCTGCCTCTCACACGCCCCCTACTGGGGACCTGGCCCGCCACCCAGGCCTGTGCCCGACTGGGAATCCTCGAACCGGCAGCCTTTTGGTTCGCAGGCCGGCGCTCAGTCCACTGAGCTGCACCAGCCAGGGCTGGAGTTTCTTTTTGGGGTGACAGAAATGTTCTGGAACTAGAGAGGGGTGGGGGTTGCACAATGTGGCGCGTGTACTAGACACCACTGAACTGTAGATCTTACAGTGGTGAGTTGTGTGTTAAGTGTATTTTGTCATATTTTTAGCGCTCCTTTCTGTGGCAGAGGGTGGGAGGGCTGGTGGGTCCGGCCTGGATCAGGCGCGCCCCCCGCCACGCCGGGCTTCCCCTGTGAAATGCCAGTGAAAATGCCCGCCACCCCTGGGGAAGAACGGTCTTGACCGGAAGGCGGGTGACACAGGGAAAAGGCACGTGACTTAACGTCAAGTGAAAAGGAATAATGACGGTGGGCTCTGCCTCCAGCAGCTCTGGCCCAGTGGGCGGTGGTCTCGGTGACAGCACACGGAGGGGACACGGAGGAGGACCGGCAGGCAGGTTCCTGAAAGGGGCGGTGTCGGGCTGGGGGTGCTGTGTCTTCTCCTCGGCCGCCTGTGCCCGTTACTTGTAAGGCAGCCCCGAGTCAGGTGGGGAGGCGCGGGGACTGTGAAGGCAAACGAACACTGAGCAGGTGGCCGCCGGCTTTCGTCTCCAAAGGGACCGGCTGCACAGAAGGTGAGCCGAGGCCCCCACGCTCCTGAAGTAGCAGACTTGCAAGCCGCTGAGGCCCCGGGAGGGTGGGCCGGTCCGTGTGACAGGGGGCCAAGTGGGCGCCGGTGGCGGCCGCCAGGGATTTATTAGCAGCGTCTCTGCCTCCCCCAGGCGGAGCCGGGCGGCGAGGAGAGTATCTCGGAGGCGGAGAAGGCAGCCATGGAGCTCAAGGACCCCAACCGCCCCCGGTTCACGCTGCAGGAGCTGCGGGACGTGCTGCATGAGCGGAATGAGCTCAAGTCCAAAGTGTTTTTGCTGCAGGAGGAGCTGGCGTACTACAAGAGGTGAGCGTCCCGGGAGCCCCCGCGCTGACTCCCTCTGGGGGTGCACGCGGCTGGGGACAGTTAGCGCCTAGACAACAGGGCTTGTAGCTAAGGGGACTCGCAATCCCTTTCTGCAGCTCCCAGGTTCGGGTGCATTTTATAAGTCAGACCCTTCTGGCTGTTCCAGAAGAGCACTCTATATTCGGCATATAACCTGCCACCCCCGGTGAGGTCTGGGGCTGCTCCCCGAATAAAATACATTAATACATATGCGGCAAAAGGTACTGAGTGGGATAAATTAAGGTCGTAAACAGCCCCGTGAGAGTTCATGTCAGGTTTCGCCACCTGTTGAAAGACCAGAAGGTGCATTTTGATTTGTAGAACTTTTTTGGATTTTGGAATCGCAGGTAAGAGATGGTGGAGCCGTGCAACCGGAGACCCGCCCCATGGTCAGTGGCCTCCTTGCGCCTCTTAAAACCGGACTGTCCAGTGTGGGAGGCGCCAGCCGCGTGGCTGTGTAAATGAGTTCGGTGAACATGCCATTTGAGATTCAGCTCCTCCACGGCACTCGCCCCGTTCACCGCAGTGCGACGGTGAGCGGGCCGCACCGCCTCCGACCGGCCCCGCCGCCGCAGCCGCCTCACGCTTGCTCGGCACCGCACACACCACCCTTCCCTGGGTTCCTCAAAACGCGCCACGCCTGTTTCCACCTTAGGACCTCGGCACCTGCTTCTCCCGAAGCTGGGAAGACCTTCCCCTGCGTTCTTCCCACGGCGGACCCCGGCCAGTCAGCTTTCAGGGCGCCGGTCACCTCCCCAGAGAGGCCCTCCTTGCCATTATGCCCCGTGCAAAGGGCTGTCCGGCCCCGGTCACTGTCACGTGACCCTGTTTCGCTCTTCTTGGCCCTCGTCATCATCGCCCACGAGCCCCGCTCATTAATTGGCTTGTTTTCTCAGCGGCTTCCATTCCAGACTGTAACAACGTGAGACCAGAAACCTTGTTGGCCTTGTTCAGGGCTGAGTTCCCAGCACTTAGAACGGAGCGTAGTGCAGAGGAGGTGCTCAGCAAATACCTGTGGGCGGGAAAGCCGGACGGAAGGACAGACACGCCAGATGGGGGCCTCTGCTCCGGCGGGGAACATAAGAGATGCACAGAAAATGCAGTGCCAGATATTGTCATTGAAGCCATTGTGTACCTGCCTGCCACATAAGAAAGTTTCACTGATACCGTGTGCTGGCTATTCAACAAAGGGAGGGGTCATTTCTGGCTGGGGGGATGGGGTAGAAATCAGGAAGCCTTCATGGAGGAGGTGGCATGTGAAGTGGGCCTTCCCTAATGGGTAGAGCACTATTCGAGTATGGGAGATGTGGGTGGGGGGTGGCATTCTCCAGAGGGAAGGAACCACAGAGGCTTGGAGACAAGCATTTGGCAAGTACAGGAAACGGGAAGTAGTTCTATTTGGCTGGAATCGTCCAAGGAAACTGAAAATAGAGCTGTGGGTCCCTTTCCTGAAAAACCTCACATTTGACCCACAGGGCCAAAGGGACCCCAGGCACCTGTGTCCTTCGCCTCCGGGGCCGAGCCTTCCTCCGAACTGGCCGGCCCCGCTCCGCGCGGCGAGACTGCGGGCCTCAGGCCGCGGGTGCCATCCCCCTGGGTCCCCTTAGCCCAAGGCCAGCCCTCCCGGACCGCCAGACAGTCCGCTCCTGGAATATTCCGGCTCCCGTGGCGTTTTTGACTCTTTTTGTCTTGCACCTCTCCACCCCCCAGTGAAGAAACAGAAGAGGAGAATCGCATGCTCCAGCCTCCGCCCATCGCCCACCCGCGACCGTCCCCCCAGCCCGAGTCAGGCATCAAGCGACTGTAAGTGACGTGCTCCCCGCCCGGGGGGCTCCCCGCCCGCGGCTGACCCGGCAGTCCACGCACGTGGCCTCTCCTGCCTCCTGGGCCGGGCTCCGGGACCAGGCTTGTCACTCACCGCCCCTGCTGAGGCCAGCCTGGCGCACGGTGGGCCCGGCCTCGACTTTGAGTCCCTCCTACACCTGGATGCCGAGTTCCTCCTGGGGGTCCCTGGGGAGAGGAGTTTGGGAAAGGCCACGGGGGCGGGAGGGCAGCGGGGCCTGTGGCTGCGTCTCGGGGCTTGGCTTGCGTGCGTCGGGTGGGCTGTGCCCTTGAGAGCGGCAAAGGGGGCTGGTGGGGGAGGTTCGTGCTGCTGGCGGGCCGGTCCGCGATGGCCCCGGGTCCACCCCACCCGTGCGTTCTTCTGCTGACCCATCCCCCATCCCTCCCATTCTTCCATGAAGTATTTATTGGTGCGGAATACTGTGCATGCAGAGTCAGGCCCGGGGTGCTGTGGGGACACCCAGGAAAAAACAACCCACTCGTTGCCCTCAACTAGACTTAAAGCCACTTCCGTGGTTCTTTGCGTGAAAGGACCCCTTTGGGATCATGGCGAGAGTTTGCAGACCCTTTCCCTGGGCGCGTGGGTGGGGGGAACATGGACAATTTTGCGAACAATTTCAGGCTCATTGGCCCCTGCAGCCTTTCAGGTAAAGGGTTAAAAGCTGCGGCCTGGTTCCCCAGCATCTACTGAGCACCTCTGCAGGTGCCCAGCCCTGTCCGGTGAGGCAGAGGCACCATCCGCCCCGTTTCAGAGTTTAGGAAACTGAGGCGCTGAGAAAAGTCACCCGCCTGGGGTCAAACAGCTAACAAGAAGCAGAGCCAGGGGTCGAACCCAGGCAGCCTGGCCCCGAGCCCAGGGCTTCAGCTCTTTGCAGGAGGGCCTCGCGCTCCCTGCCCGCCCCCCCCCCCGGCCCCCACGCCTTCTGCACACCCCAGCGAGAGCTTTGGGGAGCCAGTGGTGGGGGCAGGGAGGCCGCCGGGGCACGACAGGGGGGCCCCCCCTCCCCGCCTTTGCAGTCTGGCTAGAGCTGGAAATCCGTGGCTAGTTCTTAACCCTGTGAATCGCCTGACGCTCAGCGTTGGTGGATGGGAAGGGGAACGAGAAACCAGACCCCTGCTCTGGCGGGGGTGCCTCGCTCAGGTTCCGGGGGCGCGGGGAAGGCACCCCTGCAGTGTGGCGGGCAGTGCGCGCTCCTTCCCAAGCCTCTCTCGCCAGCCTGGGGTCACTTGCTCCTCCGCTCTGCTGGGTGGGGCGGGGCGGGGCGGGGGGCTGCTTCCCAGTTCTGATTAGGGATAAGTGTTTCCCAGAACCACAAAGGTTAAAACCGGCTTCCTCTGGATCCCGACGCCATTTGGGCCACGTGTCAGTAACTTTCCATGGGCAATTGAAACTCAGACTCCAGGTAACTTAAGAAAAAGAAGGAAAAACTGTTGGCTGGGTCCGCATCTCATTCTCACACCGGAAGCTTCAAGTAGCTTTAACTCCCTCTGGTTCCCGTGGGCTGAAGTCAGGGAACGACAGGCCGCCAGTGAGGCCAGAGGGCGAGCCAGACAGAAGTCGCAGCTCATCCCGGCGGCGGGGAGCCCCTCGGTCTCCAGCCCGGGGGGCGCTCGGTGCCAGGAAAAGGCTTCCCCTTGCTTAGGGTTCCTCTTCCAGAGGCTGGTGAGAAATGGGATCGACTTCGCCGAAGCTCCGATATGCCTGCCAGCCCTGCTCGCCTAATAAGGATGAGCAGAATCGATCTTGTGTTTTAGTAGCGACAGCGTGGGGTTAAAACCCTGGGAAGCTGAGTTTCCTAGGCTGCACAGCCCCTCCCTGGAGAGGCTGAGGCCAGCGTCTGCTGCCTTCGGTTCATCCCAGATCTTCAGAAATCAGACCTCATAGCACTTTGGTTTCAAGTGCGCCGCCCTCACGGGCCCTCCCGCGGAGCCGCTCTGAGCCGCACGCAGTTCCAGGGGCTCCTTCCAAGGCTGCGTTGTTCTCGCCCCTGAGCTTTCTAACTCCGGCCCCCTTTCTCTGAAATGGTCGTGGAGAATTGGCTTTCGCAAATCTCAAACATGTAAAATCCAGAGGAAACTTACCAGAAATTTGCTTTTTTCCCACTAGTTTTTCTTTTTTCCCTTTTTAAAGATTTTATTTATTTATAATCAGAGAGAGGAGAAGGGAGGGAGAAAGACAGGATGAGAAACATTAACTGGTTGCCTCTCGCGCGCCCCTAAATGGGGACCCTGCCTGCAGCCCAGGCCTGTGCCCTGGCAGGGAGTCGAATCTGCGACCCTTCGGTTCTCAGGTCGGTACTCAGTCCACTGAGCCCCACCAGCCAGGGCTCTGCTTGGTTTCCTGCCCACAGCTGAACAGGCCGTGGTGTCTGATCCTCTTTTTCAGATTGTTCCAGAAAGACTCTGGGGCCCCATTTTCAAAGCCCGTCTCCTAATTAGTGTGGCCTCTGGTTGCTCCACAAGACCTGGGACACTAAGCCTAGCAGGAGAAGTAGCTGGAACTGGGGAGCCAGAGACAGACAGACAGACGCAGACAGAGCGACATATAGAGACAGAGAGGGAGGGAGGGAGAAATCAGAACCTCCCACGTGCGGGGGGCAGGTGGCCGGTCCCAGGCCGTCCTGGGCTGCGAGGGGATAACTAGAAAACCAAACTGGCACAAAAGGCTTTTGACCAGCCCCGGCGGGACACTGGTCGCCTTTGTCCCTGTTGGCTGCGGACTGGGAGCGGCATCGGCCTGGCCCGAGCGCCCAGAGCCTGGGGCAGGGACAGCGCCGCCCTGGGGGCCCGGGGCAGAGAGCGGCAGTCCTTCAGAGGTCCCTTGCCTGTGTCCCTCTGCGCCCCTCACGCCAGGCGCCCCTCTGGTTCGTCTGGTCCCTCGGTCCCTGCGCTTGCAAGGCATTAGCGCACAGCCTGCCGGACGCCGCTCACGCTGCGGTCCAGCTCTGCTCCAGGCCCCTGACCGGCTCCCTCCCACCACCCAGGCAGCCGAGGCTCCCGGGGAGCTTCCAGGGGTGTTCACCAGCTTCGTGCACTTGAGCTCAGGTGTCTTCCCCCGAGACAGAGGCACGGAGCTGGGGCGTTGAGCCCCATTTCCCAGATGAAGAAAGCGAGGCCCCAAGAAGCCCACGGCCTTCTGAGGCCCTCCTGCTGGGACGGATGAAGTTGGGGTTCAGCCCGAGGCTTTCCACCCGGCTCTCTCCTTCTGCCTCCCGCCACCCCTCCCCAACATCGAGTCACCAGCTGTGGGCTGACTGCCCAGTTCCCTTATCTCTCAAGTGCCTGTGAGCCAGAGACGCCAGAGTCTACATTTCTGGGCTGAGCAGCTCAAGGGGAACCAGAAACCCTGGTGCCAGTCAAAACAGGGTGCTCAGAAGACGGTCCAAGAACAGCTTGTGATCGAGCAGCTGCTGCCCGGGAGGCTGGGTTGGCACGGCCCGGGCAGGTCACGCGGGAGCCCTGAGTGACTCCAGCCTCGTCCCCACCGGACGCCAGGCACCAGCGTCCCCTCTGTGTGGTCATAGCTCTCAGTCGGGGTCCCACAGACGCACACTCAGCTGCTTTCTGCTGAGCAGGGCGGAGGGGCTGACCAGAGGCGGGAAGCAGGCAGTGGGGGCCGAGGGACGGCCAGAGAGGCTGTGGATCGGGCAGCGGGCCCCCCACCCCGGAAGGGTTGGCTTAGGGTTGGCGCCACCCAGGACCTGGTGGCAGCAGAGCATTCTGTCCCTGCCCTCCCGCCCCCCCCCCCCCCCCCGCCCCGCCGCCCCGCTTCAGCCTAGAAATAGCTGCTTCACAGCTGCACGTGACACTGTCCGAAATGCCACCGCGGGCGCGTCACTGGGCTTGTCTTCCAGGCAAGTTGGGCGGGGAGTTATAACCAGCTACACCACGTCCGGGACACACGCTTTTGCCAAAACAAGCCAGCCTTTTTCCTGCGCATAGCGGGCCCCCTAGAGGAGGTGGCTTCTGCAGGGAGCCGCCTGGGAGAGGGAGGGCAAGGGGCTGTCCAGTTAGAGAGCCACGCAGTCACTCGGCCGGGACCCTTCAAGTGCCCCGAGGCCCCTGTGCATCACTCTGGCCCCGATCACCTCCCCAGTGAAGTCCGGCTCGTCCCTCCAGGCAAAATGCCCCGTGCCCATGTCCAAGGCTATCCCTGCACAAAGACTATGTCTTTGGGGACTCCCCGTCCTGCTGAGAGAAGGGTCCTGGCGAAGGTGGGTGTGGAACCGTGTGGCTTGGAGCCCATGGAAACCTACACCAGCCCGGCACCAGGGGTTGGGCCCATTCATTTAGCAAAAGGTACCCCTTCTCCCCGTCACCGTGAGACACCATCCAGGCGGTTCTGCCAAGGTGCCGGCCACTCTGTGGGGTGCACCAAAGATGATCCCAACGTACAGAGAATCCCCAAACCTCAGTTGAGACCATTATTTTATGTTTTCCCAACCGTCCTCCAAAAAAGAAAAAAGCTATTCAAAATGCGCCACAGCGGTGTGGGCGGTGTTTCCTCTCCATTGTCCTGCCTGGCAGGCGGCAGAACCAGCAGGCTCCCTGCTCCAGCTCCCAGCCGCCCCGGCCGCCTCACCTTCCCTCCTGGGCCACCCCCGGCCCCTCTGGGGCACGGCGCCTGCAGCTCTCGGCAGGTGGGGCTGATGTGCGGGAAGACATCCAAGGGGGTCACCCCCAACTCCCACAGCAGGTGTGGACCCCTTGCTTCCGCACGCCCAGGCCCGGCGTTTGCTCGGTGGTTGTCACGTGCCGTGGGAGTGTGCTAGGGACGCTGTGGCAACGGTGCCACACACCGGGCAGCTTACACAACAGAAGCGTATTGCCATCCTGGAGGCTTGGGTTCCAGGGTCAAGGTGCTGCAGGGCCGGTTCCTTCTGCGGCCCCGAGGGACAACAGCCTCCCTCCTAGCTTTCCGTGGTTTGCTGATGGCCCTCGTTGCCTTCTGGAAGCGTCGCCCTGATCTCTCCCTCCGTCTTCACGCGGCATGCTTCCTGTGCACGCCTGTCTCCGCGGACCTGCCCTGCTCCGGTGTAACTTCTCTTTAACTAGTTCCACCTGCAAGGCCCCTGTCTCCAAAGAAGGCCCCGTGCTGAGGCCCTAGGCTTAGGACTTCGGTGTGCAAATGGCGTGGAGCGCAGTCCCACCCAGAACGTCAAACAGAAGCAAACCCTTCGGCTGGTGTGTGTGTGCGGAGTGTGTTGATTTCCACGCCTCCTCCGTTTTTATCTTCTCTGTGTCTGTCTGTACTTCTCTAACCAGGATCTTTACAGCCATAATGCCCATGGTAGCGGCTGGACTGATACTAGATGACCCCACGCTGCAGCCTGTCCGACGACTTGTCTCCCTTGTAGGCACTGCGGTTTTCTGGTTTGGTGTTGCGCTCTGCCCGCGGAATGCTCGCTGCGGCCCCTGCTGGGCGGGCCCGTCTGCTCTGGCCGCGTCAGCTGCATGGCCGCCGCCTGTGTGATTCGCTGGCAGCGGGTGTCAAGCGCTGTGGCTGGCGCGTCGCGCGCTGCGCCCGCGCTGCGCCCACGCTGCACGAGTGCGGCTTTGGACGTCTCGGCTCTGTCACCGATAATTCTTTCTGTCTTTTCTGTTTCCATTCTAAATCCACCTTGTCCGTGGTCCAGTAAAGAAGGTCCCTTAAGTGACGGGTCAGTAAGCAACGCCCACTGTGACACCCCCCCCGAGTGACACTAACGCTGTGTCCTCGATCTTTGCGCCCCAGCTTCCTAATCCGCTGTGTTTTGCTGAGCCCCCATCAGCGAGCTGTCTGATCTTGCTTTTTTTAAAAAAGGAAAAGCAAAGGAGGGGACCAGTGTGTTGACTTGGCCTGTGTCCCCTCAGACAGGAAGTGGCAAGTGGCTTAGCTGCTTGAGCGAGGCCGCAGGGAACCGTAACCCCGCCGTCTCGCTGCTGTGTTGTGGGCTGCCGTGGAAGGAGCTCACAAGTAACCAGGACGCAGACCGGGCCTTCACCTGCCGCCACATGTGGCTGTCACAGAGAAGGCAGACCTTCGCTGGGAGGGAGAATTTCTCCAGATGAACCTGGCGTGCCCCAGCGTTAGGGTGCGAGCCCACGTCCCTCCCAGTAGGAGGTGATTGTAGGATCTGGTAACCACAGGCTGGCGAAATCCTTCCTCCCAGATGCGATTAGAACCTGACTCCACAGGCCACACAGCCACGCACGGGGACACACAAATTAATAGGTGGACAGACAGGGGGCGCTAAAAATAGCTGATGTGAAGCTTGAATTTCTCGGTGGCTCATTCCCGTCCCTGCCCCAGGAAACATGACACAGCAGTTATATTACTTACCAAGGTCAGAAACCAAAATTCAGGGGTAGGAGAACTCGGTGAGAATGAAAGGAATCTGATTTGAGGGTGGGCATGTCGCAGGAGAGCCGGCAGCTTAGAACAGGTTTTGGGAACTACTCGAGGTGGGCCAGCTCCGGTTTACTGGCCAGGGCCCGAGTCTCTGTTTAGGTGGAGTTAAAGCAAACCTTGTTCCAGATCAGCCACTTTCTCAGCGCTTGGCCCGCGATGCCTACCTTGATCTTTTAGGCATCAGGTGGTTCGCTCTGATTGATGAATGAGCAGTAGTCACAGCTGTTTTCAGAAGACCTCTTGGCCTACATTCGATTCGCTCTTTCTAATAGAAGCGGTAACTTCTAAAAGCTTTCACTATAAATCACTTTTTTGACGTTCCAAAACGATGTTTCCCAAATTTCTCTCAAATATACTCTAGTCACGGTGTCTACTCAGAGAACCACCTGTCCTACTGATATTTTTTTAATTGTCTCATTTTTCTGCATTACCCACTTTCACTTCCTCCTCAGCAGTAATGCCCGTGGAATCTGGGCTTTGAGGTGCTACTTACCTAGTTCCCTGATTCCTGAAGCGCCTAAGGGCATACGAACGCCTGCCTTTTACAGCAGAATTGCCCTGCCTTCCAGTCGGCTCTCACGCGTCACTTTCTCTGCGTCATCAGGGCAGAGAAAGCCCGTGTGCTCCTAGTAGCATTTTCCTTCCACTTGTGACCAGAAGCCCCTCTAGCGGTTAAGGTAGGAGGGGGTGCACCACACGTCACACATGTGCACGCCCTGTTCACACTGACACCTCCAAGGTGCCGGGACAATGGCACACAGAACCCCTGCTGCTTCCTAGGATAACTCTGAGCCGCGACCCCGACTTTCCCCTTCACACCTTGACTTGTTTGCCCCCTCCCGCCGTTTGCTGCTGTGTGTCCCCGGCATTGCAGAGACCCGAAGTGCACCCCGGGGCGGGCGGCCGCTCATTTCCTTCTTTCCTTCCCAAAGGTTTAGCTTCTTCTCCCGGGATAAGAAGCGCCTGGCCAACACGCAGAGGAACGTGCACATCCAGGAGTCCTTTGGCCAGTGGGCCAACTGCCACCGTGACGACGGTTACACGGAGCAAGGCCAGGAAGCCCTGCAGCACCTGTGACCGCGGCCCGCCTCTGCCGCAGGCCCGAAGTGGCCGCCGCCGGTGTCACCGCCTTGCACACCTCTCGGTCCGGGTGCACCCTCAGAACCGACCCGTCAAAAGAACTGCTTTGAGGAAGCACATTGAAAAACGGGTGCCAAACTCTACAGAAGTGTTTATTTATCCCCAGGGCTGTCACCGTTTATAAGATGACTCTGATCCCTTAGGACATGTATTTAATAAGACTGTGAGTGGAGGCCAGACTTTTGCATTAACTTCAGCAACACAAGCTTCGTTAAGCCAAATACGCCACTTGCCACTGTGTAACTGCTGCGGCTGCTTGGTGTGCAGTTCTGCGGTCAGAGGTTTTATCATCACATTGGTCATTCTTAAGTGGGAGCGGTGGGTTTCATGAGTCACTTGTCATGGTGATTGCATACGTATGCGATGGACCCGGTAGACACGCCGGGCCTCTGGAGGCACGGGACGAAGACACACGGCAGCAGAAAGCATGGCAGCGTTCCTCCCTCCCAGCAACTGGAGACAAGTTTGCGAGAGCCGATGTTCCTCTCTGGCCCCTTGTTACTGATGGTGCCTGGGCACGCGGCGCTGTTCAGGGCCGGTGCCTTGCGGGTTATACGCAGTACTAACCAGTTGCTGAGGATGGGATTGCAACATTTCTCATGTGGATTTTTTTTACTTGGCATCTTTTCTCCAAGCCTTCACTATGTCAACTACGTAGTCCCCTGCGAAGAAGACAAATGTCCCAAAGCGGACTGGGAACAGGGTGCTAGAGCGTCGGGGGCGGAGGATGGTGAGGGGGCAGATGTGCCAGAGAGAGAGTCTGGGGGAGAGGGAGGCTCGTGAGTGGGGGAGCCAGACACCCTGTCTGCAGCCGGTGACTCTGGGGGTTGCCTGAATGACGTCCTTTCTCTCCACCCACTGAGCAGGCGGGGCAGCAGGCTGGGTGCTCACCGATTGAGAGGCGGCATCTCCTAACGGGACTCGCACACGTGATGGGGCCACCTTTCTGCACACTCGACTCTGATTCGCTAAGAAACCAACCATCGGGTCAGTTCACCGGCTCCAGGCTGCCCCCCGATTGCTGAACGGAGCAGTCGGACAGGATGATGTCGCTGCAGAGCGCGGCTCTCCGAGCTGGCCGCCCGCCAGTTCCGGGTTTACTCTGAGTGAGAGGCGTGTGTGCCGAGGAATCCCCCGCCCAGCCCCCCGCCACCCTCTGTTGCCCCCCCCAGCGGTGACCAGTGTGGCCAGTTTCTTGGTTGTCTTTTCTGAAATAGTTTATAAATATGCATGCAATTATGTAAAAACAAAACATATATTTTCGTTCTTTCACATAAATGGCAGCGTACTACCTACCCGCTGTTCTGGGCCTTTTTTCGTAGCACGCCCTGGGCATGACTGCCTATCGGGGCACAGGCAGCGGGCCTCCGCCAGGGGCGATTCTGCTCCCTCCCGCCCCGGGGACATCTAGGTTGTCACACTGGTGGTGGGGGAGGTGCTGCTGTCATCCGGCGGGTGGGCTCCAGGGCTGCAGCCGCGTCCCCCCCCCCGCTCAGGACAGGCCCCATGTGAAGAATCGTCCAGCCCCAAGCGTGAGCAGCGCCGAGGTCGCAGCGCCCTGGTCCCACTGATGGACACAGCTTCCTGCCCACCCCCTCCTAAGACAGCGCTGCACACTTCTGCACGCGTGCCTCGCTCTGCAGAGCGGCTGGCTCCAAGCGCGCATGCCTTTGTCACGTTGATGGCTACAAAGTCCCTGCCATGGGGGTCTGCCCTTTTTAAGTTAGTGTGGTTCACACAGGCCTCAGCCCGAACGTCCAGGGCTGGGGTCTGAGGGTGTGTGTGTTTCAGTCCAGCAGCCCCCAGCCTTTTTGCTCCTTCATTTCACTCGCACTCTTCAGCTTTCTCTTTTCAGGGGGCGGGAGGACCGCCGCAGGCCATGGGCCCATCACGCTGCAACATGGGTGTTCCGTTCTAAATGCCAGGCTCCCATCCAGAAAAAAAAGCAGAAAGGCAGCGTGTGGCTCAGGAACGGACGCCCCGGCCGGTGAGGCTCAGGGGACTGAGCACCAGCCTGCGAACCAAAGGGTCGCCAGCTGGACTCCCAGGCGGGGCACAGGCCTGGGTTGTGGGCCAGGCCTCCAGTAGGGGGCACACAAGAGGCAACCACACATGGATGTTTCTCTCCCTTTCTCCCTCCCTTCCCCTCTCTAAAAATAAATTAATTAATTAAAAAAAAAAAAAAAAAGACTGGCGTGACACTCGCTCAGGAGCAGCTGATCGCTGGCCTGGGCCGCTGCTCAGACTGGCTTGGTATCCAGTCTCTGGACGTTCGCCTTGGACGCATTTTCTACCCCGTTCTTACTTCGGTCCAGCAACCCTTTGCACTATGGACGTAAAGGTGGAAAAGGTACAAGTAGTTCTGACCAGATTTGGGTTCCCAGGAGTCACATGAATACAAATGACTTTTCATCATCCCTTCTTTTTGCCAAGCCCTCAAAACGGTCATTTTCCAAGAGATGGGAGAAAATCAAATTCTCAGGACAAATGCCCTACTGCCGAGCGAAAGCCCCGTGGCTCCTTGCACACGCCCTTCTGTAGGGAGGCCGGTGAGTACAGAACTGTTTCTCGAGCTTATGAAATGTGTCCTCAGATCTCTAGAGGGAGAAGAGAAATTTGTAACGTCGGTGTGTTCAGCTTGACCCTGGGTTTTGGATGGGAAAGGAAACCCGCCCGAACCACATTATCATCAGCGCACTGTATTCGGCATTGGGCTTACCTTCTGTGTAAAAGCCACGCACACCCCCCGCCCTTTGGGCTCTGTGGGTGGTGGTGCCGAGCCCCTACTTACTTCTGTCCCTCTTCTCCCTCCCCTTGGCCCTGTCCTCTCTGAAGTCCCTCCCTCTCTCCCAGTCACCTTCGGGCCATGCCCGGGCTGGCTCTCTTTCCTGCCGCCTCTTCTCCCGGCCCCGGTCATGGTCGCGGTCCCTTGTCCTCGACTCCCAGTGCCTTTCCCGGGACCTGGACCGCTCCCTCTTTTCCCGTTTCCCCTCTCTGTACTGGTCGTTCTTAATAACTGGCAAGTTAATGGGTTTGCGGAAAGGCCTATCCCGCCCCCCGAATCTCAGTTGCCCAGATTCCTTTTTCCCCCCCAGACCCCCTCCGAGGCGCCGAGGGATCCACCCTTTGAGAGTCCTTTCCAGTTCGTAGTCCACAAATATCTCGTGCTGGTCGATGACCAGGCCGTCGGCGTCCCGGTAAGCTTTGAGCAGGGACCGCTCCTCTTTGTACTCGATGAAGGCGTAGCCCTTGGAAAAGCCGGTCACCAAGTCCCTCACCAGCCGAAGCCGCCGGATGTCCCCATAGCGGGAGAATACTTCCTTTAACTTCTCCTCTTTGGTCTGCAGGTTGAGCCTTGCCACGAACAGGGTGAGGAGGGGGTCTCCCGTGACGCCTTTGTTGGGGGCGTACCGTGCCAACATTGCCCTCCAGACCGCGCGGTCGTGGGGGTCTTCATCTGTGCCATCAATACTGCCAGCTTTAAGGGGGTCGTACTCCTTGGCGATGGGCACCCAATCGTTCATGCTCTAGGAGAGACCACAGCAAGCATTTATGTAGCGCAGACTGAGCTCTTCATCCGACCCTTACAACAACCCCATGAAGCAGATACCGCCATTCACCCCTTCTGCACGGAAGGCGGCGCATTCCCAGAGGCTGACACCCAGCAAGAAAGTGGGGGGAGCCCTGGCTAGTGGGGCTCAGTGGACTGAGTGCCGGCCTGCGAACCTAAGGGTGTCAGGTTGGATTCCCAGTCAGGGCACAGGCCTGGGTTGTGGGCCAGGTCCCCAGTAGGGGGCGCACAAGAGGCAACCACACATAAATGTTTCTCTCCCTCCTTCCCTTCCCCTCTCTCTAAAAATAAAATAAAAAAAAAAAAATACAATCTTTAAAAAAAAGAAAGTGGGGGAGACAGTATCAGCACCAGGCGATGGGGCTCCAAGATACTCTTACCCACACTCGCCACCTCCCCCCAGGAGGAAGCAGAGGGGAGCCATGCCTGAGTCTGATGCATGCGTGTGCCACCCAGCTTACCACCACACGGCACTTACTAATGACACTATAATGTGGAGGCAGGGATAAAAATCCATGCTCACCTTTTAGAGACTTCTTTAAAAAGATTTGATTTATTTGTCTTTAAAGAGGGGAGAAGGAAAGGAGAAAGAGAGGGAGAGAAACATCGATGTGTGAGAGAACCACAGAGTGGTCGACCTGGCCTGCAACCCTGGCATGTGCCCTCGCTGGGAATCAAACCAGCGACCTTTCAGTTCGCAACCCAGCGCCCAATCCACTGAGCCACACCAGCCAGGGCTCACCTTTTGGAGACTAAAATGGTCATGGGAAAGCCAGCCTGGAAACTGCTATGGAAATGTCATTTTTAAAAACTCCACTACCAAGAATTTCAAACACATCTACGTAGAACATGGCATAACCTCCCGTGAGTTCCTCACGCGGCTTCAGCTATGACTAACACGTGGCCGGTCTGGTCTCATCTGCACTTCCACTCCCGTCCCCACGCCTGGAGGATTCTGAAACAAATTCTAGGTATCACATCGCTTCTGTGTAAACGTTTCAGCAGGCGTCACTGAAAGATACGGGCTTTTTCAAAAGCAACACTACAGGGAAAAGCGGTGCTTGCAATGCAGCATTTTCCATCTGTCGGTAAACAGGTGGCAACGCTGAAACGACAGTCACCCAGCAGCCGGCGCTCTGGTTCAAAGGCACATGTGATTTCTTCCCAGTTCCCCCACTGATCACCCGTTTACGCGCGGAGCCTGAGGGCTGGTTGCAACGGTCCCCTTAGTCCGGCAGGCGCACTGCGACTGGCGATCCCTCCAGTACGTGGTCATGGCTTTTGAAAGAGGGCAGGTGAACTCAAGCCTGACACGCGGTAACTGATTCAAGGGAACCTGCTGGAATACCATAGTGCTTGCCCACATTTCAGACACTGCTCATTACCACGTGCCCACCTGTCACTCTTTAGTGCCCACGCTGAAATATGTTACTTAAAATCCAGAGATCTTTGTTCTCAGCGTCTTCCCATGACGCTGGTTAAAATGATCCCTGCAACTTTCCCCTCTTCCTCAAATTTCCCTCCAGGATCTTTTTGCTTCTGTCCTTCAGTGTGTGGATCCTGTAGGAGGCGTGACTGTGTGGGGGACACTGCAGAATCCTCCCTCCCAGTGAAAAGCCAAGCGCTGCGGAATACAGTCCGAGGTCAGCGGGCTCGGCCCTCGGGCCCTCACTTGGCCCCTCCCCGCGCTCCACCGCAAGGCCCATCCCACCCAGGACTGCGCCTCCCGCCTGCATGTGCCCCACCCCCGCTGTGACTGCCCGGCAACGTCCTCTGCGGGCAACATCCTCTCCCTTCCGCCTCCCGCGGCCCCGCCGGGGAAATTCCGCCGGCCTTTCCGAGTCCAGCCTGCAGCCTCCTCCCCGTGAGGCCCGCTGTCCCCTCTGTCGCGCTCACCCCTTTCTACCGCCACGCACAGTCCCCACTCTTCCTCCGGGGGGCGGCCTCGCGTCCTCTCCAGGCCCCAGGCCCCCGGCCCCTCCGGATACCCGCTGGGGGGCTGGGCCAGACGCAGCCCTAACTCACTCAATGCCTTTTGGGCCAAATCAGACGAAAAGGAGCCTTTCAGAGAGCACTGAGAGGCAGGACGTGACCCTGGCACCATTTTGTAAAAGGAGGACAGGACTGTCTGTCATCACTAACAAGCAACATAGGAGAAGACACCTCTGGCATCTGCATCCGTAAAAGGCTGATAAACAGCTGGAGCAACGAAGGAGCACCGGACACAGAGACAATTTTGGTCTGGGGCTGGGCTCCGCCTCTGGGCACTTTGTGTCTTTCCCCTGGGGGCCAGAATATCTCTAAGTGGGGGGGGGGGGAGATACCACCACGCTGTTGGAATCTCTACTCTAGTATTCTCTACATCGATTCCATTCTGCTGGCCCTAACATTCTTATAGTCTAAACTCCATCACAGGGTTGCAGGGGAAAAAAAAAACCCAAAACAAAGACCATTATAACTACAGTTAACTTGTGCTGAACGCTTAGGCAGTGCCAGGCACTGTGCTAAGCACTTAATTCCCCTCATTTCTAAGGATACCAGGAAATAGACACTGCTATTGCTGCCATCTCAGCTGTAGAAGGTGAATACAAAAAGCTGTCTTCTACACCAAATCACAAACCCAAGAAGTAGCCCAGCCAGGGAGGTTTTCCGACGCCAGAGCTTGAGAGTCCTTAGCTATTTCCTTAGACGGCCGTCATAACACATAACCCTTCGGAGGTGGGGATAGGAAAAAAACGATGAAGATTGTGGGCGTTTGAGGCTGAGACCCTTTCCCCGTTCTACACAAAAAGTCACAAAGATCCATCAAATAAAAACGATATTGTTGTACTCAGAGCTCTGGCTCAAAGCTTATGTTCTTCAAATTAATATCTGGATAATTACAAAGGGATAAGCATGGATTTTGTTTTCTCCCTCACCTGCACGTGCTTCTCTCAACACCAAATACCAAGAGAACAGTGTTAGTCTTTCTGGGTGTATTTCCTGCATCGCAGCATTATGTTGGCATTTCCTACAGCAACCTCTTTGGAGCTTTATGCCCTCATCATTACTTTATAAATGGGGACAGGATGTGAGAGATGAAAGGTACGTGGGGTGGAGGAGGGTAGGGAGGTACCATTACAGATAAAAGCGTGGAAAGTAAAAAAGAGCATTAGATTGGGAATCGGAACACCCAGATTTAAGGCCTCATGTTGGGCAAATGTAAATCACCTGTAAAATGCAGCTAAATGCCCCTTCTCTAGGTTTTTGTGAAGATTGGATAAGTATCTCTGAAAGTGCTTTTTAATTATAAATTATTATACAAATAAAAGTTTTTAAGCAAACAGCCCTGGTTGGTGTAGCTCAATGGATTGAAGCCTGGCTTGGGTCGCGGGTTACATTCCCAGTCGGGCACATGCTTGAGATGCGGGCCAGGTCCCCAGTAGGGGGCGCGCGAGAAGGAAAACCACGCACTGACGTTTCTCTCTTCCTCTCCCTCTGTCTAAAAATAAATGACTAAAATTTTTAAATCTGATTTTTAAGAAGTTATTATTAAGCAAACAAAGCACGTCTCTACTGAGCCTGCAAAACGATACGTTCCCGCGCTTCCCACCCAAGCGGGAAACAAAACTGAAGGCGGGACCCACAGAGCCCCGCCGGGCATGCGCAGTGACGCCGTGGACGCTAAGGCGGAAGTCTTCGTAGAAAGGCCTGTACCCCGCAAACCCTGAAGCGCCTCCGCCGTGGCCGCCAACCCCTCACCTTCTGGGTGGGCGCTGTGCGGCAAGGGCCATCTTTCCAAGCCACCTATCGCCCCAACTTCCCGAACAACGACACCGAAAGGTCTCCGCGCTTTGCCAGGTTTCAACATGGCGGCTTACACGCGAACGGACACACCGTCCAGTCTGAAATACCTAAGTCCTCCCCGCCGGGTGGGCCCCGCTCCCTCCAAGCCGCTCCCACGCACCTCAGCTAAGCTCGCGCTTCCTTTCCCACAGAAACGGGGGCCAGGCTTCAAACGATGGAAGATTCTTGGTGCCTCTCTGACCGGACCTTTACATTGGGAGGAGCAGATTCGTCATCAGTGCTGTTTCCGCTTCTGCTTTTGATTGAAGAAATTTAATCTCCTGTGTTGAGCATCGAAGGCTTTATTACTTCCGAGGAGAATAAAATTTCACGTTTTTTTTCCACGAAGGCGAGACTCGCTACCACCGTTGAGTTGAAAGACTATCGAATGTGCAGTTAGGCGTCAGGGAGCCGCTGATTTCCTCTGCGTCGCGCAGGGTTGTGTCTGCGCCGTGGGAGGTTGTTTTCGGACTCCCTGCGGCCGTTATTTATGGTTTCTCTAAAACGCGGTTTCTTCAGAGAATTCGTATGCCGGTTCACATGAAATTCGGTACGTTTTCCCAGAGTGTCCGTGACCCCCACATTTAATAAGCTCGCTTTCACACAAGCCAAATAGTTTTGAAAAGCTCGGGGACTCTAGGGTCACGTGGGAATTTGTTACAGTTTGGTTTCCCGGCCCCCCCGGGGTCTGAGACCTCAGAATCTCTGGGCAATTTTATTTTTTTCCCCCAAGTCCCAGGTGATTCTAGAAGCTACTGAAGGACCTCTGCGCATTCACGGGAGGGACAGGAAAGAACCGCGTGGTCAGTAAATATTTGCAGAACGGGGAGATGGGTGCATTTTGATTTTGTTTCTTTTTTGCTAGGGGAAGATATTCGGGTAGATTTGAGCTTGATTGTGTCGCACCCTTTCTTAACTTTGATGGTGACGTCTCGTTTCTAAGCCACTCATTTTCTGATTAATCCTTGCAAGTGGGTAGGTTGTACAAACACCTGGTCTGATTTACGTTCTAACCTTATTCTTGGAAGGTAGGCTTATCTCTAATTAGTAAGGATGTATGACGCCTACGTCGTCCTCGGTCAATCTCTGTTACGTACATGAGACGTGAGCTCTAAGTATCTAGAGCTTGCTTTAAGTATATTTTCTTGAAATAGCTTAATGAAAATGTATTCTTGAATAAAAAATAAGCAATAGCTATAGTTTAAATTTTTGTGTTTAAAAATGTATGTGTTCTATACGGGGTCCAGCACAAATAACGCCCCTTTTATTACAAAATCAGAAGCATATAATTCTCTGACATAACAGTATCACACTCAAGCACACCATATGACACTTTAAGTGAAATGTTCGAATTAAAACTATAAATTATCACACCCATGTTATTACCCTACCAACCGCACTCAAGCAGGCGTTACTTCTGCCAGACCCTGTATGTGTGCACCCCAGGAGAATGAGCACAACCTGTCACCTAGATTTCGGTTTCTAATGTCATTCTCCATTGTCATTCTCCATAAAAGTATGGAGAATGTATGTAAAAAGTATGTAAAGTAAAGTACTTTACATAAAAGTAACCAGTGCTCCTCGGAGAAATGGCTGATTCTAAGACTGGGGCCAAGAAAGTCCCAAGACAAACTCGGAGCAAACTCTAGTGCTGGAAGTTAAAGAAGTGCTAAAAACAGACGCAGCAACGTCGGTGGTGTCCGGGGCACACAGAACTAAGGGAAGGCTCCCCGCGACCAAAGCAAAACCATTTGAGCACCAACGTAGCGTTAGATTATAACCCAAGTTATAAAGTAAACTGGGTAGAAGAGCCAGATCTCCCAGGCAGAATTCCAAGTCATCCATGTAGCTGACTGCTCTGCCAAGACGATGGAGTGTAACCCTCCACCGCTTTCGCGCGGGTGGGCACAGCGATGTCCTTGCAAAGAATACTGTGTGGAAAAGGGGGGAGAGAGGCAGGGCTTTACGGAAAGCTGACAAACGCGGCCTCAGCCAGGTGATCGCGTCAGCGCCAGCTTGTCAGTCATGTTAACAGTATGCGCCTCTGGGATGACATGATGCAGCGGCGCTTCACCTCTGTAGACTTCCTCCCCAGAACCCAAAGCCCCAATCTAATCATGGCAAAAGCATCAGATCAATGCCAAGGAACGTTCTACAAAATACCTGACCGGCACTCCTCAAAACTGTCGTCATGAGAAACAAGGTCCGCCCGAAACTCACAGCGAAGAGGAACCTGCACTGTTAATGTCCTGTGTGGCGGCCTCTGGCCACGGCTGGCCTTATAAATTTCAACCTAATTAAAGTTTTAGGCCTTGGCGGGTGGCTCCGTTGGTTGGAGCGCCCTCCCGTACATCAAAAGCGGGGTTCAGTCTCTGTAAGGCTCATAACGAGGTTGTGGGTTTGATCCCAGGTTGGGGTATGTACAGGAGGCAACTGATAGATATTTTTCTACCTCTCTCTCAAAACAAGCATATCCTTGGGTTAGGATTTTTAAAACAGTTTTTTAAACATTTTTTAAAACCTGGCTGGTGGGACTCAGTGGATTGAGCGCAGGCCTGTGAACCAAAGGGCTGCTGGTTCGATTCCCAGGCAGGGCACCTGCCGGCATTGCAAGCCAGTCCCCAGCAGGGGGCGCCTGAGAGGCAACTGCACAGGAATGCTTCTCTCCCTCTCCCACTCCCTCCCCCTCTCTAAAAATAAATAAATAAAATCTTAAACTCAGTTGTGTCGGCCACATTTCAAGTATTCAGTAGCCGCATGTGGTAGCCAGCAGGTACCATTCTCGACTTCTTTCACTCAACATAATGCCCTCGACATTCATCTAGGTTGTAGCCTGTGTCAGAATCTCTTTTTTACAGCCGCATGATATCCCATTGTATGGATGTATCAGGTTCTTTAATCCATTCCGTTGATGGACATTTGGATTGCTTCCACTCGTTGGCTGTTGTGAACAGTGAACAAAGATCTTTTGCAGATTCTGCTTTCAGTTCTTTAGGTTATATACCCAGAAGTTGTTTTGTTTTTAATTTCTTGGGATACTGTCAAACCACTTTCCATAGCAGCTGCCCCATTTCTATTCCCACCAGCCGTGCACGGGGGTTCCAAGTTTTCCCCATACGTCCTCACCAACACTTGTCATTTTCTGATTTTTCTGTAAATAATAGTCATCCTAATGGGGGCAAGGTGACATCTCTGTGTGACTCTGATTTGCATTCCTCTGATTAATGATGAGCATCTTTTCATGTTTGTGGGCCTCTTAAATGGTCATCTGGAAGACATCACTATGACTGCCACGTCTATATAATCAAAAGTGAATTATGTACACAGTTAAATATATAACAGCCCTGGCTGATGTGGCTCAGTGGGTTGAGTGCTGGCCTGCGAACTGGAAGGTCACTGGTTCGATTCCCAGTCAGGGCACGTCTGGGTTGCAGGCCAGGTCCCCAGTAGAGGGCGCACAAGAGGCAACCACACATTGAAGTTTCTGCCCCTTCCTCCCTCCCCCTCTCTCTAAAAATAAATAAAATCTTTTTAAAAGTTAAATATATAACACTTTATAAACCACGCAGGAGATCTGGAGGGCAACACGGCCTACTCTACTCAAGATTTCGCCAGAAGTTTCACACCTGTACAACCTTAAAGCGACCGCTCAGCGCTGGGCTGTGGGTGACGCTCCCCTCGTTCTCTCCACAGCTCCCCGAGGAGTATATTGCTGCACCCCGAGCCGTGTGCCAGCTGCCAGGGAGGGGATCGGGGAGGGCTGGAGTCCCTTCACCGCCGTAGCCTTCTCCCCACTCCGTACCGTGAACAAACAGTTCACCTGAGGTTTTTTGGTTTTGTTTTTAAGTGGCTCCTACGCAAACACAAACTCAAAAAAAGCACCCTCGGCTCCACCCTTCCTGCAGCCGGATTCTTTTTCTAAACACCTTTAACTCCAAGAGATGAAGTCACTGGCCGAGGGTTAGCATGCATTTAACCCAGACTGGGAAAATCTCCAAAATCTTTGTTGTTTCCACGCAGGAACTCAGGGCAACAAGGCCAGAAAGCCGTTGAGAGAATGGGAGGAAAGCCACGCCACATGCGCCGCTCAGGAAACGAGCGCCGCCACCGGGCGCAGGGTCCTAGGCTCGCTCGGCCTCCTGGACCAGGATAGGACCCCCAGGTACCTGCTGACGGAACTTTTCTGTTAGTGGCCTCACGTAGCCCCCAAACACTTGTATGGTGCTATTTTTACTAAGTGTGACCCACCGACTTCTTGTTTCCCAGTTCACTTTTTCCTTTGTCTAACCCTGAGTAAGGCGTCACCTGACTTTGGGCTCTCTTGTACAGTCACTGTGGCGTCTACTGGGGGGAAAAAAAAGTGCGACTGCCTACTGCTGCTTGCCTGCCTTAAATCTCAGGGGACGAGTGTTTTCTGAATTATTTTTTCTTTTTCTTTTTTAATTTATTTTCATTGTACTTTTTCCATCACCATTTCCCCCTTACACCCTCTTCCACCTCCACCCACCTCCCTCCCCCGAAATTATTTTTAAAACTTCATACAATGACGTATCATTGGGACTTTTTAAAAAGCTTTTTGTAGACATTCTATGTGTGTTACTGATCCAACTTTCTGTATCTTGTTCCCATATAATGCTAAGAACTTGGGAAATTTCTTATATTTCTTATTTTAATGGTAAAAGGATTTTATCATAACAGCCGCCATCTACTGAGCACTTGTTAGGTGTCAGGCACTGTTGTGAAGCACTTCACAGCGGTTTTAGGCAGTCTCTTCTGCCCTCATCCCCTTTCCACAGCTGGGAAACAGAACTTGGAGTAGCCTAATCTCCTTGCCTATTGTTAACGCAGCAGCTCGCAGGTGGCTGAGCCAGTCAAGATCAGAGCCCCGGGGTCTGGTCTAGAACCTGCCCTTTGGAACACAATGCTGTCCCGGGTTGCTTCGCGCACTTGAGTGTGTGTCAGAATTACCTAGAGGGCTTGTTAAAGCAGATTGCTGGGGCCTACCCCCAGTTTCTGATTCAGTGGGTCTTGGATTTGCATTTCTGAAAAGTTTCCAGGTGGCTGGCTGGCGGGGCTGCGTGGGTCAAAGCTTAGTCCTGTGAACCGAAATGCGGACTGGATTCCCTGCAGGGCACAGGCCTGGGCTGTGTGTTCAGTGCCCCGGTTGGGGCTCTGCAAGAGGCCGCTGGCCAGTGTTTCTCTCTCACAGGGACGTTTCTCGCCCCCTCTCCCTCGCTCCCTCTGCCTGAAGTCAATACGCATGTCCTCAGGTGAGGATTTATAAAAAAACACACACTTTTTACCTGTGTGGACACTCATCTGACCTCCACTGAAATCAAGATGGGGCACGTTTTCGGCTCTCCTGGGAGCCCCCTTAAAATGTTGGTCAAGCGTCCAGAGCACCACCCTGGCCCTTAGCCAGGAGTCAGTGCACGGGTCCGTGGGTCGGGCCCCCGCGCGCCGGGCAGCCCATCTCCCGGCCGCTCCCCGTCGTGCAGGTCCCGGACTCGGTACCGTAAAACAGCCACTCCCTGCCCTTCGCCCCCGCCGCCGGCAGCCATCCTGCTTCCTGTTTTTGAGTCTGTACTTCATAAAAGTAAAACCATACGGTATTTACCTTTTTGTCACAGTTTTATTTCGGTCAGCATACTGTTTTCAAGGTTCGTTCATTACAGCCTGTGTCATAATTTCCATCCTTTTGAAGGCTGACTGATGCCACGTTTTGCAGTATGTCCTCGTCACGCTTTGTCTAGCTGTGCATCCGCGGATGCCTTTGGGCCACTTCTGCCTTTTGGCGGGTGTGAAACGCACCGCTGTGGACGCAGCTGTGCCAGCTCCTCTTGGAGCCCCGGCTTTCAGTCCTTCTGGGTGCGCGCTCAGGTGGGAGCGCCGGTCCCGGGGGAGCTGTGTTTCTCAAGGGGCTGCCTTCCTGCCTCGGAAGTGGCTGCATTTTCCATTCCCACCAGCAGTGCACGCGAGTTCCAACTTTCCCGCAGCCTCGCCAGCACGTTTGTTTGTTTGTTTGTTTGTTAATAGTGACCATCCTAATGGGTATGAGGAGATATCTCACTGCGGTTTCATCTTGCATTTCCCTGATGATTCGTGATAGTGAGCATCTTTTCCTATGCTTATTGGCCACTTGTGTATCTTCTTTGAAGGAATGTCTGTTTAAGTTCTTTGCCATTATTTTTTATTTTTTATAATAGACTGTTGAAATATAATTGACATACCAAATAATTCACCCACTTAAACTGTATAATTCAAAGATTTTTTTTTTTTTTTGGTGGGGAGGAGGGTGGGTGGAGATGGAAGAGGGGAAAAAGGGGAAAAATGGTCATGGAAAAATACAATAAAAATAAATTTAAAAATAAGTTTTGCATATTTACAGAGTTATCACTACAGTCAATTTTAGAACATGTTTATCACCCCGAAAAGAAGCCCCACACCCTTTGGCTGTCTCACCCCAGGCCCTGCCACCCCTCTGTCTTCCAGCCTTGGGCTACGGCCCACGCTACCTCCTGTCTCTCTGGATTTGCCTGTTCTGGACGTTTCATAGACGTGGAACCACAAAATGTGAGGTCCTTGTGACTGGCCTCTTTGACTCAGCCTCACTTCCCAGCGAGGGTGGTGACACACCACTCGTGACACGCGTGTGAAATGTTGTCTAATGAGCGGGAAGCTCATTAGCGCCTCTGTGCCGAAGGAGTTTATGGGGGCTGGCCCTGCAGGCGGCGCCTGCCCCGCACGCACCCAAACCCCAGACTCCCAGGAGCAGGAGAGCCGGGCCCCTGCGAACCGCAGTGTTTGCGCAGACAGCTAAGGCACAGCGAGCTACTCGCAGCAGCTGGGGTGGTGGGAGCCATCCCCAGGTCAGGCTCCCAGAGCCTAGCCAAGGGCCAGCCCTGCAGGTTGATTTTCAAATGGCAGCGTTCTCGGGCCTATTGTGCTGTTCTCTGCATGGGTTTTGATAGAAATTGTACGGATTCTGTGGGTCAGTTGGAGATGTGATAGGGAAAGTCGCCATCTTAACAATGTTAAGTGTTACAGTTGACACACAGGATGTCTTTCCATTTATTGAGGCCTTTCATTCCTCTCAATGATGTTTTGCAATTTCCAGTGTATTGCAAAAAAAAATTTCCAATGCAGAAGTCTTGTACTACTTTTGTTAAATTTATTTCTTAGTGTTTTATTTTTTTTATGCCACCGTAAGTGAAATATTCTTAATTTCATTTTCATATTATTTCTTGCAAGTGTATAGAAATGCAATTAAGTTTTGTAGATTGATCTTGTATTCTGCAACCTTGACCTCATTTATTATTTCTAATAGTTGTGTGTGTGTGTGTGTGTGGATTCTTTAGCCTGCTAATATGGTGGAATACATAGACTGGTATTTTTTGAACTCGCCTTGCATCCTGGAATAAACCCCTCTTGGTCATGGTATATAACACTTTTTATGTTGTACCAAATTCTGTTTGCTAATAGTATATTGCTAAGGATTTTGCATTGATGTGAACTTTGCCTCTTATTTGGGTTTGTTGTTGTTAATGCATCATAGGAGTTCTTTGTTCTAGATATTAACCTCTTGTTGATATGATTTGCAAATATTTTCCCTGATTCTGTAGGTTGCCTTTTCACTCTGTCGAGCGTATTCTTTAATGGACAAGTTTTAAATGTGCAGTATTTTCATTTTGTTACTTGTGCTTCTGAAGAAATCCAATGACATAAAGTTGTCCCCCTACGTCTTCTTCTGAGAGTTTTCTTGGTTTAGTTTTTTGATCCATTTTTAGTTCATGTTTGTGTGTGGCATAAGGTATAGATCCAGCTCCATACTCTGACATGTGGGTATCCAGTTTTTCCAAGCCCCATTTGTTGAAAAAGCTGTCTCGTCCCCAGTGAATGGCTTTGGAGCCCTTGTTGAAAACCATCTGACCATGTGGCTTTCAACTGGATTCAGGTGAACACAACAGTTACAAATACGCACATATACAAAGTATGTATGTGTACAGTTTCTTTCTTATTCGCTCTTCTATTTTTGCTGAGCATTTGAGCAGGTATGTTAGTTGCAGGATCAATGAAAGGTCTTTTCTGCCTTTTCTTCAATGCCTTCTTTTTAAAGATTTTATTTATTATTTTTTTTAGAGAGGGGGAGGGAGGAAGAAAGAGAGGGAAACATCAACTGGTTGCCTCTTGCATACCCCCAACTGGGGACCTGGCGGGCAAGTCAGGCATGTGCCCTGACCAGGAATCGAACCAGCGACCTTTCCGTTTGTAGGCTGCTGCTTAGTCCACTTCTCCATTGCCTTTATGGCTGAGTAATGTTCCATTGTTCGGCTATACCACTCCTATTGATGCCTATTATTCTATCCAGGCATTTAATCAGCGGGTGTTGCAACATCGGATTTATAGGTCACTGAGCCCTGCCCAGGGGCCTCCTTGTGATCATAGAACATCGTACCCTCCGGAAGTGGTGTTTGTTTTGTTGGTTGCTTTGTTCCTTATTTTGTCCTTGCCCACTCTGCATGGCGATTCCAGAACTTCCGTGTGGCGAAAATCGTGTACATCTACCACAAAGAAAGCTGGCCGCGCGTTCCCGGCAAGGGCAAGCGCCTTCGCGGGGTTTCCCCTGCGGCAGCCCTCCCACCAGCCGCAGCGATTCTCCGTGGCGTTGGCATTAATCCACACGGCAATGCCCTGTGTCCTTGTACGGTGCTTTCTGGTGTCCACAGGACACTGAGTTTTGTCTGGTTTATTACCCCCCCCCACACACACACCCATATGCCAAGCTTCTGGCACACGAGCTTAATGTTTTTTGTTTTTTAAAGAAAGAAGAATGCTAGCTTCATTTGTGAGCGCTTCCTAAAGCGCGGGTTTTGCTGTATCACCCGCGATCTCATCGTCTCACCCGATGGATTCCCCGCAGCACCCCTCCCCCGTGGGGGTACCGTTGCTTAGAGAGGAGGAAACTGAGGCTCGGAGAATTCAGTAACCAGGCCAAGGCCACGACGCGGGTCGAGGGGAGGAGCCCAGGCCTCAGCAAGCGCACGGCGCAGGGAGTCCCCGCGGTGTGGAGGGTCAGAGGTCTCAAGTCCTGGCGACAGTTGGCCTGGGAGCTTCTCGCATACGCAGTCCCCGTTTTCTCTTTCGTCGCCGACTTTCGAAAATACCCGCAGAGACCCAGCCCTTCCCCCAGGTGCAGTGCGAATTCTAAGACCCGGACGCTTGCGTGTGGAAGGAAAACCTGAGTGCTTTCTGCCCTCCTTCCCGGCCTCCTGTGGGAAAGTCCGCCCCCGTCGTCATGGGAACCCAGCGTGGGTCGCGGCCGTCTCCAGGGGCGGGGCTCCGAGCCGCAGCTCTGCCCCGCGTGTGCAAAGGCTCCCAGGAGGGGAGACGGCGCTGTCACCCCGTGACCTCTCCGTTCCTCTTCTCGGCTGCCCGGCCTTTCCGTTGTCTTTTGGTGCCCCAGCCACATTCTGGAGACGCTCCCCTGCACGGGCTCAGCACTCCGGGCGCTGGGTTCCCCTTTCCCGGGGCTCTCCCCTCAGCCGCTCTGATTGGCCGCCCCGGGGCCACCCCCGCCGACAGGCAGGGTCCTCCCCCCGCCCCGCGGAAAGTTTCCTGTGTCCGGAAGAAGTTGGAGGTTTGGAGACTACGAGGCTGCGGGGCTCTGCGCGGCCATGGAGGAGGCCCCTCTGCGAGAGGAGGAAGAGGAGGAAGAGGAAGAGGAGGGGGACGAGGCTGGGCCAGAGGGGGCTCTGGGCAAGAGCCCCTTCCAGCTGACCGCCGAGGACGTGTACGACATCTCCTACGTGGTGGGCCGCGAGCTGATGGCGCTGGGCAGTGATCCTCGGGTCACACAGCTGCAGTTCAAAATCGTCCGTGTCCTGGAGATGCTGGAGACGCTGGTGAACGAGGGCAGCCTCACGGCGGAGGCGCTGAGAATGGAGCGGGACAGCCTCCGGAAGGAGGTGGAGGGGCTGCGGGGACAGGGCTCCGCGGCCGGCCCGGAGGTGAGTGCGGGGCAGCGTCCGCGGGCGGGGCGGCCCCTTTCCTGTCGTGAACACCCACGGCCCTCCAAGCAGATCCCTGTGAGGATCCAGCCCTCGGATCGGAAACACTAGGATTGTAAACGTTACGAGCCCCTTCTACGCGTACGTGCTGGGCCCTGTGCTCAGAGTGCTCTGAATCAGTGGCCTATAGCCTTTTTGACCAGGACCTAGAGCAGCGGTTCCCACGCTTTGGCAAGCAACGCAATCACTAGGGTGTTCCTCCAAGTCCGGGCTGCCGGTCGCCCATTCGGTAGGTCCGGAATGGGACTCGAGAATGTGCATCTCGGACAAGCTCCCCGGTGATGCAGAGGCTTCGGCCCAGGCATCACCCTTTTCAGTATCTTTGACCATGATTAAAAAATAAAGTTCGCCCTGGGTGGTATGGTTCGGTGGATTGAGCGCCAGCCTGCAAACCGAAAGGTCATTGGTGCCGTTCCGAGTCAGGGCACCTACAGTGAAAGGCAGCAGCTCCAGCTCGCTTACACATCGCTGTTTCTCTTCCTCTCTTTCTCCCTTCCTTCCCCTCTGTCTAAAAAAAGTAAATAAAATCTTTTAAAAAAGTAGAAAATTTAACTAACAAGAAATGAGTGCTTATGACCACAGAAAGACACATGCAACAGTATTCAGAGTAGCTTTATTCATAAATGTGCAGAGCTGGAAAGAATCCAAATGCACCAGAGGAGCGCATGGATTTTTAAGTTGTGGTGTATTCGTTCAAGGGAGTACTACGCAGCCACGAAAAAGACCAGTGCTACTGCTCTCACATATGTTACACTGAGAAGTAGAGGCACAAAAGAGAACAGGCAAAATGATCTTTACTTGGAAGACAGATGGATGCTAACCCCAGGGAAGGGACAGCGAGAGGGGGCAGGAGGGAACTATATTGTGGTTACATGGGTGTATACACTTGGCCAAGTCATTGAGCCATAAACTCAATATTAGTGCATTTTCCTGTATGTATGTTATATCTGCATTTTACAAAATTACATTTCAAGAAACAATTTACCCCAACTCGGCATGATGCACAGTCATACTTTCCTATTTTATGAGTTTTCTAATTCTTCGTGCAACTCACTAAGTTAATATCATACTCAGTAGTGGGTCTGCAGCCACAGTTAAAAAAAAATATGCCCAAAGGGGGCTTTCTCACTTAATCTTTGTACTATATTAAACCCATTTTACGGGAATGGAGGCATCAGACAGGTAAATAATTTACCTAAGGACTTAGAGCATGTAAGAGGTGGAGGCAGGGTTCGAGCTGCGAGAGGCTGGGTTTAACTGCACCGGACTCAAAATACGCCCTTGGCCTTATTGCTGTGCTACCACTTGATGAGCGGCCACGACCTGGCGTGTGGGAGGGAATCGGACCAGGGCAGAGCCCCCATCTGGTGGGGGAGGTAAGAACTCCCGCAGGTTTCTGGCAGCTCCCCTGGTACCCAGGCGTTTCTCCTACTTATGAGTCATGGTGACAATTACAGTTTTAGAGAAGGTTCTGCTCTTGCATCCGTTATATGAGATGCTTGCACATCGTGATGAGTGGTGGCGTGTGAGATTCAAGAGCAGCTAAGTGATGCGCCCAGCGTCGCTGGGTGCACGTCCCATGCCCCGCCTGCCCCCTTCAGCCCCAGGTGCGCCGGTGTGGAGGAGTCGCGCCATGGACCCTGGGCAGTGTGGTCTGCCAGGGGCCCATGACTTCCCACTCGGGGCACCGTGGACAAGCTCCGTCCGCCGGCAGACGAGGTGGCGGGTTTCCTCCCGAAGCCCAGTCGTAGGAACGGTGCTGGGAGAGAAGGCAGAGGGAGCGAGTGTTTATGGCCCTTAGACAGTCCGTGCAGATACACCTCATGTGTTTTTCTTTTCTAAATTATTATTTTTAATTGTGATTAAGCACACATGAAATTTACGGTCTGAACCATTTTAAAATTCGGTAGCACGGAGCACGCTCGCGTGGTCGTGCGCCCTCTCCAGACCTCTTCGTCTGGCAAAACCGAAGTCCCTGTGAATCAGCAACTCCCTGGTCCCCTCCCCTCCAGCCTTTGGTAACTACTGTTCTACTTCCTATTTCTATGAACTTGCCTATTTTGGGTACTTCCTATGGGTACACTCGTACAGCACCTGTCCTTCTGAAACTGGCTCACTTCACTTAGCATGACGTTCTCAGGGCCTTAAGGTTCTTCCATGTTGCAGCAGGCGTCAGAGTGTCCTTACCTTCAGAGGCTGAATAATGAACTCCATTGTACGCATGGGCCACGTTTTGTTATCCATTCATTTGTTGGTGAGCCTTTGTGTGGCTCCCCCCCCCCTTGGCTATTGTGAGTGGTGCTGCTATGAGCGTGGATTTGCAGATATCTCTTCAAGTTTCTGCTTTCGATGCTTTTGGATATATACTCCAAAGTGGAATTAGTGGGTTGTATAATAATTTTATTTTTAATTATTTAAGGATCTGCCATCCAGTTTGTCATAGTGACTGTGCCATTTTAAGTCCCCACCCACAGAGCCCAGAATTCCAGTTTTCCCATACTCTCGTTAAAAAGATTTTATTTATTTATTTTTAGAGAGACAGAAAGGGAGAGAAATATTGATGTGTGACAGATACATCGACTGGTTGCCTCTCGCACAGCCCCACCCAGGGACCTGGCCCACAGCTCAGGCCTGTGCCCTGACTAGAAATTGAACTGGCAACCCTTTGGTTAGCAGACCAGTGCTCAATCACTGAGCCACACAAGCCAGGGAGGAAAGGTGAATCTTAATCATAAATTCGTTTTCAGAAGATTTTGATGAGTGTATGTCATCTTAGCTGGTTTCTTTGTAATCCTGTGCCTTTAATGTTTACACATTTAAGAACAGCATTCTGAGAACGAGCCCACATGGACTTTACCAGGCTGCCAGAAGGGCCCATGTCTCAAAAGAAGGTGAAGCTTCTCTGCTTTAACTAGTCTCCACTCAGAAGATGTTTATTCTCCCATCACTTGCTCTTAGCACATGCAGCAGTGAACGACCGTTTTGATAAGGGCCACGGAGCAGCACTCCAGCCAGGTGAAGGAGACCCGTCCCGCGCCCGCCGGTGCAGCTGCCGGCTCCACGGGCCCTTGAGCCCCGCGTGTCCAGACCTCGTCCTCCAGCCTGGCGGGAGGGGCGTGGTCGCGGCGGCATCTCTCCTCGCAGTGTGCCTTATGCTCGCTATCACTAGTAGAAAATTTCGGAGTGTCATTGTGCCCTAGTTTATCTAACTGGGCTTCTATTAATGGACACTTAGGTTGTTTTTAAACACTTGTTTTAACTTTAGTTTGAAAAAATTTGAAATCCATGGAAGAGTTGCAAGATAAGGATAATGAACATCTGCATGCTTTTCACCTCGATTCAGGTGAATACAACAATTGCAAATACACACATATATGAAGTATGTATGTGTACAGTTTCTTATTCACTCTTTATTTTTGCTGGCATTTGAGCAGGTATGTTAGTTGCAGGATCAATAAAAGGTCAAGATCATTTACCCTAAATACTTCAGTGTGTATCTCCAAAGACATACTCTTACATAACCATAATAAATGGGCAGATTCCGGGGAAGAGTTGATAGAATGGTAAGACCTAATATACCATCCATATTCAAAATTCACAGCAGTGTTCTTCAAGGCATTTTTTTCCTGATGCAGGATCCAGTCCCGGATCATCTGGTGCTTTTAGTTGGCACACGTCCGTAGTCACGTTTAATGTGCCGGCTCCCTAGCTTTTCCTTGTCTGCCACGACCTTGACATTCTGGAAAATGATACATCCGTTGGTCTGTAGAATGTCCTGCAGTTTCAATTTGTTCTGATGTTCCCACACGATCAGATTCAAGTTATACGTGTTTGGCAGAAATGCCCTGAAGTGACGCTGTGACCTTCTCGGTGTCTCGTGCGGGGGGCACCTGATGTCTGCTTGTCACTATTGGCGATGTCACCTTGGATCCCTTGGTTGAGGTGGTGTGTGCGTCATAGGGATGCCTTTATTCCCCCCTGTAATCAGTAAATAACCCATGGGAAACTACTTGTAAACTGTATGAGATACCCTGTTCCCCAACACATTTTTACCCAAAGGTTTTAGATCCATTTACTGGCCTCGCCTAAATTCATAAAGGCTAAGATGATGGCCAAAGGATGATTTTTCGCCCCTGTCACCTTCTGCACTTCCCAGCTGGCACCCTGCCCTATGGCACAGACTCCCCTCCGCGGCCCCAGGGTGGGGTGGGGAGCCGGAGGCTCGGGAGAAGCAGAACGACCAGGAGGTCGGCGGGTGCTGGTGTCAACAGAGGTACAGGTACGGGTACAGACACCAATGTGAGAGGAGGTGTGACAGGAACCGGGTCACGTGGCGGGGGAGGCTAAGTCCCACGCCGCGTGGCTGCGCACTGGAGACCTGGCAGAGCCGCTGGCCTGGCGTAGTCTGAGTGAGAGCGCCCAAGAAGGGAGAGCTGGAGGCTTGAGTCCCGGCAGCACCCGGGAGTCCAGGGGCCCGCGGGCAGAGCCTCTGCGTGCAGGGGGCAGGACAGGGCAGGGGAGGATGGACGGCTGAGCTCAGGCCGGGAGAACGGACTGCCCTCCTCCTGCCTTTCTGTCCTGGTTGGGCCCTCAGTGGATTGGGTGGCGTCCTCTCACAGAGGCGAGGGCCGCCGGCTTTCCTTGGGCTACTGATGGCCATGCTGGCCTCTTCCCGGCCACGCCCAGGATGGTTGTCCCCGGCGCTCTGGGTGTCCCTTCATCCCTTCACCCAGATAGAACCCTAAACTAGCCATCACATCCCCGTTACTTAATGGGATGTTATTTAACATTTTAAGTGTGGATCCCTGAATTCTCTCTTCATTAGATATGTTACTATGCATTCCTGTTAGTATTCCTTTTGATGCTCAAAATGTTCTCTTTGGCCACTAGGAGCTCCTTCAAATGGTCGGTTTGATATGCCTCCATCCCGTAGCACAAGGTGTTCCAGGGGCACCTTGGACTTTCCCTGTCGCAGCCCTGGAGTCAGCCAGCCCCCCAGGAGCCCTGGCTTTGCTTGGAGAGTGGTCCTTCCGCTTCTTGATGCACACACTTGCGACATCGGGTCCCTGAGAGAGAACTTCCCTTTCTGGGATGGAGAGTCCATCCTCGCAAGGGAAACTGCATAAGTGACGTCATCTTTCCCTCCAGGTAAACCTGGGACCCGACAAGATGGTGGTTGACCTGAGAGACCCCAACCGCCCACGCTTCACCCTCCAGGAGCTGCGGGACGTGCTGCAGGAGCGCAACCAGCTCAAGTCCCAGCTGCTGCTGGCGCAGGAGGAGCTGCAGTGCTACAGGAGGTGGGCCCTCTGCCGGGCGCGTGTTCGTCCTTGTATGTTTGTTGCTATGGTCACTCAACCAATTTATCCAAGACCTGCGATTCCCGGCGGCGGTGTGGCCGGGGCTGACACAGAGGAAGTGCATGCTCATCTTGGGGGAGGATGGGCAGGCAGCAAGGCAGCCTGTGGCAGACCCTCAGGATAATGGCGCGGGTACTCCAAAGAAGATAAGACGAGGAGGGGACAGGACAGAGAGGAAGCGCTGAGGGAGCTGCGGGAGGGACCCGTTTTAGATGGGGTGGTTCCGGACGGCCCCTCTGCGGTGCAGGACAAGGTGCAGCCAACCACAGGAAGACTCAGTAGGACCAGAGTGGAGCCGGAAGCCCAGAGGCTGGAGGTGGGAGCCGGCAGGGCTGAGACACAGCACAGCGGAGCCTGGAGCGCCGGGGCGGGTGGTCGGAAGAGACTGAGGGCTGCGCCTTGGTGGCCACAGGGAGGAAATCCAATTTTATGTGCGTGTAACAAGAAGTCTTTGGGAAGTTTTAATCAAGGGAATGACAAGATCTGTTTTAACGGTCCATGTGGTGATTTTGATAACTGCACTGTTTGGTTATGTAAGAGGATATCCTTGTCCTTTGGAAACACACACTGGACTCTTCAGGAGTAAAGCAGTAAGACGTCTCCATCTTACTCAAGTGGTTCAGAAAGAAGACAGATGTGTGGAGGGTGGGTGGACAGATGAGACAAATAGACAATCGGGAGATCTGGGGAAGGAGTATTTGGGAAGTCTCTTTACTAATCTTGCAACTTTTCCGTAAGTTTAAAATTATATAAAGACTGAAAGTTGTAAAAGATCCCAATAGCAATAATAAGCGAAGAGAAGGGACTTTAGGACGAGAAAAAGGGGAAACCAGGACGTCGCTGACGCATCAGGTTTGGACTTCGCTGTGTTTACCTGAGCCTCTGGTCTCCAAAATGGCGTCTTTTGTGTCAGTGCTTCTTGAAAAGCGGGCTCTGTGGTGGAGCAGCTCTGGAAAACACTGCGTTCGGAGGCAGAAGAAGGAAAAGGCAAGACGACAGAGACACAGTGCCGGCTGCTGTTCACCGGCGCTCGCCGTCTGCCGGGCGCCCTGCGGGGCCGTCCCCAGCACCGTCTCTGCGAGGGCTCCGGCCAGCGGCGGGGCCCCGTGGGACGCGCCTCAGAGCCCACACCTTTCAGTGCCGTGCAGTGTCTGGCTCTGGAAGTTGGGAAGTGAGGACATGTCCTGACTCAAAACAAAGCCCCGGTGACGCTCCCCGTGAAGCCCTCCCCCTGGAGCGTGTCAGGCGAGCAGCCGGAGGAAAACGCTCTGGGAAGCCGGCCGACAGGGCCGCGTTCTGCCGGCAGACGTTTAATTGTCTTCTGTCTGCCGAGGCTGGAACCATGTCAATGGAAAGACCTGTCGCTGTCTTGCTTAATAAGCATCTCAGATACAGGTGGTTAAAAACAGGAGCTGCTACACTGCGGAGGAGGCCACGCGCAGCTCGTTAGCGAACAAAGCAACACCCTTTGCTTCCAGTTTAGAATCCCGGAGGACGACAGATGGGCGCTTCCCACCCGGCGCAGGCCAGCAGGCAGCGGGACGCCCGTTTAGTCCCTTGTGCTGTGTATCCTGGAGGAACGAGCAGATCGACGGAGCTGTGCTCTTAGCAACAGCGCCGTTTGGAGGCCCAGTCTCACACTCGCGGTCGCTTTTAGACTGAGGGCAGGCGAGGCAGGCTGTCTCCGAAGACGCCGCAGCCGCTCTTCCTGTCTGCGTGCTTTCTGCAGTGAGGCCCTTCCACCCGATCCTCAAGCAGCAGGGACTGCTCTCCATCCCCATGGATCCGGGCGGCCCTGGGCCGCGCTCTGCCCAGCGCGCTGGGCTGCTGGCTTCCTGGGTTCGGGCTCTGAGAGGCCCTCGGGCTTCCACCTTTATGCTCTTGGAATGCTGCCTGGACATCATGCTGTGACGAAGCTCAAGGAAGTCACAAGGAGAGGTCACAAGGTCGTCTCCAGGTGCCCCAGCTGACAGCCCCAGGTGGGCCCAGCCCCCAGCTGATCCGCCACTCCCTGTGGCTGGCCGAGGGGCGTCAGGGAAGCACCAGGCCACCCGGAAGAGAGAGCTGCCATGAGGGTGCTGCCACCTCCACCCACCGCTGAGTTTTCGGGTGTTCTGTAACAATGGAGCGTGGAAAGGGGGAATTTCTGGATGATGCCTCTGATAAAAGGATGTTAATAGAATGAAAATATAGATAATATTAAATAATAAAAACCCGCTCTATGCAGAGGAGAGAGAAGGGTGAGGCCTGCTTGCCAGAGCTCGTGTGGGAAGGGGCGTCTCGGTCAGCTTGGGCTGCCGTAACGAAATACCACAGACGGGGGGCTTGCACGACAGAAGTCTCTTTTCTCCTAGCCTGGGAGGCTGCAAGCCCGAGATGGGGGTGCCAGCTCGGTTGGTTCTGACTCCCCCTGGCTTGCAGGCGCTTCCTTCCGACTGTGTCCTCACTGGGCCAGGAGAGAGCGAGCAGCTGCTGGAGTCTCTTCTGACCAGCGCGTTGATCTCAACACGGGGGCCGCCCTCCTGACCGCACAGAAACGTGCGGCTCCCAGAGGCCCTGCACCGCACACCTGCGCTTCGGGCTTTAACCTGGGAATGCGGTCGGTCCGGTCCGTAGCAGGGAGGAAGCTCCACCGCAAACACTTCCCTGCAGGCACCTCAGCAAAGTGCCTGAGTGCATCTTACCAGCTTACTGGCTCATACGTTGAAATTCCTTGTTGTGGTCAGGCAGCTTTTGGTTGCAAGTGACTGAGCTTAAGGACAAAAGGGAATTTTATTGGCCCTCATGGCCGGAAAGGATCCTGGAATTGCTCTCAGAAACAAAGAAAAAACTGCAACGGAGGCCTCAGCGGGGGCACCAGGGCCTGGGTGCCTGTTTCCTCTTTGCTTTTCTGTGTCCTCATCATCTGGTTACAGACCACCCCCTGAATCTCAGTCGGTGTGGCTCCCGGCAGCCCCGGCTGAGCCAGCGGGAGAGAACAGCCTCTCCCAGCTCCGCACACCAGGTCTGAGGGGCGGGGCCTGGCCCTCCGTGGGCCGCCCGGCCTCAGGGTCTTGTCAGCCAATATCAGTCTAGCTCTTACCACCATCTGGTTGCTATATATTTTCTGTTTACTTATTTATTTACTTTTTACTGATTGTTTTCCTCCCCCCTGGGATGTAACTTGCATGAGAGAAGGTATTTTCTCATTCTTGTTCATTGCTGTGTATCTCTAGCCCCATAGCACATTATGTAGCTTCATAAGTATTTGCTGAATGAATGAGTGCCATGTGTTACTGTCTCAATCCCTCAGTCCAAGGAGGTATGTATTCTTATTTATTCTCATTTTATCATTGAGGAAATCAAAGTTTAAGTTAGAGAACTTACACATGGTCATGTTCCTACAAAATGGAGAAGCTTGAACTACTAGCCAATGCAATTAGACAAGAGAAAGGAAGAAGAGGTGTCAAGACTGAGAAACGTGGAGGGAAGACTCTGGTTATCTGGGTCAGTATCTTCCTGACTCCAGAGCTTCCAGTGCGAACATTATCAAATAATAATATTAAGATTCTTTGCATTCAGAGCTGCACAGATAAGAATGCGATAAAACAACCCATTTATGTGTCCCCCTTTATCCAGCGGCCTGATTGCAGCGAGAGAAGGCCCAGGAAGAAGAAGGGAAAAGGAAACCCTGGTTGCGAGGGCCAGCGATGATGGCAGAAACAAGGAGGAGAAGACCATCATAAGGAAGCTGTAAGTCACCTTGCTGCCCCGTTGCCACGAAATAGGTGCTGAAGGATGTTGTGGGGGCAAGCGGGGGCCAGCCAGCTACCAACCGTCGGGGGGTCCCGCTCTCCTGGTGGTAGAGCTGCTGCCGGGAAGGACTCAGTTCCTGTGTATTGTAGTGGCTGCCAGGGAGTAGTCTAAGTGCTTGATGTATATAAATTTATTGACTCACTACCGTGACCCTGTGGGGCAGGAACTGTTGTCACCAGAGCAGGGAGTCCGGGGAGCAAACCCCACCTTCCTGCCCCACTTCTGCTGGTGCCCACACTGGCCGAGTGCGGCCGGGAGCTGGAGGACCGGGACCTGTTGACACCACCACAGCCGGGGCAGAGCGCGGGGTGGGGGGCAGGGGCCTGTGGCGGAGCACATGTCCGCTTCAGTTAACCCTTCGCCTGACGTTCGCAGAGCAGCTGTGGGAAAACCACCCTGTCAGCCAAAACCACCTAAAACCACCCCATTCGTTCCTTCAACGAACAAGTAGCGAGGGCCGCAGGCGCCAGGCGTTGCTCTCGGGGCTGGGCATGCGGTAAACTAGGCAGAGGCCCCGCCCGCATGGGGCTTTCACCCGAGTCGGGGAGTAGGAGAGTGAGTGGGTAGGGGGTGGGGTGACAGGGTGGTTTCCTACAGCCAGACGCGCTAGGAAGACCGTGACACAGGTGCGGAGGGAGAGGTCGATCGCCCGGGGCTGCTTGGGAAGTGGGCATCCCGGAGGGCTTCTCTGAGGAGGCGGCATTCAGGCTGAGCCGGGGAGACCGTAACGGCCCGAGGCTGGAGGGAGCCTCGTGGACAGAGGCCATGTTTGCTGGGCAGCAGAGTGGATGTGGGGTTCCTGGAGAGGACAGTGGGGTTTATTGTAAGTGCCTGGGGAGGGTGTGAAGCTGGGGACTGGCTTGGCTGGTTACCCATAAAAGCTCACCCCAGCCGCTTGGTGGAGAAGGGTTGGGGAATGGAGTCCGGGCGGGGTCTTGGGAGTGCGTCTGCCCCAAGGAAGGGCCTCCTGAGGTTAGGCTGGTGCAGGAGCTGCCCCGCCTGCCCTGGGGGCAGCCATCTGAAGGTGTCCCCTTGTGACGGCTCCCGGCAGGCGCACGTGGCGGGCTTCCTCCTGCCCCGTCTGGGGGAGTCCCACCAGTTACTTCACTGGAGTTTGAGCTGATAAGGCAAAAATGAAATGTGCATTCTCGGGCACTAGCCAGCCTGCGGACACGGGTATAAACAGGCCATGGTTTTCTGCTCAGACGGGCTGGTGCAGCGGATGGATGGGTGAATGGCTTTCTGAGAAGCAGGTCATGTTCAGAAGGATTCTTGTCTTTGTCCTGCAGATGGGGAGCTGTGGACGGGCTTATGCTGAGGGAAGACTTAGTTCTGCAGAGTGACAGGGACATTCTGGCTGCTACAAGTGGATTGTAGGGGGTGACAGGGAGACTGCTGTGGCTTGGACTGGGGGTGGCAGCGGGGGAGATGAAAGTGTTGGGATTAGGGACATATTTGGGTCATGGTGACTGAAATGGAGCAGATGGAAGGAGGGAGGAGTTGAGAACAACTCCCAGGTTCCTGGCTGGAATGACTGGGTGGTGCATGATGTCACTTCCGGAGAGGGCACAGGGGTGGGGGAGGGGTGGCTGAGCACTGGCCGGGAATCCACACACCCACTGCCTGAGGGCTCGCCGGCCAGGCCCCGTCCCTGAGCTTCCGGCCCCAGCCGGCTTCGCACCTTCCTCGGAGCTGGGGCCGGCGCTGTGTGGCTGGGCCCGGGCACCGGTCTTCCCCACTCACAGCTCCGCGTGTGAGGGCGAGCAGCACGGAAAGCACACGCAGGGATACCTGTGTGTTTTATCCGTCTCACCCAGGAACTTAAGTGTTGGTCTGTATTTTACGAAGATCTGTTTTATAATTGTAGGTAATATGAAGTTACTGCTTTCTCTACAGTACAACCACCTAAAATTAAAAGCAAACGTGGCAGAATCCCTCTGTTAGTATAAGGCAGTGGTTAGGTGGGCTCTGGGTCCACTGCTTTCCGTGTGACCCCGGGCCTGGTCACTTGACCTCTCGGAACCCCAGCGGGCTCCTCTGTGAGACAGGGATGCTGGTTGCCCTCTCCCTCAGGCTGGCGCTGTGCCACGAGCGGGCGGACACAAGGCCCCAGCTGGTGCCCGTCCGCAGAGAGAGCTAAATGTCTGCATCACGGGCCCGCAAGAGCTGCTTCCAGATGTAGCGGCGGCCCGTGCCCCCAGCTTCACTCTGTCCGTTCCCTCTGACCCCGCTCTCTCTCCACCCAGGTTCTCTTTCCGGTCAGGGAAGCAGACATAGATCCAAGGCAGCGCTCCTCGGACTAGAGAACACGGCCAGGCCCCAGGAAGACTTCAGAACCGCTCAGTGCCACGCAGGCGCACCTACTTATTCTCCTCGAAGGCGTCTGAGGAGGAACGAGGTGGGCTTCTCACAGTCACTGTCTCCCGCCTGGAGGCTTGGCCAGGGCAGGGGAGTGGCCTCGAGAAAGCAGAAGAAGGTGCAGCCACCTCTGCCCAGTCAGCCACCCCCCGCAGGGGCTCGGGGGTCTGCTCCTGGGGCCCCGCCCACGGCCTCCGCCCCTGGCCCCGGGGAGAAGGCTGAGAGCCTGGCACTGACCCTCCAGAGACCTTGCTGATGTTTAGTGAGCATCTGACTTGGCTCACAGGACTTTCTTTATGTGACTTTTGTATTAAAGTAAAATGACTTTCCTACTTTGAGTATTTTAGAGTGGCCTCTTAGAGTTGCGTGACCTTGTGGAAATGCTTTCACCTCTCAGAGTCTTATTTTTCAAATCTGTCAACTCTGTGCGTACACCGGTGGCGTAGGTATCCATGGCGGCGCGGGTATGGTGTACACGCACTTCGTTGAACCTAAGTGGTGTGCCCTTATTCTGTGTGTTGGTGTGAGAGGGAAGAATGCTGTAAATTGTAACAGGAAGACACTATTGATTTCAAGGCGCGTTCTGACTTCAGAAGTATTCAATGTGAGAACGCGCGGTGCAGGAATCGATGGAGCAGCATACAGGTAAGTGCGTGTCTGCTCTTCGCAAAGAAACTGACGAGCCCGCGAAACACACTTGTGAGCTGAGTCCTTCGTAAGTGCCGCAGGCTCACGGCTGCCTGGACTTTCTTTTATTCTTATAACAATGCAGGGAGACAGAGACTGGCATTAGTTCCCGCGTCGCAGAACTGGAAACCGCGGCTCCGAGGGGCTGCAGCGGCTTACCCGAGGTCCTGTAGCTAGGAGGGCCTGCCCAGACACGGATGCAGGCCCGCATCCAAGGCCTGATTGATACCCGGGCGGGTGGCTGTGTGCGCCCAGCTCTCCAAAGAACACTAACGTGGGTCAGGAACACCATTCCCGGCATGCTTTGCCTGCACCATCTTCAGCCGGGTTCCCCAGCCTCTGGCCCATGGGCTGGTACCGGTCTGTGCTCCATGGCCCGTTAGGAACCGGGCCGCACAGCAGGTGGTGAGTGAGCGAAGCTTCATCCTGCTCCCCACTGTGTGCATTGCCGCCCGAGGTCCATGCCACACACTGCCCCCCACCCCCTGCCCCAGTCCGTGAAAAAACTTCCGTGGAACCGGTCCCTGGTGCCAGAAAGGCTGGAGACCGCCGAAGCACCTCGCACGCCTTGTGTCACGGTACCGCTGTGGGCTGGGGAGGGTTATTCCGGTGGCACCAAGGTCACAGCGCAGTGCGGCGAAGGGGCCTGTGCAGGTCTCAGCTAGAAGGGGTGGAAGCAGGGCTTGAGCCCGGTGCGGATTGCACAGCCCGGGTTCAGCCGCGTGGCCTCCCGAGGAAAACCAGCACGGGTCCGAGTCTGGCCCAGACTGCCCCCGAGCAGTGTGGGGTCAGGGGTCCAATCCCTAACTCCACGTCACACTGCATCCCTGACTGGGCCTTCCCCTCTTAATGGGGGCGGGGGTATCCTGCACTTCAGGGGTGAAGGCCAACTGAGGCAACAAATCTGTCCTGGCTTCAGACCCACAGACCGGGCACAGCGAGTGTGCAGAAGAGGGGGAAGGGGCAGCATCCTTGGCAGGACTGCAGGGCGGGGTCCCATCCTAGGGCTGACACTTGAAGCCCAGCCTTGGGACCCACCCTCCCTGGCACCAGCCTGCCATCCTCGAGCCCCAACTCCGGCTCCGGGCCGCAGTGGACCCCCAAGGCGAGGATGTGACAATACATGGCAGCAGACACTGGGGGGGGGGGGTCGGCGACAGCCTGCACACAGGTGGGCAGAGGCGGTTCCCACTGAGGGATAACCCTCCGCGTAAGCGAGCGCCGTGTTGACAGTGACACAGCTGACAGCCTCCCAGAGGTGGCGCTGGAACCAGGTGTTTGCCTGTAAATCGAGGGCTCCGCCCGCCGTGCCCATCTGCCCCCAGCCCTGGGGCTAAGGGGACAGCCGAGCAGGAGCAGGGGTGGGGTGTGCGTGGGGACCGATCTGGGCTGGCAGGTGCGGCTGGTGAGTGACAGTCACAGGGCTCGAGTCTGTTCACCGGGTCCTGCTCTAAGGGACCTACATGCATGAACTCTTCACCTTCACAAGCACCCGGTGACCCCATGATACAAGCGAAGACGCTGTCCCATCGGACAGTCCCCAAAACCTAAGACTCACGTTGGTGTGTGACCCTTTTGTAAAATAAGACCCAACTCCACTCTCCTACCTCCACCTGTAAAAAACAGACACACGGGTAGCCTCGCCTGGCAATAAATATTTTAATTTGTTTCATTTTTATGATGACAAATAATTTTCAAGTTTATTTCCTTTTTTAAATACAAAGCTAAACCACAAACAGGTACAACCGAGACATCCTATCTCACATTGACACACTCCGTCGGATCCTCCTCCAACTGGCTGACCACTGACCAGGCAAGTGCGGGCTGGGGGAAGACTTCCTTAGGTAGCACCGTCGGGAGGCTGGGGCGGGCGGGGGTGGAGGGCGTCAAGGCTGAGGACAGATTCTCACACCTGTCTCCATTCACAGTTACCTGGGCCCAGAGGGTGTCAGGAGAGCCCACGTCCCGGCTCCAAGGCCCAGGGAACCCCTGGACCGCAGGTTAGCAGAGTGAGACTCGGTCCCCCTTTGGGAGGGAGGAGGAAGCGGCCTCCTCATTCATCCTGTCCCCGTGGAGGCGAACGCTGCGCCCTTCGGCCTGCAATTCAGGGCTGGTAGGCTCGCCCCTCAGCCCAGGGCTGCGCGGCCTGCGTTGCCTTCTGCAGGAAGGACACCAGGTGGTCTGACCAACGGAAGCCTGACCGCAGGTCTGGAACTTCCAACCCAGCAGACTCTGGTGGGGTGGGGGCGGGGCGGGGGCGCTGGATAAGTAATTTCTGGTCCCACTACAAAACTTTATTTTTGATTAGAATAGAGTACCATCTCAAACCTCTTCTACAAAAACAAGCCAAAAAACCAAACCAAAAGAAAAAGAAAAAACAAAACGCAGCCACTCCACTCACTTTAAGACCTATATACACGTAAGTTGTTTTCTGTGGGTTTTTTTTTTTACTTTTTTTTGTCTTTTTTGTTTTTTTATTTTTATTATTTTTTTTAAAATAAATTCAGTGTTCACATTTCTATAAAGAATTACCCCCGTTTGGGGAGGCCCTGCCCTGGCGGGGCCGGCTAGCAACGCTTTCCCTGCCCGCATCTCCTTCGAGGGCTGCCCGAGGCTCCGGGCGCCGGAAACGCGCGGCCCGAGCGAGAGCAGACCCAGGCCGGCCTGTGCCCAGGGCCCACCGGGGCGGCACGCGCTCGAGAAAGCAGAGGGGAAGACTCACTCACTGCGAAACCCTTTTAAAAATATTCATACGCTTCCATGTGTGCCTGTGGAGACCTCAGGAAAACAAGAGCTTACATCCCGTCCGGGCCGTCGCGAGGCCACCTGCGCGCGGACGTCGGGGTGTCGGGAGAGTCCTGGCTCTGTGGCTGGAGGCGGGCGCATCGCCCAGCGTCCGCGTTCGCGTCCGGCTCTGTCCTCGGAAACCTGTGCCGAGTCTCTGACCGCATGCACCGGAAGCACGGACGTCCAACTTGTATGCAAAAAAGGTACAAAAACAACTAGAATAGAAAAGTTTTGGTAATATAAGGCCATCTGTTCAAGTCCACCTTGGAAACCTGTAACAGATATTTAAATACGACAGTGAAAAGGCATCTTAATATACTTTTTAAAAACATCTGAAGTAATCTGCTACGATTAAGTGTGTAAAAAAAAAAAAATTCCCTTTGAGGGCATTCTGTCCACTGGGGGGGGCGGTCAATGCTTCAGCCAGGGGTGGGCTTCGATGGAGGCCCGGCTGCGGTCCCCGTAGTCGTACAGGAGCTCCTCCCCGGCCTCGATGTCGCGGGAGGCGATGAGGATGAGGTGCGGCACGCCGTCGATGTCGTGCAGTTTGGTTTGGCAGTTCCCACATTTACTGTGATTGATCAGTCTTCCCAGGCGATTTGTCTCTCTGGTCGCATCCACACTGGCGGGGAGGGAGGGCAACCGAGGGTTATTAAGTTGATAAAGAGGCTTTTGAACCCAGCCAGAGTCGTGCTTGCTCTCCCCTCTGGTGGGAGGTTGATTTATGGCCACGTTTTTGGGAAAGCAATTCAACTCAGAAAACTGTCTTTAAGAGCCGAGAGGGGCACCAGGTGGAGTGTCGGGCAGCAGAGGGGGCGGGGGGTTGAGGCGGGAACGCAAAGGGCTCTCTGTGGAGGTCCAGGCGGCGGTGTGGAGTTCTGCACAATAAAGAACTGAGCGAGAGCCCCCCATGCCGAGTAGGGGAGGCTGTGCGTGTGGGGCGGAGAGCATGGGAACTCTGTACCTTCCACTCCCTTTTGCTGGGAACCTAACCTGCTCTAGAAAAGGCTATTAAAAAAAAAAAAAAAAGCAATCAGCTACACTGGCCATATGGAGAACGGAGCAGCCAGCGAGCCCCCGAGCTGCCCTGGCCACAAGCCCTGAGAGGGAGGCCCGGTGAGCCCGCAGTGAAGCTCATACAACCGGTCCACGGCCGCATGCAGAACAGCTCCAACCCCACAGTGAAAAACGAGAAGGGGGCAGGGCGGCTTCGCTGCTCGGAGAGAAGGTGGCAAGCGCTCAACAGGAAGCCGGGGCCCAGGGCCAGCACTCATGCCCGGGGCCGCGTGGCCCGCCCTCCCGGCCGTCCGGCACTCGTGGTGGACTCACCAGTAGGTTTTGCTCAAGTACTGGAAATAGTACATGTAGCAGCCGGTGGAGGGGTCTTGTGCATACAAGGCCTCCCGCTTCCTGGCGTCGGTGATCTCGATGAGGTCCCCGTGGTACTCCACCACAAACTCGCCCCGGGAGAACTGCTTGGTGGCGATCACGCCCCTGCCTTTGCCATCGATGAGGTCGATCTGTTGGGAGGTGACGAGAGAGAGGCGGTTGGTTGGTGACAGCCAGGCGCCGCCACGTGGGGCCGGCTCAGGGCGCCTGGGGCTGCAGCGCTCACAGGACCAGCTTTCCTGAGGCCGAAGAGCCCACTCCCTTTACAGGGACGGCAGATGTAGTAAACGTACACAGGTGCGCCGCTGCCGCCTCGGTCTGTCACCCCTCACAAGAAAGCTGCCCTTGGGTGGGTCTCCCCGCATTTTGCAGGTGAGAAAACTAAGGCTTAGATAGAGGCAGAGCCACGCCCAAGGCCACATGCCTAGGATGTGGTGTGGCGCAGAAACCCACAAAGTCGGCCTCCTGGGGGACAGGGACCCAGCGCTCTGAGTCTCTCCTTTGTGCCGAAACTTACCCACCTGTGTCCCTCCTCTGTTGTAAACCTGGGGGGCAGGAGGGGACGGGGAGGCATGGCTCCCGAGGCCCAGGCTTAAGGTCTGCTCCCCCTCCACGGAGGGCAGGATCTAGCGCTTTCTGACCCGCCGGTCCCAACCCAGACCCGCCCTGGCCACAGGCGCTCCTCCCCGCTCCTCTGCCCCAACGTGTTCAAAATTTACCAAGAGAAAAGTGTATTTCTTGGGTGTTGCCATGTCCCAGAAAAAGAGTATAGGAAAAACTTATTAGTTCCTTTTTAAAAGTTTCCCCAGGCATCGTGCTCAGTGAAAGAAGCCAGATACAACAGCTCCTTATTCTATGATGCTGTTTATATGAAATACCCAAAATGGGCAAATCCGTGGCGACGGGAGAGCGGGGTGGCGGGCGCCGGGGATGGGGCAGTGACTGCTAACAGGGATGGGCGTCATGGGGGGGGACACCAAGGTTCTGGAGGCAGATGGGGGTGACGGCTGCACCGCACTGTCAAGGTACCGGATGCCACGTGTCTCTTTTGAAATGGCTAACACCCTAAGTTTCACGCTCTATGTATTTTAATACAATTTAAAACCAACGTTTCCTTGGGATGACACTTCACAGGTGAAGTCCACCTGGTTCCTTCAGGAGACGGACCCTTAACGAGGGTTTTAGCATTTGGCCCTGTGACAACCTCAAGTCTGGCCCGTTAGTGACCACTAAAGGGTTAAAGCCACCTGGTGCCACCAGACCTAAGTCCTCAACCTCCACACGGCGGCCCTGCTGCCCTTACCTTCATTCCTTCTTCCTTCCCACTTTCGATCAATTCGTCTATTCGTTTCCTTTCTTCAGACTGGGGGGAAATAACACAAGACGCAGGTCAGCCTTCTCCCCCGGGCCATTCTGGGCCTGCCTGGGCCGCGCCGCAAGGCCCCCGCCGCCGGCCTCCAACGTCGGTCCCCAAGGATGCACAAGGCCCCTAAGTCCCCCCTTCTTGTGTGGACAATTTGCTGCTTGGGGTTCACCTGGACCGGGAGGGACACAGACGTGGCCCTAGGCAGAACCGGGCTGTGGCTCCGCTCTGCATGGCCCATGCAGTGTTTTAGAGAGGAATCTGACTTGACAGCATTGGCCGGGGCTGCCTGCTGGCTGCGCCCACTGGACGGGGCGTGGCCAAGGGGCCCCCACCCCGGGGTCAGCACCCTCGACCGCGGAGGCGGGAGAGGAGTGGTGCTCTCAGCTGGCCTGACCCTGGGGCCACCCCTCCCGGCCCGGCCCCCCCGCTGGGAGGGCACAGGGAGCTGGCGGGAGCGCCACAGGGCGCACCAGGAGCCCCGGCCCACCGGAGAGGCCTTCCTGGGGCAGTGCCCGGCCGGGGGAGCTCCCGCCACCCACGGGGGGCCGTGCTAGTCACCAGCCCACACGGACTCAGGGGACGCCTGCGCTATGTACTGGGGACGCAGTGGTGGGCGAGCCCTGGTTTCGCCAACCTTCGGAGGATTTCGGGCGCTACGGATGACCTCGGACCTGCCGCACGGGAGGGCCCCAGGCCCAGCCCCTCTCCGTTTCCCTCTCGGCCTTGCTGCCCAGCCCGCGGGTGCCCACCCCGTGGCCGCCTGGCCCCCCGGCTCCCGCTTCGACCCCGCCCCTCCCTCAGCGGCCCGCACAGCCTCCAGTGGGGTCTTTTAAAGGCAGAGAGGAGACCAGCGCACGGTCCTGCCCAAAGCCTTCTGGTAAGTTCTTTTAATAACCGACTTTCACCCGCTCCTGCATGTATGTGCCAACAGTAGTGTTCCCTAGAATGCCAAATGGAACCGTGGGGGACACGAAGGAAGGGTCCACAGCAACACTCTATACTGTCTTTGCAACTCCTCTGTAAATGTCAAATTATCCCAAAACAAAGTTTGTTTGAAGAAAAATGCAATCCCTTCAGTAGCTTCCCCCCACTACAGGCATGGAGTCCTCTCTCCCGGTGGCCACACTCCGGCCACACCGGCGGCCCTTTCAGACCCTCTCGGGTCGGGCCTGCCCCTGCCTGGGGCCTTGCATGGGCTGGGCCCGGCCTGGAGGCCCCTTCCCCAGCCCATTCCCCCGGTGCGTGCGCTCCGCCCTTCCAGGCTCTGCTCGGAAGACGCCCCCTCAGAGAAACAAATGCCCAACCACCATGGCCAAGCCGCCCCAGCCTGGCCACACCACCAAACTTCTGCTCTCTTCATGCTACAGGGCCCTCTGAAATTGTCTTGCTTTCTGGCTGTCTTTTCACAAGCTCCATGAGGACAGGCGCCTGGTTTTATATATGGCGGCGTTTCCGGCCCAGGGCAGTGCCTGGCACGTCAGGAAGCCCTCAAAGCAACACCCCCACCAACGTGGCCTCGTTAAGGAAGGACGAGGGTGCAGCTGGGGAGGAGAGGGATGCAGGAACACCGGGCAGGCAACTGGGCAGAGTCCTCCCGTGAGCGAGCGTGGCACTGAGGGAAGTGCAGAGGGCAAGTAGGACCCGCTCACAGCCTCACACACAGAGCCGCAGAGACTGCGGTTCATCCTGGAGGCTCCGGGGTGGGGGCATGCGGCTGCCCAGCTCGAGGCCCCTAGACACACAGCGGCCCCAGAGGCGGACCGAGCCACAGGGGACAGACGCAGGACGCCCTTGCGCCGGGCTCCGCAGGCTGCCCTGCGCACCGGGGCCGGGGCCAGGCCCAGGCCCGGGGTGGGGCCAGGCCCCTGCCAGCCAGGGCAGCCCCTGCCCCGCGGGGCTTCCCCACCCCCGCAGGCCACCAAGAGGCTAGTCAGCTACGAGCCCCGCAGCGAGGCGACGGGCCGTGCACCCTCTCGCCCCAGGCCTGGACCCTGGACACAGCCCGGCCCACACCGTCTTCAAAGCAATGACGTGTCTGCCAGGCTTTTAATGTCAGTTTCTGCCCTGGCTCCCCAAGCCCCTCGGTGGCCCGTCCGCCTGGGCCCTGGTTTCCGCTGCCCAGAAGGGCAGGCAGGTCGGGACTCCACCCTGGCCCGCCACCTGGCCAGCCGCCACCGCCAGTGCAAACACGGACGACAGGGCACGGCTCTCTGTCCAGTGACAGAGCAGCTTTACTGAGCTGAGGACCAGGCTTCAGGGAGGCCAGCGTCCGTCCCCTTCCGCCTGTCTGCTGCAGGGCGTAGCAGACCTGTGTCACGTCCCATCGTGGCCTTCACTCCCCAGACAGAAAGCCCTTGTTTTTTTTCTGTTTTTTTTTTCCTTTCAAAAAACGGCCAACTCAGCAGCCCCGCCCTGCGGCCCGGCAGGCCTCCCTGTGTGGGCGCCCGCGGCTCCGGCCGCAGCGGGAGGTGTCTGAGCCCGGGGCCTGGCACGGCCTCGCCCTCCGCGGTGCTGCCTTTCAGAGTGACCTGGAACGGCCCCCCCTGCAGCCCAGCGTCCTGTCACCGCGGCCCTGGGCAGACAGACACGCCTTCCCGTGGAAATAAAGCCAAAGCTGCCCTCGCCGGGGGGATGGGGGAAGTGGACCCTCAGTTTGTTTTTCTTTTAAATGAAACCTTGTCCACGCAAAGGAAAAAGGAAGAGAACACTAGAGTGCCAGCTCTGCACCTGTGGATTTAACATAAAAATTGCTGGAGGCAGCTCCTGCAGCAGGGTCCTCCGCTCTCTGTGGGGGTGGCGGTCCTGAGCACAGCTCCTGCACCTCCAGGCCGCTCTGGGGGTGTGGGGGAGCGGGGGGCAGCAGCCAGTGGGCTGCAGGGCGGACCACGCCCGGGCTTCCCCTAACAGCAAGGCGACAGCCACCCCCACGGCATCAAATATTGATCGGCTGCCGCACAGCTCAGCACTCTGCAAACACAGCTGCGGGCGGGGCCGGTCCAGCTGGCCTTCCTGCCTGTTTTTCAGGGACCATGGCTGGGTGGCAAAGAGCAGAGAGAAGCCTTGGGAAGTGACAAGACCAGGGGGACAGAGCACCTACTGTGTGTCAGGCACCATTCTAAGTGCATTAGCACTGAATCCTCCCAACAACCCCACAAGATACTCCATCTTCCCAATTTACAGAGAGGGCAGCTGAGGAACAGAGCAGCTAGTAACGGGCCTGCGGCGACAGGACCAGCAAGTGGCTACCAAACCACTGCTCTTTGTGCCTCGAGACCCAGCTTGGGGACTTCTGGGCAGCAGGCCGGTCTCAGAAAGGACAGGCAGCCTTCTCAGTGGTCAAAGCCCCCCCGGCCCTGCCAGCAAGTCCCAAAGAGGCGCCACAGGGCAGCACCCGACTCCCCGGCCGCAGGCCCCGAGGCTCCTGCTCAGAGGCTCCAAGCCACACGGTGACCCTGAGTGTCATGACGGTCCCCACAAGACCAAGGAGGTGACCGAGACCAGAGGCAGACATTTGCCCCAGAAGACACAAGAACAACTGTGGTCCGCACGCCAAGCCCCGCCCCTGCGCCGCCCTGCCCCACTGCCAGCCAGAGCAAAAGGCACGCGACTCGGACTCCACCTGCAGCTCCGCTTTACTCTTCCTGGAGCTCCTCCGCACAGGGTAGAAATCCGTGAGTTTGCGGTTCTGCTGCATCCTTCCTTGAGCTCTGGGGGGGAGGGGAGAAGGGAAAACTGTGCTGGCACCCTGGAGGCACCCAGCTCCTGCGGGGGCGGCTCCCTGGAAACCACCCATCAAACACCTGCGGTCGCATGGGCTCCCCTCCCCACGGAGGCCTCAGAGACAGGCTGCCTCCCTCCACGGGGACAGGAGGGGAGGGATCTCGGGCTCTGGACAGGCACACGCCAGACTGAGATGCTGGCAAGGAACGGGGCCACTGGGGGTGACTCGGGAGAGGGGAGCCTCCGCTGGGCTCGGGGAGACTAAGCTGCTGGTGGCACCGGGGCTCTGGGAGGCGCTTACTTTTTCCGAGCGGCCTGCTTGCCCTTGACAGGCTTCTTCAGGGCCGGCCTGGCGATGGCTGCATTGGGGGAGTCACAAGATGAGGTCGGAGTTTTTGGAGGTTCTGCTGCTTCAGGTTTTTGGTTTGGAAAAGGCGCCAGGGGGCCTCTCCTGGCGTCTTTGATCTTTAGTTCCTCGGACTTGACGGTGCTTCGCACAGCGTTCCCAGTGGTTCTCTTCTCTGCGGGCAGAGGGTGGAGAGAGGGAGGGTTAGTCTCGATGCCATTTCCCAGTTTCCAGACCGTGAGTGAGCCGCGTGCGAAGGCCAGGACGCGGGCGTGCAGCGCAGCCGTGCCCTCGGCCCATTCAGCCCGGTGTTGGCTCACGGCTACCGGGGGAGTGTCATCTCCTTCACTTTTGGACGCAGACACCGGGCAGAGCTTTTTTTCCAGCTTTATTCAGACATGACTGACAAAAGGACAAGACATGCGAGTGGGCCCGGTGGTGACCTGGTGCCCGTCTACACAGAGGGAGGGCCCCGCTCACTAGCGCACCTGGTCGTCTGCATCTGGAGGAGGGAGGCCCTGAAGCAGAAGCACCAGAGAGCAGCCCCGCCAGGGGCGCCCAACCAAGAGCCTTCAGGGACTGGGCGGCAGACTCCCGAAAAAAGGGAAGTTCCTGAAGAGGGGGCCAGCATGGGCGGCCGGGAGAGGGCGCCGCGCAGAGCCGCTCCCGCAGGTGTCACCGCGCGCTGCACCTCGCAATTCCTGCTTCCAGAGGGGTCTAAGCTGAGCGGTCACACGGTTCTCAGCCCGGCACCTGGACACTGGCTGGTGTGTCCCAGGGGTGGGGGGGGGTTATCGAAAATGATTTGTTGCTGAAACAGTTGGGGAGGCGAGTCGCTTTTTAGAAAGTAATTTAAAAAAAAAAAATAAGTAAACAATACACGGCTGATAGGAATATATAACGGTGCAGTCACTGGAGAAGAGCCTGGCAGTTCCTCAAAAAGTTAAACATAGTCCTGTCTGGGCTGCTCAGTGCTTAGAGCGCCGTCCCGATACACCAAGCTTGGGGGTTCGAGCCCCAGTCACATACAAGAATCAAGCAATGAATGCATAAATAGGTAGAACAAATTGACGTTTCTATCCCTCTAAATTTGATCAATTAAAAAACTTAAGAAAGGGAAAAGAAAAGAAAACACAATGCTCAGTGAAAGAGGCCAGTCGCACAAGGCTACGTTTTAAGTGATTCCATTTATAGGATGTGTCCGTAAGAGGCAAACCCATAGAGACAGAAAGTAGATTGGTAGTTGCCTGGGGCTGGAGGAGGGGAGAAATGGGCGCAGCTGCTAAACCTGGGTTTCTTTGGGGTGATGAAAAATAAACAAATGCACCGCAGGCCCGCCAGACCACCCTCACGCTCTCGCGGGCCTTCCTGAGTGGAACCCGAGGGAGCCAAGGCCAGGGCGTCGTGTGCAGCCCTAGGCCTGAGGTGCCCGTGAACGTCGGCCGTCACATCAGGGCAGGGCAAAGGCTGAGAATCAGGGGCAAGAGCCTGGTCCTTGGAGTCTCCTCCAAAGCACATCCGGCCCAACACCCTAATCGTTGCCATTCAGTCACGGCCAGAGCCAGACAAGCTTGACTGGGCACCATGACGCCACGGAGGCATTTACATCCCGCCCCATCCCCGGAGGGACGTGAGACAGGCAGGCCACCGAGAGCCCCTCCATGGCAGGCGCTGCCCGTGCAGGGAGGGGCAGCGCTGACACTCCAAGTCCAGCAGAGGAGCAACGGAGCCTGTCACGAGGCCCCTTGGCACCCACACTTTGACCGCTCTTCAGAGCGGCCCCGTGGTCGCCCGCTTTACAGATGGGCAAACCGAAGCTCCCACCCAGGCCTCCTCCACAGAAGTAGCAGGGCGAGGGTCAGAACCCAGGTCGTTTGAGGACCAAAAAGATAGCGTCGCCCTGCGCACTGGGCCAATCAGGCTGGGCTGGCCCTGGCCCTGGCCCATCATGTACAGCACTTTGTTAATAAATACAAGGCTTCCTTGTGTGGAGCAGCTGGTAGCCAGAGGGCCGCTGCTTTCAGGCCACTTTTATGAGAAGGGAGCACGGTGAACTGGGGAGAGCGCACCCTCCCCAGTGCCGCTTGGCTAGGGGCTCTCTGGAGGAGAGCAGGATTTCCTGCAGGCTTTGGCCTGTTTTACAGGCCCGGAGAGGATTTTCAGTAACCATATATTTTCTTGTTCAATATTTTAACTCACTGCAGATTATGCTGCTTTAGAGAGGAGCTCTGAACACTTGAGTGGAAAGAAACTTTAGAAATGAGGTCAAGGCCAGCTCATAAAAGGGAAGGAAGTCAGGTCCTGGCGTTCACACAACAGTCAGAACTGTAAGCATCTAGGGTGTTCGACCTAGACTCATAATTTTTGCACTCTGGCACCTGTGAGCCGCTTTAACGGCAAATCAGGTGTATTATTTTTGCAATTCGGCAAGACAATCAAGCTTGAAGGACATGCCAACTCTTGTGAAAGCAGGAGAACCTGTTAGACCGACAGGGCACACGCCCTGGGATAGGCCGCCCTTTCCCCTGCATCTGGGTTCCTTAGCAGCAAGACAGAACATGGTTCCCTTCGAACCTGGGTGTGAAGGGGCTGGATAAAAACCTGACACAGCCATGTAATTACGGAGGACAGAGGCTGCTGCAGCCCGACCGGCTGTGGTCAGAGCGGGGCCGCTGCGGAGGCTTACCTTCCCGTTTCCGGTAGATTCCGGCAAATGGCTTCCCCTGGCATCTGACTTCGTGATGGGCAACTGAGTTCTCTTCCTGAAGGGGGGAACGCATTCCAGAACATTTGTTCGGGCTCATGTAGGTGTAGATCTTTGACTGCCCGGTAAACACGTTCTCCTAAAACGACAAACGCATATTCTGAAAGAGGCTTTAAGAAGAAGATCCCGTAGCATTTAGTGCAGAAGGGCGAGTGGAAGAGAAGAGACAGAAGCCCGGCATCATCATCTTTCCACAGCAGGGCGACCGGGACGCCAGGCCCCGGCAAGGCAGCGGCAGGTTTCCAATCTCCCAGGTCCACGTCGGCCATTTCCTGAACAAACGTGGCCTCTAGTTCTGCCCACTTACGGGGACATCTGGCCAGTGGGAGAACCAGCTGTACACCAAGGTCTATATAAGGCGGAGACAACCTACCCGTCGCAGGGAGGTCAGAATGGCAGGGAGTAAACAAACGGGGACTCTGAAGGGCTGGCCTGTGGGCCGGAGCTGCGGGGACTCTAGCACGGAAACAGGCCTCAGGGAAGCTGATTAACCACTTCTTGGTCTGGAGGCCAGCTGCTAGGACTTGTCACTACCGCCTGAGCCTTCTGTGTGCCCAAGCCGGGCCCCTCTCACACCCAGGCAGCCCAGCAGCCTCCCAGGACCGCAGACCGGACTGCGGTGGGAACCCTCTGGGGTGGGTAACTGCGGGTGGGCGGGGAGTGGAGAGCTGATGAAAGCAAGGCCTAGTGCCAGCACATTCAGGGCGTCACTTTATTGCAAATGGCACGCTGGCACTAACGGGGGTGGGCAGGCGGGTGGGGCAGTCCAGGTCACCGCTGGTGTTTCTGGGTGTGGGGCCTCTGCTCCGAGTAAGCACAGACCGCAGGAGGGCTCCCCGGAAACAATGCCAGGGCCTCGCTTCCCGGTGAGCCATTCAACACCAAGTCAGCGACACCCAGGCAGGCACCACAGACCCCGGGAAGTCAGCCACCTTCGGGGTAGCTGGGTCTCCGGTGTAGAAATGCCATAAAGACACAAACTTTTCCGAGGTCAAACACAGCCGGGGTCATGGCGGAGCAAGGGTGGACGCCACTCCCAGGCAGGCAACAGAAAAGGAAGCTGCCCGGCTGGGCGTCCCGCCCGCATCCCAGCCCCAGGGCGGCGGGCGGGGGCCGTGGGGCGAGCCCACGTGCTCGCGGCGCGGGGCCGGCGGGGCGCCCGGCCCTCGGGGCGCGCTGAGTGAGTGCGGGGAGGATGCCTGCTTACCCCGTTGGTGCGGGGCCTCCCCGGGCCCCTCCGCTCCACCATCTCCGGGCCCGGGGCCGTCGCTGCCACCGACACCGCCGCCGCCGCCGCCGCCGCCTCCACCGCGCGGGGCTTGGACATCTTCCTGCCTGGAGAGGGGGACCCGGGGGAAGCGGGGGAGGGGGCGCTCAGGGCGCGGCGGGGCGGGGAGCGGGGCCGCCCGGGCCGGGCGCCGCGGCGGCGCCTCCCGCCGCAGCCATGTTCCGAGGGCCCGGCGGCGATGGGCCGCCCGCACGGCCGGAGGCAGGGGCCGGCCGGCCGGTCGGGCCAGTCCGGGCCCCGCGTCGCCCTCCCGCCGCCCGGCCTGGCCGGGCCCCGCGCGCCGCCCGCCCCCCGCGCGGCCGGGCCCGACACACCCACCTGCAGCCCGGCCAGGCCCATGGCGGCGCGCCCCGCGCCCTCGCCGCCGCCGCGGCCCGGCCACCACCGCTGCCGCTGCCGCTGCTGCTGCTGCTGCCGCCGCCACCAGCGCCGCCGCGGCGCCCCGGGGAAGGGCCGGCGGCGCCCCACGGCGCCCCCTTCCCCCATGGCCTGCAAGGCAGGGCCCGGCACCCGCGCCGCGGCAGCCCGGCCGGCCCGGGACGGAGGACGCAGGGAGGGAGGCGCTGGCGGCACTTCCTCCACGGCGCCGCCGCCCACCGTCCGGCTCCCGGGCGCGGGGAGGGGCTGGCAGGGGCGGCGCAGCGAGGCTCTGGCGGTGGGAGGCAGGGCGGGCCCAGCAGCCGTGGCGAATCCCGACTCGGGCGCGCCCCCTTGCGCGCGCCCTCAGCCACTCGCCGAAGAAGGGGTGGGAAACGGGAGGATGACAGCCCCGGCTCTCGGCTTTGCTCGCTGGCTCACGGGTATTTTGGGAGACCCATCCGTGCCAGGCGCAGTCAGCAGCGGTGGGCCCGAGCCTGGGCTCACGAAGCACTCTTGCGGGCACTGAAACCTCCCCGCAAGACCTTGGGGGAAAGTCCTGTGGCAACCCGGTTTAAGATGTGGATACTGAGGCTCAAGGGAGGTGCAGGGCCTTGCTCAAGGACACAGGACTAGAAAGTGGCAGCCCCAGGAGGTCTGCGCTTGACGGGGACGAGGTGGGGAGCGGGGAGCGAGGCTTGCAATGGGAAGTCTGCTGGGTGCTTCTCTCGCGCACGTTCTCTCATTCAAACTCAGCGGCCCTAGGGAGGTAGGCGCTGCTCTTATCTCTTTTCCACAGATGAGGGCCCGCGAAATGAGGAGGTCTGCCAAGTTTTCAGAACCAGAAATGAATTTCCAGGCAACTGACCCCAGAGTTTACTCTCCCAGTCACTACCCTTCCCCATCCCAGGTGAAGAAATTGCAGCTGGGAGGAGCAAATGGCATTGCAGAAGGGCTTAGCAAGGTCCAGGGGCTCCTGTCCCCCTGCCTCCTCCCGGTGAGCTGCTAAGTAGGCAGGGGTACCAGGAACGCTGCTGTCCCATCTCCGCACAGCTCAGTGCCCTCTGCCACCGTCCTGTAGTCTGAGGGCCCGAGGCCAAAGAGTCCCTGTGTTTGTGCAAAGTCAGATGTAAACAAGACACCTCCGGGCACCTCGCTAGCGCTGCACGGGTCAGGACCGGGGAGCAAGGATTGGGTTTCTCTCCCTGCCTCAGCCCCAGACGCACTTTGTGACCATGGCCAAGTCACTTTCCCAGGCTAGGCTTCCGAGTCCTCATGGGTAAAGAGCAAGAACCTTGAATTCCATAACCCAACTGGGGTACCCTCCAACAACCACAGGTTAAACAAATAGCTGTCACTTTAAGTAGCTACACGTTACAAGGAGTAAGACTGAGCAGGATTAAGTGGCAGGACGCTGCTCAGGAAAAAGCCTCTCAGATCAGGTCAGGATTTAGCGTCCCTCAGGGCAGGGCTGGGGACCACCAGCCACTGCCTCTGCCCCCTTGAACACCAAGGGGCCACGCGGAGAGTGAAAGAGGAGGCTGAAGCCATCCGAAATGGCGGCTGTCACACCTGCAGGGCAGAGAAGTTTTTGCAGTTGCCGAACTATTATGAGAATCATGGTTTGAGAACCGGAAGCACCTTGTCCACTTCATATACTATTTTAAGCCCCGCCCTGCACTCACACACTCAAGGCCACGGTGTTCTCTGTTTCAGCCAAGTGCAGGGGATGCAGTAAAGGATACGCCTAGCACCAGCTCCTCGCCGCTCTGCAGCTCCAGGACCCAGGAATTCCAACACAAATCATTCTGTATGCGTTTTAATACAGTCTTTCCTTTCTCTGTACATAAGGTATCCTATGCATATATAACAAATACATCCATCAGCTGAGAGAAAACCTCTTAACGTTGCCCAGGATCTCACAGGAATAGAATTCAAAAGCAACGATGCGAAGAACTAGCCCTTACTGAGTGTTCCCTGGAAGTTTGGCCCTGCCATAAGTATTATTAAATGGAGCCTATCCAGCCCTTTACAAGAAGGAGCTCTTCCTGTTTTGCAAATGTGGAAATTAAGGCTCGGGGAAGAGAACCCTCACTTGCCTAAGGGTCCTGAGCCCAGCTCTGCTCTGTGCGAGGAGTTTACCGCAGGGGATGGATACTGCCTCCCCGAACTGACACTGACCTAGTGCCGCATTCCTTCCCCCAATAGGTGCCGAATACCCGCTTTGTTTCAAGCCCTGTGGTAAGGACACAACGGTGAACACAGGGACTGACGGTGAGCGGTGAGGACAGAGGGGTCAGTAGGGTCGCATAGGCCATGGTGAGGACTGTAGATCGGATCCTAAGAGCCATGGGGAGGTTGGGGGGAGGAGGCAGAGTGAAGGTTACATGGTAAGAATCTGTGTTCTAGCTGCTGAGAGGTGATAAATTGGAGACGGCAAAAGTGAAAAGAGGGGGACCAATTTAGCAGGCCCCCTGACAGTGCACTGGTGCCAGACTGATCCTCAAACTAACACACTCAAGGTTGAAAATATTTGCACGACTGTAAAACTTCAAAACCGGAGAGGAGTTGCCTGTTGTCTGAACCTTTTCTTTGTGTGACCCAGCAGGCCTCTCAAAGGGAACTACAAGTTTGGAACAAAGACCCCTTTTCCAGAAGAAAAAAACTAATCCCTCATTTGAAGTATTGTAAGTGATTTGATATTTACAATACCAAATGCCCAATTTAATAGTTGGCAAGAGTGATGCAGCCTAAGAAGTAACTACTAATTATTGGGTCAAGTGAGAGAGTGAAAAATCACTAACCAATAAACTACAAAGGTGACACGTAAGCCTGCCATGGTAGGAGCGGGGACCTCCCCTCTTGCTTTGGCTACCGGAGGTACAGTGGAACCAGCAAAGGCACAATCTAGAGAGTGACTGTGAACTTCAGCTTCCACCTCTGAGAAATGGAAATAACAATTTGTAATGCTTAACTGACATAATAAAGCGCCTAGCCCTTAATGGTAACTATAAAGTATTGGTAATTAATAAGTATTATTTGGCTCATATTAAGTATTTAAGTATTTCAATGGCAAAGTGCTTAGTTCTGTCCCTCACCCCTGCAAAGATTAATTAAATAAAGCAAACTATTTTTTTTAAAGCTCTACTGTTGAAACAGGTAGATTAAATGATTTTACTGTGATGGGAAAAATGAATTGGGGAAGTATATTTTATTAATATTTGTCCGATAAATTAGTCGGATACTATTAATATACTTTTAGATGCTTAACACTTTTCTGAAGAAAAATATTCACCTTAATTTCCTCTGTGGATTAAGTTATTAAGCTCTTTAACGTGAAGCCTCATTTCTTAATCAGAATCTGGGTACGCCATCTCCCAAAAGGGACCAGAGGGATGCTGGGAGAATAAAGGTGCAACTGGGTGCAGGGCCTGAAAAACAAAGGGGCCCAGTATATGTTTGCTGAAGGAATCCTTATTTTACACATTGTTATTGCTATCGGGAGCATTCTGCATTAAGCCAAATTCCTACGGAAATGCAAAGCCTTGGAATATTGGGGAAAAATGCAAAATCTCAACTTTTTTAAAAAATAATAATCCTAGTCAACCGTCACGCTCAAATTTTTGCATGAAGGAGACGCAGCGGCTGGAAATGACGGGCAGTTGGAGATCACTTTGCCGCAGAACGTGGGTCTTCCTGTCCTGACAGCGAACTAAGTGTACAGGGGAGGACCTCGGGCGCGGACACCGCCTCCCGCGGCTGTGCTGTGCCTTCCCCCCGAGCCGTCTCAGATGGGCCGGGGTCCTGACCAGCTGCGGGACGAAAGGCCTCCCCGGGAGGGGCCAGGGGACGCGCCTGACCCCACGCTGGACCGGCGGGGCCGGGTCTCTGCCTGGCGGCGCAGAGCTGACTCAGGGCGTGCGGACAGAGGCAGGCGCCTGCCGCGGCGTCCACGAGGACGCGCTCCCCACGACGTGGGTCACCGATCTGCGCCCGCGCCTCAGGGTCACCTCCTGCCCAACCAGAGAGCGCCCAGGACGAGCGAAGCCTCGGCGTCCCCTGTCTACAGCAATAACCATTCCCTGGAGGCGACCTGCGCTTTGGTTGCCAAAGAGCTTCCGCTGACAAATGGATCCGCTGCCTCTGGAGAGGACGGCCAGCTTGTGCCCACACTGAGAGGGGAAACTGAGGCACGGGAGTGGGAGGGGCTTCTGGAGGCTAGGGGGGTGAGGGGTCTGGAAGGTTCCTCAGCGTCCCCCACCTCCCACCCCCGCTCCACGCGCTCCATCGGAGCAGACCGCAGGAGGGTGCCTCCCCACCGCCACCGCCGCTCCCGCCACCCCGGTCCCCCCTCCAGCGCGACCCCGCCCCAGCCGCCCAGGCGCTGACCACCTGGGCAAATACCTCTAGCCATGACCCTGGTCTGTCACCGCCTAGGATCTCCCGGGAAACGCAGCTTTCGAAAAAAGTTGCAACAACTGTAGCCAACTGCTCCAAGGAACACCGGCTGCTGCCCTGATTGGCGCCGCCGCCCGCCTCTCTCCTGGTCGCGCACCGTGATAGGCTAATGCGAGGAAAAGCCCGCCTTTCTCCCCGCCTCCCCGGCCGGGGGCGGGGCGAGCGGCCGCACTTTCTACAAACGCTTTCGGGACAGGTCCCGGAGGAGGAGATGTAGGGAGGGGGTTTAAATTTTACCGTCTCCCTGCGCTGATTGGCTGCGGTGGAGACACCCGCGCTGCCATTCGAGGCTCCAAACTCCGCCCACTCACGGTGCAGAAACTCCGCCTCAGGAGGTTCAGTCACGTGTCTGGAGGACCCGTCACTGAGCGGACTCCGGGGACTTCCGGTATATCTCCAACTTGACCAAACCGGGCCTTTGATCTACTCCCTCCGCGTCTCACCTGGGAAGCCCGGCTCCGCGCAGCTGGGCAGCTCCAGTCCCTTGACCTCCTCCAGCTGTTTAATCCATTCATTCCCAGGCTCGAAAGGCTTACTGGGAGGGTCTGTTAGTCCATTAGTCAAAACCCGCTGGCCTGGCTCCTACCAACCGAGTCAGTGGGGGAGCCCAGAACCTCAGCGAGCCCTGGCCCCACGTGCCCACCTAGTACACGGATGGGGAAACAGAGCACCCGAGGGAACAGTTGGCTTACTTGCTGCCCATGGTCACCCAGCGGTTTAATTGCAGGGCCTGGATCAGTCTTTTGAGTATTAGTGCACTGGATGACTACGCAGGGAAACAGCCCTGCACTGCTCCCCACCCAGGGGAGCCTCCGTGGGTTTGGTCCTGGAGAAGCACAGGTGTCCTGGGTATTCTTTTCTTTGAATGCAGGGAAGGTATCCGGTTGCAGCTCTTCCCTAGGGGCCCCTCCTGGGGATGTTGGCAAGTCCCTCCCTTATCCATTTTCCCTTTGGTCCCTGAGAAGGTTCTGGAGACCTCAGCATTAACCATGGAGCCTAGCACGGCACCAAGAAAGTAGAAAAGCAAAACAAGGAGATGTATATGAAAGTGCTGGGGAGAAGAGTCGCTAAATTGCTGTGTGGCATTGGTGTGTCGTTCCAGCTCGTTGGCTCTCCACTTCCCTAGCTGTCAAACGATTTTGGTGTTGGGCAAAGAGTGGTCTCCAAGGTTTCTTTCAACTTCCCCAAATATGTAACGGTTTTTACTTTCTCTAAAATGCGTCAATTCAACATTTCCTTGAGCTGTGTGCCTGGCATTGTCTGGTCCACTGAGGATACTACAGTGGCAAATAAGACACACCCCCATATTTTTGGGGGGAGGAAACGAACTGGAAATGACTTTTTAAAAGGTAGTATATTACGTAGGGATCAATGTCGTGAGTAAAATGAAAATGGGGAATTTTACTGAGCATGAGTGGGGAGAGGGTGGCTTCTTTAGGTTGGTGAAGTGAGAGAAACTCTCTTTGAGTTGGTGGCTTTAAACTATACCCTAAGTACCTAAGATCCATGGGGAAAGGTACTTCTGGGTAGAGGGAAGAGCAAGGGCAAATGCCTGGAGGTGGGAATGAGCTCCGTGTGCCTGGGAGAGAAAACCCCCGGTGTGGTTGCAATTGAGCATGTGATAGGGAGGCGGGAGGAACCGGGCGGAGAGGTCCGGGGGATGGAGCCCAGAGGCGGCCGAAGATGCTGCTGCTGTCTTTGCTCCAAATCCACTTTTCTCTCTCCTGCTCTGTGAATCGGGCTTCAATTTTGTAACTTGACTCTAGTCACTGCTAAATGGCTACCATGGTCAAACGGCTACATCCATGTCTGCTTTATTTTTACTTATTTTTGGTTTTCAATTGAATTTGAGAGAGAGAAACATCGATCAGCTGTTCCACGTATGTATACATTCATTGGTCGCTTCTTGTATGTGCCCTGACTGGGGATTAAACCTGCAACCTTGGCGTAGCAGGGCGGTGCTCTGACGGACTGAGCTACCCGGCCAGGGCCTGGACACTTCTGCTTTCATGTCCTCGGGAGCCCTGAGCCACCAGTAAGAACCACGGAGAGGCTGCTGGAGAGACCACATGTGGAGAGAGGAATACGGCTGTCCTCGCATTCTGTCAAGAGCCCAGCCCACAGCTGCTCCATCAGCTGGTCATAGTCACACAAGTGACTATGAGCAAGACCAGCAGAAGAGCTGTTCAGCTGGGCCCAGCTCAGCTGGCAGGATCGTGAGAAATAAAATGTTTCTTGTGTGAAGTCATTACATTGGGGGGTTGTTTACCTTACGTAGCTATAGATAAGCATATGCCCCATATCTAAAGCCAAGGGCATTACTTCCCCTTCAGACCTCTTTGTCTTCCTGAAGTCTCGGCTGCCCTTGATGGCCCTTAAGCCAGAGCCAGAAATGGAGATGTCATCCTGTCATCTTTCCTGCCCCCACTCCTGTCTGACCAGCCGCTGTGTCTTGCTGGCCTGACCATCTAAATATTCCCTGACTCGGACCCTCTTCTGTTGCTCAGCCACTTTGCTCCAATTCAGGTTCTGTTGTAACCTCTCTCGACCCTCCTGTCTTCGTATCTGCGGCCCAGTTCTGAGACCTGCTGGACTGCTTCCACAGCAGTCTGGGGACAGCGCGTGCCCAGCCCCGCTGTTCTCTGCCTAACAGGCTTCAGAGGGCCCTGCAGCCTGAAGAATAAAGCCCAACCCCCCCACCCCCCCGGAAAAGGCTCTCTGAGAACAGCCTTCGCCTACTTTTGCGAGCCTACTGATAAGTCCTTTTGACTTGCTCCATCAGTCAAGGTTCAGACAGGAGACAGAAACGACATGTTATTTAATGGAAATAATTTAGTACAAGAAATTGTTAACTACGTATAAGCTGGTTAATTGGATGACAGGAAGGGTAAAGAGAAAACCTGACGGCAGCACAGAGGTAGCAGCTGCAGGAAGCAGCTCTCGCTACCTGGGCTAAGGGAACAAAGGGGAGGGTTGGCGTCATTTTAACTCAGAAATTACAGCAACCTGACTGCGAGGCGGCGGCTCTTGCTGGTCCTCCCGTCGGGGAGGCCGCGGCTCTGGGAAGGAAACGCAGCTGCTGGGCGAAGTGTTGCAGGGATGACGCTCCCCGGAAACTTGTCTCCTCCAGCCCCGCAGCGTCCCTGAAGCACCAGCTACCACGGGGCCAGGAGCTGAGGTTGGGAGTAGAGAAACAGCATCTGGATAACGGACACTCTCACCTGATGACTGCTGCTTTGCAAGTGCTGTTTCCTCCTCCAGAAACGCAGGTGCGCCTTCTCTGCCAGGTTAACGCCTACTTTTCAGCTCAGTCATCACTCTGTCAAGGAAGCCTTCTGTGACTTCCCCAAGGAGGTCAGATGCCTTTGTGACAGGCTCCGTTTGCCTCTTTGTAGCAGTGTCACTGTTCCAGGGTGAGACTCTGGGGAATCGTTCGATTAATGCCCACTAGACTGTAAAGGCATTAATCTCAAGGACAGGGGCCATCCACTGCCACTTCCTTGATTTGTTTTTCTTAAACTTGTGTTCCTAACCTCTAATGTGCTCGCTGGCACAAAGTGGGGGCTCAGTCAATGTTTGCTGAATGGAGTGAGCAGTGTACGTGTAATGGATGAGAGGCAATCAGTGCATGCCTCGGTAGGGACTTTACTGAACCTGCTTCTGGTAGTATCTCAGTTCCTGTCGCGACACTTCTTGTGTTGTTATTCTGAGGTGCACTGTGTGTACATGCAAGCAAAACGTATTATATATTCTCACAGAGGTGCTTCATTCTTTTGAAGAACTGTTTCACTGTAGAAAGTACTATAGTTAACCAGTCCTTTCTTCAAAGACATTTAGATTGTATCCCATCTTTTGCTTCCTATAAACAATTCTGCGACGAATAACCTCGTGCATACCATTTGTGTGCACATGTGCAGCTGCATTAGAAATGTCCACTGAAACACCATCTTTTGCACTGCTTCAAGGTGAAGAGCTTATGCAGGGATGGCAGCGACGATCTGCTGTGGATGCTTGGAAAGTGACGCATGGGCGTGAGTTCCTAGGTCGGGCCTCTACTTTCGGAATCTAGTGCTCATCCAGTCCTCGTGCGAGGCTGCAGTGCGGGAGTCACTTTGAAACTGTATTGTTCCAACCAAGCTCCGCAGACACTGATGCATTAACTACAATATCTTAGATTTCTTTGCTGCATAATTCCATACTTTTTTCTCCTTTCACAACGTGACAGATTTGTCATTGTTGTCACCTACATAGGCCATAAACTAGTCTAGAGGGTGGCAGTGACCAAGACAGATGAAGATTTTGTTCTTATGAAACTTTTTATTTTTACCTTTATAAGGTTTTTTTTGCGTGTAAGGATTAGATGAAATAATGGAAGTGAAATTATTAGCAAAGCAATTAGTTTATGTGGATACATATATACAATGCATACTTATGTCTATAAACGTTAGGATGGAAGATTCATAATTATTCTTGCCATGACTACTCCTCTCCCCATTCTTCTTGAGGAGCTCAGATCTTAACCTCCAAGCGTCCCAACGCCTTGGTTTCCTTTCAACATAAGGCGAGTGCGACGCGCCGCCAGTAGGGGGCAAGAATTAACCAGGCAGGCCTATTACCTAAGCAACAGCGTCAAACAGCATTCTCAGAATGACTTTACAAAAGGGTTACCAAGAAGTGAATTTATTTATTCTGTTAGGTCACTGTAAGAAAGGGAGAGGTGGTAACGACAGACTAGAGGCTTTGGGTCGAGGCACTCTGCAGCAATCACTAATTGAGAGCAGTAGTTTAGTTTGGGTTACCGGGTGTGCGTACGGAAAAAAGTGGGGCCGATGGTGCTCACACTCTTTAGGATGATAATGACAGTGGGCCCACCGAAGGGCTTCGAGTTACTTGCGGTTTCATCCTGAACAAAGTGCTTTGAACGAGCCTAACAAGCAATGCATAAGCGAGCACTTTTTTCTAGGACTGCCTACGTAATGAAGAGTTTTCGAAAGTAACAGAAAAGCCACTAGGTAACTTCCTGGACAGAAGACACCCATCAAAGGGGATTTGAAAACAGCCTCGGGCCCCTCCTAGCCCGACTTTGAAAGCAGGTGCGGAACGCATGCGCCCGGCCCACCCGCTGACCTGCGCGTGGCACCCAGAGCCTAGACCTTCTTCCCGACAGCCAGCGGGGAGAAAGGGAGGGGAAACGGAATTCTCGCGAGGTCTTTCGAGCGCCGGCGGAAGCAATAGACACGTGACTCTCCGCAGCGGCCTTCGCCTTCCCCCTCCCCCTTCTCGGAAACCCGGCCCCCTCACCCCTCTCCCACCCCGGAGCCGCGGTAATGGACCGTTTGGGTTCCGGAATTCCCCTGGATCCAACCACTGGTACCGGGGCGGCGGGAGCCGACGGAGTCTGTGCTTGGCGGCGAAGGCAGGGGGCGGTCAAGATGGGGGGGGTAAATCCTCTCCCTTCGTCTACGAGGGAGGCGGGGCGGAGAGGGGCGTGGGGGAGCGAGGTGGGGGGGAGGGAGGAAGTCACGTGGGGCGCGCGGCGCGCGCTGCGCCTCATCCGTCGCCCCACCCCCTCCCCTGGCGGGGCGGGGGGCTGGGGGGAGGGGCGTCAAGATGGCGGCGGGGAGGTAGGCAGAGCCGGACGCCGCTGCTGCCGCCGCCACCGCCGCCTCCGCTCCTGTCGCTTCTGGTTCTTCAAGCTCTCGACTCCCAGGAGAAGCTGTACTGGCATCGCATCCCGCGGGGAAAGTAAGTCCTCCCCTGAACCCTCTTCTGCTCCCGCACTCGCTCTCCCGGACAGCCTCCCACTCCCACCCTCCTTAGGGAGCTGTGCGGGGCCGGGCTGGGGGGGGGCCGCCACCTCACCCCGGTTCGGGGCCTCCCTCGCCGCTCCCTGAGCTACTCGTCCCGGGGGCCTCGGGGGCACGGTCCCGGCGGCGGCCCCGCCGCGCTCGCTTTCTCCGCCCGTCAGCGCCGGGCCCTGTGGTCGCCGCGCGTGGGGCTGACGGGCCCCGGGGGCCCCCGCTGTCCCGGGCCGGAGGCACCCCCTCGGGCGGGGAGCAGGGTGTGCTGGCTTCGGCTCCGGCTCCTCTCGGGTCGCCTCCCTTTCTTGTCCCGTTCGGCACCGGGGCTGCGAGGTCCCGGACCCGAAGGAAAGTGAGCTCCGCGATCCTTCAAAAGTCCGGTTGCCGGAGGGTCGCTCCCGGTTTAGGGCGAGTGAGGGAGGCTACAGGGGGGCCCCGGCCTGGATCCCGCGCCGGCGGATTGTGACCACCGCGCCCTGCGGCCGTGGGGAAGGTCCGCGGGACACGTGGGGGCCACCTTCAGGCTCCCCCGGTTTGAGAGCGCCGCTGCTCCCGGCGAGCTCGCGTGTCCCCGGCCCGCAGCATCTCTGGAGGGGAAGGGCGGCTGGGGGTTTGCAGACTTTGAGAGTGTTGGCGTAAGTAGGACCTAAAGTTCCCCAAAGCGGCGTGCGCGGGTGGTTTCCCAGAAGTGGCTCGGGGTCGTTACCCGCGGCGGAGCTGTGGACGTTCCCGAGCGGGCGATTGTTTCTCTCCTGGGCGCCCAGCCCCTCCCCTCTCCACCCCGGCTTTGTGCTGCCTGCCGTTGGGTGCCTGTTTGCGGTCCTCTAACTTGATCCTCTCGCAGAGCAGCGCTTTTCACGGGCGTGCTCCGTGGACTGTGGGAGGCTTTTGTTCTGGGGAGTCGCTGGAGGAGAAACGGGGCGAAAGGACGCGCGAGAAAATGGGAGTCCGGCAGGGAGAGCAACGTTTTTATCCATTGAATTGCGCAGCCAATTGTAGCAGCACCCGGAAGTTTGTGCGGAACACGTGTTGATGAGGGAAGGTGGCAAACTGGGTCCCCTTTGACCTTTGAAAGTTGATTACTAGCAGTTTACGTTCAGTTAAATGTTTCGTGCTCTCTGGACGCTCAGACTTAGAGGCGCACGGGGGCTGCTCCCCGGGTCGCCGGGAGGGTCCTGAGCGCTGTCAAAGCCCGAGCGGCCCGTGCCGCAGACCCGGCGCTGCCGACGCCGAGGCCGCCCGGCAGGGGAGGGACCGCATTTTTTCCGAGCTGTTTGCGGCAGATCAGGACCCGCGGCAAGCAGAACTGGTTTTCATAAGCTGCGGGGGGAACCATCATCGTTTCACAAACGATAGTTTGTACGGAATTTCTGGGGTAAAATGCAGGGTTTGCTGCTAGTGCCTGGGGTGGGACATTAATTTTGCAAGCAAAGGAACGTTTTATTTCCATGTTTAAAAAGGTTTCCGAATTTTACCTTACCAAAGGTAAGACATTTTAAATTTTTTCCTCTGGCCTCTGCTTTTTATCTCTCAGTCTAACTTTATGCCATGTGATTCTCTCACAATTTTAAGTAAGTTTTACATCAGTTGCTGGTTAAGCCTTAAAAAGGGAGGCCTAAGTGGCTTATAGCTTGTTCATTCATTCTTTCACTGACTGCTGTTATGTCAGGCAATTTTACATGTATTTTTATTTTATAAAAGATTTTATTTATTTTTAGAGAGAGAAGAGAGGGAGAAAGAGTGGGAGAGGGACATGAACGTGAGAGAAACAGGAGTCGGTTGCCTCTCTAAACGCATCCTGACCTAGAACAGAGCCCGCAGACCAGGCGTGTGCCCGGACCAGGAATCAACTGGCCAGCTTTTGCTTTGCTGGACGATGCCCAGCCAACCGAGCTACACCAGTCAGGGCTACCTGTATTGAAAAAAAAATTTTTTTTTAACTTACTGACTTTCCAGAGAGAGAGAGACAGACAGACATTGATTTGTTGCCTCTCTTGTCTGTGCACTCCTTGGTTGATTATTGCATCTGCCCTGACAGGGATCTCACCCGCAACCTTGGCTGTTGGGTTCATGCTCTAGCCAACTGAGCTACCCCGCCAGGGCCAATTTTACATGTTTCAAAGGCTTTGCTGAAATTACCACTTAAAAACGGGCAGTATGGAGATTCTTTTACCTGCTTTTAAAAAAATGATTCACGGCCCTGACCAGACAGCTCCATTGGTTAGAGTGTTGTCCTGATACAGGAAGGTTGAGGGTTCGATCCTTGGGTCAGGGCCCGTACAAAAAGCAACCAATGAACGCGTAGATAAGTAGAACAACAAATTGGTGTTTCTCTTTCTCTCCCCTTCCCCCTTCCCTCCCTAAAATCAATAAGTAAAAATTTTTAAAAAATGATTCATCTAAAGAGACAGATACATTTTGGCATTTCTCAGTCTCTAAATTCAGCTTTGTTTTCAGACCTGCCACCTGTGAAGGACATGAACACTCAGATCCAAGTAATCTGTCTTTTCCTGAGGCTCTAGGAGTTCCCACACATTGCCTGCCAAAAGGAAATACACTTTTTGAGAGGAATTGCTTTCATGTTAAATAGTCAATTAATAACTCACATGGTGTGATTTTAAGGTTTTTTGCAATGTTCTTTTTCTTTTCTTTTTTTTTAATGCTAATTGATAGATCCATTTTTGTGGTTGAATTTTCCATAGATGGAAAAGATAGGCTCTTAAAAGAGCCCATTTTATCAATAAGATGCTGTACAAAACTCATCAGCTCTGGCTGGTGTGGCTCAATGGATTGAGCGTCAGCCTACGAACCAAAAGGTCACCAGTTCTGTACCCAGTTGGGGCACATGCCTGGGTTGCTGGCCTGGTCCTTGGGGGCATGTGCAAGGCAAACAATCTATATAGCTCTCACACATCGATGTTTCTCTCCCACTCTTTCTTCCTCCCTTCCTCCTCTCTGAAAGTAAATAAATAAAATCTTTTTAAAAAACCCATTAAATTAACATGCTTATTTATTTTTTTGGAGGCAGCATATAGCATAGAGCATTTTTCCCCTAAACTTTTTGATTGCATACCATGCTAAGAAATATGTTTTTCATTGTGATATAGTACATATACGCATAAAACTGAATAACTCATTTCGTGACATAACGTTTTCTGTCTCTCCTTGCTGTGCACTGATTTTCTGTTCCTGTGCTGCAGTGTTTAAAAACACTGGCCATGGTGGACTAAACTGATTGGACAACCCACTGTGTTGTGGCCAGCAGTTTGAAAACCACTGGCACAGGGTTAAGGCGTGCAGAACCTTGGAGGGTGTGCTGTCAGACCTGAGTGTGTCGTTCGGCTCTGCTCTGGCTTTGCTGTTGCCTGGTCACATGTCCTCTCTAGGCCTCAGTTTCTCCTCTGTGACAGGGGGTAGCGGGCAGCATTTACTCATGGGCTATCATAAGGCTTAAAAGAGAAGGAGGTCCAACCCTCCAGTAAACCTGAAGGAAGCTGGCCACGTGAAGTCGATGGGGGCGGTCAGTTGTTTCATTTCCTCACCTGGTTGGTTCTTCCTTACATTTCATTTGTAAAGCATTTTTGGAAAGTTGTTCATAATATACAGATCCTTTGTGAATCCTTGCTTCCTATAGGTTTTGCAGTAAGAGCGGGAAGAGAGGCAGTCTGAGCAATTGCTCCCTTGAGAATTCAGTATTTAAAAAAATACAAATTATATCTTTTTTAAGTAAAACAAAACCCTCTTTGAGGAACTTCTTACTGACCTTTTTTTTTTCATATTCTTAAGGAATCAGCACTCAGTAGACACTTAAATACTTGTCCAGTGGACTATATCAGCTAAATTCCAAGTGGATCATTATCCTTCAAATTCTTTTTTTTTTTTTTTTAAAGATTTTATTTATTTATTTTTACAGAGAGGGAAAGGGAGAAAGAAAGAGGGAGAAAAACATGGATGTGTGAGAAAGACGTCTATTGGTTGCCTCTCACACGGCCCCCACTGGGGACCTGGTGCGCAACCCAGGCAGGTGCCCTGACTGGGAATCGAACCTGCGACCTTATGGTTCACAGGCCTGCACTCAGTCCCTTGAGTCACACCAGCCAGGGCCTTTCAGATTTTTAAACTCTGTGTCAGTCATCACATCTGGGCTGTGTAAAAGCAAAATTGAAGCTGAGTCAAAAATCAAACATGCTTGACACTGTTAAATAACAAGAAAAAAACCTTTTCATTATTAGCTCTGGTAGAGATACTAAGTAATATTTTCTGTGCACACTTAAAGGTGTCTGTTGTCTTTAAGACAGTAACTGATTAAGTGAATAAACTGAATGTGTGGCACTTCAGGTAAAAAGGGAGCTAGTATTTTACAGAACTAATTTGGAAGTTAATTATTGAATAGATTGCCAACAAGTAGTTTGTATTCTGGGAAATAAGTTGCATCAGCAATATGGAAGAAGACGTTTCTTGGATGATACTAACGTTTATCAAAGTGAGAGTAGCTACCATTTATTTCAAATAGTACAGCAGTCCTGTGAGGTGGGTTCTATTTTATCCCCAGTTGATGTTGAGGACACCGAGTCATAGAATATTACTTGACCGTGTTATACTGCTCGTGGATGACGTAGCCGGTACCGGAACCCAGATACTCTGCTTGACTCTCTAGCCTCCTCAACCTGTTGTGTGCGGCTGCTGCTGCGGACACGTCCCGTGTCTCTCTGGCCAGAGCTGCAGGCTGTAAAGGTCTGTGTTAGGTCTCAACAAGAGAAACCTTGTCCCCACTGATAGGGTTCAGTGCTGGTCTTCTCAGTGGGAACTGAATCCTTTCATTCTTCCGATTGGCTATTGTTTCCTGGGGATTCTCTTCCTGCCAAGGGTGGCTCTTGGTTTCTCTCTACTCCTGTGTCCTTGTTTCCTATTTATCATTGTTGCTTTCATAGTGTACTGTTTTAAAATAGGGGATATTTTCAAATGTATTTGTGATAAAAATGGAGCCATTTTGTTGTCCGTTGTTTGAGATACCACAGAATCACTGCTGTTAGTAACTTTTGGGTTTGTTAGATTGCTACATGTTGAATGTCATCTAAGGTCTATGAAATCCATTGTGGACACATTGTAACACAGTTCTCTTATACTTAACAGTATTTGCATTTATATGGTACTTATGTATTTTGTATGTGTATTGTATGTACTTGTTTATATGTGGTTATAGAGTGAAAATGTTTTCCCTTTCAGGAATAAATCCTGCTTATTTGTAAAGTGAGGAGGAGAAAATTGGATAATATCACCTTTTAAGGGTCCTCTCAGCATGAGCACTCAAATTCTGTGAGTCTGTAATAATTTCAAAATAGGAACATGATTAAATACGATGGGTTTTGCCTAATGGAGTTAGAGAAGGACACAGATGTTCCCTCTCTACCCATTTCCTCCTCCTCACTGCAAACAAATGTGCAGCTAGAGAATTGGTACCCGATTGGCTAAGAGAGAAAGTATCCCTAGATTTGTGCGTAAAATGTATATAAAATTAAAGTGTCTTTTACTGGTAGCTTGTAAGAGAAAATGTCTTTCACAGACACTGTCAGCGCCAGGTTACTGCCTGGGTTGGAGGTCTCGGGTTGGGACTGCTGTGAACGCATTCTGCGTAGGTAACTGAGCTGGCGCCGTCATTTCTGGTCTGAGCGCCAACAGGTTTCTCCCTGAAGTTCCTCCCTTCCTTGAACGTGTATATATTTTTTAATTATACGCTGTCAACACATGAAAGCAACTCTCAGCTAATATAAGTGGGGCTAAGTTTATTAGCAATTCCTAATTCCACTTTTCATGACAATTTGGTAGTCTGAGGGTTTTTTTAAGATGTTATTTTTATTTAACTTTTGAGAGCAGGGAAGGGAGGAAGAAAGAGAGGGAGGCAAACATCAATGTGTTTGTGAGAGAAACATCAGTTGGCTGCTTTTTGCACGCCCCCAACTGGAGACCTGGCCTCAACCCAGGCATGTCTCCTGACCAGGAATCGAACCAGTGACCTTTCAGTTCGCAGGCTGGTGCTCAGTCCACTGAGCCACACCAGCTTGGGCGAAAATAAAATATTTTTGTACATCTAATGCTCAGTGTTCAAAAAGTATGTGTATATTTCAAAAAGCTCTCATTAATTCAGTAACACTTTTCAGTGAAATATTTTTGGTTTCATGAGTTACCGTTTCTGTACTTTTGAGTATAAATAGACAAGGCTTGGTGCGCAGCTGATGCGTTAACGGGCCCTGGGACATCCAAGCATTCTGTGGTCTGTAGTTCAGGAGTCACTGGTTTAAAACAATGTGCTTTTGTTTTGAATTTAAATAAACTATTTCCAGTATTTACTTTTAGAAGCTGACATTTTCACAGTCTCAAGTTCTATTAATTTAGGTCAAGATTAGCCAGAGCAAGTGGGCCAAGACCCCTATTCTCACAGGCCCTGATGAAGTGTTATATGGATTGAAAATGTATTTTGAAGCATTGGTTTAGCTCTGTTCGTATTTTTACTGTGTACTAGGATAATTTGTAAAGTATGGTCAGCTATGTCTATATTAGAAAAAGTGGATCAACTTTATCTTAAATCCGTCTTGGGACATTTCTGCTGTTTGTGTCTGATGGCCAATTCTTTCATACTGTTTTCATCTGGCTGTCTAAAACCCCATCCCCTTCCAATTTTAAGTGTTGAAACTTCAAGGTTTCCAAAATTGACTTCTTAAATTTTTAAAAAATCCTTACCTGAGGATAGGTTTATTGATTTTGAGAGAGAAAGGAAGTGGGGAGGGGAGAGAAGCATCGATGTGAGAGAGAAACAGTGGCTGGTTGCCCCCCTCGTGCACCCCGGCCTGGGGCCACCTTCGCACCTCTCGGTGCACAGAGGCGCTGCTCCAGCCAGCTGAGCCGCCTGGCAAGGGCCAGCATGGGCTTCTCGACCTCCTCATTGAAAAGAGAACAAATGGTCTTTGGACCATGTAGATGTGGGTGGGCGACACTGGCCAGGTAGTTGAAGTTTTCGGAGCCTCATCTTTCCCGCTTTGGGCTGTGGGCCTGTGCCGGACACGGGGAGCCCAACGCTGTGTCCGGCTTGTACGGGGGAGTCAGTCCCTGTCTGTCCTCTCTTCGCCACCTTTGTGCTCAAATCGTCCTCTTTCTTGGACTTCCTTTCTTTTTTCTGAAAAGTTCTTGGGCTCTCTGTCCTTCTTCCCATCCTTTAAACAGTGGGTTTGTCCTTAGTTTCAGTTCTGAATGTCTGTGGTTTTCTACCTTAAATTCATTCATGTGTCCGTTATAACTTTTTTTGGTGTGATACACAAGCTTGTGTGACAGAGACCTCTACCTAGTAAAAGATTTCTTGGTTAAATATCATGCTTTCACCTGAAACAGTAGTCCTGCCCTGGCTGGTGCGGCTCAGTGGATTGAGCACCAGCCTGTGAACGAAAGGGTCGCCGGTCTGAGTCCCAGTCAGAGCACACAGGCCTGGGTTGCGGGCCAGGTCCCCAGGAGGGGGCGTACAAGAGGCAAGCACACGTTGATGTTTCTCTCCTTCTCTTCTCCATCCCTTCCCCTCTTTGAAAATAAATAAATAAAGCCTTTTAAAAAAAGTTTAAAAATAGTGGTCCTGTCCTTGTATGTTGGGAGTCATGGTCCTGGTGTTCTTGGCTAACACCCTTCTTTTTGTAGGATTTCTTTTTTTTACTATGAAACACTCATATTTAATTCTGTTGCATAGTCTGAGAACAAATGGACTAGCTGAAAATTAGTGTATTATTTATATAACATGAACTTTGTTTTCTGAGAAAAACAAGTAAAGATTTCCCACAAGTATGCTTGTGTATATAAATTGGTTATTTCAGATACACTATTGAGAAAAGTTAAAATTGAGAAAACTCTGTTAAGGTTTTGTTCCCTGTTGGTCTTGCTCCTAAGAGTACAGTTCGGAAACCCCAACATAAAATGTAGTTGCTTGCTCGTAAATAGGCATTTACCCCTGAAATCTATATAACTCATCCTTCAGGTCCCCTGGGCTCAACTTTTGATTACTTTCTCTAATTATTCCTCAACTCTTTTTTTCTTTTTAATTCTCCCTTCCATTTTGAGCTTTTATTTAAACCTGGTCTTAGGGATTCTCCTTCCTAAATACCGTGGAACCCACGTCCCGTCCTTCATCTTCACACCCTGCTGCCGTAGCACATCAGCTCTCTCCTGGGCTGCTGCACCAGTTTCGTAAGGTGTCCCCTTGCTTCTGGTCTTAAAGAGTGTCGGCGTCATTCACGCCTCGAGGGACTCAGTACACTGTCCAGAAAACCCCTGTCCTCCGGGCGATTACTTCCTTGAGACTCAGCTCTGCGGTCATCTTCGTGACCTCCCTCCCTCGGCCGAGCGCAGCGTGTCCTTCGGTTCCGACAGCATTTTATGGACTTACTCTTGCTCTGATTTACAAACTCTGCCATCTCTTCTATCTTCATGTGGATTTGGGGATTGAGACTATTTTCCTCCTTTTTGCCTGACATGTAGTAAGTTCTTCATAAATAATGAATGGGTCTGGTAGAAAACGTTGATTTGTATTTAGAAGAGAGTAAATTGTCATTTTAAGTTTCTAATATTAGTATTTAATATTTTGTTCTACAGATGGTGGAGCCAGGGCAAGACCTACTGCTTGCTGCTTTGAGTGAGAGCGGAATCAGCCCGAATGACCTCTTCGAGATCGATGGTGGGGACGCAGGGCTGGCCGCTCCCACGCCTGCCCCCTCCGCTCACCAGGTGCGTGAGCGTTCTCCGAAGCCTCTGTGAAAAGCTGGGCTTTTCTTCACTTCAATTTGTACTCACAGAAGTAGATATTATTAAGCCTTACTTTTAAACGTGCATATGAAGGGTTTTCTTAGTGTTAGTCTTCTTTCATGAGGTGGGAAACGTGGGCAAGGAAAGCTGAGACCATTTTTTGTTTTGCTGCACTGTGTAGGTAGGAAGAGAGGAGTCGTTTATAGTTTTCTGAGAGGATGGTTAACCCCCTTCATAGTGCATCTCTCTGTACTTGCTAGGAGCGTTTTTCTGAGGTTTCACTGTCCAGGTTTCTGAACGCAGCGGGGGACCGGTGTTGCCTGCTGCCGGGGAGGGGCGCGCGTGCCTAGCGGGCGGCCTTTCGCCTGGTGTCCGCGATCATGCCTGCTGTTTGGGAAGTTTGACATTCTTCGTTTTAATAAAATACCTACACCTCTTGTTCTTGAAATGGAATTCACTGTGTCATTCTTTATTTTTCTCAATATTGTTTTCTCTCCAGTCAATGCCACTTAGTACGTTAGAACTGGGTTTGGAGACCGAAGCAGCAGCTCCTGTTAAACAAGAACCGGAGACAGTGCCTACGCCAGCGCTATTAAATGTTAGGGTAAGAACTACTTAGATTTGGCATCACTACCTAAATAATTGGGATCATAGTAAGAAAATAACCTTTCATGCGAAACCGTTTTATCTCATTAGTTCTGCTTATTGCTACTCTTTTCCAATGTTCTCGTCTCATCTCCAACTTTGTAAAAACATTTGTTCCATTCTTATCATAGTTACATTGCTCAAAAGATAATTTGGACAAAGCAGAAACTTCTTACTGCAAATGACACAATTTATGAAACAAAAGTAAACTATGCATTATCCTACTATATTTTTCAATTTTGCTTGTTCAGCTTTTGTTCATTCATATATGTAACTTTTTTCATTTTTTGAGATTATATTTATTTTTAGAGAGAGGGCAAAGGAAGGGGGGGGAAGAGAAACATCAGTGTGTGGTTGCCTCTTGTGTACCGCCCCCCCGCCCCCCCGCCCCCCCCCAGGGACCTGGCCCACGACCCAGGCATGTGCCCTGACTGGGAATTGAAGTGGGGGCCTTTTGGTTCGCAGGCCGGCACTTAATCCACTGAACCACACCGGCTAGGGCCCTTTTTTAAAAACAGTTGTCTGATTGTTTGTGCTGTTATAGTTGTTGGTATATATAACTTTTATGTGATTATAATTGTGCTTTAAATACAGATTTCCTCTGACCTTACCTTAAATACAGCAGTTACTAACTTAAGCCTAGTGTTATAAAATTATTGGACGAAACTGGTTAAAATTTGATAACGTGGTAAATTATTGAGAGTTTTATTTAAAAGTGATAAGCAGTATCTAGAAGATTCTTGTTACAGGCACTGTGGAGAAATAAGATAGTTTGAAGTGGAAAGGAAGTAGAAATATACTTAAATTCATAAAAGTACCTCAGTTACATTATAGTCGCTTTTAGTTACAGGCATATTGTCACCCTCAAGTCTTGCCTTTTTTTTCCTTTTTCATCCAGCTCTTACCCCCGCCCCATACAAGCGCTATGCAGCTTTGTTTTAGGCTCACAGGCAGCTCATGCATTATCACTGGTATTTGTGACTTGCATAGCTGGGCCATTTGTGTGATGTAGGATTTAAAGCTCTACTTGGCGGTTTTATCTTGTTAAGTTCTGAACATCCGTACAGTCTGTATGAGAAAGAACAAAGCATCGGACGGGAGTCATGGAGTGTTAGAGATGGAGAGTGATCCTCAGAGGGCCCGGGCCTCCAGGGGCACAGGGACTTACCCAGGTCACCTCCCCAGCTGGGGCGGTGCTGGGTTATACATGCTTCCCCTTCCCGGTCCTCGTGTCATACAGGGCTCTGCACGTTCCACGTGACGTGTGCTCGCCCCGACACTTAAATAAGATGTCACGCTACCCCTGTACCTTCTTTCCTCAGAGTGGTGTATTTTAACTTGGTAGTTTATTGTATTCATATTTAGTTTAAAATGAAGTGCCAATTGTTAGGCAGCGCAGAAGCCTATTTCAGATTGCGCATGGTGTGCTGTGTTCATGGGTATAGGCTACCTTGGAGGAGAGCGCGTCTCTCAGTGCAGTGATGCATGTGGTTTTCTTTTCGCTATAGCAGCAGCCTCCATCTACGACAACATTTGTGCTGAATCAAATAAATCAGCTTCCGACCTTGGGATCTACCATTGTAATGACTAAAACACCACCTGTAACAACGAATAGGCAAACCATCACTTTAACAAAGTTTATCCAGACCACTGCAAACACACGCCCTTCAGCCTCAGCACCAGCAGTACGAAATGCCATGACCGCCGCACCTCCGAAAGACCAGGTTCAACTGAAGGACCTCCTAAAAAATAATAGTCTGAATGAACTCATGAAACTGAAGCCACCAGCTAATATTGCTCAGCCAGTTGCAACAGCAGCTAGTAAGTCTTTCTGTTTTCAGTGGTGTCAGTTGTCTGCCTTTGGTACTTACAGTCTTTATACAATTCAAGAGAAGCAAAAGTGTAGAAGCCTTAGCGTTTAGCTTTGAAATGAAGTGTGGAATTACCAAGTGGCTTTGTTGGCATCATGAGATCTGTTTTATATATTTTTCTCAGTCCTTTCAACCAGTGCTTCTCGGTGATTATGTGCCTCTGGATCACTTGGGGATCTTGCTCAAAAGCAGTCAATTCAGTAGGTCAGGGGTGGGGCCCAGGAGCCTGCGTTTCTAATGAGCTTTTTGGAGGAGCTGTTGCTGCTGGTGGTCCTTGGCCCATGCTTGAAGGTAACAGGCTTTGAAACTGAGAGTTTGGTACTTGAGCTCAGACCTTTATGGTTTGCCTGTCATTGACTTCATTGCTTGTGGGTAGTCCTGTTTTTAGTAAATTCTCTTTTAAAATACATACACTCTCTCATAAAATAATGCTATATTTTGTTGAAGAGTGAATACCCATAATACTTTTTAATAATAGCTTTTTTGAGGTGTAATTTTTTAACCCATTTAAAGTGTAGAGGTGAGTGTATTTAAGTATAGTCACAGAATGGTACAGCCACTACCACTAGCTAATCCATAATACTTTTAAGGATAGGTTTAGATGTAAAGGGAAAAAGCCCAGCAGTGGTTTGATCACACCTTTTTAGGAATTCATTTATGCATAAAGAATGTAGATTTTCTAGTTAGTTTTTCTCCCCTAGGGTGGCTTTTTTGTTGTTGCTCATTCATTCAACAAGTATTTGTTGAGCGCCTCTATGTCAAACACTGTTCTGGGGCTTTGAGTCTATGGCTGAGGAAGAAACGGTGGGAAGCTCTGCTCTCACGGAGCTTGCGTCCTGGTGGAGTCACACAGCGCACGAGTTACATGGTCTGTCGGGACAGGCGCTGGGGGGAGAGACGGGAAGTGGCATGGAGGCAGGAGAGCTCGTAGTTCGAGGTGGGGTGCTCAGAGGAGGCTTCACGTGTGGTATAGTGCGGTTGTTTTTAAGGGTGAAGTAGAATTACTCTTTTAAGTCTGACTATATCAAGTTTTAGTAATACATTTTTAGAAACTGAAAAATGTGAGTTCTCAAGAAGGATATTTTTTCCTTCTCTTCTCCATTGAACTAAATAGTATTTGAGTCCCTGTCACGCAGTGAGACCAGAAGGGGCACTGTTGGAGACGCCCGCTCTGGCCCTGGGCGTACCCTGAGCTGACCTGCTTCCTCGTGCACTCTGTCAGCTTCGGCACTGAGGCGCGGGCGTCCAAGGGAGAGTTCCTCCTTCCAGACAGCCGCTTGATGTTTCTGGTAGTGGGACATGAGTTTTAACACCTGGTATAGACCCACATAGGATCTCGTGGCAGAGGTGACTGCATGGGACTTGTGGCGCGCTTGTGTTTGTAAGTGGAGAGTGGGGGGCTGGCGCGGAGGGTCTCCAGTGACGGTGCAGTGAAGGATACCAGGCGGTCTAATCTTTATTTTTCGGCCTGTGCTGTTGTGCTCCTTGGCCTGTAGTCTTACTCTCATGGTCCTGAACCACATGGCTGCGAGGTCCTGAACCAAGTGGCTGAGCCCTACCCGGCTCAGGGCTGACTTCTGTCTTCTGCTGGGGGCAGGGGGGGGGGCAGGCCGGGCCTGGGCCGGCTGAGGCGCCGGCGGCGTTGGAGGCGGCTCTCGGGGGCCTGGAGGTGAGCGGTGAGCGGAAGCTGCTCTTCAGAGCGTTTCAGGGTTTGAGGAGGAGAAAGTCCGCTTCCCTTCCCGCTTCCCTTCCCGTGGCTCTCTGAGGATGGCACTCCGCTCCTTCGTTCAGCGGCTGCTGCCCTAAGTTACAGGAGAGGGGTGTGCCCTCGGGGAAGGAGGCCCCGCAGGAGACGAGAGCTGCGGCACCGAGAACTGCGGAGACCGCGCCCCGCGCAGGGTGCCCAGAGACAGAAGTCTGCGAATCAGGGGCGTCCTTGTGTGGGAAGCCTGAGAAGCTCCGTCAGAGTAGGCCAGCGATGGAAAAGAAACGGAGTGAGTGAACACGGAGGATAAGCAAGCGTTTGTGTGGTAGGAGGTCATCTTTTTACTGAAAGGGGAAAAGCATTAAAGTGTGGAGCTGCGGAGAGCCAGGGGCTGCCTGTTCCGCTCCCGTTGCCGGCCTGTGCGGCCCCTGCCCCTTTTGGAGCTCTCGGCCACGGGACTTTTCTTTGGGTTCGCCCCCTCACTGGGGCCCAGCCCGGGCTCTCTGCGGGCTGTTCACCGGCTCTGCCGCGCTTCTGTGGGCAGCCCGTGCCCAGAGCGACTTTCTTACCTCTGTCCCAGCGTTCTAGTTTGTCAGCGCTTTTCATCCTGGTCCTTGTGGACTCCTGCGTGATGGGCCCTCAGATACTCCTGTCATTGGGCAGAATAGACAAGGTGCCGATCGTGGCCCCCTGTGATTTCACGCTGACCTCCAGACCGCCAGGTGCCAGGGCGCTTCCGGGGTTCGCGGGGGTGGGGGCGGGGGCGCGCCGGGGGTGCTGGCTCCGAGGCCAGCAGCTCTGCTTCACCTCTGCGACGGGGGTTTCTGCTGCTGCGCCTAAAAGTGTGCAGAGAGAGGAAACCAGAGTTCCCCGTTGTTTTTTTTCTTCCCTTCTGGAAACAATTATTTGGTCTTGAAAGCTCGTGCCATCAGATACGGTGAGATTGATTCCATCTTGGTGAGTGCACCAGGCTTTCTGTCTGTTTTTAATGAGCCAGGTGAAGTGTCTTAAAGTGATGCTGGCTCTTGGCATTTGTATTGAAATGAACTATCAGGTAGTTCCGGTTAAGATGTCTCTTTGATAAATAGTTTTCATATATCCTGTGCATACATTTCCTTTTAAGTTACTTGTTTTTTAGGGTAAGTCCTCCATAAAGGTACACAGCTTTGAATGTTTTCATTCTTATGCTTGATTTACGTTAGTGATAAGCAGATTGGTGTTTTTCAGTTTGGGAAGGGGGTAAACTACTGAATTTTTAAAAAAAAATCATAGGAAAAGAAATTGAGATTTTGTTCTAAAATGTAATTGACTCTCCTTTTCAGCTGATGTAAGCAATGGTACAATAAAGAAAGAGTCTTCTAATAAAGAAGTAGCAAGAATATGGATAAATGACATGAAAATGCGGAGTTTTTCCCCGACCATGGTGAGTGTCAAGCAGTATGTGTGTTTTTGTGTGGTGTGGAAGTGCCCACGGCTGAAAGTGCTCTCAGCAGCCCTCAGATGCCCTGGCCCCGGGCTCAGCTGGTTAGAGCACCGTCCTGACACGCCAAGCTTGCGGGTTCGGTCCTCAGCCAGGACACATTCCAGTTAATGCGTAAATAAGTGGAACAATAAGTCCACGTCTCTGTCTTTCTGTCTCTCTCTCTTAAGTCAATAAACAATAAAAGAAAACAATCCTCAGAAAACTTTCTTTGGGTGAAGGTGGGCTGCTCTATTATATAAACTAATGAATAAGCATTAAACCTTGCTGGAATAAACTAATATATTCTAACCAAGGTGGTTAAAACTAGCATGATTGATAAGATGAGCGTAGCTACTGATACCTTTTTATTGCGACTTATCAGGAGAAAAAGTAGAGAGAAGTATTTGGAAACTGTTCATTTTAGGATTGAACCTGCATGCAAGCTGTTCATGAGCTATCAGATCATATAAGGGTCTAAATATGAATAATGATATGATAACCTTTTCCTTACCTTTTGGGAATGCTACATGCTTCGGGCCCATTGGTTCTGTACATTATTTAACAACTGCGCAGTGTGCAGTCCCGAGCGGACAGGGTAGGTCTCCGCAGGAAGTGTCCTGCCTGCAGTCTGACGAGGGTGCCTTGTGGTGGCCAGGCACAGCCAGGCCCTGGGTGAGGCGGAAGATGCAGTCGCCCTGGCCTGGGAAGGCTGCGCTCTGTAGAGCCGCTCCCAGCTCTGGGGCGTGGGCCTTAAGCCTGGAGAGACCTTCGAGGGCATTTCAGGAAGGGAGCTACAGTAAAGCTTGAATGGGGGGTGGGGCGCGGTGCTTAGGTGACACTGAGCCAAGGCACGGGGCTTGCAGTAAGATGGAGGGGTTGGTTCGGGCTTTGTGGAGGGTCCTGAGTGGAGTTTGGAGGATTCTGGACGTGGCGCTGCAGTCACTGGGTGGCGTAGGGCCCTGCCAGTGACTCAGGACAACTGGGAGGAGACTGGGAGGGGGCTGGTTAAGGGATGCGGAAGGCAAGTAGTGAGGGTCTGCTCTTGGGGGATTGGGATGGGCGAGGGGTATCAGAGGATAGGCGGGGCATGGGGACGGAGTGGGAATTAGAGGAAGCCACGCAGCTGTGCCCGAGGCTGTGCCTGGGGACCCGGAGAGCTCGTGGTGGCGCCCCCGCGACCTCACGCTTGTGTGCCAGCAGCTTGCTTGAGAGTGGTTTCTTGGAAAGGAAAAAACGCATTTTTCTCCAAGAAACGTTGTTTATAGTTAGTGCTCAGGTTCATAGTCAGCCCGCAATTGCCTGTAACAGGCCGATGTTCGTGTGGTGCCCTGGTTAGGGAGCGCTTCACAGGTCGCTAACCACAGCCTGTAGGCTCAGACCAGTGAACGCCTGTATTCTGTTTGGTCTCCGCAGGTTTTGAAAATTTTTGAATTTTTGCTAATGCATAAAAGTCCTCATTTCCAGGTTCTCCCATCCAGGTGCTGACCAGGCCTGGCCCTGCTTGCCAGCTTCCGAGATCAGACGGGATTGGGTGTGTTCAGGGTGGCGTGGCTGTAAACTGATTTCTAGGTTCTCTTAAAAAATAGGAGCACCTGACAGTCCCCGGCCCACGTTCCCCGCCTGGTGAAGTGTGCCCGGCGTGCACTGTGCGTGTCGGGTGGGCGGTGCCGGGTGCTGCAGCCTCCCTGCCTCCCGTGCGTCTCCTGGACGCGGAGCCTGCTGGCAGCTGCCATTTTACATCCAGCTGGCTTAGAAATGTCACCTGTGTCGTCCCTGGGTTTTGTGACCCTTTGTAATTACCAGCTCATCCTCTAGTTATACTGCTGGTGATTTTTTAAAATTATTTAATTTTTTTTCGGTTGGGAGATGAGGTCGAGGGAGGCAGAAGGAAGCTGGTCCTTTAGCAGAGTTTGTGTCCTGTTACCGTTGAGACAACGGTGGAGGTGGGGGGCTCAGGGTTGACATGATCTGCCCAAGGCCACCCAAATAAGTAACAGTAGAATTGGGGTTTATATCTGTTTCTTTGGCCAACCCCATTTGGTCTCCAGTTTCTGAAATTGGATTTCATTTTGGCGTGCTTACTGAGAATATTCGGAGTGTTTTGGATTTTTTTCTGAGGACTCTGAGTTGATATGATGGGATGTTTGTCTCCCCTGCCCTTTTTCTTCTCACATTTATTGAACATCTGTGTGCCTTCCTGTTCTGTTCTAGACTAAATAAAAATGAAAGAAGAGCTGCCCTTCCCTTCCAGGGCGTGTGGCCCTCAGCGTCCCCTGCCGGCCCGCCTGGGCGCCCCCCACCGCCAGCTCTGGCCTTCGCAGCTGCCTCTCTGCCCTCGCTGCGCGTGCCCATGTTAACAAAGAGCTGTCCGGGGAGTTTCCCGGTGGGGAACAGAGGCTTGCTCAGGGGCTGCCCGTCCCCGTGCTCCCCTCCCTCGGTCCCTTTCAGGTTCTGGGGAGAAACACCAGGGAACCCGTGACCGTGGTGGCTGCTGGCTGTGCGTGTCCGGGACAGTCCAGATTGCTCCTGTTTTCCTGGCGTCGTTACTGATGGCTCCCTGTTTCACTGTCAGACGTGCCAGGGTTTGGAGCACGACTGCTCAGGAACCCTGAGTGTGGTGGTAGCTGGGTCTCTGGGGACACAGGCGTCTGCAGTGAACTCTCTGCCCTTCAGAAGGACCTTTATACTCCCGAGTGCCCTGGGGTGTTGGCATTAGGTTCTGAGGGAAAGGAGACAGATGGAGGGAACCGGAAAGAGGGAGGGGAGCGAGCCTTAGATTCTGCCCACGAGGCCGAAGCACGTGCTGCCAGCCCTCGTGCTGGTCCTGGAGGGGGCTGAGTGGGGAGGACGTGGCCGGGGGCGGGCAGAATGAAAGGGCCAGCAGTTTTGGGAGGGAAGGGGAAGGGAACGTGGGGCCCTGCGGTGACCCCTTTGCGTGTTAGGAGTGAGAGCAGGTCATGGCTTGTCTGTGCTCATCATCGGAGAAGCAGGGAAGCCACAAGGTGGGACCCCGATTCTAGGGAATACCGAAGTGGCATGTCGTGTTTCAGGATGAAGATTGTGGGCGTTTCTACGGGCAAGTTTTTCTGTGTTGGCTCGGCCTCTCTCTCTGGAGTTAGAATTGACTGTGTTCTTTCTGTGCCGCAGAAGGTTCCTGTTGTAAAGGAGGAAGATGAGCCAGAGGAAGAAGATGAAGAAGAGATGGGCCATGCAGAAACCTATGCTGAGTACATGCCGATTAAATGTATGTCTTTGGGATTTGTCAAAATGGTGAAAGATTCCTTGGCGCCTCTTGAACTTAAATCACTTCCCCAGCCCATCATCTGCTCAGACTCACCAGTGTTGGGCGCCTCCGGGTTGGACAAGGGCGAGCTCTGTGATGTTCTAAGCTGTATGTTTGAGAATATCTGTGTGAAAACTTTACTGCAGGGTTTTTTTTCCCCCTCTACACAAATTTAGAACTTTGTTCTAGATTGAGGTCTTTTAAAACCAAGAATAAAATCTTGGGTTTTATTTTGTTTTAGGTAAATTTTGCTCATATTAACAATGATTATAAATGCAATAAATACAGCGATGTAAATGTGCGTGTTAGCTTCATGTAGTCTATAAAGCTTATCTAAAGCGAATCGTAAAAATGTGGCCATATTAAAAATACAGTGTGCCGTTTGGTTTCAGTGGTTTACATGAACATCATTTCTGCCTTTTTCCCATAATGGCCATGAAAACTAATAATTTGTATAAAAATGTTCATGTTTTCATTAAATTGAGTAATAAGATAGAAAAGTTATGGCTAGAATTTGTCTCTTACATACTCTAGTTTTCTATAAAAAGCCATTAATAATCCCACTTAGACTAAAAATCTCTATTTGCCAACCATGTATGGGCTCTAAGATCTCATACTTCTCTGGTGATTTAAAATGAGTTTTGGTTGTGGTATCTGAAATTTTGTGTCCCTCCCTCCCAATAGTCTCTTTACAAAAGGATTCAAAGTTTATCGATGGCCCTTTAAACCAGAGCCCGGCAGAGTAAATATAAGAATAAAATTTATTCTTATAAATAAAGTTTTACTGGAACATAGCCGCGCCCTTGGGGTTGCCTGTGGGCTGCAGCTGCGTTTGCTCCGCCCTGACGGCAGGGTCAGCGGGTGGGACCGCAGCGCAGAGAATGTTTGCTGTCTGCCGTTGAACGGGAGAGGTTTGCTGCCCCTATTTTAAATTACATTCACTTTATACATTTTGGAGAACTAGTTGCTGTTTAATTTTGTAGCCAAGAGTTTTTGTTTTTTCTTAATACCATACTTTTTTTTTTTTAATCCTCACTTGAGGATATGTTTTATTGATTTTTTTTTTTAGGGAGAGAGAGGAAAGAGGTAGGGGAGAGAGAGAAACAGACACTGGTTGGTTGTCTTCCCCATGCATACCCGACTGGGGATCAAACCTGCAACTTAGGTGTGTGCCCTGACCGGAAACGGAATCCGCAGCCCTTTGGTGCTCAGGACATCTCTAACCAGCTGAGCTACCCGGCCAGGGCTTAGTCAGATTTAAATAGCACTTCACCAATCATTAGTGACTTTTTAAAATAGAATCCTGGAGTGTATCGTTATTTATTTACTTACATTTTCTGTCACAGGAAAAGTATTGCAATATCTTATAATACATCTGGAGGTATTATCTAGAGTAATTAAAATGAAGTGTTTTTAAATTTCCATGTAGTAAAAATTGGCCTACGTCACCCAGACGCTGTGGTGGAAACTAGTTCTCTGTCGAGTGTTACCCCTCCTGACGTTTGGTACAAAACATCCATCTCTGAAGAGACCATCGACAATGGCTGGTTGTCGGCGCTGCAGCTTGAGGCGATTACCTACGCAGCCCAGGTACGCAGTGCCACTTCTGGCCGCACGCCCTGTTTGTTTTTAGTCTTAGTCCGTATACTCAAGTTGTCTTAGTCCAGAGGCAAGCTTTTCTTGCATGAAAAACTTGGGAATGATTTTTGTAGACGTTCCGTGTGTGAGAAAATTAAATGGGGGAGCATGGGTGTGGGGAGTGGATTGCTCGTGGAAATGACAGGCACCATCGCCTTTTGGAATTCACTGGGAATATGTATTGAATCTAAAGCACACATATCCTTTGGCCCAAGGATGCCGTGGCTGGGGCCTGGCCCATAGAACCATGAGATAAGAACAAAACAGCAGGCTGTTGGTCGCAGCTTTTTCCCCACAGTGGCTGAAAGCCCGAAAAGCTTTGAAAGCCCACGCCCTTGGGGGGATGGAATAAACTGCGGTGCTGCCGCGCGGGGGTTGGGTCAGCTTCTGAAACAGTGAGTGAGAGTTACGCCAGTTGTTTCGAAAGGATTTCTGTCATACTCTGTCTTTGTAAAATACATGGACAAATAGCCATCCATCCCCCACATGTATGTGCGATGTAAAAGTTTGTATTTGGTTGTGCGCATGTGGAAAGGGGCACGGAAGAACGCGCGTCAGTGTGTTAACGTCAGCTGTTTCATGCGTGCGAGGGAGCAGGGTTGAATGTGTAGCGAATAAAAAGGAAGCATCCATACCAAGCCAGACGTTCTGCCATTTATGTAAACACAGGCCATGTGACTAGAACCCTGAAACAATGTATGAAAGACTGATCACCAAATTATCAAAGGGAGTCAGTTAATTACCAGCTTTCCCTTTTTTTTCCAGCAACATGAAACATTCCTACCTAATGGAGATCGTGCTGGCTTCTTAATAGGCGACGGCGCTGGGGTGGGAAAAGGAAGGACGATCGCAGGGATCATCTACGAGAACTACCTGCTGAGTAGAAAGAGAGCGCTGTGGTGAGTGCTGCCGTGGGCCGTGGGGCGTCTGCGCGGCGCCTGCGGCGGGCTCCTGGTCGCGGGCGGACGTCTCTTCAAGTGTCGGGGCCTGGTTTTATTTATTCCTGAAAACTGCCAGAACGATGGGATCTCCACTGATTTGTTTGTTTGTTTATTTTTGTGACAGGTTCAGTGTGTCAAATGATTTAAAGTACGATGCTGAAAGAGATTTGAGGGATATTGGAGCAAAAAACATTTTGGTCCATTCATTAAATAAGGTAATGAAAGTTTTCTGTTCAGTGGGTTATTCGATAAATGGTGACTCATGTATGACATGGGAGTAATCAATTTTTACTCCTTAGTGTTGTTGAAAGGGCTCAGCGAGCCACTTCCCAGAGAACCTAGTGAGTGCTGACCTGGCGGGGTGTGTGGGTGGCTGTGTGTGACACGCAGTGCCAGGGGGTTCCGTAGTGGCCCATAAAATCGGCATTGTCCGTGTACGGGGTTTATTCTCTAGTGTTCCTTTGTCTCTTTATATGGGAGGGACCCCCAGCTATGAGAGTGCGGTGTGCCCCAGCTGTGTGGACAGGCGGCGTGGAGGCCGGTGCAGGTCCTCATACATCCAGGGGGCTGTGTGTCTGTACCACGTGCACGTTAAGACAACTCTGTCAAGTGGAAGAAAATGTGTCTCAGTGTCTGAAGCACAGTTTCATGTGATTTGAATCTTAATTTTTAGCAAATCTTCACTGTTTTCTATCTATGTACAAATTGCTGGGGTTACGGGGTAGACTGGCTTGGCTCCTGCAAGTCCTTTCCTCTGGCCCTTTGAAAATAAGTAAGCGTAAGTCTACTTGCCACATGAGTCCTAGGTTGGTTCTGTGTTGCCCTGCTCACCTGTGCGTTTTTTGGGTGAACATCCTTGATTGGATCGATAAAGTTCTGTGGTTTGAATGACTACTAACTATTCAAAACACAAACATGTAACTGGCATCTAAAGTATTTTTGACTTCTGAGTCAGTGTAATTGAAGAAGGAGAGTACATTAACTGTTAATAATTCTTACATTTCCCTCAGAACTTAATTACAGAGCTTTGCAAATTGTAGTTAAATGCATAATACTTGTAGAATAGGTATTGTGACTTTTGTAGGGGAGTTTGGTTTGTAATCTGTTTTTGGTGATAGGCTTTTTTGAGACTTTGGAAATGGTCTTTGCACCATAAAGTTGTCTGTGCACGTCTGCTAGGCACATGCATTGTGTGTGTGTGTGTGTGTGTGTGTGTGTGTGTGTGTGAGAGAGAGAGAGAGAGAGAGAGATTGAGAGATTTTAGGAGGTCCTGGCCTTCCCCGAACAGCCCGCCCTGGACCACCAGACTCTGCTGTAGAAGAGTGGGTGGAGTAAGGATCAGAGAGAAAGTGTATTTACTAAGTTTTTCTCTTTTCTTTTTCAGTTTAAGTATGGAAAAATTTCTTCCAAACATAATGGGAGTGTGAAAAAGGGTGTTATTTTTGCTACTTACTCTTCCCTTATTGGTGAAAGCCAGTCAGGCGGGAAATACAAAACAAGGTTAAAACAGCTTCTGCATTGGTGCGGCGATGACTTCGATGGTGTTGTATCCTTTGCAACAAACGTTTTTATATTTTTACTGATAGAAAGTTAATTGAAGGATGAACATGTGGAAACCAGGAGTCCAGAGATTGAGTAAAACACAGTGCTGGGGAGCCAGCCTTAGTGATCACAGAGGGTCCAACGGGCCGGGAGCTGGTTCTGTCCTTTGGCTTCATAAGTTCCTGGTTTAGGAAAATGTCCGTGGGCTTGCGAGGCGCTGAAGAGTTCGCTTTCCTCCTGGGCCCCCACTGCACGCGTGCACGGCGGAGTGCTGCGGGGAGACAGCCCGCGCGCGTGGCCCTCCAGGAGGGGGACGGCATGAAAGGCCGGCTGTGGGGCTCGCCAGCCAGGCTTCTACTGATAGGAGGTGCCAGAATTGTCTGTGTGGCAGATCTTTTCTCCGCTCTAGCTGAGGATTGAGTGTCTGGCTGCAGTGAACGCCAACGTCAGTTAGAGGCCTCTGAGCCCTGAGGGGGAGGGCATGGAATCAAGGGAAGGCACGCAGAGGGCTTTGCTGGTGTTTGTGATCCTAACGAAAAAGAGTAATAATCTGAAGCAAATATGGCAGAATGTGGAGGCTTGACAAAGCTGGATGATAGATACGAGGGTATGTTGCAAATGGGTTCACGCCCAGGGGTGTGTTACCGACAGCATCCTTCCCCCTGAGGGGCTGGGGCTTTTCCCCAGGGCCACCACCCCAGACATCTTGGGTGTTTCCCAAGGCCTCCGGGAAATGAGAGTGAGCTTTCCCTGAAAGACTGAAGGCATGTGCTGATAATGTGATGTGTTCCTTAATTCATTCGTGCAGATAGTGTTTGATGAATGTCATAAAGCCAAAAACTTGTGTCCTGTTGGTTCTTCAAAGCCAACCAAGACAGGCTTAGCAGTTTTAGAGCTTCAGAACAAATTGCCAAAAGCCAGGGTTGTGTATGCCAGTGCCACTGGTAAGTAGCTGCTTATTTAAAAGGTGTGTGAGGGGTTATTTTTTCAGTTGTAAAATGTTTTATTTTGGGGATTTTCAGGTGCTTCGGAACCACGAAACATGGCATACATGAACCGTCTTGGAATATGGGGTGAAGGAACTCCATTTAGAGAGTTCAGTGATTTTATCCAAGCAGTAGAACGGAGGTAATGCGGTTTACGACTGTTCTCAGGAGCAATCTCAAAGATGGGTACTGCTAAGACCTCATTCACGTATGTTAAAGCCCTACTATATTTAATGAGAGTTACTGTGTGTGTTAATTTTATTCAGAGGTGTTGGTGCCATGGAAATAGTCGCTATGGATATGAAGCTTAGAGGAATGTACATTGCTCGACAGCTGAGCTTCACTGGAGTGACCTTCAAAATTGAGGAAGTTCTTCTTTCTCAGAGCTATGTGAAAATGTATAACAAAGCAGTCAAGCTGGTGAGAATGTTTTCCTTACTTCTACTGTTTTTAATGCACCTGCTGATGTTTCTGTTGGTCATTTTTGTTCAGTGTAATGTGGGTCAGTCCACAAGAATATATTTCTGTCAGAAAACAACACGTAAATCACCAGATTTTAGTTATCTCATATTTTAAGCCTTCTCTTTGCTAATTTATAGAAAATAGCCACTGTTTTACTTGCATAATTTTAAAAAAATCACAATGTAATTATTTCCTAAAATAAGAAATAAATTAATAAATGCTAGGTAATAAGAATTTTGGGACAACTCTATGTGAGCATCTTGAAAAAATTTTTTAAAGAGCTGAAGTTACTGATTATGCTTCATTAAATTAATGTTAAATAATCTTACCCTTAACATTGTTCTGGCTGCATTAGTTACTTTAAAATACTGTGCACTCCCTCAAAGATGAAATGCCTAAGTGTTGGTTGTGTGTCCTCAGTGGGTCGTTGCCAGGGAGCGGTTTCAGCAGGCGGCCGATCTGATCGACGCCGAGCAGCGGATGAAGAAGTCCATGTGGGGGCAGTTCTGGTCCGCCCACCAGAGGTTCTTCAAGTACTTGTGCATAGCGTCCAAAGTTAAGAGGGTCGTGCAGCTGGCGCGCGAGGAAATCAAGAACGGGAAAGTAAGCAGGCGGCGCTGCGACACGGGTTCTCCGCCGGGGCGGAGGCGGCGGGTGTTTTAAGTCTTTCGGGCATTGAGGTTTTCTACCTGTAAAACCGTTTTCTAAAGCATAGTTACAAAAATATTAATGTAGTTAAGACTGTAAAAAAACAGTTTTTAAAATAATAAAATGCCTGGTTATAAAGAATTTTGATAGTTCAAAAAATGTAAAGAATATGACTATAATTTGGCCATCCCCACAGATAATAAGCACTGATATAACATGTGGGTGGGTGGGTGTGTGAGTGGGTGTGTAAATAAATATGTATAATTGATTTCTTTTTTAAGAGAGAGAGGAAGGGGAGAGAGAGAGAGAAACATTGATTTGTTGTTTCACTTGTGTGTACATTCATTGGTTGCTTCTTGTACATGCCCTGACCTGCAATTGAACGCACAACCTGTGTGTATTGGGGTAACGCTCTAATCAACTGAGAGCTACCTGGCTGGGGCTTGGATATATATTTCTTAAGGTTTTTTTCCTTTTTGATGAGTATATCTCTACTTGAAACACAAAGAAAATGGGGTGGGGGCTTCACTCATGTCCACTGCTGGGATCCTCTTTTTCTAGCTAAGTTTTCACACATAGCATGTCTCCTATATATGTAGACTGGAAGTAAGTGAGCACACATACACAGAGTGGTCAATTTTCATTTGAGATCTTTTTTTACTAAATATTTAAAATGTCTTTAAAAAAACACGTGCATGTTTTTATATATAAGTGATACATTTTTCTTTTTCTCCAGTGTGTTGTCATTGGTCTACAGTCAACAGGAGAAGCCAGAACATTAGAAGCCTTGGAAGAAGGAGGGGGAGAACTGAATGATTTTGTTTCAACCGCCAAGTAATGTTTTTTGGTTTTGAGTTTTTACTTAATGATTTTTTACCTTCTTTATCTCATGGCACACATAAACTAATTACTAAAATGTTGCAGCACACCAAAAACTATATTACACGAGGGGGAACCCAAATAAACCCATAATTTACTTATAAAAAATTGTGTATTTATAGGTTCTTAAAAGATTTTATTTATTTTAGAGGAGGGGAAGGAAGGGAGAAAGAGAGGGAGGAAAATATCAATGTGTGGTTGCTTCTCACATGCTCCCTCACTAGGGACCTGGCAAGCAACCCAGAGATGTGCCCTGACCAGGAATCAAACCCGTGACCCTTTGGTTCGCAGGTCGGTGTTCAGTCCACTGAGCCACCCCAGACAGGGCTGTGTATTTTAACATGTTTAAACTTTGATCACCTTCAAAGTACTCTCCATTTAATACAATACACCTATTGAGACTTTTTTTCCCCACTGCTCAAAACAGTTTTGAACTTGATTTTCATTCCTTTTTAGTGCTTTGCTGCTCTGTTTCACGTCTTCCACATCGGTAGACTGACTCCCTTTGAGGGCTTTTTTTATCTGGGGAAACAAAAACAACACTAGTTGCTCAGGGCAAGATGGGGTAGATAGGGAGGGTGAGGCACGGGGTCATGTCATTTTTGATCAAAAACTGTTGAACACTCAGCATGGTGTGGGCAGGTGTGCTCATACGTCACCCACCAGGAAATGGGTAAAGCACTGAGAGTCTTGAAAAAAACGAACTGATGCCGAACACAGCCTCTCATAACCCCGCCCGCTGGTGCACTGATGCAGATGGGCTCCCAAAACACACCTAGCCGGCGAAGCCGGTGCTACAAGGCACCCACCTCCAGAGAAGACAACGTGGGTTTATTTGGGTCCCCCTTAGTGTTTTTTATCAATCTGACAAAAAATACATACACTTTTGATTCATTTGTATTGGACGACTGTAGCGCCAGCCGCTGTCATTCTTTTGGTCGGTCTAAGGGAAAGGCAGTTCACGCCCCTAAGTAGTCAGGTGTTGCATATATTAAAAATTCCTGTGGCACACGGTCGAAAATCGCTGGCTTAGATTAATTTAAATGTCAGCATTTCCTAGAGGTAAAATATTTGATTCACCTCTTTACTCTTTTTAAGTTTTTCTGACCTTAGTTTTTGCAGTTCTGTGCGGCACCTAGAAGCACACCTGTGGGGGGGCGAGCAGTGCCACAATGTTGCGCGACGGGCGGGGTGGTCCCAGGGTTCGGGCTCACGAACGGCCGCATTGCCGTCTGCCCTCCTCTGGGGCCGCTGGGGCAGCTGGGGCAGCTGGGTGTAGTGGCTGTTTTAGTTTCACATTTGACATCACAGTTTCAGTAAGTACATAACTGATAAGAAATAAGTTTAGTTTGCCTCAATTTAGTAAGCTCTAATACTTGCGAATAGTCATGAGATAGTAAAAAATGAGTTTAAAAAAAATGGTTTTGGGCATTGTTTTTCAGTTTGTTGTTCTAAACTGCCAGTCCTAATTCTGGTAGTGAGATTAGCAAATGATTTGCCACCATACTATCTCTGGCCTTAGGGGATACATTCAAGTGGCTCCATTTAAGAGAGATAAAAATAAAAACTGCTTTTACAAGCAAAACATGCCCTTGCTAATCTGTGTTTTTCTGTGCTTGTGTGCCTAGCACTGCCCCATCTAAAATGATAGCCACCAGTCACACAGGGCGGTGACGTGGCTAGTCCAGATCAAGATGTGCTCTAAGTATCAAATGCACGCCAGGTTTCAAGAAGGCCAGTGAAACAGTGTAAAACAGCTCCCTGGTTACGTGCTGCAGTAATATGAGTTAAATAAAACATTGTTAACGTTAGTTTCAACAGTTTACTTTTTAACATAGCCACTGCAAGTGTATAGACTGCCTCTCTGGCTCAGTTTACATTGCATTGCAGTTGGATGGCCTTCTCCTAGTGTATTAAAATTCATCTGAGCTGGATTAGCAGTACTTTGTAAGATTGAACAAAGTATATTGATTTTTAAGAAGTATAGGCAGTGAGACTTCATACATAATAAATTATTTTTCAAACTGAATCGCTCACATCACTCTCTCTCCTTCCTGCAAACAGAGGGGTGTTGCAGTCGCTCATTGAAAAACACTTCCCTGCTCCAGACAGAAAAAAGCTTTACAGTTTGCTGGGAATCGATCTGACAGCTCCAAGTAACAGCAGTTCACCAAGAGACAGCCCTTGTAAAGAAAATAAAACAAAGAAGCGGAAAGGTGGGTGTTTTTTTGCCTTTCTTTTTCATGTTGTTGAAAATAGTATAGATTTGAGCATTTTGAAGCAAATTTATTTTGGGTATTAACTGCCTGCCTTGAGCCGGCAAGTGGCTCCTTATTTTCACTGTTGCTCATGGAGTTTTGAACGCACAAGGAACCTGTTTTAAATTAGGGCTGGAACCATTTGAATGCTGCAAGGCATGGTGTTAAACAGTGGCCATACAGGGGATCCATATGAAAGCAGTTCTCAGTTTCTCATTTTTTTAAAAAAGTGTATTTTTAAAAATATTTGATCTATTTTCAGAGGCGGGGGGAAGGTAGGGAGAAAGGGAAACAGTGACCGGTTGCCTCCCGTGCGCTCCCACCTGGGACCTGGCTCACACCCAGTCACGTGCCCTGACTGGGAGTTGAAGTGGTGACCTGTCGGTTTGCAGGTCGGCGCTGGATCCGCTGAGCCATACCAGTCACTGCTGGTTTTTCAGTCTTATAAATAGGAAATGAAGGCACGGGAAGAATAAGAGGAAAAGGAGTTTTCCCAGGTGCATGCAGCTAGTGAGCAACGTACAGGAACGAAAATCCGGGCCTTTCTGTTGTCAAACTGCGTTTATATCTGTGTTCATAGTCTTATTCAAAGAGACTCATGTTTTTTATTTCATTATTGGGAATATACTAACCCGTGTCTGTTAGGCATTTCATAGTAATGCAAACTTGGGTTTCTGTTTAGGTGCTTATGCTGTTGGAGGAGTTAACCTTTTCAGGCTCTTTCACTATTAATAGTGATAATAACTTATTGTGAAGAATATGATGTTGTGTGCTCCAAACCCAGTGCTTGACACTTGAACCTTATTTCATTCATTCTAAGAAATACATTTTTTACATTTTTAATATACCTGAAAGTGAGGTGGTTGGTATAGTGTAACTGGCGGTGTTTCTGTTATCCTAGTGGCATGAAAAGGAACGTCTCAGAATCAGTGGCGTCTTAAATATGTGAAACTTTTAATGTTTGTAGTTTTGATTGGATTCTTTTAGATGTCTTTTCTGCATATTTAGTATGATAACTCAGCACCATTTTGGCTTCAAAAATACAGTTTTTTATAGCTGTTTTAAAAAGATTTTATTTTTTTCTTGAAAAAAGAGAGGGGAAAACATTAACGTTTGAGAGAAACATCAATCAGTTGCTTCTTGCACGCCCCCAACTGGGGACCTGGCCTGCATCCCAGGCATGTGCCTGACCATTAGGGAAGGAACTGGCGACCTTTCTTTTCACAGGCTAGCACTCAATCCACTGAGCCGTGCCAGCCAGGGCTAAAAATGCAGCTTTCTAGATTGTTTGTACAGTGGACCCTTGAACAACATGAGAGTCAGGGGCTCCAACCCGCCACGCAGCCAAAATCTTTGTACTCCTTTTGAATCCCCTAAAACGTAACCACTAAGAACCTATTTTTTTATTGGATTTATTGGGGTGACATTGGTTCATAGAAGTATAGGTTTCAGGGGTACAGTTCTGTAATATACTATCTACATATTGTGTGCTCACCCCCCCAAGTCTCCTTCCATCACAATTTATCCCCCCTTTTGCGCTCTCCTGCTTCCCCCATCCCTCTTTCCAGTCTGGTAATTATCATGCTGCTGTCTGTCTAGGTTGGTTGGTTATTTTATTTTCGCTTAATCCCTTCACCGTTTCCCCCTAGACCCCCCCACCGCCCCCGCAACTGTCGGCCTGTCCTCCGTGTGCCCTGCTGTTGGCTGGGAGCCCCATCACCGACATGAACCCTTACGGAGCACCCACCTTGTATGTCGTGTGTGTTGCGTGCTCTCTCCTTACAATGGACTAAGCTGGAGAAAAGTCAGTGTTGTTAAAATCATGAAAAAGAAAATACGTTTACAGTAATTATTGAAAACTGCATACAAGTGGATCCATGCAGTTCAAACCCATCCTATTATGCTCCGCTGTATCCCATTAAAATCTTTTTTTTTTTTTTAAGGGTTTTTTTCCAATATAGGTTTTTTTGGTTTGTTTGTTTTAATCCTTGCATCCAAGGACGTATTTATTGATTTTTAGGAAGAGAGAGAGAAACGTCCATGTGACAGAGAAACATAATTGATTATATGCCCCTACTGGGGATCAAACTCAGAACCTTTTGGTGCCTGGGATGATGCTCCAACCAACTGAGCCACCCAGCCAGGGCTAAAGTATTTTACTTTTTAAATACTCTGCAAAGCTGTTTGGTTACACCTCGTCTCTCAATCCGATACACAGTGAAATTCTGACAGTGCCAGAGATCCGGACTGCTTTACCTGTTCTGAATGTATTTTGGAACTTGTGCACCTCAAGGCAGTTTTGAGTTTGTACTTACGTATCTAACAACTCCTTAAGGATAATGAACATAACCTAATCCCTACGAAAGTTCAAAGGCTAATGCTCGCTCGCAAATTTGATTTGTTCTTACATGCTTACATCAACGCCCTTCCGCTGCCAGTCCCGTTTGAATTGACTCATCAACTAGTGGCAGTTCCCGGGCTTTTAGCGCTGTGCCAGGCTGACTCTCTGTTTGCGTTTGAGGGCAGGTGAGGAAATGGCTCGAGAAGCCAAAAAAGCACGGAGAGCGGGCGGCCTGGCCGGCAGCAGTTCCGACGACAGCGGGAGCGGGTCCGACGCCTCCGAGGCCGACGACGAGAGCGACTGCGGGAGCTCCAAGAACCTGAGCTCTGGAGACGACGACGACTTCAACCCCTTCCGAGACGAGTCCAGCGAGGACGACGAGGGCGGTGAGCTCTCGGCCCGTCAAGTGGGGCCTGCGGGGTAGCCGTTTCCTTGTGTTCGGAGGTGTCTTCTCTGCGGGGTGCACGTTATTACAGAGTGTAGTCCCGGTTTGTCTGTCCTCGGGAGGCTCTGTCCGTTTATATGAGATAATGAGCTCAGGCTTGTACAGTGGTTTTTAACCTCAGACGGCAGAGTCATATGTGCCCCCTGGTGTACGGGTGTGACGGGCCGTGGTGGACGACAGGCGGTTGGTGACAGGTTACCAGTTAACAATACAAAAAAGTTGGCTGTTTTCCTTTGACGATTCTGTACTTGTTTTAACAAATGATTTGACATATCATTTCTTAACTTTCAGATCCTTGGTTAATCAGAAAAGACCACAAGAAAAATAAAGATAAAAAAAGGAAGAAAAGTATCGATCCAGATTCTATTCAAAGTGCCTTATTAGCATCAGGTCTTGGATCAAAACGACCAAGTTTTTCATCTACACCAGTTATTCCGCCTGCTCCTAACAGCGCACCAGGTATCCATGTGGAAGCTTGCTTTGTCTGTGAATTGTGCTTTTGAACAAAACAAATGTTTGAACTCCGTACTGATTTTTAACAAATGTACTTTATCTAGCTAACAGTAATACCAACAGTAATAATAGCCTTATAACAAGTCAGGACGCCGTGGAAAGGGCCCAGCAGATGAAGAAAGATCTACTTGATAAGCTGGAAAAATTAGCTGAAGACCTCCCTCCAAATACCCTGGATGAACTCATAGATGAACTAGGCGGCCCCGAGAATGTTGCTGAGGTAAAAAGGACTGGAGCGGGGTTTTGTCTTGTCCTGCTGATTTCGTGCCACTTGTAAAGCCCTGCAGAATGAGTGAGACTCTGGGTGTTACGTAACGGTCTCGTTTACTCTCAGATCTCGAGGCCCCTGCTCTTCAGTCCTCGCCCAGCGCCCTTCGTGTCGGAGTGTCTGCCCCGAGACGCTTGTCTTTGCCCCCATGCCTGGCAGGTGGCCTCTGTGATCACTGCCACGTCTGCTGCCTTCACGGGAATTTGAACTTTTCAGAACCAGGGCCTGTGTTGCGACACCCCTGTCCCCCACTGCCTGGTGCTGCCGGGGTGCGCAGTGCAACGGGCCGCTCGTCCCTTCTGCCTTGTGCCCAGTTGCTCCATGAGGGGTCCTGGGGCGCGTGCGGGCGCCGTGAGCTTACAGGGCACTGTTGTTTGGCTCTGCAGATGACCGGCCGCAAGGGGAGGGTTGTAAGCAATGATGATGGAAGTATATCTTACGAGTCAAGGTCTGAACTAGACGTCCCTGTGGAAATACTAAATATCACAGAAAAACAAAGATTTATGGACGGAGATAAGGTATGTTTCTCCAGGACTTTTTTCTCCATTTTTATCATTGGGTGCTTTTCAATGATAATATCGGCCATATTTTTAGACATTTAGATTAATCTCTAGAAGGCTTTTTCTTTTAATATAAATTATGCCTGTTGAAGGTCATTATTCTATATTTTTAAATAATTGTACATAATCACGGACCATTTACGTACTTTATTTTCTCATAAAATGAATGTAATAAGTGTTTTGTGCTATGCACAGAATTAGTTGTGGTTCTTGATGGTTTCGGGGGCTTTTGAAATCTTTAATCAGAATGTTAGGGTAGTGCGTTCTCCCAGGTCATCCTAGGGGCGCCAGATGCAACGCCACCCTCCTGCCCAGTCTCATTCTGAATGTAGACATGTGTGAAGCGTGCCCATGTACTGAGGTCCTGGGGCCTAGCTGCTGCTTTTTTGCTCTGCCGTGTCGCACTGGGGTGGCCGACTCTGCACGGCTTGCGGATTGGCCTGGTCCATCTGACCTCTGGAGGGAATTCCGTTGCCCCCAAAGGCTCTTTCTGATTGTTAGGGAAGCCTCGTCAGAGTTTCAGACTCTTGGCCCAGTTCTTCCCCCATCTAGTGGGAAATGCTTTACATGCTTGCCGATGAGGTTGCTAAGAAACGGGTGGCGCCGTTGAGCGCCATGCCTCAGTCTAAAGGCGGGCAGTAGAGCTGCCTCTGTGTACCCACACTTTGCATATTTCAGTGAATTTTTCTGCTTTGTAACTAGGACATAGGTGATAGCATTGTCAAAGTTGTGTTTTTAATAGATTTAAAAGTTCATGTTACGTGTTGTACAGGTTGTAGGTACACATGGTATCTGTTATTTTATGTACTTGTTTCATGAATTTGCCCCTACGTATTAGGGAATAGTATTAATTGGAACTCATTTCGGCTGTTAAGTGCCAGAAAACACAGTCGTGCTGATTTAATCCGGGTAGGAGTTCATTCTCCCGGCGCACTCCTTCCTGGAGCACTAGCCAAGGCCGGCGTGACCACCGGAGGAGCGGGCCGCCTCTGCCCTGTCCCTCACTGTGTGGGCCGCCGTTTCCATGCCGCCACCGTGTAAGGCGGCCGCCTCAGACTCATTCCTGACCCTCTGCCTCTCAGCCAGCAGAGGGGAGCGGCAAGGAGAGGGCGTATTCTCAACTTCAAGGACATTTTCTGAACCTTGTTCCCATCACTACAACCTACTGGCTGGTGTGTGCCCACCCTGAGCTGCAAGGGAGACTGTGACATGTGATCCTGATTCTGGGCAGCCATGCCTTTGGCTAAAATTGGGGGTTCTTAATTTAGGGAGCAGAGGAGAGTGGGCATTGGTGGGTCCCCAGTAGTCTCTACCTAAAGACTTTCTTTAGGATACCTCCCGGTTTGTCTTTGTGCAGAGATGATCTTTTTTCCTCTTACATTCGATACAGAATATTGCTATCATATCAGAAGCTGCCAGCTCAGGTATTTCATTACAAGCAGATCGGAGAGCCAAAAATCAAAGGCGAAGAGTTCACATGACTTTGGAATTGCCCTGGAGTGCTGATAGAGCAATTCAGCAATTTGGTACGTTTCTACGCTGAAGCTAACTAATAGGCAGTGGAATCATTAGGGAAATGTGTGCATGTCAAAGTCTATATTTAATGTCAGACATCTTAAACCTGACACACTTGGATTGTGGCGGTGTTTGTGAGTTGCATATACCTTAAAGTAGAGCGTACGTCATGAATTCTCACCTGTTCATCACAACGCAGAGGAGCTGCAGGGGGCTCCCTCGGGCTTGTGGCCTGCTGTCCCAGAGCAGGGCTCTCAGGGGTGACTTGTTACAGACCTACACGAGGTGTCACTCATGTCCTTTTCAGCCCTGGGAGGCTTCCCAGAGGGCGCAGCGCCCTTCCTGCCCTTCTATCCTCATGTTCCTGGCACCTGGTGATCGTGAACAAGACTTTGGGGAGAATCTTGAGAAGCTGTGTGCATCAGCAGCACCCCATAAATTTTATTTATGGGGATAAAATGAGTTCCCAAAAGGAGCTGTTTTTCAGTAGAGACCTTTGGCTACGCAGCTGTCACCTGCAGAACCTCAGCAGTTTCGATGTGCAGCAGCGCCAGCTGGGTAAACGAGAGTGTGAGCGCGCTGCCACCGTGCGTCCTGTCGGCTCTCTTCTCTCATGTCTTACTCTGCAAGACGCCAGTCGTGTTTTCCAGAGTTCCGTAAACTGCCCTCTTAAGAACTCAATTCAGAACTCAGTTAACCACACTGGGGTAGCAATAACACGTGCAGCTAGCATTTAACAGTTTTGTATTTTTCCTGTTGTTTCAGGGTTTCTAGAGACCGTCTTAGTGTTAAATTCTAGGAATAGGTCTCAGAATTCTCTCTTTCTAGTGAACACACCTGGTTTTTTAAAATGTTGTTGCAGGGCGAACTCATAGATCAAACCAAGTCACTGCACCCGAGTATGTCTTCCTGATTTCTGAACTGGCAGGAGAGCAGAGATTTGCATCTATTGTTGCTAAAAGACTTGAGAGTTTGGTGAGTTTCTGAGTTGTACAGATGTGTGTAAAGGATGGTGTTGGTTCCCTGCCTTCTGTTCCTTGATTGGACATTCTGTGTCTTGACAGGGGGCACTGACGCATGGTGACAGAAGAGCGACCGAGTCTAGAGACCTGAGCAGGTTCAACTTCGATAATAAGGTGCGTCCCAGAGCTGTGTCTCCGAAACCTTGCAGGGACTGTTGAAGGCTTACAACTGCCGCCTCTTAGGGGTTGGCTGTAAAATCATGGTTTCCCGGTCACAGTAAGATAGGGTTTCACATATCAGCTAGATCTTTAGTCATCAACTCTGCAGTATGATCTTATTCCTGTTGGAAAATAGGAAGGAGGTACTACATGTTTGTGAATGAATCAAGTAGGAGTTCCCAGACGTGAAGTTACTTACTGAATGTCTGCTGTGTGTGAAGGTGTAAATTAAGCACCAGGGAGGACAGAATAGGTATGAAGATAACTTAGTCCTGTTGTTTTTTAACCTTTGCTACAATAATTGTTGTTACAGTGTTCAGTTGGTCATGTGATTGAAGAGTACCCAAATGCTAAAACTGGTTTTGTTTTTGATTTTATTGCAGTATGGAAGAAATGCATTAGAAATTGTCATGAAATCCATTGTAAACCTAGATTCTCCTATGGTATCACCACCTCCAGACTATCCTGGAGAATTCTTTAAAGGTAACTTTTTAAAATAATCATAACAAAGGAAAGTGAGTACTGATAAAGTGGTACTAAAATTTGTTTGAACATGTGGTGGTGTCTTAGATTTTAGTTTCTTTTGGATATCAATTGCATAAAATTCAGAAATTGAAGGTTACTGGTTACCTATGTTGACCAATTGTAATAAGCAATAAATTTATTAAATTTCATACAAATGAAGCGCATTAGCTCTTGACAGTGTACCGTGTGTTATTACTCGATTAGTAAAGGAAAATAGTTTTGTTAGAGTAATTTAAAATTTTTTAAAATTGAGTTGCTGGGGAGTGTGGGGAGAAAGAGAAACACGGGTTTGTTGGTCCACTTATGTACGCATTCACTGTTTGATTCTTGTATGCGCTCTGACCGGAAATTGGACTTGCAACCTTGGTGTCTCTGGATGACGCTCTAATCAGCTGAGCTACCCGGCCAGGACTGAAGAGTTTTTTCTTGTATTATTAATTATTGTATTTTCCTTACGAACAACTATGAACCTGTTTTTGCTCCACCCTCTAGTACTTTGAATTAGAGTCAAATTGAATTATAGTCTAGTAATTTATGGGGATAAAATGAGTTCCCAAAAGGAGCTGTTTTTCAGTAGAGACCTTTGGCTACGCAGCTGTCACCTGCAGAACCTCAGCAGTTTCGATGTGCAGCAGCGCCAGCTGGGTAAACGAGAGTGTGAGCGCGCTGCCACCGTGCGTCCTGTCGGCTCTCTTCTCTCATGTCTTACTCTGCAAGACGCCAGTCGTGTTTTCCAGAGTTCCGTAAACTGCCCTCTTAAGAACTCAATTCAGAACATACTGATTATTCTGCATGTTGCCTGCGGGGGGGTGGGGGGGGCATTACCATGTCAATACTGACAGGTAACACTTGGGAAGGAAGCATGTTTCTATCCCTGTTTACACAATTATTTAAGGAAGCATTCTGCTCCGTGTTCAAAATCATGTAAATTCTGTGGTGACAACTGCATAGCCAGAGAGCTCTACTGCCAGAGATTGCTTTTTGAAAGATGAGGTATTTTAACGAAATAATAAAATGCAGTGTGAAGCTTGAGAGATTTTTGGAGTGTCCCTTAAGGCCTTTGGGGGCTGTGGGTTCCGTTTAATTCAGCTAATAAGAGCTGTGGAAGATAACATACGCTGTCTTGTTCCTTCTTTCCTTCTTTCTTTTTCTTTTTTCTTTCTTCGTTTTTTAGATTTTTTTTTATTTTAGAGGAAAAGGAAGGGAGAAAGGGAGAGAAATATCTGATATGCGATGTGCAAGAGAAACATCAATTGGTTGCCTCTTACGTGCCCCCCTACGGGGACCTGGACAGGGATCAAACCAGAGACCTTTCGGTTTGCAGGCCGGGGCCCAGCCCACTGAGCCACACCTGCCAGGGCTAGGCTGTCTTAATGCTAGAACATGATCTAGTTGATTAGTTAGGTCGTTGGGGCTATCAGGGCTTTTTTGTGGGTTTGTTTTTTTTTTTAAGAGATTTTATTTTCAGAGAGAGAAGAAGGGAGGGAGCGAGAGAGGGAGAGAAACATTGATGTACAAGAGATACATCAATTGGTTGCCTCTCATACATCCCCAACTGGGGACCCAGCCCGCAACCCAGGCCTGTGCCCTGACTGAGAATCGGTCCAGCACCTCTTCATTTCGCAGGCCGGTGCTTAGTCCACTGAGCCACACCAGGCAGGGCTGTCAGGTTTCTTACAAATTTATTTTTTTACAGATGTCCGGCAAGGACTGATAGGAGTTGGCCTGATAAATGTAGAAGATCGCTCAGGAATTCTTACTCTAGATAAAGGTAATGGTATTAGTTTTGCATGTGCACATAGTGGTTACTGTATCAGAAAGCCCATTTTGTCATTTATGCGTTTGTCAACTTGCAGGGGGAGCTTTAGATTCGTAGTTTGTCCCTTGTTACCCAGTGCTCCCAAAGCACTGGGTGGTTTCTGTCCACTCTGGTTATTCAGAAGAGGTTCAACTTCTGTCTGAATAGCAGCCGTTCACAACCCAGGTCGCCTATATAATCAGCTGTGAAACTTTTATTTATTTTTTAAAAGATCCTATTTACTTATTTTTGGAGGGAGAAAAAGGGAGAGCAACATTGATGTGAGAGAGAAACATCATTGCGTGGCTGCCTCTTGCAAGCATCCAGCGGGGCGCCTAGCCTGCAACGCAGGCATGTATCCCAACCGGGAATCAAACCAGCGACCTTTTGCTTTGGCAAGAGAATACCCAGCCCACTGAGTGACACCAGTCAGGGCAGCTGTGAAGCTTTTAAAAAAGTGAAGTCCAGAGTCGAGCTCAGGTATAGGTCACCTTCCAAAGCTCCGGGGCGTTCTGGTCGTGCAGCCGGCACGGATCCCCGGCCTGTAGCGTTCACAGCTCCGCAGCCGAGGCCTGACATCGGAGCGCACGCGTTCTCGTGTCAGAGTGCGTGCATGCTTTCAGTAAGTGGAGTCGGAGATGCAAAAATTCAACTCATCAGACGTATTTTGAGCCTGTTACTATGGTCGTGCTAGTTGCTAGAGGTAGAAATGGTCAAATTCTATCTATTCTGGGAACAGTGCAGAAGTTGTGATGGAAGACTTTAGAGGAGGAAGTGAGACTTTGAACTAAGTATAGATGAACACAGTTTTAATCACCAGTTGTGTCTATTAAATCTTTCATATAATCTTGTCATTGCAGATTATAACAACATAGGGAAATTCTTAAATAGGATTTTGGGCATGGAGGTGCATCAACAGAATGCGTTGTTTCAGTATTTTGCAGACACACTCACCGCAGTTGTTCAAAATGCCAAAAAAAATGGAAGATATGATATGGGAATCTTAGGTAAGTGGGACATTTTTTAAACATCACGTGTATTCCTGTTAAAATGTTCTTTTTACATTTGTAATGCTTTTTGTTGTTCAAGATCTTGGTTCAGGAGATGAGAAAGTGAGGAAAAGTGATGTTAAGAAGTTTCTGACTCCGGGATACTCGACGTCTGGCCACGTCGAGTTGTATACAGTGAGTCTGGCAGCTGCGTGGCGCTCGGGGGGGGGCCGCCCAGGGTGGAGGGCGCTCCTGGCAGTGAGTCGGGTGTCAGCGTCGCTCTTTCTTTTATAGATTAGTGTCGAGAGGGGAATGTCCTGGGAGGAAGCTACCAAGATCTGGGCAGAGCTGACAGGACCAGACGATGGCTTTTACCTGTCACTGCAGGTTAGACTCGGTGCCTCCCCCTGTGGGTTGTCCGGACACGGGCTTTCGCTGCCGACATTGGGACTCTGTTTGCTTTGGGCCAATTTTCCAATTATATTTAGCTTGCTGGGGTTTGATAATTTATTACTGTAATTGTGGCTTTTCCATATATGTTCCTTTTCATTTACTGTATTTGAGAGATGTTGTTAGATGCAGTTTTTGAGTTACTACACAGTCTTTTTAGACTCAATCCCCTTTTCCATAATATAGTAATCTTTTTTAGTCCTAGTAATGCTTCATGTCTTAAAGGTTCACTTTTCAGTTATTAGTGTAATTACGTTCTTTTGTTTAGTATTTGCCTGTGGAAAGAGCTAAGGAGGGAAAAATGTTTGTACATGGGTGTACATTTATATTAAGACATACACAAATGTACGCATACATGGTACAGTATTTTGAATTTATATTTATTCTGTTCAAGACTATCAAGTTTTTATCTCGCCTCTTTTATCTGTGTCGTCTTTTTTCGATACTGATCATCCGTGCTCTCCAGGGCACATGAGGTGATGAAATATGGGTTGTGTAATATGGTAGTCCTGAAAATAAAATTTAAAAAAAAAATAACTTCTTTTGCATATTCTCCCATTCTCTCATCTTAAAAAATAGTAGTATCTTTTGTGCATTGTCAGCAAGCGGCAATTACATAGTGAGCTCTTCTTTTAACCTTTACTTGTAATCCTAATCCTGCAGGCAACACATAGGTATGTAAGGCCCCCTCGCTCCTCCTTTGGGCCTGTCTCTGTGGCCGCTTCCTTCATTGGAGGCCCATTCTGCCAGAGGCCTGTGTCTGAGGGAGGGCGTGGCGGAGGCGGGGCCACTGCGCTTTGCAGCTAAACCTGCGGCCCCCCCCCCCGTGCCTGGGAGGCATCCGGTGGGACCATCTGGTGGGACCGGAGACCTTTAGTTCGCTCCCCACCCCTTGAATTCCTCTTTGTTGTGCTACTGCGTACTTTGATAGAAAGTTCCTGTCCAGTGTGATGGTGTTCTGATTTCGTTTCCTTTCTACTTCAGGTGTTCGTGTGTTTGGGGCTTTTTGGCCTCCATGCCTCAAATATCCTCTCTTTAAAGTTTGTGGTTTTGGTCGAGTGTGTGCTGTTAGTCGTTCTTGGTCAGCATTCTTAGGTGTCTGACGTGCTCTTTCAATACAGGGTTTTAAGTCTTTTTATTTCAGAAGGTTTTCTGAGTTTTTATTTGCAAAGTTTTTAGTGTTGTGTTTTCTTGAATTTCTCCGTAATCAGGACCTTTTTCTATCCATACATTAGATCTTTGCCTGTTTCTCATATCTCATTTTTTATTTTCATTTTTAATAGCTTTATTAAGATATAATTTATATACCATGCAGTTCATCCACTTAAGTGTATAATTGTATGATTTTTGGTATATTACATTGTTTTTAAAATTGTGATAAAGTATATGACAAAATTTGCCACTTTAACCGTAGTTAAGTGGCATTAGTTATATTCAGTGTTGTACAACCATCGTCACTGCTTCCAAAACTTTCTCATCATCCCAAATAGAATACACCCATTAAACCACAGCTCCCACCCCCTCCCAGAGCGCCCAGGACCTGCTGGCCTGCCTTCTACCTGTGTCTTCATGAATTTGCGTGTCTAAGTGGAACTGTGCAGTGTTTGTCCTTCCGTGTCATCTTTCACTCAGCATGACGTGTTCACGGTTCTTCTGTGCTATAGCCTGTTTCAGAACTCCGTTTCTTTTTTGTGACTGAGTCATATTCCAGGGTGTGGATAGACACTTCCGCTCTTTATTTGTGAATATTCGCCAAATGGCCCGTTGTAAGTGAAGACCTGGTTCGTGGCCCAGCTCCCTAACGGGGAGCATCTGAGGGCCCGCGGGTGGGGCTGGGCAGCCAAGTGGCCGTCTGGAGCCAGAGCCCTGGGCGACTCTGAAGAGACAGGGAGTGCATATTTTAGGTTTTGCAGGCCGTATATGGTCTCTGCTTTGCGTTTTTCCCCCTCCCTCCCTTTTTCCTTCTGTCCCTTCCTCACACTGGTAAATGTCAGAGCCACAGGCCAGGCATGGTCCGCCGGCCTGGTTTGCTGGTCCCGGGCCCAAGAGCAAAAGCTCTCAAACTGGACCCGGCTCCTAGTTGGGCGAGTGGGATGGTTGGTTGGTTTGAAAATCTCACCGAGATCATTGTAGATTCCCATGAGGTCATGAGAACTGATACAGAGAAATTCCTTGTGCAGCAGTTTCCCTAAAGGGGAACAGTTTACCAAACTGTAGCATGCGGTCACAACCAGGATATTGATATAGTTCACCAGATTTTGTCCGCACTTCTCCCTTAGATGGGATTTGGATCGGTCCACATAGGGCGTTGGCTGTTGTTTTTCATTTGAAATTATCACCAGAACTTGAAACGCAGGTAGACTCTGATGACGGGTTCTTCGAAGCTCATCCCGGGCAACTCCCGAGGCTGCTGGGCCCTTGGCCCTCAGCCCTCGGCCCGGCCTCCGCAGGGTCAGGGCCCTGCCCTGCGCTCCCCACGCGCTGCGGGGTGGTGCTCACTCCGGGGCTGGGAGCGGGCCCGGCGTGGCTGAAAGTGTGCAGTCACCAGTGTTCCTGTTTTCTCACTTTTCTTAATAGATAAGGAACAACAAGAAAACGGCCATCTTAGTTAAAGAAGTGAACCCCAAAAAGAAGCTTTTCTTAGTTTATAGACCAAATACTGGGAAACAGCTCAAATTAGAAATTTATGCTGATCTAAAGAAGAAATATAAGAAGGTATTTGTTTGTATGCTGTGTTATTTATAAGTACTTATTTTATAATAACGTTGAAACTAAGTTTAGAAGAATGTTGTATTTATGTATAAAATGATTTCATATTTGATGATTGGAAAATTGTTTTCAGAAAAAAGTTTTTGTCGTTTTGTTATTAATATCCCAGTTTTAATGTTATTTACTCTTAAGAAACCTGTAAGGTGATTATTTGGGATAGCTTGTGTTGTCAAAAAAAAGTTTCCAGTATAATTAGAAGTTATTATTCATTTAAAAAAATTTTTTAATTTATAGTTAGAGGGAGAAAACACCAATCGTTGCCTCTCACACACCCCCAACTGGGGACCCGGCCTGCAAATCAGGCAGGTGCCCTGACCAGGAATCAACCCACTGAGCCACACCAGCCAGGGCTAGAAGTTTTTAAATAAAGAGAAGATGAGCAAGACTGAAATATCTTCCTTGCAACTCTTGGTTTTATTTTTTATTATGAAATGTAATGATTTCTGGGTTTTTTCCCTAGCATTACTATTAGTAATTATTTTATTATTGGTGTTACTTCCTACTATTATCCTCCTAGGCATTGTCACTTGGAAACAATTTTAATTAACCCAGCTCTTTGAGAAATTTGTTACAGAAGAGGAACCCCATGGCAGAGCTTGATATGGGGTCCTCAGATGCAACCAGTAGTAGCAAGGGCCAGGTTTCTGCGTAGAGACGGTTTGGAATTGGCTTTACCAGCCAGATGAGGCAGCTGGTTTGTGCAAAACAATTCTGTCTCAGTGGAGCTTCTGTCTTCCTTCCACAGGTGGTCTCGGATGATGCGCTGGCCCACTGGCTAGATCAGTATAATTCATCTGCAGACACTTGCACTCATGCTTATTGGTTAGTATTTGGCTTCTCATGGGATTTTCCAAGGTGCTGTCAGGATTTAATTCAGCACGCCCGTACTGGGCAGCACCCGCGCCTGGGGGTGCACGAGCACGTCGCCCCGGCTCTGCGTGCTCCACCAGCACAGTCCTTGCGTGCGGCCCCCACGCCGTCGGCTTCCTCCTGCTCTGTGCCGAGGCTTTGGTGCCTCCAGCTCCCACTGTCTGCCAGTGGGGGCTTCAGTGCCGTTCTCAGTCGTCAGAGACTGACTTTTTCCCTCCTACTCCCCATCCTTGTCTTCCTTTATTTTTTCTTTCCTCTCTGTTTTTTTAAAGCTTTCCTGATGTCCCAAATCAGTTTTATTCTGAAGGCTGCGGAGCTTGGGGGAGACCCCACAGGGGCCCGCTGTGCTGCTCGGCTGGTGGGGGCTGGCCCTGCAGTGCGTGCGTCAGGGCTGGCGTGCGCGCGCTTGCTGCTCTGCAGCTCTGCGCCCTCCCGCGTCCTCTCAGCTGCTCACTGGCTGCCGGGCCTCTGGCCCACGTTATGGGAAGGAGGGGAAGATACAGGTGAATTTGAGGAAGGTTTAAAAAAATTTATGTCTTTTTTACACACATGAAGTTAGGTGAATTTGTTCTGATGTGGGCAATGTTTCTATTCTTTGTTTTTGAGTAATTAGTACTGTTGGAAATTAGGAAAAACCTTTAAGATAAAATATTTTAAAAGTTAACCTACAAAAATCCTCTAAAAATTTGCTTTTGATTTTTAGCAAGAAAAATGACCTAGTACTATATATTCATTTTGAATTAATACTGGAAAGATGTTGCTGAATTATGAAAATAATTTTAACCATAACATTTTGATGGTTAAAAGAAATACGCTTTTTTTGAAAAAAACTTAAATATGCTTTTTTTTTTAATTTTTGGTTTGCTGAAGCCTTTCCCATTTACCTGAAATACTGTAGAAATAAGTGGCAGGGTTTTTTTTCTTCTAAGATTTTATTTATTTTTAGAGAGGGGGAAGGAAGGGAGAGAAACATTGATTGGTTCTCTCTGGTACACGTGCCCTGACCAGGATCCAAAACAGAAACCCAGGCTTATGCCCTGACCAGGAGTCGGTCCAGGTGACTTTGGCCTTGCAGAAGAACACCCAACCAACCAGTGAGCCACCCTGGTCAGGGCCGGCAGGATTATTGTATAAGCCAGCATTAACATATATAGTAATAGCACAGCAAACTAGTGGGTATTAAAATGGAAAATGTTTAAATGGACATCAAAATCAGTAAGTCAGCCATGTCATAGGGAGTCAGGCCCCAGAAATAACTAATTTTAAAAATCAGGAGCGGGAGTCTACATTGGAAAGGATGATTAGTGTATCAGAGGGACGGTAACCTAAGAAACTGTCAGTACAGGTAGGTGGTGGTGGGGAGTTTTCCTCAAGATTTGGGTGGACTTTGCAAGTCCTGTGTGTGTGTGTGTATGTAAATAATGCCCCTCCCCCCATCTCTCCTAGGCGAGGCAATTGCAAAAAAGCAAGCTTGGGATTAGTTTGTGAAATAGGTCTTCGGTGCCGCACGTATTATGTGTTATGTGGCTCGGTGCTGAGCGTCTGGACAAAAGTCGAGGGTGTTCTAGCTTCTGTCAGTGGCACAAACGTGAAGATGCAGATAGTTCGGCTGAGAACAGAGGACGGACAGCGGATTGTAGGTGAGTCTGAGGGTGTTTATTTGGTTTGTGCTCTGGGAAAAAGATCTGGGGGGTTTTTTTGTTTTATGTTTTTTTAAATTTAAATTTAAAAATGTATTGATTTGGGAAGGGTAGAGAAACAGCGCTTTGTTGTTCCACTAGTTTATGCATTAGGTGGTTGATTCTTGTATCTGCCCTGACCAGGGATCAACTTGCAGTCTTGGAGTATCGGGAAGGCACGAACCAACTGAGCTACCCGGCCAGGGCCTACTCTTACACCTTAGAATCTTACCGTCTCTCCCGGTATTGGGATAGAGCTCGCTGTATATATTCTTAAAATGTTGAACAGAAGTTCAGCCTTTGAACGGCCATCGCTGGTTCAAGTCCTGGGTGGTCTTTTATTTCATGCTGCTTTGCCCCCTTCCTCCCCTTCCTTACTGTTGACATCCATGCAGGCTTCCTGGCATGAAGACTTATCTCGGCCTCCTGCCCAGGGTGGGCTGCTGTCTACCATGCTGCAGTTACTGAGCCAGGTTGAGACTCTGGAACTGCTGAAGCCACTGCACAGAGGGTGGGCTGGGCCCTGCACGGGCAGTGGCTCGCTCTTCCCACCGCATGGCTGGTCCTGGGCTTGCCCAGGACCCCCAGCGCTTGCATTCCCCCTACGGTGTTGTCTCTGTTACGTGGAGCGGCCTTCCTCTGTGTCATCAGTGGCAGATAGACAGCCTGTGGCCAGAGTCGATCCATGAACGTTTCTTTGACGCTCAAGTACTTTCGGTTGCAAGATTTCATTTGAATTAGAGTCCAACATTTAAAATTCAAAAGCCTGAATTTTTATCTTACTTAACACAACACAGAGTGCATTGGAACACCTAACTGGAACACTGCAGCCTGCCCGTTCCCCCGGGAGGGGTTGAAAGTGCCCTGGCCCAGGGCAGTGCTGGCCGGCCGACGGCCCCTGCTCTGGCGGCCTCGGCACGCGCGGCACAGCCCTGTAGGCCTCAGAGCACAGTGTTGGCACAGTGGGGAGCTGTGAAGAGGTCAGAGGTAGGGAGGTGCTGTGCTTGACCTCTGGTCCTCCACCGAGACGACGCGGAGGCGTGTACGCGTGCTCGGGTGTCTGCGGGTGACACTGCCAAGGAATCGGGTGTCCTCTGAAGGGGCCATTTGGGTTATTAGGTACTTGTTTAGTTTTTGTTTGGAGTCTTGTTTATTACACTTAATTCATGCCTCAGTCGGAATTTGCTGTGCAGTGTAAAATGCCATGCGGTTCCTCCTGGGTGCGCCCTGTAAAAGCCTTGTTTCTGATGGCAGGTTTGATCATCCCTGCGAATTGCGTGGCCCCTCTTGTGAACCTCCTGTCCACCTCGGACCAGTCTCAGCAGCTGGCGGTCCAGCAGAAGCAGCTCTGGCAGCAGCGCCACCCCCAGAGCATCGCCAACTTGAGCAACACATAAGAGTGGACAGGTTCCAACATGGACGTATCTGAGATGCTGATGAAGCATATCATTTGCATAAAAATCAGGGACAGTTTCCAAAGAATTATAATTTTTTTCAGTTGTGCTCTCTCTAGTTAAATTTTTTTGGGAATAAGGACAAACCTGGAATAGATAGCAAAACTGAGAATCAGCAGTGCCGATGGCGGTGCATCTGTCCTTCCCTTTGCTTTGCCCACGGCGCTTCCCGCACACTTCTGCTGTGGGGGAGCAGGGGGGTGTGTGCGCGCACGCGTGTCCGTCTGTCCGTCTGTGTGTGTGTGTGTGTGTGTGTGTGTGTGTTAAAGGCTTCAAACCACGGTTGGTTTAAAACTGCTTGGAACTTCCAAAACTGGCTTTACTTAATGTCCCACAGTGCTCAGGGGTAAGGCAGGACACCCGTGCCGCCGCTGGGGGAGCTGCCCCCGATGCATGCTTTGGGTCTATAAATATAGAAAATATATATCGGTTTCTTTTCCCAACTTATTGAACACTAGGTTTATTAAAGCATGCAATGGAAGGTTGCACATCACGCATTCAGGTTTTTTCTAGTTTCTGTTCTGACAGTGCATGTTTTCAAAAGCATGCGTAAACAGACTAACAGGTGTCACGTGACGGAGAGAAACATTTGTAGGTGTATAGCATCGGTCATTGCATTTTTATAATGTTTATACCTGGGTGTTGCTTCCAACCCTGTGACTCCTCTCCCCACCCCCATGCTCCCTGCCCCAGGTTTCTTGTTAAGGTGATAAGTACAAACATTTTTTTTTTTTTTGGTGATAAAACTCATAGAAGTTAATTTTAATGTATTAATAGTATTCCTAATGAGTGCTGCAAAAAATGGCTACAAGCCTGCTTTTCTCAAAATTCCATTTTCCTTAACTTAAGGTAGTTTTAGAAAGAAAAACAACCTGGCTTCCATCTTGCAAACCCCCTTTTTTTTTTTTTTTTTTTTTTTACTTCATTATCTTAATTTGTTGGTCACTCGTAAAAAGGAAACCTTACTTGAGTTGTAAAGTAGACAGACAATGAGGAGACACTTGAGGCTTCTGCTGTATGTTTATTTCTTGTTGTTGTTACCCAGTAACTTGAATATTGTTTAATGTGTTGTAAGACATTGTAGAGTTTATCTCAAGCTGTTAAAAATGGTAATGTACAAATGTGAATAGACACTTATCTATAATATGGGTAAGTTTTGTTTTGCCTATAATAGATGTTTTATAAAAACAAGTGAGGGGACAATTGGTCTTTTTGTTTCCTTTTTTCTTTCTTTTTTTTTTTTTTGCACAGGTTGCACTATTGAAAAATTGAGATTGTATAAACCTGGTCAAAAGCTGCAAGATACCACAGTCTTGTAGATGTTAAATAAAAAGTTACTATCCTAACCAGAAGTGGACTCTTGCTTAGGCCCGCCCCACCTTCAGCAGCAGGCTGTGACCGGGGCTCTGTGGGACGCGGCTGTCGCGCGGCCTGGTTTGGCTTAAAACCTGCCACTCAGGGTTGAGATGGTGTTGATCAGGGGTGAAAGGGTAGCGCCTTCGAGTGTTTCTTGAGCTGGTTCATTTCCTTTGTTACTTTTCGGCTTCCCTCTGAGTTGAGGAGGTGGACGCTAAGCGAGGAAGAGCCGGGCTTTTGCCTCTTGTGTTTCTTTCAGCCTGAGTTCGGTTACGTCCAGTTTGGTCGAGTCAGGTTTACCATAGGTTTTCTTTCTTTGGGTTTATTTATTCTTGGTGCCTGAAGGAACAAATTGAGAATGATTTCGTTCTTTGGCATGTTTTGCCCAGCGGATGCAACTTCTATTTTCAGTCCAGTTCTTATAGCTCAGGCAGTGATCCATATGAATGTCAAGCAGTGTCCCTTGTTAGGGCCACTAGATCCAGCTGGCAGCCAAGAGAATTGTCCCACCTGCAGCAAAATTTCCCAGGTCTTGTGTGTTTAAACCAGCAGCCCGGTCAGCTCCTGTCCACATACTCAGGTGCACTAGCGCTGGGGAGGAGGCCTGAGGGACCCGCCCCTCCCCAGGGAGACGGAATGGCAGGTGGGGAGGGAGGCTGTCGGTCCAGCCCCCGCTTTCTGTGGGGCGCGTATCTTGAGCAGGTTGCGGTTTTCTGCAGGCAGTGTCGGTGCGAGGGTCCTTGAGCCTGCAGCTAGTGGACCCTACGTTCACGGGGCGATGCTCGCTCAGAATGCTGCCTGATGCCAAGGAGCATGTGGGCGTCCTGCTCTGGGTTGGACAGCTTGTTTGGCTCTTTAAAAGGTCCCAAAATGAGGCCTCTTATAGTCGACCTCCAGAGGCAGGCGGTGTGAACGTGCGGGGAGCCGAAGGGGCTGGACCCCTGCCCTGCGTGAGGTGGTGTGCGCGGCCTGGTGCCTGCCGCCCCTCCCCCTGGAGGGGGTGCACGGTCCACACGCTGTGCCCGCAGCCCAGTTGGCAAGTTCAGGGCGGCCCGCACGGGAAGGCCAGCGTTCCAGGTCCTGCTCTGTCGAAAACCCAGTCTTCACAGCGCTGGCTTCCGCACAGCAGGTTGTGCCTTTCAGGGTCCGAGGGCCCCATCTGAGTGCGGGGGCCCCGTCGAAGCCCACGGGAGTCCAGGCAGCCTCTGCAATGCCTTCCCTCCCTTCGTAGCAATATGACTCCGAGCACAAAGATTCAGCTGTCAGCCACGGCAGTGTTTTCAGAGTTTACAGTGTAGATTGTCCTGAAAACCGCCTCCCGCGCCCGGAGCTTCTTGGACGGCAGCCGGGAGAAAGGGCGTCCCACCGGTGACATGGCCTCCCCGCAGGCCGGCGGGGTTGCCCAGAGAGGTGCCGGCCGTGTGGGGGTTCCCAGAGGTACTAACAAAGTGTTTCTTGAAATACAGATTGATCAAAAAGTAAATATCTCAAGCAGTTTTCTCTTTTTGCTGCTAATCTGCAGAAACCCTGTTCAATATCATTTTTTACACCCGTGTATGTAAGTTAGCAAGACCCTGCATCCAAAGCAGCGCAGTGGAGCGTGTGTGTATGTATGTATGTATTGCACTCCAGGTAATTAGCACTTCAGAAAATGTAGAGCTGCAACAAGAAGCCCTTTTAGGGTGTTCTTTGTTTTGTTCTGTTTTGTTTTCTTGCCTCATCTGTAAAGGTAAAAGTCTAGAATACCAGGCTCCAGGGAGAGAGACTGCTGTAGAGGTGGAGTTTCTGGCTGGCGCGGGGCTCGCGTTGGCGGAAGGCCGGTGACGCTGTCAGCTTGTAGTGGGCTTGACAAGAGACGCTCCCGGCTCAGCGTTGCCGGTTGTGGATCGGCAGTGTCCTCCCGCCCTTTCCAGTTTAGCAAGAGGGGAAAATGGGTTAGATTGGAAATGATCGACACATCTCAACTTAGGAAAGCAGGCGCACAGGTGATGTACTTTCCCTTTGGGTCTTTTTCTTGACACAAGGTGAAGAGGAAGGTCCCTAGCTAAGGACTCATAATCATGCCTGAGCGATACTTGGTAGTTTCTGAGAATGGCGCTGGCGCTGCATCCCAGTCCTTGTTCGCCTGGGACCAGGTGAGCGCATCCGGTCGGCCCAGGCTCCCGGCGACTCTGCCAGGTGCTGTGGCGATGGGCTCGTGGACTGCCGTGCCGGCGCCTGGGGTCTCCCCACCAACCACACCCGTGCGCACGCACCCGGCCCGCGGTCCGTGCCTCCGTGGCCGCGGCTGGGCGCGGACACCGCTTGCAGAAACTGCCTGTTGGCTGCCAGCGTCGGGCGCAGACCCGGCACCGTTCCCCAGGCCCGCGAGGGAGGAAGCGCGTGCCCGAGGCCCGCTCACGCTGGCTCGTGGGTTCCTTCTGGGTCCAAAACCCACTTCCTGGTTTTATGCTGTACTTACATGTGTACATAAATGTGTATATAGAGAAATGTTGAGTTCTTTTGAATTCTCAGTGTAAATATTTCTTGTACATTGATACCCAGCTACCAACTAGTATTCCCCTTTTCCTTCCTCCCTTCGGTCCTATTTATTCTTTTCTTGACTTCTTGTGCGGGACATCTTAATTTTTTTTTTAATGTAGAAATGTATGGAAACTTCCTAGTTGAATTTATTCACATACTTTAGAATTCAGCTTTGCATTTTTGCTTTCAATTCCAATGTGTGTTTTGTGTTAATACTTTTCAACATGCCTGCTTGTGTTTTGCATTTGTATTACAAAATGTCACTGTGTGCAATGCATTGTATGGGGGGTGTACCTGAGTGCAATTTCTGATCCTGTCACTTAACATGACTAGTTATGCTCATTTATGTTGCTCTGTGGAAGCCACAGCGAGCCTGTTGGTCATTTTAAAAATTCTCCCCGGGACTCCCTGTAGCCTCCTCTTAGCTTCTTCAGTGCATCTGGGATCAAACGTAGTTCCTCAGTGACCCTCCTGTTCCCAGCCTCGCGAGCTCTGGGGCCTGCACCAGACTTGTCCTCGCGGCTCCCGGCCGGGAGGGAAACCCTGGGGATCCGAACAGCGGCTTGTGTCCTGCCGCTGCCGCTGCCAGTTCTCTCTCTGTCTCCCAGAAGCTGGGCCTGCCCTTTCGGCCTCCAAGCGGTCGTCAGAAAGGTACTTGGTGATGAACCCAGGCATCTGCCTCTGCCGTCCCCTGTTGGGGAGGGTGGCAGCGGCGAGGAGACCGCCCCGCGGCACGCCTGCCCGTGTCCCTGCTGACGGGCGGCCCTCAGCAGGGCGCTTCCAGGAGCAGCATCTCCCAGAGACAGCGACGGGACAGCTGCGGAGGCCTCGGCTCCTGGGCAGGCTCGGCGCTGAGGGAGAAACAGGCAGGTACTGGAAGAAGGACTGGCCGTGGGGTCCCCTGAGCCGCTGTCACCGTCACCGTGCTGGTGAATTGCTCTGGACTGACTCAGCCGCGCTCCTGGACTGGGCCAGACGGAGCCTTTCTTTCCTGAGAGTGTTGCCAGTGGGGAGACCCAGGGGTGCCCCGTGAGCCCACGCGGTGGGGCTCGTGGCCGGGAGGCAGACGTTGGTTTTGACCTCCAGCTTTCGCACCTTGAAGAAACTGCCCTCCCCAGCTTCCAAGCAAGGTTGCCGGGAGTGTTTCCTGGGCCTTTCATTCATGAACACATTTCACTCGCTGCTGAAAGTTTCTGAGTTGTCTGCGCTTGGCTAAGCCTTGGCCGCCCAGTGTGTCAGCCTCCCGCCGCCTGCGTCCTGCAGCGCCCTCCCGCCGGCTCGCAGCGGGGGCAGGGTGTCTTCTGCAGCCACAGCGGGGCCCGGGCAAGCTGGGACTGTCCCTTCAGTGTAGCCAGCAAGGGACCAGCCTGGGGCAGTGGCTTCCTGGAGGTCAGCAGCCCTCTGCCCCGCCCCCGACCCAGGGCCTTTCTCGCTGTGACGCACTGTAGCACTGAAGAGGTTAAAGCAGCTCTCGCCTTGACTTCCACGTGGGGGGGGACGGGACAGAAAGCTTGTTTTCTACTTAGCTCGTTGAATCTCACCGCCATCAGACACCAAAACCATCCTGTTCATGGTTTATACTGAATTTGCAAACTACTGATACTGATTTTTTCAATAACCACTTGTATCTACTATCAACCATGAGAGGTGGGAAGAGGTACACAGTATCTCTGCAATAAAACTTCTGCCGGGTTCTACCTCTGCCGAGCAAAGGGTACTTTTCTACGTAGGTGTAGACCTTCCTCCTTTACTAGCCCGACATGGTGCGCACACGATGGAGTCCAAAGACATTTTGAAACAAAGGTGGATGTAAACTCCTTGGGTTGTTTTTATTTCCTTGTCTTTTTCTTAAGACTCCCCCTGATACCGCTCTGTGTCTCCCTGTCTGTCCGTCCACGCTGCTCTGACCCTGCACCGCTTTGCCCGGCCGCCGCGGCCCAGTGTCCAGGGCGGCCGTTCCCCTTCTGATGTGTGACTCTCCCCGCTGGCCCTCCTGCAATAAAAATGTATCGGGGCTGCATCTAGCAAGGGTCGCCCTTGCAAGTTAAAATGATCAACCATGAAGCGTAACAAATTCTCTGTTGTGTTTTCGGTTTGGTTTTGTTTTTTGTAAGATTCTTAAATAAATTAAACTGGCTACCATGCTTTCTCTCTGGGTTTTCTCTGTCCGGGCTCTGAGCTGTGTTGGTGCCAGCGTGCCCGCCTGGGGAGCGGCTCTCGGGCGGCCGTGGCCATAGCGCGAACTGCGGACGGCCCCCGGCGGGGGGCGGGGGGGTGGCACCAAGCGCACGGATGGCACTGGAGGCCCGGGCTCGTGACCGAGCAACGAAGCGCTGGTTCGGCCGCCCTCCGCCATAAAAGCTGAACTCGTGAGGCGCGTGCTGGTGCGAAAGGGAAGAGGTTTCTTCAGGTGCCACCCAGCCGGGGAGAAGAGTGGGTGCCCGTCTCAGGCCGCCCCTCAACAAAACCAGAACAAAGGCAGTGTCCAGAGCGCCTGCTCCCCTTGAAAGCGCAGGCCGCGGGGGCGCGCGGGCCGTGGCTGAGCAGTCACGGTCCCCTCCCAGGGAGCTCAGCCCCCTTGAGCTGCTGTTGGTTCCGGCTCCCTCCTGTGTAGGGGCCAGGCGCCTGCTGAGGCCAGTGGCCTGCATGAGCCTGGGTCGAGTGCCAGAGCTGGAGGTGGGGAGAGTCTCCTTGTTGCCCAGGGATCCTGTTAGCTCTGGCGTGGGGCGGCCCAGTCCCTTTCTGAGAACGACCCACTTCCCAAACGTGCCCTCCCTCCCTGGGGTCGCCTCCTGACCAACCCCCCTCCCCCCAGGCCTGATTGGTGGGCCTCGTGGGTCCAGAACCTCCCCTTGTGCCTTTCTGATTCTGGGGCATGTGTGCCTGCCCTCCCTTGGTCCCAGCCTCAATCTGGTACCAGAAGGGGTTGCGGAAAAGCTTATTTTCCTATTCAGTTACCCTGCTAGTGTTCTGGGCGCCCAGGCCTAGGCTTGCCACTTCCCAGCTTCCCAGTGCGTCCAACGTAAGGCCCCCCCGCCGCCATCTAGGCCGGCGGGGACCCCAGTGCTCCCACCGCGCTGTCTGTCCCCCAGGAACAGGCGCGGCCCCTGCCTGCGGCCCCTGCTCCCGCGTCTCAGTTGCCGGGTGTCCTCCCTGAAAGATGCCACAAGCAGGGGTAGCCATGCGTGTTCGAGGAATTTGGGCACGAGCCTGGGGTTGAGCAGCCATCCAACCTGCGACTCAAAGAGTTGAGCTCAGCTTCTGAAAAACCAAAAGAGAAACTGCGGTCGACAAACCAGCAGGAAACGGGGAGCGCTCAGTGTGCGCGTCGCGCCGAGTGCTTTCTGTGTTCCTGGCCTGGGGTGCTCCGCGTGAGTTCTCAGGCGAAATTTTGATCAGAGGCTGTGAAGGGCCTCCGAGCTGCTAGTTTTGTGCAAGGGGAACCTGTATGTAACATTTAGTAAGGGTTTCACACGCGGCCGCTGTGTGTCTTGCCTTGGGCCACACGCCCCCAGGAGTGATTGCTCGTGGGTGGTGGCTCCAGTGTCGCAGGTGGTGAGCAGGAGGCCCAGGGAGTTGGGAAGACGGCGGCTGGGTCCCGCGGGAGGCCCGAGGGGGGGGCCCAAGCCGGGGGCTGCCGTGCGGCCACCAGGCAGCGCGGAGGAAGTGGAGCGCACGAAGAGGAGGGCAGTGGTTTCACGCTGGGACTGCGCTCTGGGCCCAGTGACAGAAAAGGGGTGCTGGCCGAGAGGGCCGGCAGCTCCCTGCGGGGGAGTCGGGGAGTGAGTGCGCGGGAGAGAAGGCGCCTCTCGGAAGAGAGGCCTTACTGCCCAGGAAGTGATGAGATCCCTTGGGCTGTGTGTGAGTCTGTCCCTTCACAGGTGAGGCGACAGGCACCGAGGTCAGGCACCAGCAAGTGGTGGGGCCCGTCCCGCGGGGGTCCTGGCCAGGCGGGGCTGCCTCCCTGGGCCTGGGGAAAGGCAGTAGGGAGAGCGGGGGTGGGGGAAGGGCGCGGTTTGTTTGGGTTTTTTAACGCCTGGGATAAGGCTTGTTTGTGAGCCCTCCCTCTGCGGGGTTTGAAACGCCCGCCTGAGCAAACCCTTCTATTTGTAGCTCGCAACACTTAAGGGAATTTAATCAAATTTGTAAATGGTGTTAACGTTTAGGGGAATTTAATCTTGTCAAATACATAAGATAATTGAGCGTTAATTGAAGAACAAGTGAGAAGGGAGTGTTTTACATTTTAACTAAAATTTTACTAAAAGATTGGTTAAAACCAGCTCCAAGACTGAAAGCACTTGTTTTTAAATGTATAACCTTAACGAATGGAGTGTTAATTTCAGTAAGAAATGAGAGATGAGACTTCCTGTCGACCCTGCGTGCCCTGAGCCTTCCTGTTCCGCTTGCTTGGACCTGGCGCCCCTTCGGGCGTGGTCTGCGTTCCAGCCCGCCCTTGGCCTGGCCTCCCATTCCCCTCGGTCCAGCCATTTGTGGGGGCGGGGGCTGTCCGGTGCCTGGGAGGGTGTCAAGCGGCACCC